CGCAACCCCAGTTGGCCACGACTGGACCTAATGGTCAGAGGTCCCTTTACCTTTAATGCTATTCTAGGCTGCATCAACAGAAGCCTAGTGTCCCAATCAAGGGAAGTAATAGTACCATTCTATTCTGCCTTGGTCAGACCACACCTAGAGTCCTGGGTCCAGTTCTGGGCACCACAATTTAAGGATATCGAAAAGCTGGAATGTCTGCAGAGGAGGGTGACTAAGATGGGAAACCCAGCCTTAGGAGGAATGATTGGGGACGTTTAGCCAGGAGAAGAGAAGACTGAGAGGAGATATGATAGCCATCCTCACATATCTGAAGGTCTGCAACATGAAAGATGGATCAATCTTGTTTTCTGCTGACCCAGGAGTAGGATTCAAACCAATTATTTCAAATTGCAAGAAGGGAGATTCCAACTAAACATCAGGAATATATTTTTGGCTACCTTGGAAGTGGTGGGCTCTCTCCTTCATTGGAGGTTTTTAAGCAGAGGTTAGATGGCCATCTGTCAGGGATTCTTTAGCTGTGATTCCTGTATTGCAGGGGGCTGGACACGACTTTTGGAGTCCCTTCCAAGTATACGATTCTTTGATTTTAGGGGAGGAGAGAAGAAAAACGACAGCAATCTTCTTCACAACTGTGTGCCCCTTTTATACGCAGGACTACAGCCAAGGATTGAAAATAACAGAGCTTACATTAAAAACCCTGTTCTGTTGTACCTCATCACACTTGACAGAAGAATTATTGCTGATGCCTGAAGCTATACCCATTTAAGCTAAATCTAGTTACACTCCAATGGCATTTTGCAAAAGCCAAGGGGAGCGGGAAGGGGAGGACCCTTTGCAAAACTAAGTATCAATAAACATAATCCCTTTGCTGTTACAAAAAAAAAACACCTCCTGTCCTATTCTGATTTACTTTAATCCCTGCCCCAAGCAGTAGAGGGTTTGGCTTCTTATGAGCCTGTGTAGCTAAAGCAGGGCAGCTTCTCTGGCGAACCAGGAAGCGGTACATGCTGCAGAGCTGGCCTAGCAATCTATCCACTTCCCCAGAGTCAGAGCAGAACAACGTGGCAGAGGCATTTCAAGCAATTGGTGGCTTTTTCCTAGTATTTTAGGCATGCATGCAGTCCAAGGACTCAACTATACAGCCGCAAATAAAACGTTTTAAGTGTGTTTCAAATATACAATGTGACACTAGATGGCGATAGTAAGCCTTATGGAAAATCCATTGTATTTTTAAAAACGCTTTTTTTAAAAAGCAGCATTTTCAGAACATTTTTAATATGCGTGTAGATTCCACCCAAGAGGCCATTTCTGCAGTGAATGCCACAGGAATCCAAGCCTCTATGTGCATTGTGATATAAACAGAGCAGCACCCCAAATTTACTTGGGAGCTGGTGCAAGCTTATAATAATAATTTATTATTTATACCCTGCCCATCTGGCTGGGCTTCCCTAGCCACTCTGGGCGGATCCAACAAAATATTAAAATACAGTAATGCATCAGACATTAAAAGCTTCCCGAAACAGGGCTGCCTTCAGATGTCTTCTAAAAGTCAGAAAGTTGTTTATTTCCTTGACATCTGATGGGAGGCCGTTCCACAGGGCAGGTGCCACCACTGAGAAAGCCCTCTGCCTGGTTCCCTGTAACCCTACTTCTCGCAGTGAGGGAACCAGAAGGCCCTCGGCGCTGGACCTCAGTGTCCAGGTAGAACGATGGGGGTGGAGATGCTCCTTCAGATATACTGGACCGAGCTTAGGTTGCACCCCAGATGTGCATTTATGTAGAGGGGTGCAGCAACTGTAGAAGTGCACTGCCACCCAGCCCCAGCCCATCTTTTAAGTAGCATCAGGCTTAGGAGAAGTGCAGAAGAGGCGGTGGGAAGCTAAGACAGGTTAGGGCAGGGGTCAGCGAACTTTTCCAGCAGGGGGCTGGTCCACTGACCCTCAGACCTTGTGGGGGGCTGGACTATACTTTGGGGGGGTGGAATGAATGAATTCCTATGCCCCACAAATAACCCAGAGATGCATTTTAAATAAAAGGACACATTCTACTCCTTTGTACCCATTGTTGTCTTTTTAATTGTATATATTGCTTGTTTTATGTTGCTATGGCCGTTGGCTAATGCGAATAAAGTTTATCTATCTATCTATCTCATGTAAAAACACGCTGATTCCTAGACTGTCTGGGGGCCACCCCCTAGGCCTTAGTTTGCCTACCCATGGGTTAGGGGCTTGTGACATCACATTTTCTACCTCCATGCTCACCAGAGTATGCTTTTCTTTTTTGAAAGATACTGGATTAGCAACTTATTTTGTTGAAATAGGTTAAACTATTAGTAGAAAAACGACGGGGGGGGGAGGAGAGAAGATGAGAAAACTAGTATTTGATTTGGAGAGTATATGTGTTATTTGAGGAGGAGAAAGGGAGGAGCAAAGAAGTCTCATTGCATCAGATAAAACTTGCACCTGCTGCTGTTTGCCAGATTGCCCAGCATCCAGCCTTAGTTGGGCTACCCATTTCATTTGAGGAAATGAGGAGCTCAAGCAATTTCAGATTTTCCAAAGGTAGCCGTGGGGTGGTTTCTTATGGGGTAGCATTTAAATCCCAGGTTTTCCAAGGTTCCCCCCCCCTCGTGTGGAGTCGCTACAGGGAGTGAGGTCCCCTCACCTTCCACCCAACACCTGCTTTCTTGCAATACTATCAAATGTTAGGAACCACAAATTCTATAAAAACAAAACAATGCTTTGTCACAATCCTTAAGCGCTAGCATCAAAGTGTAGGTGTTTGGCATGTTTCCTGCACATCATATAGCAGACATAGATCAGATGGGTGAAGCATATTAAGAGAAAGCAACTGTACATTTCCCAGCAATAGTGTTACAGAGCAATAGGTGAGGTAGGTTCGAACACAAGCCAGTGCTTCCTTGTGGCAACAATTCAAACACTTGCCAATAGCTGCCTTAGAAAAATCAAGTCTACTTCCCAAAAGCGGTGTGGGCAACGTTTTCAGCAAGGACTGTTAATTTGCATATATGAATTACTCATTTGCATATCATTCACAGGAGTGCACAAGTACATGGCCAAAGCTGGTGGACAAGTCATACTTAAAACCAGACCCCATGTACATTTATTCAGAAGCAAGGCCCACTCTGTCCAATGAGATTTACTAGCTTGTATGTTTAAGATGGCAATCTTAATCGGATATCCCTGTTTTGAAAGCGCAAACCCCGAGGTTGGGAACCTTAAGCTGCCCCTTGAATCCTGAATTTTTCAAATAAAGGGGGGGGGGGAGGAGTTGAGGCCAGCTTCACATTTGGGCTGGGATTCAAAAACGCCACTTGAGGTTCACCCACAGGACCTTTGCCCCTTAACAGCAGCCCCCCTTGCTGTATCCCAAATTGCTGTGAGAAAGTTCCCTTATTTTCCAGAGCTGTTTGGCATGCCCTGCAGGAGGGCTGCTTCTAGCAGGAAGCACAAGCCCCAGGTCCCCTTGGCTGGAGGGAAGTGCAGGTTTTGGGATCCCAGCCCCTGCGATCTGTTTCTCACGTCAGAGTCTTCGGTGCACTGGTGGCGTCTTGAATCCAGGAAGGTCACCATGGCCACAGCTGTATGGACTAAGGTCCCCCTCCCTCAAATAACCCACATGGAAGTCCCGACTCAGAAGTGCTTAGGCTGTCGTCAGCTACCCCTGAACTAAATGTATGGTTCAAATGTGCCTGCCTTCAGCACCTGCACCGTCAAAGTTATCCTAACAACAACATTTGCAAAAGGAAGCTAAGCGCACTCCACAAAGAATTCCCTCAGCCCTATTCTGAACCTGATTTAAGGAACCGGGTGGAAAAAGCCTCATTTGCTCTGCATGTCTTCCACTTCCCTTTCTTGAGCCTGGCATGCGAAGTGACGAGCAAATTCAAACTTTTCTCTCCTTAATGACTGTTCTCAGGCCTTGGCCAAAACACACTTCATTAAACAAGCCAACAGTTTAGCAAGTGTATGAATGGGTCCACTTGCCCTTCCCTTCTCAAACAGCACCCCAGTTCCCATTATGTCTTAATAGAGGTCATTAACCCCACCCCCATAGAATGCCCTAGATACAGCAGGAGCTGTTCAAGGCACTGAGGCTGAAAGGGGTCAGGGATGGGGGTATTTACACAATATTCGTCAGGAGAACAAAAGGTAGCTAAATTGTCAAAATCCATTTCCCTCTCGCATCCATGTTGGGCTTGGGAGGCGACGGATACAGTTTGGGAACTAACGCCCACTTCCCTTCTTCCCTGCGTAAAAACTGTAAACAAGTAGGAAATTGGAACATTTTCTACAAAAGCACAGACGATACAAGAAGCTAAGTACCAATTGTTCATACCCACCCACCCTCCCTCCCTCCCAGAGACTAGCAATTTCAGTTAAGAGCAGACACCCTTATGCAGTGCCTTCTCTGCTCATTATCCTTCTGCTGCATTTCCAGTGTAACCGCTTAAAATCTCCTGCTGATCCCCTACAGATGTCCTTTGTGCAGTTTTTTAAAAACATGCAGCCCACCCTCTGCACTACATGAGAACAGCTAACCAGTTTATTATCTAATCAGAGACAGCAACAAAAAGATTGCAGGGGTGGAATTTTTTTCAAACAAAAAGCCAGTCTTCTGCTTGGGGTTTTTTTTGGTCCCCCTTCCACAGGATCTTCATAGTAGATATCTCTTAGAGAAGCATACGGACAATTAAAAAACAGCGCTAAGAAATTCCAGTTGTCAAGCATAATAAATAAAGTTTGTATCGAGGAGTCAAGTACCAGAAACCGTTTAGCTTGTAGACTTGATTGAGCAGCATACCTTTGCTGGGAGAAAATGTTTCTGAGGAATTGCTGGCTAGGGGGAAAAGGCAGCAGCTGGTTAGGTTCCATCAGGGCAAGCTTAGCACCTAAGAGAAAGGGCTAACACTGAGTTCTGTTGAACTGAAATGGAACGAGCACTGCTCATGGAACAGAGAAAAGCGCGGATCAAGCGCTAGTACCGTCCTCTTCGATCACCCGGTTCATGCTGGTGCCGTGCGTGATGTGGGTCACCGGATTGCCACTGAGGTCCCTGGTGCTGCTGTGACGCGACTGGTCGTTGAGCCGGTGGGAACTGCTGTGCCTGGAGTGGTCCGTCAGTCGGGACATGCTGCCGTGAGGTAGTCGATCTTCAATCCCGCGGTAACTGCAGGGGGTATACCTAATTCATAAAGACTCATCGGTTTCAGTAACGCAGACAAGAATGGGTTTCCCATTCAGATAGCTGCAGGACCTCCCCTCCCACCCCACACAATGCATAACACAGATCAGATTCAGCAGAGCTCGGTCTCACTCCCTAGGTCTGAGAATTTAGACAAAGGCCAGCTTTTCTTTGTTACAGGTTTTTAAACAGAGGTCGGATACTCATCTGTCAGGGATTCTTTAGCTGTGATTCCTGCATTGCAGGGGGCTAGACCATATGCATAGTTGTCAACTTTTCCCTTTTCTTGCAAGGAATCCTATTCGGAATAAGGGAATTTCCCTTAAAAAAATTTCCTTCACGGCCTAGGACCCTCATACCTATGGGACCGCCTCTCCTGGTATGCCCCACGGAGAGCCTCAAGGTCCATAAACAGCAACACCCTAGTGTCCCGGACCCTAAGGAAGTTAGATTAGCCTCAACCAGAGCCAGGGCCTTTTCAGCACTGGCCCCAGCCTGGTGGAACACTCTGCCTCATGAGACCAGGGCCCTGCAGGATCTGATTTCTTTCCGCAGGGCCTGTAAGACAGAGGTGTTCCGCCTGGCCTTTGGCTTGGAGCCAATTTGATTCCTTCCCCCTCTTTCTTTTTCCTTTTCCCTTTCTCCTCCTGTGATGAGGCTGCATTTTAATATTTTAATGTTTCAATATTTTAATTGTATTTTAATCTTGTTTTTAAGTTGTATTCATTCAACTTGTTTTTATTATTGCTTGTTAACCGCCCTGAGCCCGGCCTTGGCTGGGGAGGGCGGGGTATAAATAAAAATTATTATTATTATTATTATTATTATTAAACAAAGGAAAAAGTTGACAGCTATGCTTATGACCCGGGGTGTGTGTGTTCCCTTCCAGCTCTGTGATTCGATGGTCAGGAGAAAACCCACTCTGAAACCCTGGAGAACTGCTGCCAACCTGGGTAGGAAAGAACGGCGAGGATCTAACGCCATTTAATGCTGTTTTCTATGTGGACAGTGTGGGAGAGAAAAAAGAGCTCACACGTCTCTATTGACAGAACTTGAAACAGACCACTAAGGGTGGGGAAAAGGCTATCAGCTCCCACAAATTCATCCAGCAAATGGCAACCCCCCGTTTAAATGGCGACGTGTTCTCTGCCTAGGTGTGTTGCGTTTACACAGCCATTTCAATCTTCTCACCTGCCATCCCGTGACCTATGCAAGCTGCCGTGATAGCTACTGACTTTGCTATGGACGCTGCCTGCTTTGCTTCGCTGGTCGTCCATCATAGCCAGCTGGGTAGAGGAAGCGTGGGTGGATGTCCCTTGGGTGGAGGTGCCTCTGGACTTGCGGATTATGGGTGTGTTGGGGTCTCTCAAGAGCGACTGAGCAAAATCAGGCTCCTGAAGCACTTGCCGGCTCTCATTCACAACCCTGTTTACAAAAGTAAAGCCCGGTCAGTTTGACTCCAGAGAGACAGATGGCAATAGGCAAGAGCATGCAGAGGTTAGGTGGCGAAAAAATCTACTGAATACCCAATGCGAATGGGAGGGGTCTGTTCTTACTGTATCTGGATCATTCAGACCTAGAAATGGTGTTCACTGTTGTAGAAATACAAGCCAGCAATAATTTTTGGAGGAGGGCAAGCATCGTTTTTTACTAGTAGCTGCAGAGTCCCGGTGCTGGACCAGGCCGAAGGGGGGCCACCTAATCCTGCATCCTTTTTTAAAAAATTGTCAGCCAGAAGCCTCTGAGAAACCTGTAGAACAGCCTTTCTCAACCTGTGGGTCCCCAGATGTTGTTGAACTACAATTCTCATCACCCATAGCTAGCAAGGCCATAACTCAGGAATGATGGGAGTCATAGTCCAACAACATCTGGGGACCCACAGGTTGAGAACCGCTGCTGTACAAGAAGGGCCTCAGTGCAACAGCCCTCTTCCCACTGGTGACTCCTCTCAGCATGTCTTACCTTCAGCGTTTATAATGCATAGGTTAAGACAGTATGGCTGGGCCACAGCTCAGTATCAGAGCACAGAAGGTTCCAGGTTCAACCCTTGGCAATTCAAGCTAAAGCTGGGAACAAATGACCCATCTGTGAAATGCTGGAGAGCCACTCCCAGTCAGTGTAGCTGATCTGATTCTATAGACAGTGGCCTTGTAAGACGCCTCCCTCAGAGGTAAAGAAGCCTGCTGGACACATCCGATTCTGCACCCCTGACTAAGGTGAACTCTTCATTGTGTGAGGCAGTGGTGCTGTCTGCCTTGAAGGAATGTGGCTTCTCCTTAACAAGCCTTTTTTTGGGGACCCAGCAACTACTAACAGCTATCGCCCAGTTGCCAATATCCCCTTTGGGGGCAGAATGCTTGAGAAGGTGGTGGCGGCTCAACAACAAGCACGGCTGAATTAAGCAGATTAACTGGGTCCATTTCAATCCAGGTTCAGCAGTTTGGCACAGACTTAGTGTTGGCTGGGCTAATGGATGGCCTCTGTCAAGAGGGATGAAGAAATGCGAAGGGTCTCAGATGAAGATTGAACCTGTCAGCAATTTGGTGGCCTCATTCTGCCCCAGCAGCAAGACAGGAGCAATGGTGGCAGCAAAGTCTCTTCCCTGCTACCCAGCAGGCCCTTCCCTCCCTCTTTCTGGCATGCAGAATGCTGCGTGGGGTGGGGGAGTGAGAGATATTAAGAGTGGATGGGGACTTTGCTCCCCCCATTGCCATGTACATTTGGGGAAAGGAGTTTAAGAGTTTGTGGGAGGTGGCGTGGAGATGGCCTAATCTACTCTTTCCATATTCTCCTTTGAGAAATTGAAATGAAATGAAAACAACAGTTTGGAGTTGTTGTTTTTACCCCTGTCAAAGAAAGCTTGAAAAAAAGGCAAGCAGGAAAAAATGAGGGAAGAAAATCTGCCTCTTGCTTAAGAACCGCTTTGAGTAAAATCTGAGTGTTCCTGAGTTATAGAAGAACCTGTTCCATGCCACCTTTTATGTATCACAACTCACTCTTTTTTCTTGCGCCCATGGAAGAAGCTGGCCCATTCAAAGCAGGTCTTTTTACTTCCAACCCAGAAGACAGATGGAATCCCAACCACCAGAGCCATCAGATACTTCATCAGAAAGAGGATCAAGTCTGGACGACTCATCTGCGTGACCTGGAAGGAGCAGACAAGGGCAAACATGAGACACTGCTGCAGATCCACAACTCCATCTCTCTAACTCACTAGCAGAAAACAAAGATCAGTCGAGTCCCTCCATTTCCCATCTACAGAATGGGCCCACAGAATCCAGATAGATCAAGGCAATTTATCTGAAGTATTTCAGTCACACAGAAAATCATTTCACTCAAAACTCCAATTTCAATTCCTCATGTACCTGAAGTATTTCCAAAGCCAGAGAACATGTCAGTGCATAACCATTAAAACAGAGAGGCAACATTGGCAAGGAAAATAGCCACAAATCACACCCAAACAAATGATTCCAATAGATTTTTCTGGAGAAGCGTGCGAAGTATTCACATGGAATTAACTCCCGCTCTGTTTAGCTGAAGTACGTATGGATCATAACGGCAATGCTATCACTTGCCAGGGACTGAATTCACAAGACTGTGGGGGGAAAGCACTCTGACATGTGAGCACCACAAGATATCCCCTTTGCTGACCAACCATTTGGTGGAAATGCTTTGAAAATCCTCACTAAATGTGGAGAGTCACAGTCTCAGATTAACAGCCCCAAGACAGCAACTGTCTCTTACTTGCATATATGAAATTTTATAAACACAAGTGTAATGAGTTGTGGAGAATCAGGCTCAATCACACATTGAGCTATGAGCCAAGGCAGAGTGCATGCAAACTGTGAAGATGGCAATGAAAACCATCCAGATCCTCCTCCATAGTATCCGGTGTAATTTGTAAGCACCCTGATTTTGCAATCTTCCATGGGCTAACGGCTGGCAAGGGGCAGGGAAAGGCCAAACACCACAAGGTCTGTAAACTCTGCTAGGATTATGGGAGAACAAAATGTTGGGGTGCTGCTTTTGGCAGTAGCTGCATTTTGAGCATAACCCTGCTAGCGTGTGAAATGAGTGAAATTGTGCGGTAGTTGGAGCATTCTTTGGCACTGCCTTTCTTTGGGATTGGGATGTAGACTGATCTTCTCCAATCCTCTGGCCACTGCTGAGTTTTCCAAACTTGCTGCCATATTGAGTGTAGCACCTTAATAGCATCATCTTTTAAAATTTTAAATAGTTCATTTTTTTAAAATAAAATATTTATTAAGATTTTCAGAATATTACAAGACAAAAAAAAAAAGAAAAAAGAAAAAATACAAAGTAAAAATGGTTAAAAACAATTCATTCCTTCCATTACTTATCCTTCATTTGCTTATTTCCAGGACCTCCTCACACCTCCCTTTTTTGTATTCCAGTTCAGTTATTAGTTCAACAAATCCCTCCCCTCTTTATGTATCCTAATCATTAATCATAAAATATTGTAATTTTAGATTTTTACCTATTAATAAACCATTTTTTTCATATTCCCTTATAACATTTCAGCTAAAGACCACTTAGTTTCTATCCAACATCATTCTAACATTCATTAATTTTGCAATATTTCTGTAAATAGTCTTTAAACTTTTTCCAATCTTCTTCCATCGACTCTTCTCCCTGGTCTCGGATTCTGCCAGTCATTTCCGCCAATTCCATATAGTCCATCACCTTCATCTGCCATTCTTCCAAGGTGGGTATAACATTTTAAATAGTTCAGCTGGAATGTCATCACTTCCTCTGGCCTTGTTATTAGCAGTGATTTCTAAAGCCCATTTGACTTCACTCTCCAGGATGTCTGGCTCAAGGTCAGCAACCACACTACCTGGCGACAGAGGACGAGATGGTTGGACAGTGTTCTCGAAGCTACTAATATGAATTTGACCAAATTGTGGGAGGCAGTGGAAGACGGGAGTGCCTGGTGTGCTCTGGTCCATGGGGTCATGAAGAGTCGGACACAACTAAACGACTAAACAACAACAAAGTATGTTTAGCATCATCTCTAGCTTGGCACTGCGAGGCCAAGGGAAAAGTCCTTTTCTGCTCCTGCAATGGGGCTCACACATCTACTCCATTAATTTGTAGAGCTATAAAGCTACCATAGCTGATTGGGGCTGATAACACAATAGGGCCGAGAAAGCAGTTGTTCCATTGCAGATTCAGAAAGGACTGCCTGCATACACTCACTGAAAAGCTAACTTACGAAGAAGCACTGCTCTTCTGCTTCTCCAATGCTGGCTGTTTCTCGACAAGTATCAATCCTATTCTTGAAATAGAGTGGAGTTGAAGCCCCTGCAAATGCCACCCAGGACACTTTCAGAGCAGCTGAATCTGGAGGCATTTATTGTGCCTGTCAAATGCCATCAGCTTCTGTTATGGCTCTGAGGCAGAAAAACGTATTATGAGAGATGCCAAGCGGTGGCTGGACAATGAAGTGGCAGTTGATCCCACTTGACAGGAAGCGACACAAAGCTGGAAAAAAAAAATGTGCATGGAGCTGCAGTCTCAGTCTGTGCCCTGTACTCCCTTAATTGACACTGAGCACAGGGCAAAGAACAACTAGGACAGGGTGTTGAGAATTCAAGATCTTCCCAATTCCAAATAGCAGCTGCTTCTGCTAGTCTTAAAGCTATAATTCAGACAGCGTATCAGACTAGACCAGATGGCAAGTAGCTTCTGGTTTGGGCAATTTCACTCCTGAGGGAAAGCTAAGAACAGCCCAAACCTCTTTCAACATTTCACCCCTGGGACTACCCTCAAGGAGAGACCAGGTGCGGGTCTTTGGCTCGCACAGTCAGCACTGCCTGTTCTCTGTCCCTCTCATCACAAGGTGAAGTAAAGAATCCAAACTGAGAGATCCTCCGATTATCTGAACACTTGAGAATTTCTCTCTGAAATGAGATTTCAAATAGCTGCAAGATCCTCAAGCTCCAAATAGCTGCAGGATCCTCAACCAGCTGTTCACAGCTTGGAGGAGGTGGCATCTCACTCCTGGTCTGGCGGTGGACAGGCCCAACGTCATCACACTTTGGACAAAACTAAGAGCTGTGCACATCTTTCCTTTCCTGCCGTTTGCTCACATAGATTAGGTTTGACTCTGGAGAACTGCCAGCTGCAATTAAGAGCTAGCACACTCTTGCTCCCTTTATATAACAAATTACTTCCAGTCACTGCTCAGAGTTAGGCCTGCGGCTACCTGGGGAGCAGAAGAGCACTTTCCTTGGAACAGAACTCCAAAAATAAAACAGGGTTGTGGTGATTTGAAAGACAGATAACTGATCTGCTCCCATCTCGACTAAGCTGGGAAGCAGAAATGGACGGCACCAGCTCCTGCTGGGGAAACTCCACAGACGGAAAGGAGTCTGCTAACAACCTTTGGCGCTACAACCAAAGTGTGTACATGGTTCATGGGTAGAAGCCACAGAAGCGAGGGGGAAAGCTGGCAGGGCAACAGACCTCCCGTGACAAACACTGCAGCTTAAGGAAGATGTGTGCTGCTTGCTGTGAAGGCAGGATAGACCGAGGAATGCTGGGAGCTCTGTCTCCTTCCTAAGATGTTTGTCCTGCCTTCTCTGCTGGTGGGTCCTAAAGTCCAACCCAACCGGCTCACTCCCACTACACGAGATCTTAGCAGAGGTGTAGTGTGGGTGGGGAGAGGGGGGCCGTCGGCTCAGGAACAGTTTTTTCGAGGATGCATTTTGCTACTCATGCCGCCCCTGCTAGACCCACGCTGCTTTGTGAGTCTGATCCCAGCCTGGCAAAGCCACGTGGGGCTGGCAGGGCGTCAGGAGGATGCAAAAGGCTGATTGGAAGGGTGCATGCCTGCACAGCTGTGTCGTCCTCATGTTCGCCCTTCCAGCCCATGCGTGAGGAGGATGCAACAGGCATGCAACACGGGGGTCCAAGAACCTCTGATTGGGTTAGAGTTCCTAGAAGTTTGTACATGGATGTTAAAACTGTGGAGCATTTTCAAGCATCTTAAGCATAGGTTGCAAAAGGCATAAAGCCTGTCACTAGAAAATGGCGTATCTTCCATTCTCCAGAGAAGCGGACACGGAGCAATGGCTCCAAACTACAAGAAAGAAGATTCCACCTAAACATTAGGAAGAACTTCCTGACAGTAAGAGCTGTTGGACAGTGGAATTTGCTGCCAAGGAGTGTGGTGGAGTCTCCTTCTTTGGAGGTCTTTAAGCAGAGGCTTGACAACCATATGTCAGGAGTGCTCTGATGGTGTTTCCTGCTTGGCAGGGGGTTGGACTCGATGGCCCTTGTGGTCTCTTCCAACTCTATGATTCTATGATTCTATGATATCAAAATAGCAGTTGGCAGATTTACACTTTTCCTTCATACACACCCCCTTTTAACTATCAAGCAGCATTGTGAATTTTATGTTCTCCTCATTAAGCTTTCAGTAGCCCAATAAACATAATTAATCTGTTCTTTTCAAGATAAGCTTACTGATTAAATTCTCAACTCTGAGCAGTTGGGAAGCAGCCATTCTGCATATTGTTACACAGCTATGCACGTTAATCACACCCACCCTTAATATTACTGAAAGAAATGTGATATTTGCTGGTACAGGTATATGTCACAGTAATGAGAAAGATTTTAATCTCGTTGTGCTAGAACAAGTTACGGGAGGAAGAAAGCAGCAAAGACCCAGGGACAGGTGAAATTGCAAGAGTGTGTATGTGAAGCCCGCTGCATTATGCCAACCACAACTGCTGAAACACTTGAGAATCTTTTATATTTCAGCCCTACTTGCTTAAAGAAAACCCCATCGTTCAAGCACAGCAATATTAATGAACAAAATGGGCCAGTTGGCTCCATCAGGGCAACGGAGTTGGATTTCTAAGCTGCTTGTCTGCTTTGTGCTGGTGATGGAGGCAGCAGAAGGAATGCCGGGCCAGTTGGCCCTTCGATTTTGTGCCCTGTTATGAAGTAGGTGGTTTTGGACAGGGGAGGAGGGCGTTGTCAGCTCACCTGCTTTATGGTGGTTGTAGTATTAGCAATGAGGACTTGGGGGTTGTTTTGGGGTGAAAGAGGAGGGACTGCCTTGTTGCTCACTTGTGCTTTTGGCAACAGAGATAGGAGTTACTGCACAGTTGCCTGCCTTATTTATCTCACCCAACCACCAACCCAATTTCTCCTGTCCTCCTATTGCCTTTATAAGCCTGTTGTTGACTTTGGCAAAGAAAAGGCCATGTGTCACCTCCATCCAACCTCAAAAGTCTACTTATTACCCAAAATTCCCCTGAAAACCTAGAAGAGAGATGGCCTCTTTCCAACGGGCTGTATCTGTTCTTTCTAAAACTATCCCTCATGCAAGCTTGCTCCCTTTTCTCTTCTGTGCCATGTCATCCTTAGACTGTAAGCCTGCAAGGCAGGGATTGTCTTGCTTATCTTACTCAGTTTTATGTGCTTTGTAAATTATAAACCTTCAGTTCCTTAACAGCTGGACTTTCTACCTTCATGGACAAAAATAATCCACCGGTAAAAAGGTTCTGATGGTTCCAACTCCTGTTCCTATTTCATGTCATTTTTCCACCAGAATTCTTCCCTAACTCATACTTTCCAGTTGTCTATATGATTATGCCATTGCAGCATGTTCCTATAAGGAAGTAGGAGAGCGACGGCAGGTTTATAAAACTGGGAATAAATGGGAGTGGACCATGTGCAAATACCTTGCAGAGAGATAGATGCTTGCTCACCTGATAAGGGCAGGGTATGTGATACTCTTTGCACCGTTCCTGTATCCACGTCGTCTCCCACACACCTCGGTAAGCTTGCTCATAAAAATAGCAGCCAATCACAACCAGGAGTGGCACGAGGTAGAGGACGCTGAAGACACCGATCCGGATCATGAATTTCACCAGCTTGTCCTGGTTCTCCTTCTCTAGAGGAATTTCAATACGAACCCGATTTAAAGAGATGATGCCGGCGAGTAGCAGAGAGACCCCAACCACCACATACAGGCAGAGGGGAGCAAGGACAAAGTATCTCAAGGCATCCACGTCATAGAGGCCAACAAAGCACACGCCGCTGATGTTGTCGCCTTCGATTTTGTTCATCGCTAGGAGGATGATGGTGAGGGTCCCTGGGATGCCCCACGCACTGGCGTGGAAGAGGAGGGCTTTCTTCTCAATGGCTTCGCTGCCCCACTTTGGCACAGCTGCCAGGAACCAAGTAATGGTAAGGATCACCCACCAGACACTGCCAGCCATGGTAAAGAAATAGAGCACCATGAAAAGCATCGTGCACGCTTTGTTGTGGGAGCCCTGAGTCACCGTGGAAGCCTTGTACGTGGTGGGGCTGGAGGCATTGCAGGCCACCCGGTCCTCTAGCAGAAAGCCAATGAAGAAAATGAGCGATACCATCATGTAACAGACGGCATAAAAGATGATGGGCCTTTCTGGGTAGCGAAACCTCGTGACGTCAATCAAGAAAGTCAAGAAAGTAAACAAGGTGGCCGAAAGGCAGACAATGGAGATCACACCAATGAAGTATCGTGCGAAAGAGAGCTCTTCGCGCCTGAAATACATATTCGGGCAAGGAGGGGAACAGTCCCGTACCCGCAGGAATGTGTAGCCCAGATCCGGGTCGATTTTCAACTCTCGGGGGCACCAGAAGCCGTAATCTCTTTGCACTGCCACTGGTGCTTCTTCCGTCACTTCCCCAACTACATTGAGATCGACAAGGCGAGGGTAAGGCTCATCACAATCCGGGAACCTAGAATGGCAAGAAAGGAGAAGCTGCTGTTGGACACACACATTTTACTAATGTCAACAAAAAAATCATGCGGCTTCCTTGGCCCTAAACCAGAATAGCCTTGGAGGAGTAACAAAATGCTGTATTAGAGTATTTTAATATATATTTTTTGGAAGCCCCCAGAGTGGCTGGGGAAGCCCAGCCAGATGAGCGGGGTACAAATAATAAATTATTATTATTATTATTATTATTATTATGAATGGAGAGGAGGAGATGTTGTCGCCTCAAGGTTTTGAGACAGGCTGTATACCTAAGAATCAAAGTAACATCCTGACACTGTAGTCTGGGATTCTTGGACATCGCTTTTAAACTTGTTTTTAAACTTTGATTTCTACTGATCATGTTAATGTTTGTATTCTTGGCAAACTGCTTAGAGGTCTTATTTAAAATTAAGCAGTATACACATTTTGTTAATTAAAATAAATCAAATCAGTCACTTTGACCAACTTTTATTTAGCACACTTCACTGTTTTTACCAATACATATGATCTTCAATCCTCTGACTCCTTACTACAAGTACCTCTCCTATCTATTAGATGGTCTCCATCAGGTTTCCCAGGCCTTAGACCAGCACTTTGCCCACTGGACGGCCTGCATGTGAACAAGAGGAAGAGTGTAGGACAGCAGATGGACAGTAAAACTTCATGCTGGACTTGAAGAGAAGTGGGCAGAATGGACTGAGAGGCTTTATGTCTCTATGGCTTTATGACTGAGAAGGTCTCTCTCTGGAGCCAAGCTTAGGGCAAACAACAAAAGATGACTCAAGTTCACTGCAAAGCAGAACAGAACATTGGTTGTCTGGTCTCCTGTAGATTATGACCAGCTTTCTTGACTTTTTGAACATAATCTAAGAGCCTTTTCTTGTATCTTAGCCAAATGAGGAAAGAGAAAAAGGAGAGATGCAAAAATAACACAAGAAGCCAAGTTGTCCTTGTGGCCAGAGTGATTATTCTCACTCTAATGCCTTTATTAAGCTAGTAAAGCCTTTCTAGTCTGTCTCAGCTGCCCTGTGTATGCATTGTTTGTGTTCTTTATGTGCCATGACACCTTTACTTGGCATATTCTCCTTTTGAACGAAAGCAAAAAAAGATTTGAGATTACTCAATTAAAGTAGGGAACATGCTCAGCTGGTTTGAAGACTGAACAATTGTTTTGTCATTCACCATGCCGTCACCTTTTTGTCTGAAAGGGGCAAGTTGGCTTGTGGGGAGAAAAAAATGAAAAGGAAGATTGGAACAGGAATTTTCAAGTGTTTGACGAGACTCTGAAATGTAGTAGCCTCTGCCTGCTGGGTAGGAACCCAGTCAAAGCAGGAGAGTTACTGTGGGTCACTTAGTTGGTTTAGTGTCCAGAAAAGGGAGGGACGGGGCGTACAGCACTAAGGCTGAAAAACAAAGTAATTTTATAATTCCTGGAACGTGTTAAAATCTGTAGGTGGCCGTTTAAAAACACACACAAATCCAGAGGATTTCTCACCTGCTGCACTCCATATCCTCTGACCAGGACACACCAAACATCTCCATGAGTTTTGAACACTCACTGTAGGCTCGCTGGCAAATTCTGCGACACGGGAGGGAGACTCTGCCATACTCCATGCAAACAGGAGCATAGAGAGCACACAGGAATGGCCGAAAGTCCCGGGAGCATTCAAGGTTCACCATTGGGTGGAATGGCTATGAAGAGAAAACAAAATTAAATAGCTCCAAGCCACCATTTCAGATTCCGTCTTGTGAAACAGCCTGGGTGGTTATCATAATATAAGATCTCATAATCTCTGCCCAGCTTTTTCAGGGTGGGGAGGAACAGATCAAATATGACAGATAATTCTGGCAACAGACTGCACGGAATGCCAACACAAATATTTGCTCAATGCCATCGTAACGCACTTTCCCTTTGCTTGGTGGACTTGCACCTTCAGAGGTCACCACACAAATCATGGGCCACTGAGCTGAATAAGCCCACCAGACAATCGCTTGAAACCACATCCTCATCCCACCCATTAGTAGCCCTTTGAATTTATCAAGCCCCTGATGGCCACCAGACATGGCTGATGAGCTGCATTTTGTTTAAAGGTAAAGGTAAAGGGACCCCTGACCATTAGGTCCAGTCGTGACCGACTCTGGGGTTGCGGCGCTCATCTCACTTTACTGGCCGAGGGAGCCGGCGTACAGCTTCTGGGTCACATGGCCAGCAGGACTAAGCCGCTTCTGGCAAACCAGAGCAGAACACAGAAATGTCATTTACCTTCCCGCCAGAGCGGTACCTATTTATCTACTTGCACTTCGATGTGCTTTCAAACAGCTAGGTGGGCAGGAGCAGGGACCGAGCAACGGGAGCTCACTCCGTCATGGGGATTCGAACCGCCGACCTTCTGGTTGGCAAGTCCTAGGCTCTGTGGTTTAACCCACAGCGCCACCCACGTCCCGCGCATTTTGTTTAGCAAAGTACAAATTATACAGGCCTAGTTTAATAAGAAATGTCAATTCACAGGGCAGATCTGGTAGGTACACTGGTGCCCATGGGCACTGTTTTGGTAATCCCTGACCTATTTCTATGGCAAAAGCACCACAGATACACAACACTATTCACTATGTCGTGCCAGACATACACGTTCAGGCAGCTAGAAATGTAACTCTATAGATCAGTTCTTATATGTTAAAGTATTTTCTAAGATGCTACCCTTCCTTGGTGGGACAATGTAAGTAGTAAATCTGAATTCACCCTGAGGCTATCCTAGACATTAAGCTGCCAAGTATTCAATTTTTAGATAGGAGCAGAAAAATATGGCACATTCCTTATGAATTAAAGAGATGAGAGCAGGGGTGTAAAAAGAAACCAAATCAACAATACATGCTTGTTTAAGTTAACACTGCTATGCTACAGTTTGCTGTATAAAAACCAGATACAATACTATAAAGAAACAGATGCTATAAATCATGTTTTTAAAAGAGGTTGGATGGCCGTCTGCCATGGATGCCTTAGTTGAGATTCCTGTATTGCAGGGGGTTAGACTAGAGGACCCTTGGGGTCCCTTCCAACTCTAAGATTCTAAGTAATACATAGTTGGAGTGCTGTAGTAGATAAATAGTGTGTTTGGTTTAGATTGGGAAAGACTTAGGTTAATTAGAAGGATGTTGGATAGAAATTAAGAGGTTTTTAGCTGTAATGCTTTAAGAGATATGAAAAAAAAAGGTTAACAATTGGGTAAAAGATTAATGGTAAGGATTTGCTGAACCAACAAACTGAATTGGAATACAAAGAAGGGAGGTATGAGGAGGTCTGGGGAAATAAGAGTAAGGAAGATAGGCTATGGAACATTATTGTGTTTTTAACTGTTTTATTTTGTATGTTTTTTCTTACTTTTTACTTTTTTTCTGTAATCTATACTTTTCTCTTTGTTTTCTGTATTTTTGTGAAACTTTAATAAATATCATTTAAAAAAAAAAAAAAAAAGACTTAGGTTAAAATTCCCACTCAGTCAAGGAAATCACAGGGTGGCCTTGAGCAAGTCACTATCTCCTACATTAATCCTATCCTACCTCCTCAAGGAGTGGTTGGGAGAATGTGATAAGCCAATGTATACCACCCTGAACTCCTTGAAGGAAGGGTGTGATACAAATACGATGTGATAAGTCAGTTCCCCGCACCCCAATACTACAATAAGCTGTCTAGACATAAAAAGTAATGAGACACACATGCTGTCAGCGACTGCTACGGTTACCAGTGTCCCCAGAGGAAGTGAACATATGCAAATGAGTACATGATATTAGTGTATGCAGATTTTTAGTTGGCAGTCACCTATGAAAGCAAGCACCAGGAAGCCATTTGATCACTCTCTCCCTTTGGAGAAGGGTGGTGTGGGGGAGGGGACAACATCCCCTCCGAAATTTCTGATGGCAAGTGCTCTTCCACTTAATGTCATTCCAGCTCCAAAGCTGGAAGAGGGAAAGTTTCATACATAGCCTCTAGAACAGCCTTTCTACAGATCCGGACTACAACTCCCATCAGCCACAGCACCAGAGAGCAGTCCTGGCTGGGGTGATGGAAATTGTAGTCCAGGCTCAACTATGTAGTTCCATTAGCTGCAGCCAGCACAAGGCCTTATACTAGCGCAACCAGACTCCTGTGCTCCCCCTCATGCCCCCCCTATTGGCTCTGGGGAATCAGGGAAAAACCCAAAACAGTGTGCAGAAGGAGAGGGGAAGGTCACTCCACTGAACAAGCCGAAATGCTTCTGTTGAAAGAAAGCAACCTTGAATTCCTCCCTGAGTTGGCAAAGACACTGTATTAAACAGAGCTGCATTATGGAGGCCCTGGACTGAACTGCCTCCCGCTATTAAATCTTCAAGAACCAGAAACTTTTTCAGCACGGATGGGGAAATTCTACTTGTCAGAGATGACAAATGAATGGCCATTTGTAAGTCAGGTGCCATGTGGTGCTAACCCTTGCAACTATGGCAGACATGCTCATACTGAAATAGCCTTGGTCCATAACCCCCAAGATTTCTCTCTCATGTGTGTGTGTGGGGGGGGGGTACCATGCAAGCCTGGGAGCTGGGTGGAGAGAAAGAAAGACAGAATAGTCTTCTAGTAGCTTAAAGAGAGACTTAAAAGCAGACATCATGCAACGAGAAGCATAGCTACAAAAGCTGCAATCAGGAAAAGCATACGTCTCTACTGATGGGATTGAGCCGTGCAAAAGAGCTTTCCTCCTACATTTTTAATTCATTCTCCCTTACTATTAGTGACAGGGTGGAATTCATGTCTCATTTTGTTATTCTAATGAACATGATGCCTGCACTTTAGAACAGGACTGTTGCCTCTACGTTACCCTAGTAACTATTTGAATTTGAAAGGGGGGAGGGAAAAGAATTCTGATCAGGAACTGAGCCTGGCATTCCTTTGTCTTCTACTCTACGACAGAACTATGATGGTCTCTGGAGGTTGTATATAGCCGGCTCCTTTCGCCAGCCCTCATATTTCCTTCCACAGTGAAGAAAAAGCCTCAGGATATACAAGTCAAGCATCCAGGAACCCCCTACCACCTATTTTTCTCATGGCATGAACCTATTTGTTTAGGCTTAGATACAGTATATGTGATCAACATTAGGTTGATCTACACACAACTGCTCATGTCTAGACAAGCAGAGCTGATAGATAGATGGGAATTAGGGGATATAAATTAAGAAGGATTTTTCCCCTGCACCTACTAGGGACGGACTTCGGTAACCTTTCGTAATATGGTGCCATGCGCATGGCCAAAATTTGGCACCCCAAATTATGCATTTTGCGCCACCTTGGCTTAGCACCTTGTGCAGGGAAACTGCCTGAACCACCCTAAATCTGGTCCTGCACCCACCCACGGCCCCCTCCTGCACTGGATCTATGGATTCCGAACTTCAGGGGAAAACCTCTTTTGTCAACACAGAAAGGTGAGCTGTGATCTAAAAAGGAAAGCTATGGAGTAGTATCTGGGGAGCAGCGTTCTGGCTGTAAAAGGAACAAAAGCCTCTATAAAGTCAAAGAAACAATTTTTATTAAAACTCAAGGCGTTTGCTGTTCGCTGCCTCTGACACGACCACTTTTGTTCCATAAGCCTCAAGAAACAGCAAATATAAATAAGTTAGCAAACGCGAAAGTTGCTTCCCTGCTGATAAATTGTAGGTTTGGGCAACATGGAGATGAAGTACAAAGGAGCCTTCCTCCTTCATTCACATTCAGATTAACAAGGCCTGTGTGTTCTATTCACACTGTGGCCCCTCCTCTCTCGGAGTTTCATCCCCATTGCCATGGTAACCCTACACCCACAGGCTTTGAAGCATAGCAACAGGCCAAGCTCAGCGAGGAGTGTGAAAAGGGGAGAGAGTCAAAGGGCACAATTTGGCTCCGGGGAATCAGAATGCCAACCTTTGTCCCAGCACAAAAGGCTGGAATCCATAGGAACAGTCCTTTTGCCAGCAGAGAAAGGGGTTTGCTAATATCATGGCCAGAGACATGATATGGGAAACAGAGGCAAAGGTGCCAGGGAAGGCACAGGTGTGCAGATATGCACGTCCCATGAATTTTATTGCTTTTTCTGCCATTTCAGCAAATCATATGTATATATATAGAGAGAGAGAGGGTGCTTTATGTAAATCAACCAGCTACTGGAGAGGTAAGCTGTTTGGAAGCAAAGCAAGGATCACTGTTGGGCTGAACGGTGGGGATGTAATAGTAATAGTAATAATAATAGTAATAATAGTAATAATAGTAATAATAATAATAATAATAATATAGTTATACCCCACCCATCTGGCTGGGTTTCCCCAGCCACTCTGGGTGGCTTCCAACAAAATATTAAAATACAATAGTCTATTAAACATTAAAAGCTTCCCTAAACAGGGCTGCCTTCAGATGTCTTCTAAAAGATCTAAGTTTAATGGGGGGGGGGCTGCCCACACCCCCTGCATTCAGCTCACTTCCTAATCAAGGAGTAGCTCAGAAAAACTGAAAGGCCATTATGAAGAACAAAAATAGTAAGTGGTTTTTGTCAGCCGAAAACTAGAGTCCAGTTCTACCTGGGGCTAATGAAAACTTGGATGCTTCACCTGGCATAGAATACAGCTCCCCACCAGTCACAGTGGCAATAACTATGTATTTCAAAATGCAAAACTGCCATTGCTGCAAAGGGAGAGAGAGAGAGAGAAAGAAAGAAAGAAAGAAAGAAAGAAAGAAAGAGGGAGCCTGGTCGCAACCAAAAAGAAAGTCTTGCATTGCCTCCATTCATCCATGGAAGTTTTTTTACTGGTGCATTTATAGCCAGTGAAACCGCAATAGTGCTCCTACGCTTGGGCCCTCTTTGCGGGTTTTGTAAAGGTTGCTCACTGTGAGAACAAGATGCTTGACTAGATGGGCCACTGGCCTGATCCTGCAGCCTCTTATGTTCATCTTTTCTAACACAGCATAAGTTCCCTGCTGTTAAGCCTCTCCTAGACATTTGAATTAACCATAATACCAAGCCATCTGCCTGGGTGACCCCAAAAAACAAAGTCAGTACGCATAAATTAAAAAGGAAAAATGGCAACAAACCCACCACATTCTAGAAGTAAAATCCCCCAAAGCAGTCTTTAAAAACATTTAGCAAAATGTCTAATTGTTCATTATTTACCTGCTATGCTTGCATGCAATACTGTTTACTGCATTTCTCAAGTGACATTTTACTATATGGGCACAAAGCAGGAGCAAGAATACCCTCTTTAATTCCTTGCAACGTGAGGGGGGGAGAGCACAACTGAGCCAAGATTATGAGAGAAAGTCTAACTGTTCTAACATCAAGGAAAATGCAGGACACCAGTGGGAGCAGACAGAGTGTAGCTGCTGGTTTGTCAACTGGGGGGACGAAGGCCCTCCATCTGAAGCAAGAAGAGCTTCATAAGAAGATACGTTTCTGTCTTTCCCTCAAAATGTGCAGGGAGAATCTACCTCACTAAACCACCTTTTCCACAGCTTGTCTGCTCTTGATGTTGATCATTCTGCTTAAATGTTCAAATCCATACCTACTTAATACTGAGCTATTACTTTTAAATGGATAACACTGTAAATATTTGAAAACAGAAAAGCATACACATATTTTCTTTTCTCTAGGTTAAACCCTGGTTCCTACTACAAACTTTCATTGAACTCTATCACAGCTCCCCTCTCCATATTTTTGTCAACAGCTGAATAGGTAGTTAGAAAGATAAACTTAATTCAATGACATAGGTACAACATTAGCTAGATGAGTTTTTCTGTATGATAAGCTCTTCCACAGAGGGAGTATGGTGGAGCAGGGCAATATTCAGTGAGACCATCAGCAAATTTATCACATATTTCAAGAGACGAGTGAATGCTGAAACATACAGGGTTGTTTTTTTTAAATTTGTAAGTCAATGCATATCTTCTTAGCACCCTGATCAATGTTGGACAGCTCCTACTTCCTCTGCTTCTACAATTTGGACAGCTCAATCTGACCAATACGCCAGAATTTAAAGAAACTAGTCAAACAGAACTGTGCCTCTGCTTAGGAAAGAGTTGCTTTCAGTAGCTCCAAGAGACAGTGTTACTCTGTGTGCCTCAGGATCAGACTTGGAGGTGTACGGGGGGGGGGGGTCCCCCACCTCAAATTCTCCAGCAAACCGTATTTGGCGTTGATATAACTCAAAGTACAAGCTTAAGCCCACATCTGAATCATGAAATCATTGAGCTGGAAGGGACCCAAGGGTCATCTACTCCAACCCCTTGCAATGCAGGAATCATCTGAAACTATTTGAGGCTGCCAACACATTATAGGGGAACTCTGGAATACAAGAAACTGATAACCTTAGGTAAAACAACGAAATACCAGTTTTAATATGATGACAGAACAAAAAAATGGACAAAGAAACAAGGTGGATGGGAGGCCTTTGTAATTTTCAACATTCCACTTCTACTGATAACCAGATTTCACCACAGCAGCTTTTGGTAACTCTTGAGAGTAAGAAGAAGATACTGTTACCGTAAGCCATACACTAGAAGAAATAATGCATCCTATGCAGACAGAAATTCAAGGGCAGAAAGAAGGATAAATGTGACATACCTTACTTCCCAAACTAAGTTAACTGATGCTAACTATTTTATCCTGGAAAGGAAACCTCCCTAATTATGGTATCACAACAGCTCATCCAACTACTAGGGCGGATGCCACACAGAGTGGGAATCAAAAGAATAGAAAATAAAGGCCTGCCCAACCTTTATAGAGACTTTAGTAACTTTTGATCAAAATAAGGAGACAGCACAGACTTGAAACCAGAGAGAAATTACAAAGATGTGGAGAGATATTGTTGCAGTATTGTTAGTATATACAAATTAGGCCTCTGTAAGATACAAGTAATGTACTTTGAAAAATGACAAGGCCTACTAGAGGGTTGGAATAGATGACCCGTGAGATCCTTTCCAACTCTACAATTCTATGATTCTATAATAGTCTGGATGAGGGAGCCATTTCAATAGTTAAGAAGTTCTGAGGAAGTATGATTAAAAATATCTGCCCACCATATAAGATTGCTCTACAGAAGCTGAAGAAAAACTGTGTCATTCTCAGCACTGCTTGGTGGGGCACAAGAGGCCTTTGGGTGTAGACTAGACCCACATTTTAACTACTAAAATTATACTGTAGAACAGAAGGTAATTCTCATGCTTTGAAGGCCAACATAACAAGGATATTGTTCTGTTTAATTCAAAATAGAATTTGGGGAACTTTCATTTGTAATAACATACACTTGTCACTATGTAAGACTATATTGGAAATGGAATATATTTGGAGAAATGTGGCAAATCTAATCTGTAACACAAAGTGCAGGAATATGAAACAGCTAGAGTCTTGATCATAGCAGTGTCTGCAATGCAACAGCAGGATCACTAGCAGGAATATGTATCTTGCAATGGCAATTTCCTTTGAGGAAATTTTCCCCTTTGGGAATGCTCCTAACATTGGGAAGCTTAAAAAGCATGTTCAAAATTACTGGAAGTAATTTATAATCACCCTTTTCCAGTTTACCTAGTGCTCCCCTAAATAAATCAGAAGGCAATCACAACTTCTTGACCCCAAGAAGAAAAGTGTGATTCAAATGAACTGTTATTTTGTACACAGTTTTTGTGTTTGTGCAACAGGGATATACAAATTAAAACCTCGTCTATGTTTACATTTGATCTATTGCAGTGAGCATGATGAAATTATGACACTACAGTCAAATAAAGTTTGGCTACATGCTGAAGTCACCAAGAGCAGACAAAGCCAAGAAAGAATGAAGGCCGTGCCTACTGGAGTAGTCATACAGGTGAGCCCTGCTAATGAGAAGCATGTTGCAGGCAAAAGCAGATGCAATGCTCATAACTCGTGACTGGGGGCGGCCGCTGAGACCACATAACACCTACATTGAAAGACCTACATTGGCTCCCAGTACGTTTCCGAGCACAATTCAAAGTGTTGGTGTTGACCTTTAAAGCCCTAAACAGCCTTGGCCCAGTATACCTGAAGGAGCGTCTCCACCCCCACCGTTCTGCCCGGATGCTGAGGTCCAGTGCTGAGGGCCTTCTGGCGGTTCCCTCATTGCAAAAAGCAAAGCTACAGGGAACCAGGCAGAGGGCCTTCTTGGTAGTGGCGCCCGCCCTGTGGAACACCCTCCCACCAGATGTCAAAGAGAAAAACAACTACCTGACATTCAGAAGACATCTTAAGGCAGCCCTGTTCAGGGAAGTTTTTAATGGGTGACATTTTAGTGTATTTTTGGTCTCTGTGGAAGCCACCCAGAGTGGCTGGGGAAACCCAGCCAGATGGGCGGGGTACAAATAATAAAATTATTATTATTATTACTGATAAGAGGGGCAGCCACTGCACTGAGATAAAAGCTGACATGTGGGCAAATGAGGGGCAAGGACTTCATGGTAGGAGCACTCTCCTCACTGGTTCTTCATCTCTTGGTGTACTTGGAGGAAGGGAAACCTGCTACTGAAGTCGCTCTGAAGTACAGTTGGCTAACCTGTGACCCTTCAGGTGTTCTTCGATTCCAGTTCCCGCAAGTCCCAGCCAGTATGGCCAAAGGTCAGGGATGATGGGAACTGCAGTACAACAGCAGCTGGAGAGCCATACATTAGGCAATCCTGCCCTAAAGCTAAGGAGACCTCAGGCACTTGGCCAAAAACCAGAGGCAACGATTCCACTGCAGCAGAATCATCCACTCTTCATAAACGGACACTCCTGTTCGCCTTTATTGCAACCCTGTCAAGCAGGGAGGGGAGCAGATTTTGCCATGACACTTTGTACCCAAAAGCACGGGGAATCGCTTCTCAACCAACCCACCACCAATTTTCAGGATCAAAAATCCAGGATGAACTACCACCTCAGCACAATTTTTTCTGAATGCCCCCCAGATATAAACATGCCACAAAATTAGTCCCAGACTCAGGGCTGCTATGATGATCCATGATGGCTGTATTTATCTATACCATTCAAAGAACTCGTGTTTTTATCTCAAGGAACTGCTTCAAATACCATTTATTTTAAATGGAAAGCACTTTTGTGTAAAAGAACAGCAGTTCAAACTGCATATGCATATAGCCACCTAATACCACTTTATATGCAGGTTTTATGCTGTTTCGCCATGTAGGTTGTTCATAATGTGTAAAGCGTCCTCAAGAGCACCAATGCACCTCTGTTGTTTTGTGCATTATTCCTGCAAGCAGATGTAGGGAAACTCTTCAATTATTTTTGTACCAAAGGCAATTCCACCACTGTGAATGCTATCGTACATTTAGGTGGATGTTAACTCTTACCTCCATGGCTAGAGCTGCTGTTTGCTGATCATAATGGTTCAAAAGGTTAGGCATAAAAGTGGTGTTGTAAGGAAGATCCTGGCACATCCTCAAGATGATGGGCTCACATGAGAACTGGCTGTGGCCACCTGTGCATCCTATCAGAACAGCCAAAAGCCACAGACAATGGAAGACCCAGCTTGCAGCCATCTTTCTGCAGCAATCATGAGATTCTCCAGATTATTTAGTAGACTTTGCTGGGTACCTGTGCACCACTGTCAGGTTCTTCAGAGACCAAAAGACACTTTGATTCATCCGCATTTCAGGTCTTCATTTTAAGATTCTTCAGAGAAAGGCTGTTTGTTTGCATTGATGCAACTTAGCTGAGTCCCACAGAAGGCTTTCATTCCCAAAGCACTAATAAGGTACTTCATCTTGGCCTTTTGTTTCATATTGCCATGCAAGTTGCATTAGGTCATCAAAGTTGGCTGTCTAACCGCACTCCCAAACAGACCCCATGTTGACAGGCTCTCTTCTTTCATTAAGCGCTCTAAAGACAAAATAATAAAAGTGTTAAAACTGTATTGCTAACCATTCAAAGAAAGTTATTAGTTATGTCTCATGGGCTCTCATATAACTTTGGGAGAAAAGTGCTAAGCACAACTGAAAAATGATAGCAAGAGACTACCACAGCCTGATCAACCAGCACTTGGCTTCTCCTCTCCCAAGCAGAAAGGCACTGTAGAACTATAGTAAACAAATAATAAAATCCAAAGGCAAACCCCACTGACAGAGAGTTTTCTACTGATCATGTGTGCAAGTACACCATACATTTACCAGATATTGCCAAGCTTTCAATCATTCCCAACATGTAGTCTGAAGCTGCAACTGCTCATCATGTCTCAAGATTTATGAGGCTTGATGTTTTTCGCTTTAGCTTTACTACTACCTCCATTTTTTCTAAATAGCTTATGATTTATGGATTACACTTAGGGTAAACTACTATACGGCTATTTCAGAGCAAAATCTCTAGCTGATAGCTGCAGTCTATAGAAGGCAAAGGACTCATATCACCAGGGTCACAGACTGTGAAAACATTTCTTTATGATACAAATGGCAGCTGATTTAGGAGGAAATAGTATTTGATAGAATCATATACTGTACTGTAGCTATAAGGGACTTTGAAGTTCAGCCCTCTGCTCAATGCAGATCTGCAATGCAGGATGAAACTAAAACATCCCCGACAGATAGCCACACAGCCTCTGCTTAAACCCTTTTAGAAAAGGAAAGCCCATCACCTCCAGCTTTTACTATTGGGCAGTTTCTCCTAACGTTTAGCCAAAATCTACTTCCCTGCTGCTTCCACCCATGGCCTCCAGTTGTGCCTTCTGAAGCAAATGGGAACAAGTCTGCTTCTTTTTTCGCATGGCTGCCCTTCAGATATATGAAGACAGCTATAACGCCTCCCCTTAACCTCTTCTTCTCCAGCTAAACAAAGCCAGCTCTTTCAACCAATACCTCGTGGGACTTGGGTTTCCAAGCCCCTCACCACCCTAGTCACTTTCCTCTGAATATGCTTCAAGGGCTTTCAAGACTTGATTATTTTGGCAAAGTTTGGCTATTTTGGACAACACAAACAATTCATCACTGTCAAAGATTTTAAAAACCTATATTAAAAGTAGTTTCCCAAGAAGAAAAGAACACAGGAGGCAGTGGCAATATGGAGGCAATCCAAGAAATATTTGGATTGAGTCTGACCACACAGATATCTTAACTACAATTAATAAATGCTGGTGATCTATGGGTACCCCCCAATTTTACTTTCCTTGGGTGTTAACTCGGTTTCTTCTCACTTGACTTTTGTACTGTTTTTAAACACAATATAGCAACCATGAACAAACCATCTTATGCAAATAAAGATTTACCATACCAAAATCTTAATCATCCTCTATATACTAACCTAGATCATTTATGGCACTTAAATCATAACAAGAGAACAAGCTAACTAGTTACTATACACTTGCATTTTCAACCAATTGAATGCAAGCCTGCCACTTTCCTAAACTTACAAAAAGAATTATTGCAAGTGTAAACAGAGGTGACTAACAAAAATGAATAAATAACAATCATGATAAATTTCTAGAATTTTTGAAGAGAATTTATTTACCGCCCAGAAAGATCTGCTCACTCAACACAATCCTTAACTGCTGCAAGATTTTAGCAGCTCAATGGCAAAGTGCTATCTGCAGTAATTATTCCAACGGCTGTTTCAGTACAAAAGAAGACAATCCCTCTGAATCTATTCCAATGATTATAGTCAGATTTCTAATTTTTAAACCATCCTACCCTGAAGATTCATACTGTCCCCACCCCCATCCTTCTGATCCCCACTATGTCCAGGAAGGGGTAACACAACAACTGCAGACTTTAATCTAACCTTTGGGCCCTTGTCTTAATTCTAAAGAGGAAAGAAAAGCATGGCACATGGAAGCAAGGAGAGGATAATCTTTTGCAAGGAATGCAGATGGTAGGCATTTTTTCACCCCAACTGCACCAACAAGGGAAAAAGAAATCCACACTAAACTGTCATTGCTGCAACGGAGTAGGCTTCTCTTACCTCTCCAGGGAAATATGTGTCCCGTATACTGGGAGGAGATTCACTCTCTATACTGCCATGTATTGAAGTGGAGAGGTTCTCCATCATCCCTCCCCCATCAACACAACGCTCCTACAAATTATAAGAAACACAAAAGGTTTGACCACACTGCATTCAGCGCCTATTCCTGCAAGGAGAGCTCCAGTCTCTTTACTCGGCTCTGGATATTTAGTACTTCAGTTTACTTAGAGAGAAGCATTTTGCCTCCATTGTTGCAGGGGAGGTGGTGAAGCAGGAGAGAACACATTAACAAAACTCCTTTGCTTTTGGGATCCTCCAAGGGAGCAGTGAGGATGCAGGGGAGGCGGAGCTGATATCAGCAAAATTGGGACACCTTTTAAGGAGTCTTAAAAATATAAAAACTGCCCTGTTGGATCAGACTATCCTAGCCTTTCTCAACTCAGTGCCCTTCTTTACTTAAGGGACAGCCTTGCCCCATTGGTGCCCATCTGACCACTTTACTCCTTAGAACTTTCATAAATGCTACGTAATGTGGGTTCTGCATTTGTGAGCTCAACTTCTAGTATGGAAGTACCTTTGGAACTCCCTGCCTCTTGACACTTGACAGGCACCCTAACTATTGTTTTAGGCACTTTCTGAACACTTACCTCAGCAAGTAAATATCCTTTAGTTACCTATATACGTTTTACATTTTTGGCTGACATTTTCTGTGCCTTAATGATAACTATTTTACGAATATCTGTTCAATAGTATTGCAGATTTTAGCTGTGTTTTATTACAATGTTATTATGTACACAGCTCTTTGATTAAGCAACTTTATGCATCTTTCTCAATATACTAATGAGTGTTTTAAAGACTATAACTTCCGCCAGCCTCAGACATAATAGGTGTTGCAATCCAACATATCTGGAGGGTGCATGGTTGGCGGAAAGGCTAGGTTTCTGCCTAGACCAGCATTCAGTTTGCAGTAGTAATCCGCCCAAAGGGAAGTCCAGGATGCAATGAAGACAGTAGAGGCTCTCCTCTGCTGCCACCACCCATCTCCTTTCTTTTGGGGGAAGAAGGTGGAAAACAGTGTCCCCTTAGTATTCATTCATTCATTCTGGTTTCCCCCCTCATACATGAAGGTGGTTTAAAACCCCTACTTCTCAACAGGGTCCTTTAATTGCCAACACTTTCTCCGAAGTAACACCTCCCTTGAAGGCTGGGAACCTCCCCGGCTTACCCCACAAAGCACAGCGCCATGGCTATGAAAGCGAGCCCCGCATAACTAGTATTTCAGTGCCTGTACATGTGTTTCGGGGGGGGGAGGGTTGGTCAGAAAATAAGGAGGAAATTATCAAAACACCTCTCTTCTCTCTCTCCGGCTGATGAGGAAGCAGCAGAGCAAGCTAAAGCGCATTAATTACTAATAACGAGGGCCTGAGTCTTCATCAGTCATCACAACCTTTTTGTTTTGTTTCAACCTTATTATGCTCATTAGTCTATATTAACTTACGGCTAAGCTGCCTCGCAGGCCCTCGATCAGACAGAAGAAGAAAAGGGGGGGGGGGAGAAGCAGGATATAAATAATGTTTAATTATAACATAATTATCAGCTGCAGTTTCAGCAGGCCACCTACCCGGCCCCAACCTATGCAATGCAGGGGGAAGAGGGCACAATGCAAAAGAGGAGGAGGAGGAGGAGACCCTCCCCTCCCTAATCCTTCTTTGGGTGAGGAGGGGGGTCTCCCTCCTACACACCAACCCCCTTCCCCCTCCTAAAAAAGACATGGCCTGAAAAACACCCACCCAGTTCCTCTGTTTTAACCCTTTTCAACCCTCAAAGCCCACCCCCCCTTTGACCTGGACACAATACCAGGAGGGAGGCAGGGGTGCCAACTTGAATAAAATATGGGGGGGGGAGGGAGGAGAGCAGGTAAGCACAGCCCCACATAACTGATCCCATATGTTGTAAATAACATTTCCAACAAAAACAGTAAAATGTAATTGATCACATGACATGACACACATACACGCAATTTGAATGGCACTGCCCCTCAACTTTGGAGGGGGAGGGGGCAGACCCCTCAAATATTTTATGGGGGGGGTAGGCCAAAGGGGCATTGGGCCCTTGGAAGGCGGTTCCTATGTTGGTGGTGGGGATGCGAATCCCACCCACCCACATCAAAAAAACAAACCTCATCGCCCCCACGCGCGGGTGCGTTTGAGGAAAAAATAAGAAAAAAGGAGGACAGGGTGGGGGGCGCTCCTATGAGGAAATCCTGCCATGAAACACCCCCCCCCCTTTCATTGTCTTTTAATGCGGGTGGGAGGTGAAGGGGTCGCGCGTGCGCGCGCAGGTGTGAGGAAGCCGATCCTCTCGGGGGGGGGGGAGGTCCCTGACAGGAATTTTAACCCCCCCAAGAAAAGAAGTGTGAGGCGCGCCCCTCCCCCCCTTCACTGAGGTGATTTGAGCCTCTTTTATTTCTCTCCCCCCCCCCCGCCCGTTACCTGAGCGCGTCCCTCAGGCGGCGCTGACCGGCCCTTCCTCGGCGCGGCGGCTGAAGGGGCCCGAATGAAGGAGCCTCCGCCTCCGAGGCCGCCGCCTTCCGCCCCGCCCCCTCGCGGGGAGGGCGGGGCGCCGAGAAAAAAGCCAGCCAATTGCGCCCCAGCCTCCGACATCACCCCCGCCCGGTTGCTAGGTAGAAGGTGAACGCCAGAGCGGGACGGCGGCTTCTGATAGGCCGCCGCCGCCGCCGCCGCCGCCGCCGCCAGGCAACGGTTTCCATGGCGAACGGGACCGACTCGCAGGAGGCGGCGGCGGCGGCCTTGTCAACTCGCATCGCCTCAGGTGGGAAGAAGCAAGCGGGCAGACACGTGTCGAGAGCGCCGGCTGGGGGGGGCAAGGTGGGCGGAGAGGAGCGGCGAGAGTTCAGGTGAGGGGCCTGCGCGCCGCACGCGGGTCGGGAGTGGGGGGGGGGAAGGCACGTGTGAATGCGTGTGCGCGTGTCGCTGCGGCCCTTGAGGCCCGGCAAGGAGGGGCAGGCAGGGAGGTGCCTTCGTTGGCTGCGAGGAGCTTCGGGGTGGCTCCTGGGCAAGGTAAAGCGACTAGCAGACGCCATTGGTGATAATAATAGTAATAATAATCATTTTAATTCACGGGCCCAATAGCGCTCAGGCTTTTCGAGGCCCTTGTCAAGCTGGCTTGAAGAAGCAGCTTTGGGGGACTTGGAAATACGCATGCCGTTTCATTTTTGGCATTTCTGTCAGACAGCTATTGGAAAGGAAATTTTGAATTTATTTATTGCATTCAAATGCTGCCTTTCTCCCTCCATGGCCTAGCTATCCCCCTCTCTCTCTGTGTGTGTGTGTGTATGTGTGTGTGATTTTGTGTGTGTTTGTATATATATGTATATGAATATGACACACCTGCGACTTTCCTAGAATGAAGTAAAGGTAAAGGGACCCCTGACCATTAGGTCCAGTCGTGGCCAATTCTGGGGTTGCGGCGCTCATCTCGCTTTATTGGCCAGTCATGTGGCCAGCAGGATGAAGCCGCTTCTGGCGAACCAGAGCAGCGCACAGAAACGCCGTTTATCTTCCCGCCGGAGTGGTACCTATTTATCTACTTGCACTTTGACATGCTTTCGAACCACCGACCTTCTGATCGGCAAGTCCTAGGCTATGTGGTTTAACCCACAGCGCCACCCGCGTCCCATTAGAATGAAGTAAGGTAAAGGTAAAGGTACCCCTGCCTGTACGGGCCAGTCGTGTCCGACTCTGGGGTTGTGCGTCCATCTCACATAAGAGGCCGGGGGCCAGCGCTGTCTGGAGACACTTCCGGGTCACGTGGCCAGCGTGACGAAGCTGCTCTGGCGAGCCGGCACCAGCGCAGCACACGAAAACGCCGTTTACCTTCCTGCTAGAAAGCAGTTCCTATTTATCTATTTGCACTTAGGGGTGTTTTTTAACTGCTAGGTGGGCAGGAGCTGGGACCGAAAGACGGGAGCTCACCCCGCCGCGGGGATTCGAACCGCCAACCATGCGATCGGCAAGCCCTAGGTGCTGAGGTTTTACCCACAGCGCCACCCTCGTCCCCTAGAATGAAGTACCACCTCCTAAAATGGATTCTAAAAAGAACATGGCAGACCCACTGAAAATGCTCATGGATGACTAGTGGAAGAGGCTTCCACAAGCTGCCGAGCTTAGTGCCCAAACCTGGTGCCTGTAAAAGGTAAAAGGTAAAGGACCCCTGGATGGTCCAGTCAAAGGTGACTATGGGGTTGCAGCACTCATCTCGTTTTCAGGCCGCGGGAATGGCATTTGTCCACAGACAGTTTTCTGGGTCTTGTGGCCCGCAGGACTAAACCGCTTCTGGCGCAATGGGACACCGTGACGGAAACCAGAGCGCACAGAAACGCCGTTTACCTTCCTGCCGTACCTATTTATCTACTTGTACTGGCTTGCTTTCAAACTGCTAGGTAGGCAGGAGCTAGGACAGAACAACAGGAGCTCACCCCGTTGTGTGGATTCGAACCGCCAACCTTCTGATCGGCAAGCCTAAGAGGCTCAGTGGTTTAGACCACAACGCCACCTGCATCCCTTACCTCTACCTTTTACCTGGTGCCTGTACAGGCGCTGCAGTCCAGACAGGTCCCTTGATTAATTTCCAGCCACTTAACATTTAGAATCCAGTAATTTAAAGTTTCCCCACCAATATACCCCAACAGAAGGAATGTGGCCACTGAGCCAAGTGTGGGGGTTAAAAAAAGAATATTGCAGACAAATTAATGGCGGAAAGGGCTCTCGATGGCTACTAACCAGGACGGCTGTTCAATGTTTCTGAATACCAGTTCCTGGAAACCACAGGAAGGTAGAGTTGTTCTTGTGCTCAAATCCTTGCAGGTTTTCCACAAGCATCTGATTGGCTACTGTGAAAAGGGGATGCCGGATTGGGTGAGCCGCTGGCCTGATCCAGAACTTTCTGAGAACACAGAAGTACTGTTTTTGGGGGACAGGAGGCGGGCGGGTGTGGAGAACTCCCTGGTCCTGAATGGGGTAACTGTGCCCCTGAAGGACCAGGTGCGCAGCCTGGGAGTCATTTTGGACTCACAGCTGTCCATGGAGGCGCAGGTCAATTCTGTGTCCAGGGCAGCTGTCTACCAGCTCCATCTGGTACGCAGGATGAGACCCTCCCTGCCTGCGGACTGTCTTGCCAGAGTGGTGCTTGCTCTGGTTATCTCCCGCTTGGACTACTGCAGTGCGCTCTACTGGGGCTACCTTTGAAGGTGACCCGGAAACTACAATTAATCCAGATTGCGGCAGCTAGACTGGTGACTAGGAGCGGCCGCCGAGACCACATAACACTGGTCTTGAAAGACCTACATTGGCTCCCAGCACGTTTCCGAGCACAATTCAAAGTGCTGACCTTTAAAGCCCTAAATGGCCTCGGTGCAGTATATCTGAAGGAGCATCTTCACCCCCATCGTTCTGCCCATACACTGAGGTCCAGCACCGAGGGCTTTCTGGCAGTTCCCTCCCTGCGAGAAGCCAAGTTACAGGGAACCAGGCAGAGGCCTTCTCGGTATTGGCACCCGCCCTGTGGAACACCCTCCCACCAGATGTCAAAGAGAACAACAACTACCAGACTTTTAGAAGACATCTGAAGGCAGCCCTGTTTAGGGAAGCTTTTAATGTTTGATGCATTACTGTATTTTAATATTTTGTTGGAAGCCGCCCAGAGTGGCTGGGGAAGCCCAGCGAGATGGGTGGGGTATAAATAAATTATTATTATTATTATTATTTCTCCTTATATTCTTACTGAATATACTCATAAATGTCTAGTGGAAGAGGCTTCCATAGGTTGCAGGGCAACTGCCAAGAGTACGGTAGCTTTATAGGTGACCTTAGTTTCAAGTCCTGGTGCACAGATGCTCTAGACATGTGTTTTTATTAATTTCCGTTGAGTTAACATTTCTGTAATCTGAGATGCAGCATTTCCCCCTCCCTAGAGAAGGAAAATTCAACACCATGATCAAGTCAACATGTAGTGGATTGTGGTCTCTAGGCTAAGTGTGTGGGTGTGAATGAGTGAGTGAGATAAAAAAGCTTTACCAGACAATACCTAATTGAATTTATATTCCTAGTAATGTTGACACAAGGCATTCACAAAACAGGCCTGCTTTTGTTGACGGCCTTTGGTTTAGCATTTTTGCAGGGTTAAACCGGGATTAACACAATCCAGGAAATCAGTCTAATGCCCTTAGCTAATATGATATGAGCATTACAGTGCATTAATCTTTCTTAAACATTATCAAATTATGGCTTTTGAGTTAACAGCTGGCCTGTTCTGCTGCCTTTCCTTTCACAGGATTTGTTAGGAATTGGGACATACTATGAATCTAAGTCTTTTGCCATAGGCAAGCAGTGCCTCTGAAAAAACACTGAGTCAACCCTGGCACCCTGCACCCTCTTATTTAGCAATAGTATAGCTTACTCATTGGGTGATGGGTGAGGCCAAAAGAACCCACAACAAATGATGCAGGGTGCCACCCTAGTGTGGGCATTCTGACACCACACTGTGATTTAGTCACGGCCTCTGGCATGAACCACATTTGTTGCCTGCGCTGAACAATCACATCCTTTGAGACCAGCAAGTCCAACTGTGTCATACTGTACCTCACAATTCTGAATAGTCATAGCCTGGCCTTCCTCAATCTAGTGCCCTCCAGATACTTTGGACTACATCTCCCATCAGTCCATGATGCTGCTGATTGGAGCATGGCTATGCTCTGCTGGGGCTGATGGGAATTACAGTCCAAAACACCTGGAAGGGCATTGGGTTGGCCAAGGCTGCTCTGTGTTCAGAAAAAGCACAACTGTAAAAATAATGTTTGTGTTTCTAATATCAGTGGGATTGGCCGAAGAGCCAAGTCTAGGGCAGTGGTACTTTTGCCTTTGTACACAGCTCTAGCATTTGCAGAAATGCCTCAAATAATTGTTTTGCGTCTTCCTTCAGGAAAGCAATGGCATTTGCACCTCCCAGGAACCTGGATGGCCCGAAGATGCAAACCAAGATGAGCACATGGACACCCCTGAATCACCAGTTGATGAATGACAAGGTGAGTACCATTCAGTCAATTTAAGTATGGGCCTTCCCCCAGACATTACGTTGGAGACACAATCAGAGGGGACCTTTGGGTGAGCAGTAACAACAAATTCTCCATAAAAAGCAGCTAAGCCCTCAGTTGGCCAGCCTTGACCCTCCTCTAACCTGGCAGTACTTGAATGCTCAGAATAATAAATAATAATAATAATAATAATAATAATAATAATATATTATTTGTACCCCGCCCATCTGGCTAGGTTTCTCCAGCCACTCTGGGCGGCTTTCAACAAAGATTAAAAGTACATTAAAATGTCACACGTTAAAAACTTCCCTGAACAGGGCTATTATGAGGGGGGAAAGCGTTGGGATGGTCACACTGGCGTCTGATGATTTCAAAAGGGATTAACAAATACACGCTTTGTTTTCTAATGGAGCGTGTCAAGAGGCGGCTAAGGTGGACGCATAAGAGCTTGGAAAGCAAACATTGTATGTTTTTGTGATCAAAGCCTATAAGGCTCCCTAATGCGAGCAGCTCTCCTGTCCTCCCCCTTTAGGCCCCTGAACCAAAATGTGATCCCAGATCTGTTTAGCATTTCCTTGTGACAATAATGAAACACCCCCACCAAAGGGTTGGCACGGGCAGGTGCTTCTTGTTTCATCTTAAATGAAGCCAACCATATATGTGTAGACACCTCGGAAACAACAAAGTGAGCAAGGATAGAACATAAGAATGTTAGAAGAGCCTGCTGGATCCGGCCGGCGGCCCATCTAGCTCAGCATCCTGTTCTCACGATGGCCAGTCAGATGCCTGTGGGAAACCTGCTTTTTAAGATGCTGTCTCTGCTTTTTAATATGCTGTCTTGATGTTGCTGTCTAAGATGTTGGCCACAGTGGGACCTCCATATTCCGAGGGAGTGTGCTTCTGAACGCTAATTGCTACTGAATCCTAGTACCTCACCAAAGACTCCTAAGTGAGATCGTTGCACCTATCTGTCTCAGGAGACAATGCAGAGGGCGAAGTCAAACTGTTGGAGAATTACAGCGCTTGCTGTGGCTGTAGAGACAAATTTGGGAAAGATATGCTTTGTTGCAGCAGAGGCAGATGAAGGTGTCTGGTTGTGCTGTCGCAGATGCTGCAGTAATAAGTAATATGGCGCTTCTTCTCCTCCCAGCGGTCTTTCCTCCTCTGGTCACTGGTATGGATGCATAACCTGACTATCTGCCTCCAGGCACTGTGACTGTCTGCTGGGGATTCCCCATAGCTGTCAACTTTTCCCTTTTCTTGCGAGGAATCCTGTTCAGAATAAGGGAATTTCCCTTAAAAAAGGGAAAACGTTGACAGCTATAGATTCCCACATGGCAGGATTGATGTCGCCAGCCTTCATGTCACAACTGCACACATCTTTGTAACACAGAGTTGGTCTGCCAACAGGCCTGATGCCTGAAGTCAGTCAGTCAAATAAGAGGCAACGTCCTCTTGTGGATCCACACTGGTTAAGTAGCAGGGAGCAGGGAGTAGGAATGAACAGACAGTTCTCCTGATGTAGAGTAGAGACACAAAAAGCAGAGTCCCCCACAAGATTGGTACATTGGTACCTTGCTTGTTGAACGTAATCTGTTCTGGAAGACCATTCGACTTCCGAAACGTTCGACAACTGAGGCGCAAAGGGCGGTCAGCAAAGTACATGGAGAAAAAAGAAAAACATGCAGCTGTTTGACTTCCGAGGCGTGTTCGAACACGGAAGCAATTCCGGGTTTTCAGCATTGGCTTGGCTTCCAAGACTCTTTAAAACCAAGGTATCACTGTGGTAGGACCTATGCTTTTTAACTTGTCCATAAACAATCTGGGGGTGACCAGTGAAGTGGCCAAGTTTACTGAGAATACTAAACTATTTAGAGTTGTTTAAAACAGAGAGAGATGATGATGAGCTCCAAAGGATCTCTCCAAACGGATGGCAAAGTGGCAAATGCAATTCAGTGTAAACAAGTGTAAAGTGATTCATGTCAAGACAAGAAAATCTTAATTTCACAGTTCATGGGGTCTGAACTGGTAGCATCTGACCCAAAACGAGACCTTGGGCTTGTAGCTTGATGAAGGTGCTGACCCAGTGTGCGGCAGCTGTGAAAATGTCAAATTCCATGCCAGGGGCCATTAAGAAAGGGGTTGAAAAATAAAACAACATTTAATCAGCAGCAGTTAAAACGCTACATACTAAAGACATTAAAATAGGGAATACTCTAGGGAGGAGCTGTACAAGCAGGGAGCAACTCCCAACTGGCCCTCTCCCTTGTGCCTGCCAGTCTCTTGGATCTCAGTGAAGGGGCCACAGGCAGGTCCCCTGAGTTTAGTTTCAAGTTCTAGACCAGTTGATAATGGGTGCAGGTGGCCCTTCAAACAAGGCCTTGCGTCTAAGTTGTGAGTGATGTGATTTTAACTTTACGGGCTTGGCGGCTAGCCGGTTGAAATCACACAAATTAAATGCACAGAAGGCAGGGAGCTTAAAAGCTCTTTTAGCGCAGGGTTTTCCCAGTGTGGAAATAGCTTTAAAGCTCTCTGCCTCCTTGCTGAGTTCTTGGAGGCTCTTGCGCGATCTTGGATGGCTCTGTGAGAGCCTCCCAGAGGCCAGTAAGCATGGCAGAGAGCTTAAAAACTCTCTGCCTTGCTTGGGGGGTAAGACCCATGCAGGGCGCAAGCTCCAGAAGGCAAGGATAGCCAAGTGAATAACCATAGTTTAGAGGTCCCGGGCCCTAAGGAAGTCAGACTATCCTCCACCAGGGCCAGGGCCTTTTCAGCGATGGCTCTGACCTGGTGGAATGCTCTGTCCCATGAGACTAGGGCCCTTCAGGATTTAACCTCCTTCCGCAGGCCCTGTAAGACAGAGCTATTCCGCCTGGCCTTTAATTTGAATTCAGCCTGATCTTTTATTTCCCTTCTCTTCCCTCCCCCTCCCCTTTTATGATTACCTGCTCTGAGACCCCACAGCTAATTCTCCCCTGGCCTCCTCGCTGGCCCAAGTAGGACCAATTCAGTCAGCTAGCCCTGGGGTTTATCTAATTGATTTTTGATTTTTATTGTTATTCATGTTTTTATACTGTATTTTATTCTGCTTTTATAATTAAGTGTTTTAAAGGGTTTTAAATTTGTTGTTAGCTGCCCTGAGCCTGGTTTTTGAACCGGGAAGGGCGGGATATAAATAAAAATTTATTTATTTATTTAAGTGTGGGGCAGTTCTAAGGAGGTAGTTTGAGTATACACATGTGCCAGCCCCAGAACATACCGCCCCCCCACCCCCAGGGAATATGACTGTTTTCAGAACTTCTAAGTTAGAATTTCTTCTTAAGTCACTCATGCCCTTTAGTAGTCTGGGGAGTCATATATTGGGTCATGCCTAATGGTTTGATTGCTCATTTCTCGTTCAGTCCTGTGTTCACTCTGTACTGAACTGTGTTTTATTTAAATGTTTTTAAGGTATTTGAAGAAAGAAGAAATCTGTTGGGGAAATGGGTAATGACATTTTCTTCCCTCATCCGCAAATCCCATGTGCTTCACTGCTTATTTTGAGGTGATCAGGCTGTAGTAGGACATGTAAGCACAGAGTCAACCTTGTGTAATGCACGCAGTCATTGTGAGGGTTATGAAGGCACTGCCCTCCATGCAATGTTTGCATTTTTAAAAACTTGTAGTTGAAAATGTAAGGGGGGGAAATGGTGGAAGTCTGCATGCAATTAATCTGTTTAGAGAGGTATGTTTTGTCTCAGAGTATGTCAAGTATGTGCCTCTTTCCAATAAGGATTGTTTGCCCCATGTGTGGTCGTGTCCCCTAGTGATGACATCACGTCCTTTCTGCCAGATCCCCAGAGGCCACTGACCGCTGCTGGAAACAGGATTTGCAATAGTTGGACCTGGGATCCAGCAAGCAAGCTATTTATGTCACCCTTCTCCAACCTGGTGCTTTCCAGATGTTTTGGATGACTGCTCCTGTCAGTGCTAGATGGCTGTGCTGGCTGGAGAAGGTGGGTGCCAAAGTCCAAAACATCCGGAGGGCACCTGGTTGGAGAAGGCTTGTATATTTGTTGGAAGTCTCCCAGAGTGGCTGGGGCAAACCAGTCAGATGGGTGGGGTACAAATGATAAAATTATTATTATAATTATAGGTAAGGTAAAGGGACCCCTAACCGTTAGGTCCTGTCGTGGCCGACTCTGGGGTTGCGGCACTCATCTCGCTTTACTGGCCAAGGGAGCCAGCGTACAGCTTCCGGGTCATGTGGCCAGCATGACTAAGCCGCTTCTGGAGAACCAGAGCAGCGCACCGAAACGCCGTTTACCTTCCCGCCGGAGTGGTACCTATTTATCTACTTGCACTTTGACCTGCTTTCGAACTGCTAGGTTGGCAGGAACAGGGACCGAACAACGGGAGCTCACCCCATCGCGGGGATTCGAACCGCCGACCTTCTGATTGGCAAGTTCTAGGCTCTGTGGTTTAACCCACAGTGTCTTATACAGTATCTATCAATGGTTGTTAACTCTGCTACTTGAATGGAGCAGATCTCTGTCTCTGAACAGATGCAGTAGAATGTCTTTCCTTATCAGGCAGAAAGGTCATTTACCCCTTTCAAGCCATGCTGGAGACCACTCCCTAATGGAGGCAGGACACTGGTCTAGAAGATGGACCAGAGCCAACCGTTCCTGTGCTTTTTAGCAGCCAAAACACAGAATACTGGCAGGAGTTCAGCTTGCACTCGAGTAGAACCCTGGCAGAGACACATGCCCGACTGGCATGTTCTCTCCCTCCTGGTCAATCGTTCGGGAGCTTCAAAAGCTTTCTTCTGCCCAAACATCACAGCGACTGATTCCAACAGACACCTGCACACTTAGGGATCCACAGAGTTCGTGTATCATTGCGTGACAGAACCCCAGCAACTCAGCATTTTGGCTAATCTACTTTATTTACATATAAACACGCACAGAGCACTGCAACATGGCTCCCTCTCTCTCTAGCATCAGACAGCAAAGAGAAAATGAACAAAGGACAATAGTCCCACTTCACAAAACAGCAGTAACACAAACATCCTGTCTCCGTCACTTCCCACTCTGTGGAGTCAAAACATATACCGTCATGTGATGGACAACAATCCCATGACTGCAATCACGGAGCAGGAATTCTAACAAATACCTGGGGGTTGGGGCGTCCTCATCACAAAGATGAAGTGCAATATGGTCTTGTGGTCCATGTGTTTGCAAAGTGCTTCATGGTGGGAAAGTCACTTCTGTGGCACCGTGTCTAGGTGCCACAAAACCCTCGGCTCACCTTTTCTCCCTTCCCTCCTCCGCAGTTTGACAAATGGACAGACAACCAGAGGCGAAGAGTCCTGCTGGACTTCCTAGAGCGCTGCTCCCTCTTGCAGCTCAGGTTCTGCGTCAAGCAGCTGCAGGCTCGAGTTCCAGTGGAGGCCCTGGATTTCACCACCAAGCTCCCCAGGGTTTTGTCCCTCTACATCTTTTCTTTCCTGGACCCTCGTAGTCTCTCCCGATGTGCTCAGGTAAAGCTCAGCGTGTTGGGAAGGATGCAGAGGAGAGATAACAAAGTTTAAGGTGCTGGATATGTTTAGCCTATAATCATAGAGTGTAGAATCATAGAATGGGACCCCAAGGGTCATCCAGCCCAACCCCCCCGAGATGCAGGAATCTCAGTTAAAGCACCCATGACAGATGGCCATCCAACCTCTGCCTAGAAACCTCCAGGGAAGGAGAATCCACCACCTCCTGAGGGAGACCATTTCACTGTTGAACAGCTCTCCCCTTCAGAAATCCTTCCTGATGTTTAGTTGGAATCTCGTTTCTTGTAACTTGAAGCCATGGGTTCGAGTACTGCCCTCTGATGCAGGAGAAAACACTCTTGCTCCATCTTCCATGGGACTGTCCTTTTGATATTTGAAGATGGCTATCATATCACCTCTCAATCTCCTCAGGCTAAACGTACCCAGCTCCTTCAAGTGCTCCTCATTAGGTTTGGTGGGACGCAGGTAGCGCTGTGGGTTAAACCACAGAGCCTAGGACTTGCCGATCAGAAGGTCGGCGGTTCAAATGTGTGTGTGAAACAAACGGTCAGGTGTCCCTTTACCTTTTACTAAGCTTGGATCCTAGAACAATAGGCAAGTAGGATCCTAGAATGCAACAACTGATTGGCTTGCAGGAAAAGACCAATCAGGCTCCAGGAGGGAAGCAGAATCAGATGGGACTCATTGTGTAAATAATGTATATAAAAGCCTGAGGTTTTGGGGGAAATCCAATCACTGTTTTACAAGCTGCAATAAAGAGCATGAAATCGCTACAGGACTCAGAGTATATTTCATTTGGCTTCCAGACCCTTGATCATTTTGGTCACCCTCCTCTGCACACCTTCCAGCTTGTCAATATCCTTAAATGGTGGTGTCCAGGACTGGACACAGAACTCCAGTAGTGGTCTGTTGATGCAGTATATGAACCAGAAAAGGGGCCCAGCAACATGCAGTTGTTCCTCTTCCTGTAGTGCCAGCCTCCCTCTTTTGAGCAGCACAAGCACAGCAGTTGGAGTTGCAGTTTTGCCCATTCAAATGAGGGAAAGCACATGCCTGAGGGATATACCTGTTTGAAATTCAACTCCACTCCTGCATGCATGAACCAGGCCTCCATCTGGGTTAGACAAGGAAAAACTGCAGTTGCCAACTCAGTTGTTTTTTTTTTTAAAGAACTCTGTTGCTTTCTGAAGATATTGAAATAGTTTTTGCGTCTGGATTATGTGTCGTCCTCTGTTTCTGATTTTTGCCCCGATAGGTCCCTCAGAACAATAATAATGGCGCCTTTTTCATTCTCAGGTGAGCTGGCGCTGGAAGAACTTGGCAGAACTAGATCAGCTCTGGATGCCAAAATGTCTGCGCTTTGGGTGGTATCTCAATTTCTCTCCAACCCCGTTTGAGCAAGGAATCTGGAAGAGACACTACATTGAGGTGGTGAATGAGTTCTGGGTCACCAGCCCTAAGGTACCTCTGCAATCCTTGAGACACAAACGGTTTTTGGAGCTGAGCTGAAAACCTCTAGTTTAGCCTCGTCTTGGATGTTCTACTTTTTCCCTATGCAGTAACTTTTTGACATTTAGCCTTGTAAACGGACCTGCATTCTGAAGTGGAGCAGTCCCAGTAGAATTGTACCATGGGCTTTCCCTGAAAGTGTGAGTTGAGGTACCTAGATACCCTAACAGCCTAGTGCACACATGCCTTCCTTCTGATACGTACCTTCAAAGAGTCCAGATAAAGGCCGCTGTGAGAAGAGGATGCAGATGGGCCATGGGTCTGATCCAGCGGACTCTTCTCATGTTCTTAAGCCACTCCTCCAGTTTTCCAGCTCAGTAGTGGCCTGTGATGAAAAGAGGCTTGAGGCTCAGGTGGCCTTGGAGGCGTGAAGTCCCGGCTGCTGTCACGGTCTGGTTCACGGGCGATCGAAGTCCCGGCTGGGGACGTCGGGACTGGGGGCAAGATGGCGGGGGGTGGGAGCAGGAATGGGAGTCCAGAAGCCAGGAGTCAGGAAGCCAGGAGCCGAGGGTCAGAGAGGCGGGAGTCAAGAAGCCAAGGATCACAAAGCAAGGGGTCACGAAGTCAAGGGTCTAAGGATCAAGAAGCAAGGAGTCAGACGCAGCAAGGCAGGGAACTTGTTGCTGTGGCAAATTGCCGAAGGGAAATGCTGACCTTATATCCCTTCCCAGCTCTTGCCACCAGGTGCTGTGAGTTACCACTCGGCCTCACCTGTGAGGCTGCACCTTGCCTCTTCAGAACAAACTTAGGAAATCCCCAGTCCTACAAAGTCCTATTGGTCACAGGGCCTGGCTCCTGCACACACACCTGACAGCTGCATACCTATCTGGGCAGAGATAGCCTAACTTCTGTCGCCTATTGCTGAAATGTGTTATACAGGCTGTCAATTGGTTTCTGGGCCCAATTCAAAGTGCCGATTTTGACCTATGAAGTCTTAAATGGCTCAGCACCGTAATACCTCAAAGACTGCCTGTCCCCATATGAACCAAACAGGACCCTGTGATTATCACCTGAGGCCCTTCTTTGTGTGCCTCCTCCGCATGAGGTCTGGAGAGCAACAACACAAGAATGGGCATTTTCTGCAGTGACTCCCCGCTTGTAGTATGCTCCCCCTAGGGAAGCTTGCCTGGCGCCATCGTTACACATGTTTAGGTGCGAGGCAAATACATTTTAACTAGACTTTTAGCTAACTCCAGAGGTTAGCAAACTTTCCCAGCAGGGGGCCGGTCCACTGTCCCTCAGACCTTGTGGGGGGCCGGACTATATTGGGGGGGGGGGATGAACGAATTCCTATACCCCACAAATAACCCAGAGATGCATTTTAAATAAAAGGACACATTCTACTCATGTAAAAACACGCTGATTCCCAGACCGTCCACGGGCCGGATTTAGAAGGCGATTGGGCCGCATCCTGCCCCCAGGCCTTAGTCTGCCTACCCATGAATTAAACAATCCACAGCCTTTTACATTGGGGTAGGGGTATTGTTTTTGTTAGTTACTATGGTATGTGTTTTTGTTTCTTTATATTGCAAACTGCCCCATGAGCCTCAGATGAAGGGTGGCCTAGGAATGTAAATAATAATACACTCAAACCTTGGTTACTGAACGCCAAAGACCCGGAAGCGAATGCTCCAGTTTTCAAACATTTTTCGGAAGCTGAATGTCCAAAGCGGCTTCCGCTTGAGTTCAGGAAACTCCTGCAACCACTCAGAAGCCGCGCCTCGGTTGTCGAACATTTTGGAAGCCAAACGGGCTTCCGGAATGTATTACTTTCGACAACCGAGGTTTGACTGTAGTAATATCCAAGGGCTTCCCTCCTCCCCAATAGCACACAATTGATTTTGCCTACTTGTTTTCCATCCCTTTAGACCCCTCCGAAAGAGGACTTTGTGGTGGTCGATGTCCAGCCTATAACGAAAGAGGGTCTGGAGGTGAAACAGTCCCTGTCACCGTCAGTCCTCCAATCAGCATGTCCTCTCGGAAAGAAGATGAGCAAGGAGAAGCAAGATCTCCCTCCCTGGCGTTCTTCAGATAAGCATCCTACAGACACCGTCAGATTCAATTACCTGGACAACTTTGATCCCATCGAGCAAGCGAGGCAGGCGTAAGGCACACCCTCATGTCTGTCATCTTCTTTTCTCTCAAACAAAACTAATTTGATGTTCAGCTGCTCCCTCTCCCCCTGGGGTAGGTGACAATCCTGCCATATTCAGGAGAAATTGTCCTCAAGTTTTCTAATTTTTGTAGGGGAGAGCCGAGTCTGCAAGTTTAAAGCCTCTTTGTGAATCTCTTCCTAATTAATGGTGCATCCAAGATGGATTCCGATTTCAGTTAGGCAGGAAATTAATAGGGCTTCTTGGTTCTGCTCCATAAAGTTTGGACCAAGCCCAGAATGGATTGATCCCACCCCAGCAGAATTCTGGAGTTGATGATGGGGTTGATTCTGCTGTCCATTTTAGGCATGTGCAGAGCATGTCAGAAGACGAAGGAGAAACCCCAGGCAACTTTAGCCTTCTCTGTACATGCCCTTGGTGCCCAGTGTGGGAAAGGGTCAACAATGTGTGTGAAACGAGGTGTAGAACAGCCCAGGGGTGTCCCCAAGACCTGCTAAGCCTCTCCTTCCAAATTATTTCCAGCCCAGATGAAATGCAGTAGGCCTGGGTGTGGTCCAAAAACCATTCTACAATGACTGGATTGCCAGGTCAAATTCTCTTTGGAATGCCATCCCTTCAACTACCGTATTTTTCGCTCTACAGGACGCACTTTTCCCCCTCCAAAAATGAAGGGGAAATGTGTGTGCGTCCTATGGAGCGAATGCAGGCTTTCACTGAAGCCTGGAGAGCGAGAGGGGTCGGTGCGCACCAATCCCTCTCACTCTCCAGGCTTCAGGCAGCTATCTGCAAGCCTTCTGAGCATGGCGGGAGTTCCCGCCGGGCTCCGAAGGCTTGCGGATAGCAGCCTGTTCTGGGGGCTGGGGTCGGGGGAAGCTTGGGCTTCCCCAGCCCCGCAAGCTCTGGGAGCGGCAGCGAGGTTGCGCGCAATCTTGCCGCCGCTCCTGGACCTGTTCTGGGGGCTGGGGGGTGGAAATAATTTTTTTTCTTTATCCCCCCCCCTAAAAACTAGGTGCGCCCTATGGTCTGGTGCGCCCTATGGAGCGAAAAATACAGTATTTCTGTGTTTGGATATTTGAAGTAGCATCTTGGCAGCACACAGGATGCTGGTTAAACATTCTGTTCCTTACCATCCGCTTCCAGAAGTAGAGGTCTTTCCTTTCTTTCTCTCTTTCTCTGGCGATCCCTCGTAGCTGAGTTTGTCTTTCATAAACACGGTTTTGACAATGAGTCCGTAAGTGACTGTGGAGGCCAATTCTGGATCCACACGTCCTTCCACAGTGGGGACATTGGTTTCTGGGCAGGAGTTGATCACAGTGAGGGTTTGCCAAGCGTGCCTTCCTCTTAGCATGTTTCCTCCTTGTGTCCTGAGTTCGAGTGTCTTCAAAGCCCAGGACACCTTTGGTAACCTTCATCCACCTTCACAGCCGTTGTAACATACCGCGTGTTATCATCCGCCTGTTCTGCCATTGAGGACTTCTTGGATCATTCTTTGTCTAGCTCCTTCCCTTTGACCTTACCGCCTTGGGTGACCCTGCTGGGAGTACAAGACTCCCGGTGGCTTCGCTCACAAGGTCATAGGGACATGCAAGCCCGCTCATCACGACAAGGTGACGATCCAGCAAGTGAGAGAGGTAGCCCGTTTCTAATGGTAGAATGCCTTATTTTGCATGCAAAAGGCTCCATGTTCAATCCTTGTTAAGAATGCAAGAACATAAGATGCTCCTATTGGATCAGGCCAATGGTCCATCAAGCTGAGTATCCTGTTCTCTCACTGGCCACCCAGATGCCCATTGTGGGAAACCCGCAAGGTGACCTGGGTGCAACAGCACTCTGCCCCTCTGGGATACCCATCAACAGGTGTTCAGAGGCATAATGCCAAGAAAGCAGATCATGGGGGAAAGCTTTCTCCCTATTCTTAAGACCTAGGGAAGCCGTTCCCAGCCAGTTTAGACAGTACTGAGCTCCATTGACCAAGGTTACCTGACTTGGTATAACGCTACTTAATAGGTTCATCTGCTGCAACCATACCCTGTTCCATGACAGTCCCCCGGAGAAGTCTTCTTAACACCTTACACCTCCACGACATCTTTAGATGCTTGGTTCTTTTCTCATTGCTCTTGTAATCAAGATCAGGATGCTTTCTTGCAGTTACAGTAAATATGTCCACCCTTAGTTTAAACGCGTTGCTTCTTCAGTCGTAGGATGAACAGTTGTTGCTCTTACTCTTGGCATAACATCTTGGGAAAAGATCTAACACACATGCCAACTATCCTGCGGTCTACGTGTTCAGTAGTCCCAGTTTCTTCCTTAATAGCAGAACGTCTTTCAAAACCCAGCCCACCAAACATAGCCCAGAGCTGCATTAGAGGGGCGTGGGGGCGAGTTTTGTGGGCTGAAGGGAGGAAGATTATTTTTCACGAGAGCAGATGACAGTGCCAAGCATTTTTCTGTCTTCTTGTTCTGGGAAAGTAACCTGTTGCCAGGAGCACAGATCAGAAAGACATTCACTTTTCACAAGACTGATGTGATGCGTGTAGGGAGCTGCCTGAGTAGAATTAGCTTACTCTTTCTCCGGGAATCTTAGGGTAGTGTCTGCAGTTCTCCCTCTCACACTTTTTGTCACAAAAACCTGCCTGTGAGTTACGTTAGGCTAAGAGAGCTACTGGCCCGAGGTCACCCACTGAATTTGGTGGCAGAAAGGAGACTCGAACCCACCTCTCCCTGGCTCTAGCCCAACACTCTAGCCGTGATACCATAGTGGCTTTCATGTAAATCAGTGTTTCTCAAACTTGGGTCTCCAGCTGTGGTTGGACTACAACCCCCATCATCCCTGACCACTGGTCCTGCTAGCTAGGGATGCTGGGGGGTTGTAGTCCAAAAGTTTGAGAAACACTGATGCAAATCTACAGAAACCTTTGAGTGATTTAGCTGTGATTCCTGCATTGCAGGGGGTTGGACTAGTTGGCCCATGGGTTCCCAACTCAACAGTTCTGTGGTTCTTTGAGTGCTGAAATATCTGCACATCTGGGCACTAGCCCCACTGAAGCACAATCATGCATATTGATTCAGAAATATATTCTTCTGAGTCCAGGCCACTCTTGTATCGGAGCCTGGGACTTCAGACTCACTCCCAGGTAGCGGTGCTTAGGGTTGCAGCTCCAGTCTCTGAAATGAGAGGTGGCAGAACAAGCTTCAGGCCCATACATTTTTTTGTGTTTCAAAAAAGGATTTGCCTCTCCCCGCCCTGTCCTGGGAAATCCTTTTAACTTTGTTTAATACATCTTTTCCCCCCATTCACTCTGTCACAAGAGACTAGGGCCCTGCGGAACTTGACATCTTTCTCCTGGGCCTGAAAGACAGAGCTGTTCCACCAGGCCTTTGGCCACGGCACAGTCTGACCCCCTCCTTTGGTAATCCTCACAGAACTCTAGCCCAATGGTTGCCATTAATTTGATTTTAAATTGATTTTAGAATGCTATGTTACATTTATTGTTGTTAGCCGCTCTGAGCCTGGCTTCGGCTGGGGAGGGCGGAATATAAATAATTTATTATTATTATTATTATTATTATTATTATTATTATTATTGCAGTAGGAAGAAAGGAGGAGGGCTCACCCCAGACCTCAGCCAGTCGGCCTTCCAGAAGAAAAGGAGACCAAGCAGTGCATCGTACAAACTCCGAAAAGCAAAGTCCCTGGCAAGTATCCCCAATGGTCAGCCTTCTGGGCTAAGCAGCAAACTTGGTGAGGTGCGAAGCCTTTGGTGAGGAAGGGAGCAGCCTTGATGGTGGTGGCCCCCTCCCCAAAGCCCCACTGCCTTGCGTTGCCTTTTGAGTCCTTAGCTGCCTAAGTCCACCACTTAAGGGCTGCAACTTGAGCAAAGCTGGCGTTCAGTCTTGGAGCATCAGTTATGGTTGTTGCCCTCGTGCTTCTGCAGTCCTGCTGTGCAGCCTTGATGCAGTGCTCACACTTTGCATGCGGAAGGTGCCAGGTTAAGTCTCTGGTCTTTCTCCTCTAAGAGGCGCCACAAGTCAGAACACACAATAGTGTCCCGACCTGGTCCAAGGCAGCTTCCTAGCAGTTATTTAGGTGGGTCGCTGCGTTTGAGCTCAGTGGAGCTCCCTTGCTTGCCTCGAGGGTGCATCCGACTGCAGACTGAGCGTCTTCGGCTGCATATGTCTGCCCCTTTGGGGAGGACTTTGTGACTCAACATGCTTTGCTTCCTTGTCCTCCAGCAGCCTGGGGCTGAGCTGACAAGGACCCAGGAGTGCAGGAATCAGGTATACGGAGCCTGTCAAAGCCTTGCTTTGTGTGCTGCACTCATTCCTGGTGGGGTGGGAGACTCTGACCCTGCCTGTCCCGTCACACGGCATCCGCGACCCTGACATTTTAAGCCCTTGCATGCTCACCTGCTTCTTTTTAGGTTGATCCCTGCCAATCATTACGTTGCTTCTTTTTAAGCCGCTTAAAATGAATGTCTGCCTTTCACCCACTGTCTGCGTCTCCCCTCCCGGTCTCATAATTCGGATGCTAGCAAAATGAGAAATGCCCCTATTACTCTCTTCAAACACACCCTTTTAAAAAAAATTATGTGAAGGTAGCATTTAAAGATTCATGATTATGGCTTGGCTTGTTCTAAAAAAACAAAGAGTTTGTTGCTCTTTGTGCAGAAGCTTGATTTTAATGGAAGTTTTCATAAATAGAGGATCTACTACTGCCTTGAGCAACAGTGCTCCTTCACATGCCAGAGGGACCAGACTTTCTTCTTCAGTTTTAATTTTGGAGACTGTAGCCAATAAACAATTTTTTTTTACGCTCAGCAGTTGAAGTGTTGACTGCTGTGCCCTTATCTGCCTTTATTGCCTGAATGGATTTCTGAGTAAGTGTTTTATTGCGCCTGGCTTTTCCCAACACCCTAAACAAGAGATTAAACAAACAGATTGAAGCTGTACTCTTATGCACACTTCCTGGGAGTAAGTTCCTGGGTTGGGGGAGAGACAACACACTGGATTTGGCTTCCTGGCAGTGGCCCATTAACATGGACCAGGGTGGGAGCTGGTCCCTTATAGACCTACAAGGTCATTGTGGTCATCTGATGAAGCCTTTCTGGTGATGCCATGTGCTCCCAGGCCAGAGCCGTGATCTGGAGCAGTTCTCCATTTTGATTTTTAAACACATGTTAAAATACGGTACTTCCTTATTTTCCCAAGTCATTTCTGTGTTAGTGACCTAGCCATATTTTTGAACAGGCATCCCAATGTTCTATTACTTTTTAAACAGTATTCATATTTTACTGTTCATGTTTTTCTATTTGTTGTACATCACTTCAGAAAATGTTTATTATTAAGCTGCCTGTAAGTTCTGGAAATAGACATAGCGGAACTTATTTTTGAGTAAGTTTGAAGAGCTGTTTTTCTATGTTAAAGAGAAAAGGAATAGTTATCACTCCGTTTGGATTTCGAGTGTGGGCTCAGCACACCATGAAAGTGCTCTGGCATGCAAAAATATCCCCCACATGCTTTCATTGGGTCTACTCTTGAGTAGGGCTTGGTTAAAATGCAACCCCTAATCCTTTTTCCAGGGTAAAAAGTCCTCACCCTCTCACTTCCAGGTATGTTATTTATTGCTTAGCTGTGGCAAGAAAATAGCTCTAAAATTTTTCACTTGCAGCTAACCCAAGGCAGCTGAAAGAGCTGGCCAGTGTGTGTGTGTGTGTCTCCCAGCTGGCTGGCAGGCCTGCTCACACACTGCTCCTTTCCTAAAGAAACTCAGTTTCTGCAACTAAAACCAAAAGGCTACTTGATTCCGCCTGCCTTTGGGATTGGGGTGTCCTGTGTTTGAATTCTCCTCCCCAGAGAAGCCTGCCTGGTGCCTCCTCTGTTATCTCCTTGATACCAGGCAAATACTTTTTTGTTAAAACAAAACAAAACCACCCAGACATGCCATCATCTCATATACTGCTTTTAGTTGTTGTCAATCCATGTTGCTGCTTTCTATGTGCTTTTATAAGTGCAATTTGTTGTATTTTATTTCTTTATTTGAATTCTCCTAATTGAATGCCACCCTGGGAGCTTTATCACAATGCAGGTAATAAATAATTTGCCAAAAAAGTACAGCGGAACCGTAATCCATTCCAGAAGTCCGTTCAATTTCCGAAACGTTCGAAAACCGAGGATCAAAGGGCTGTCAGCAAGTTCAATGGGGAAAATTGAGAAAATTGGGAGCTGTTTGGTTTCCGAGGCGCGTTCGAAAACGGAAGCATTCACTTCTGGGTTTTCGGCACTCGGAAGCCAAGACGTTCGAAAACCGAGGTTTGACTGTAATTACATAAACCCAACAGAACAAAAGATCCTTACCTGAAATGAGTCTCCCATTGGAGTTTCATGGACTTTCCCCAAGTATCTGTGTGTAGGACTGTGGCCTTTGTCTTCCTTCCTACCTGCTCAGAATTTAGAGAACAGCAAAGTTTGGGTGGTGACTCAAGTTATGATTCAAGTCATGTGTGTGTGTGGTTTTAGGTCAGGGACTGTGATCCCAATTCCTGGTTCTGCTGACAGATTCAAAACCGCAGGAGATTCGTATCCCTCTAAATCTCATAAGAGCATGAGAAAAGCCTGCTGGACCATCTAGTTAAGCGCCCTAGAATCACAGAATCATAGAGTTGGAAGGGACCACAAGGGCCATCGAGTCCAACCCCCTGCCAAGCAGGAAACACCATCAGAGCACTCCTGTTCTCACAGTAGCCAACTCCTTGCCTGTGGGAAAGGATCCGAGCACAAGAGCAACTCACTCCGCCTCCAGTTTCCAGTCACTGGTATTCAGAAGTGTTGCTGCCTCAAACTCTGAAGGCAGAGCATAGCCATCATGGTTTGGAGCCATCAAAGGCCCTCTCCTCCATCATTTTGTGTAAACCATCTACCGTAATTTTCGCTCTATAGGACACACTTTTTCCCTTCTAAAAAGTAAGAGAAAATGTGTGTGCGAATGCAGGCTGCGCGGCTAAGCCCAAAGCCAGAACAGGGAGACAGAGCACTTGGGGCTAGCTGCGCAAAGCCTCCGCAGGGCAGCGGGGTGAAGGCACCCCACTGCCCTGCGGAGGCTTCAAAGGCTGTCCCCAAAGCCAGAACAGCAAGAGGCTATCCCAGAAGCCAGGTCCCTCTTGCTGTTCTGGCTTCTGGGGTTCAGAATTTTTTTCTTCTTGTTTCCTCCCCCCCAAACTAGGTGCGTCTTATCGTCCGGTGCGTCCTATAGAGTGAAAAATACGGTAGGTGGAGCGAGTCCCATAGTCCCATAGTTTAACTACTTCTGTGCAAATGACTTTATTTTGCCTGCCTTGAATCTTCCATCATTCACCTCCATCGGATGTTCACAAGCTCCACAAGAAACTACATTTCTTGCTTTTTTTCTGCCTCGCTCCCCAGATGTCCCTCTCTGCAGACCTCGGCTCACAGCCAAAAGCCCCCGCTCGCCCCAACTGGGCTACTTACCACCCTGCGGGCTATCCTGCCACCAAAGCAATGGCCAAGATCCTTGCCCAGAGCGCCCAGTGGAACGCTGGGATACGGCCGGCGCCTGCCCAGGGTCCAGTCCCACAGCTGAGCGAGAAGGGGAAGAAGGCCTTTGCACGGACAAGCAGAAGCTCTCCAAGTCAGTAAACCCGGTCATTTCATGTAAGGGGGGGGGGTGAGCATTGAAAATTTCAGCCCCTTTTCACTCACATCACCATTTTGTTGTTTTATTATTATAAAAGCCCTGTTTAGGGAAGCTTTTAATGTTTGATGTATTACAGTATTTTGATATTTTGTTGGAAGCCACCCAGAGTGGCTCGGGAAATAATAATAATAAAAATAAAATAATAAAATAATAATAATAATAATAAATAATTTATTACTGAGTTTTTGAAATTGTAGACAAAAGTTCAATATCACTCTCGCCATGCACAAATTCAGCCATGACAAGAACGCTAGCTAAGCCTAAGCGATTTTAAAGAGAGCTTTTCAATGAAAAAGGTGCCCAAAACTACATCCCTCACAAGTTGGATAAAGTAATAAAGCTGTGACAAGCTGCAGTCTTAACCATAGGCAAAGCAGAATTAGAATTAAAAACGACAGCAAGACTTGGCAGCTACATTGGCATCAGTAACTTATTACTGATAGCCAATGTAGCTGGTAAGAAACAAGGCTAATATATTTCCTTCTCTTTTTGTATCGTAGGTTAGAGGGTTTGTTTAAAAGGCTGGAGCAACAGGCTAGCCAAATTCTGCTATGTGCTTTTGGAGCAGATCGCTGATGTTCTGGCACACTAGCAAACATTACAAAGTCATTATTATTATTATTATTGCTATCATCTGAACATGTTTGGGGAGAGAGAAGGCACTGCTGGATGTACCCAGGTCCCCACCCCCAATCCCCATATCTTAAGACAAGCCTCCATTGCAATACAGATATGTTGAAAGAATGTCAGTGGCAGGTTTAATTTTGCAAGGGGCTGTTTCCTTTTAGTTTCTCGCTGTTGACGTTAACTACTTCATCTTCTCTACCTGTTCCAGCATCTCCACTCTTTGAAAGCCAGCCCTGGGAACTTCCCCCGTCAGACATGGGATCTGATGCAGAACAGGAGGGTGGAGAAAAGAGACTTTTCAAAGCAACACACTTGAATTAATCTCCCCAAGGGAAAGACAGATGTCGTTGCAGGTTACAATCGTGTTCCCAGAGCTATGAGCCCAGCTTTCTGAAAAGGGGCTCTTTGGACGAGGATTAAGAATCATGTGGATTTATCATGTCTGCATTTCCATGGTGGAATAACCAGTGACTAACCAATGGACTGTTGGGACAACCTGGATTTTTTTTAAAAAAAAATACTGTTCAGATAGGAACTTTGCATGTGGCCTTAGACAGGGCACTATTTCTCAGCCTTAGTTTCTAAGCTGTAAAATGGGAAAGGTGGTGGTGTACCTCATCGAGTTGTTGTGGAATTGATGGTCAGCAACAGTGCAGTGCTATGCATATCTACTCAGAAGTAAGCCCCACTGAATTCAAGGGGACTTACAACCAGGGAGAAGAGACGGTGGAAGAATATTGGAAAAAGTTTAAAATCTATATATGGAAATAATGTAAAATTAATGAGTGTTAGAAAAATGTTGGGAGGGAATTATACGGCTTTAGTAGAAATGTTTTAAGGAATTAAGCATAAATAAGTATTATAGTATTAATGGAAAATAAGGTTAAAATATGTTAAGATAATCACATGACAGAAAATAGAGAAAGATGGAAAGGATTTGCTGAAACAATTATTAGAAATGGAATACAAAAAAGGGAGGTGAGAGGAGGTCGATGAAACAAGGGAATGAAAGAGAGGATATTGAGATGGTATGATGTGTGTTTTTTGAATTGTTTTTGCTTTTGTTTTGTTTAATGTGTTAAGGTTAATGTTGCGTTCTGTATTGTTTATATATTGTATTGTATTGTTTCTCTTTTGCTTTTCTTCTTCTTTTCTTTTTTTCTTTTCTTCTCTTCTCTTTGTAAGGTTTAAAAGCAATAAATATTATTTTAAAAAAATAAAAATTCAAGGGGACTTACAAAGTTACTGGCAACTTTGAGTTATTACATAAAGAGGAAAAGAACGCAAAGGAAGGATTTAGTTCCAGTAGGTAGCTGAAACATAATCAACGGTAAGAACATGATTAAACAAAATGGCCTATGCCAAAGTAGCAAGTGTGATGCTCACGCTCGTCCCTCTCCCTCCTTTCCATAAACACCCTTTCTTGTTTCCCCCCATTATCAACATTGAGACTGTAAGCAGTTTGGGGGCAGAGACTTTATAAACCCTGTACACTGTGATGACGTATGGATGGTCCTGTGCCTATCAGTTTGGCAGCAAACTGGGTCCACCTAAAAAAAAAGAAAGGGTAGTTGTCAGGGGTTCAGAGACAGAGGCACAGGGTAGGGAGGAGATGGAGAGCGATGGGGATGAATCCCAGGACAGCGAGGAAGAGGATGACAATGACTCAAGAGATTCCATGAGTCTTTCCAGCGAATCAGAGGATTCCCAGAAGGGGGCGCCAGTGGTCAAGGCCAGGGGAGCCCCAGGGGGGACGTGTCAGGAACAGGGGGCCAGCGGGGGATCCCAAAGTGGCAGCTGGGCGTCAGGACCAGCCTCCCCGCCAGAGTGCAGCGAAGGGGGTGGAGGTTCCAGTGTATCAGGGAAAGCAGCTCCGGCAGCAGAGAAGGGAGGGAGGTCGGAGCAAGCCACCCTCCCGGAAGGGGAGGGGAGTAGTGAAGGGAGTAGTGTAACTGTCAAAAGGAAAGTTAGAGGCTGGGCGCGCGCGCCACGTGCAACTGTAGAGGCGCGCGGAAGTACAGGGAGCCCGGAGGAAGAGCCAGGTCCTAACGCCCGCAGGAGGGGGGAAGAGCCGTCGGGGGGATAGCGCGTCAGGGGAATCCAGGAGGGGCGAAACCCCAGCGGGCAGGAAGACCCTGAGGAAAAGGAAAGAGAGAAAGAGGTGGAGCAGCGCAAGGCTCTTAAACTGGTGCAGGGGAGGGACTGACTCAGAGGGGACTTCAACGGTCTAAGCGTACAGACGTGGGGCTGCGCGCCTCGGATATGAAGCAAACAATGAACTGCAATAAACACTTTTGTATATAAGAAGAGATTGGCGTTGGTCTTTTGTGAGCTGAGACCTGAGGCAGCCTTGACAGTAGTAATTTATGTGTGCTTGGGGGAGTCTCCAAGCTTAACCACACATTTCAGGTGACCCCTCACCTCCACCCTTCAACGGAGCATTTAGGGAAAGTTTGCAGGTAACTATGCTGGCACATTCCGGGGGAGTGGGGAGACAGAGAAAGAAATCCAAAATTAACAAATCCAATTATCACTGTAAAGAAACGTTCACATATTTTACTTCCTTGGCTTTTATCTTCCCCGAGGGAAAAAGCAGCCGTGCTTCTTTGTCCTCTTGCCATTGGTGCAGTCTGGGATCACGCAGCTTCAGCCTGTTTTCTGCTGCTGTGGGACCTGATCCTGAAGGATTCAAGTTACAAGAAAGAAGATTCCAACTGAATAGAAATACTGTTCTGGAAATAAGAGCTGTTCAGCAGTGGAGCAGACTCCCCAGAAGATGGTGGAGTCTCCTTCCTTGGAAGTTTTTAAGCAGAGGTTGAATGGCCATCAGCCAGGGATCCTTGAGCTGTGATTCCTGCATTGTAGGGGGTTGGAATGGATGGCCTTTGGTGGTCCCTTCCAGCTCTAAAATTCTATGATTCTATATGCGCTCAGCAACATCTGTTTCTCTCCACCCCCTTTAAGCTTATTGCGTAGCCAGATGGAGAGGTCTCAAAGACTTGCTCACTTCTTCGCAGCCTTTCAGTTGGTCCTAATAAATCAAATTCCCTGCTGTTACATTTGGATTTTATTTCCTCTCTTAGACTGCAGTCCTAACTCTACCTGGAAGTTGGCCCCATTGAAATCACCATGACTCAAACTTCTGAGCAGGTGTGGGACTGTGCTGTATAATTAAGCCTTCTAATCTGGGAAACGAAAGAACATTTAAATGCATTCGGCAGTCCTGAAAATAATTCGCCTTTTGGGTAGCTTCGTTTGGCTGCTAGAATCTCGGGGAAGGAGCGTCCCCCATCCATCATGACACCAACCACTGGAGAATCCCCTAGTGCAGGGATTCCCAAATTTTTTAGGGTCACTGCCCCCTTGGTTCCATAGACTCCAGTGCCCCCTACCCTCTAGACAGCATTATTCAGAATAGTGCTTTGCACGACCTTCTAATGAAGATAATAAGGCAATAAAATTCCAAACAGTAGCAGTTAGCTGCGCATTTATTCAAAATCCAATTGAAAATAATGAATACAATGAAATGGATGGACTTGATCCAGCGATGCCAACTTTCCAGATAGTCACCTCCAGTGCCCCCCGTCTGCCCCCTTGCCTCTTAGTGTCCCCCAGGTAATCCCCCCACCCCCAAGAGGGCGCTACTGCCACCCACTTTGAGAACCACTGCCCACACGAGAGGTTCCTCCGCCGCCACCAACTTCTCCAGGTCACCTCTCAGTAGAAGACCTTCTCCAGGTAGGCATTCAGGAACATCCCTCTGGGGTCCAGCTTCTCCCGGATGGAGCAGAACTCCTGGAAGCCAGGGTACATCTTCTCAAAGTCCTTCCGAGTGCACGTGTGGGCCTGTGGGCAGAGAACCGGTTTTACGAAAGTGCCCTTCCTCCCTCTATGTGGGTCTGTATTGGGTGGGTGGAGACTTTTCAGTCTGAGAGGCATGTTCCCTGGTCGGAAACCTTGCAGGGCGAGCATGTCAGTGGTGGGCGGGGCCTATATTGAGAGTGGGTGGGGCCTATATTGAGAGTGGGCGGGGCAGAGCCACTTCACAGGCACACCAATTGAAATTGAAATAGTTTACTGTCACTTGTACAACTTGTGTACAGTGAGATTACGCCAGCACCCCCCACTCAGCTCTCTTAGTCTTAATTCCCCTCGTTTACTGACGCACACCCACCAAACCCGAAAATCAGTTGCCCTGTTGTTATCTTTTCATTCAGCAGCCTAACAGCCCAGGATAGAAGCTGTTCTTTACCCTGTTGGTGCAACTAATCGTGCTTCTATATCTTCTGCCCGAGGGCAGGAGATCAAGAAAGTGCCGGCCAGGGTGTGAATAATCATCCTTGAGAATTTTCCTCACTCTTCTGGGGCAACATTCTTCCGCTACAGTGGTACCTTGGGTTACAGACGCTTCAGGTTACAGACTCCACTAACCCAGAAATAGTACCTTGGGTTAAGAACTTTGCTTCAGGATGAGAACAGAAATCGTGCTCCAGCGGCGCGGCAGCAGCAAGAGGCACCATTAGCTAAAGTGGTGCTTCAGGTTAAGTACAATTTCAGGTTAAAAATGGACCTCTGGAACGAATTAAGTACTTAACCCAAGGTACCACTGTATTTCATCCAGCGGATTAATGGGGCAGCCCATAATATCTTGTGCTGTATTCACCACCCTCTGTAGGCACTTCCTATCAGATGATGTCAAACCAGCGTACCACACCGTGATGCAGTATGAAAGGGCACTTTCTATTGTTGACCGGTAGAAGGAGATCATCAAATGTTGATTGACATCATTCTTTTGCAATATTCTGAGGAGATGGAGTCTCTTTTGGGCTTTCTTAACCACCTGGGTTGTATTTATTCCATGCTCTCAACTCCCTCTTCTTCCCATCTGCCTCCCCTCTTTTGTTCTTTTACATCACTGGGGCGTCAAAAAGAATCCCATTGACATCCACAAAGGTTTATTACAAAGCCTAGTTCCTGTGGGATGGTGATTTTTTTAAATTTTTGGTCTGCGTATGTGGCCACGGCAAACAAGGAGGTTTTACTATTCCTTCCCCAGCTGCAACCTCCTCTAGGGAGTGTTGAATTTTTCAACCTCCTGAAATGAGGGGTGCTAAAAAGATGTAACATGACTTGGGAATAAAAAGGATATTTCGGTTAAATGGCCAAGTACTTGCAGTCGTGGTGTTTATTAATATTGTTATTATTTAGCATCACCTGAAATGTTTAGGAGGTCTGAAAGCGGTTTATGTGCTGCTTCATCAAACGTAAATGTACCAAACTAAATGTTGTCCAAGTACAAAAATAGCTGATTTGAATTCCTCACATTCCAAAATTAAGACACCTCGCTGAAGAAATTTGCAAAAATAAAAAGGCACACAATCTTCCCCTGCCCCCATCCTTATATATAATAATAGTAATTATTATCATCATTATATCCCTCCTTTTCCCCAGATCAGGACTAGTGGGGCAGGTCCAAGTGGTTCCCCCAACCCTCCAGATTTGGGGAAGGTGTAGGATGTGCCCAGGGTGAGGGGGAGAAAACCCCATTGCAGGTGGAAATCCTTGCACTAACGGGACTTATTCCTAATATTTAGTCAGAACCTCCTTTCTTGCAATAGATTCAAAATACAAGAAAGGAGATTCTGGCTAAACATTAGGAAGAACTTTCTGATGGTAACTTCTGTTCAACAGTGGAACAGACTCCCTCAGAAGGTGGTGGACTCTCTTTCACCTCATGGACTACTGCCATGCACTCTACTTGGGGCTACCTTTGAAGGTGACCTGGAAACTGGTGATTGGGAATGGCCACCGGGACCTTATAACACCGATCCTGAAAGACCTGCGCTGGCTCCCAGTACATTTGAAAGTGTTGGTGCTGACGTTTAAAGCCCTAAACGGCCTCAGCCCAGTATACTTGAAGGTGCGTCTCCAGCCCCATCGTTCTGCCCGGACACTAAGGAACCAGGGAAGAGGGCCTTCTCGGTGGTGGCGCCCGCCCTGTGGAATGCCCTCCCATCAGATGTCAAGGAAATAAACAACTATCTCACTTTTAGAAGACATCTGAAAGCAGCCCTGTTTAGGGAAGTTTTTAACGTTTGATGTTTTGTTCTGTTTTTAATGTTCTGTTGAAAGCCGCCCAGAGTGGCTGGGGAAACCCAGCCAGATGGGCGGGGTAGAAATATTTAATTAATTTTATTATAATAATTAATTAATTACTGGGAGCTTTCTAAACAGAAATCGGATGGCCATCTGCCAGGGATTCTTTAGCTGTGATTCCTGCACTGCAGCGGGTTGGATTGGATGACCTTTGGGTATACCTTCCAACTCTACAGTTCTATGAACACTGCCCCCACCTTCGTACCTTTGCCCAGTGAGGTCTCCCTCCAACCTTCTTCATGATGCTCTCGTAGGCGAGCCAGTAGTCAAGGCGCGGGACATCTTTCCCATAGGGCCTGAACGGGATAAAAAAATAAGCTGAACTTTACTCTCCGTTGTGGAACAACATAGCTGAGCGCTGAATGGGAGTTCTATAGCTTGTCTCCAAATGTTTCCATTCTAGCTGGCCGTTACAGGAATGCCAACCAAGGAAGAGTTTTTCCTCCTTGCCAAGCCCTTTTCCTTTTGGGGTCGTGCCTTTTAGATGTTAAGCCTGAGGACATCAGCTGCCCGATCGCTAATATTTAGCTTCTGCCTCATTGATCCACTGTTAGGCTCCTCTGGTCCTCACCACCACCAACCAGATGCCCGTGGGATGTCCACAAGCAGAAACCAGGCACAAGAGACCTCTCTCCTCTTGCTGCTGGTAGTCAGAAGCGCTATTGCCTCTGACCGTGAAGGCAGAGAACAGCCATCACTGCTAGAGGCCAGCAGTAGGCTTATCCTCCAATACCCATCAGGCAACCCGCCTGGACCCGCCTGGACCCGACTCCTCTTACCTGTACATGATGATGTTCATGTAGCAACTGTCCCTTCGGAAGCAGGGGCTCAGCAAGATGTCGTCTCCCCGGGTGAAGCGCACTTCCACTGGGTAGTGGGCCACCACTTTGGGGTTGCTTTCCAGAACCCCCTTCAGCTCCAGAAGAGCCTCCTTCGTTTTCTCACTGTGAGGAGATTGTACGAAAAGACCCAACGCCGTGGAGATCTTGTGCAAGGGGATTACACCCAAATGGGTGTAACGGTCAATGCCTCCCTCCCTTTCACAAGGAACTGCGGTAAGCTGCCGGCCTGGAGATTTGTGGCACCCAGGATGAAGGTTCTCCATCCCTGGCTTAAGACACTCAAATGGACTTTGATCATTTTTTTTGGAAGTCCCTTTCTTCCCTTGGGAACTCTCCAAGGTCCTGAAGGAGTCAGGTCTTGGTCCTCCTGTCAGAACCAGAGATGAGCCCCTATCCTTGCTCCAGAGCAGCCGCCTTCCAGCATTGCTCACTGTCTTGCCTGCTTTATATTAAGAGCAAGACCCTGACTACCGAGTTAGTTAAATATATTGTTGCACGCCAACCCCAATCTCCAAGCGGTGAGAGACTCCAGGGGTTCCCGGTGCTTACCCAGGTTCTGTTTCCTTGGTCAGCACAGACTGTGGTGTTTTTAGGATATTTGGTTTTATCTACCCATACATAGAGACGCGGGTGGCGCTGTGGGTTAAACCACAAAGCCTAGGGCTTGCCGGTCAGAAGGTCGGCGGTTTGAATCTCCGCGACGGGGTGAGCTCCCGTTGCTCGGTTCCTGCTCCTGCCCACCTAGCAGTTTGAAAGCACGTCAAAGTGCAAGTAGATAAATAGGTACCACTCTGGTGGGAAGGTAAATGGCGTTTCCGTGTGCTGCCCTGGTTCGCCAGAAGTGGCTTTTTTATGCCGGCCACATGACCCGGAAGCTGTACGCCGGCTCCCTTGGCCAGTAAAGCGAGATGAGCACCACAACCCCAGAGACATCCGCGACTGGACCTAATGGTCAGGGGTCCCTTTACCTTTAGCTACCGGAGCCAAAGATGAAGGGGCTCAGAGCATTGACACCCCAACAGATCTTGCTTCTCCGTTGGACACAGCTATGACTCCAACACTAAGCAAGCAAATCTCTGTGTTTCCAGCTTCCAGTTCATCTCACACCCCAAAACTCATGTTCTCCTACCTAGCAGCTAAGTGAGGGGGTGGAGGGAAGCTGCCACCCCATTATCCCAAAGGGCCCCATCATTTAGTTATAGCAACCTGGCTCATCCTTTTGGGATGCTGATGAGGATATTTGAGTGGCCAGCTAAGGTCGTTGCCTAACAAAGAAACTTGGCCAGCAACCTCCTTTCTTAAATTCTAACACTACCTGGGTACAGGACCCCAAGGATTTGAAGACACTCAGGGCTTCATGCAGACTGGTGCCCCAAACCCACAACATCATTCAAATTGCAGAGACAACTGCAACCTGAATTTCACATGTGAAAACCCACCCCAGCCCTGATCATCCTGGAATCAGCCCTATTCTTCCAACCCTCCGTACACGAGGTCGAATCAGCTTACATAGGGATGGCCCAATCCTGCACGTGCTGCTTGAAGCGGCACTCGTAGTTGAATATCTTGTAGCTCAAGTTGACGTTCTCCACTTTTCCGGTGAAGAGGAGCCAGAAGAAGAAGCGGTTGATCCAGGGAACCAGGCAGGGCAGGAATGTGCTGATGGAGGAGGAAGAGGAGGAGAGGACAAGGTGGAAGTCAGATGGGCAGAAATCCGAGGTGGGTGGGAATTCGGATACAGGGAACATGGGCTGACCCTTCCTTCTCCCCTTTTTTTGGGCATTGAATTACAAGAGGATCTGTCCTGGAGTGTCAAAACAAGGGGGCTTGTGAAGAAGGCGCAGCAGAGACTGTACTTTTTGAGAATACTAAGGAAAACCATCTTCCGCAGAAACTGCTGCTTGCCTTCTATCACTGTGCCATTGAGAGCGTGCTCACTTATGGCTTATGTGTGTGGTACGGAAGCTGTACTACCCAGGACAGGATGGGGTTGTGCAGGGTTGTTAAGGCAGCAGAGAGCATTGTTGGCTGCCCACTCTCCACCTTAGAGCAGATTTATGCCACAAGGTGCCATAGGAAGGCACTGGACATAGTAAAAGATCCATCGCATCCTGGTCACTGTCTCTTCGAGCTCTTGCCGTCGGGACGGAGATACAGGACGATGAAGACAAGAACGAGCCGTCTTAAGAACAGCTTCTTCTCCAGAGCGATCTCGGCCCTGAATGGGAAGCCCGGACTTTGAAAGGAGAGTAGCTGGGATTGTGCCTGTATATAAGAAACTAAGGTGAGCTTCCTGGATCAGGTCATTAGTCAGCCAGATGCTTTTGGGAAACCCACAAGCAAGCGTGATAGGAATTTTGAGGTCTTAGATATATGTTAAATGTTCATAAGTGTACCAACCAAGCACGTACATAGATCAGCACAGGAAGACTGACCTGAAACCATTTTTGATTCCCAAACTGACCAAATGTTTTCTCTGCAAGGTCAAAGGAAAATGGAAAAGCCTCCCCGTTGTCTTTTCCTTCACAAATCCTGCCTTAAGGGCACATTTAAGATATGAATAGGGTGTGAGGCTGTGACCTGGCTCAGGCTATTTATCATTACAAAAGACTGGCCAGGCTCCCCAGGCAATCCAATCAAGTGACCATTAACAGGTAACCTGTCAAACGAGATAAACAATGCACTCAGATTTCTGCTGTAGACCGCCTTTTCTGTGATGTACGTATGATGTATCTGGGGGGTGGTCTTAGGTTACACCCCTTCTGTGATGTATGTATGATGTATGGAGGGGTGGTCTGGAGCTCCAGGGCAGGGAATTTAAAATGTCTATACAAGGGCAGGCACACCTTTGTTCTGGGTTCCTCCCACCTCCTGCGTGTGGTGAGTGAGGACCCTGTTGCAACAGATCAATAAAGATCAGGCTTACTAGCTGCTTTGCTTCTCAATATTCTCTGGTTGGCCTCTGTTATTTTCTCCTACCAATAGGGAACCTACGTAAGGACTCTATATGGGCTCTTGGATACCCCCATTAGGGAAAAAAGGGCAGATTTTTGTTTACAACACAGGATTCATGCACAAGGACCCTCTCCCCTCCTGTAGTTTCCAGCAATTGGTATTCAAAAGCATTTCTGCCTCTGACCGTGGAGGCATAGCATAGCCAGAATGGCTAGTGGCCACCAATAGCCCTCTCCTCCTCCACGAATTTGTCCTATCCTCTTTTAAAGCCATCTAAGTTGGTGGCCATCACTGACTCCTGTGGCAGGGAGTTCCATAGTTTAACTATGTGCTTTGATGGGAGCAGTGCCCTCTAGGATGAGGAGGGGCCTCAAGGGCATCCCACCTCCCCTTGCAGAAGCCCCCGGCAGCTTTTTCCTTAGCAACTAGGGAAGTGAGTCAGCTACAAGCAGTAGCCTCTTTGCATGGACACAGAGGGCGCTGCTAAGACGCTGTTGATACCAAAGCAAGGCCTTTGCTCGCACACAGCTTCTCCAGCAGAATGAATTCCATGCTGCTTCTGCAGCTCAGAGACAGATGCTTTCGATTGCATATCTAGTAGATTTTGCACACGCTCTACTGCAATAATCTTGGACCATCTAGCATAGTTAACCTATGGAACTCCCTCCCGTCTTCAATCAACGTCTTCAAAACAATGACACTTCTCCTTCTTGCTCCTTCTTGCCTCAGTACAATGCTTGAAGCACCCGTCTTTAAACAGCCCACATTTATTGCATAAAATAAAACGCCACAGGAGTTTGACTTGCTGGTTCCTGGTGCCCCTTCCTATTAAGTCAATCTGTGATTGCATCTTGCAGGAAACCACCACCAGCCAACAGTTATCAGGCCATTGGGGTCAATGGCTTCTGGATTTGTGGCTTTCTCTCCCAAACCCATGCCAGAGAGTGTGTCCTTTCAGCTGCTGCCCACAAGATGGCAGAACAACTGCACACATTGCCCCCCTAACCTGCTCTGGAATAATGGAAGGACCAGACAGAGTTTCAGGCCAAAGATGAGATTCTGAACGTAGGGTGTGATTGTAAGTCAGCAAGCTTCATTTGCCAGCCTTTGACCTTCAACCTCCCACCAAGCAGCTTCTTTGAAATCTGTGGTCCTTCCCACACGAATGCCTTGCCAAGGCACGCTGAATCTCACCTGACCCAAAGGAGGAACTCCAGCAGGTAGTATCCGATCACGTAGTCCCAAAACCAGCTGGCAGAGGAAGCAGGAGGCTGCAAAGACATGTAAGACGGGAGAGAGACAGGCTACAGACATTGCCCAACAGGGAAAATGTGACCTTCAAAACCTTGGCCCAGATCAGCCCCCAGCCATGTAGTTTACATCCCCCCCTGCCCTGAGACTCCACCGATTTGGGTGGCAACGGTGAAACACCCATACAAAACACAGACCTAGCAATGGGGAGGGTGTGGGATGTGATCCATGATTTCCTTGTTTTCCTAGAGTGGACATGCGAGGGAATGTTTGATCTAGCCAGTCGAAACTTCCTGTTCCTCCTGGCTGGAGCATCCTTCCTTTTGCATGTGATAGAAGGTGGGCATGATCTTACCTGTCCAGGTAACAAAAGGACGAGTCACAAGGCCCTTCCCTCTTTTTGACTCCCTTCTTCGTTGGACCAGCTCTCAGCTAGCGGCAGCACTGGGATTATTCCCCCATATGGGGTAGATCCACATGTACATATCTGTAACTAAGTCTGCCTTCAGGAATCCAACTATGAACTGATGTGAGTAAACTCCTTTTATTGACTTTGAATAAGATTGTGGCATTTTTATTTTTAAAGAGGGATTCAAGGGAACTTACCAGGAACATACAATTCAATCTGAGACAGACTGAATTGTATAATAGTGAGAGGCTCACACGAGCCTGCAACCAGCTATCTGCTGTGCATGTTAGAAGGGGAATGTAAACTCTGCTAAGTAAAGTAACTTGGTAGTGCAAGAAAGGAAGGATATTAATAAACAATATATCCGCTCCTGCCACCCTGAACATTCCCACAGAGGGCAAGGCGGTGAGCTTAAAACTGCTCTCTGGTCAGCCCAGGGTCCTGATGAGGAACCAAATCTTCCCCTCTCTGGTCATCAGATTGATCTTTTGATGAGCAGGGATGATCTGCATGAATCAGCTGTGCAGGATGCTGTGCTTGTGTGTATTCATGTGGGAGAGTGGGGGGGGCAATCACACCCACCGCTATCAGGCAGCTCCAGGAAGACCCCCTATGCCAGGAGTAGGGATCCTTCTTAGGCCTTGGGGGTTGGGGGGCAGATATTTACTTCCCTCCATCCCTTGGACCAACGACCTGTCTGTCACCTGGCATCACTATGACATCAGCTGATTGACAGGTGGGTGGTCCTATCCACCTGTTGATCCCCTGATACCATCCCATCCAGCTGTTAAAGCTGTGTCTCAAGTTTGGCAAGGAGACACTAACTGAGCAGGGTTCAACTCCTACATGTCACCTGATGGACGGCTGTGCATGTTTCGATCCTGATTTCTGCAGAGAAAGCAGCCACCTCTCTGCGTACCAAACACCTGGTGTGACATATAATGTGAGGTGCAGGGCGGGTGGGAATGGTCTGGGCAAAACAGCCTTGCAGGCCAAATGGAGAGGCCTGGTGAAGCAATTTTGGCCTGTGGGCTGGAGGTTGCCTCAGTTTATGCCTATTATTATTATTATTATTATTATTATTATTATACCCCAGCCACTCTGGGCAGCTTCCAGCAGAATATAATGCATAATAAAAAAAAAAACTTCCCAATACAGGGCTGCCTTCAGATGTCTTCTAAAAGTTGTGTAGTCCTTTATCTCCTTGACATCTGATGGAGCATAGTGACCTGTGGAGTTATAATCCCTTCTTTCAATTCCTTCCACCCTCCCCAAAAAAAAGACTTTACGGTCCTTTCTGCTGGCCACCTGAGCATCGACTTACCTTGTTGGTGTGGTCTTGATAGATGACGCTCACGTTCTCAGTGTGAGGGAACCAAAGGAAACGGAAATACTCAGATTTCTTCAGGTGGCTGTCTAGGTTGTCCAGGACCTGGCAGAGGGAAAAGGAGACAAGAGTGGATGGGCTAGAAGCTGAATGGAGGAAAGCACTGCTCAGGTTTCCTGTCCAGGCATGTTGGTCAACAGAACAGCATCTGCTTCCCTCCAGATGTTTTGCGACTACAATTCCCATCACCCCTGACCACTGGTTCTGTTGGAAGTTGTAGTACCAAAACATCTGGAGGGCCAAGTTTGGCCAGGCCTGATTTAGATGGACCAAAGATCTGACTCAGCATAAGGGAGCATCCCGAAGGAAAGTCAGGTGTGTTGAAAAACTCAGTCCCGGGTGCAAAACTTGCAGCACCTTGAGAGAAAATGATTCCCAGTGTAATGGCCACATCGGGGGCTTTCAGTCTGGCTGACCCTGTTCTGCAGAACAGCATCCATACGAAAATACGAGAGGTGCCCCACTTGGTGCAGTTTTTGGAAACTGAAATATACTCGGAGTCCTGTAGTGATTTCATGCTCTTTATTGCAGCTTGTTGAAGAACCTTTTAATGAGGGTGAAAGAGGAGAGCGCAAAATATGGTCTGAAGCTCAGCATCAAAAAAACTAAGATCATGGCCACTGGGCCCATCACCTCCTGGCAAATAGAAGGGGAAGAAATGGAGGCAGTGAGAGATTTTACTTTCTTGGGCTCCATGATCACTGCAGATGGTGACAGCAGTCACGAAATTAAAAGACGCCTGCTTCTTGGGAGAAAAGCAATGACAAACCTAAACAGCATCTTAAAAAGCAGAGACATCACCTTGTCAACAAAGGTCTGTATAGTTAAAGCTATGGTTTTCCCAGTAGTGATGTATGGAAGTGAGAGCTGGACCATAAAGAAGGCTGATCGCCGAAGAATGGATGCTTTTGAATTCTGGTGCTGGAGGAGACTTTTGAGAGTCCCATGGACTGCAAGAAGATCAAACCTACCCATTCTTAAGGAAATCAGCCTTGAGTGCTCACTGGAAGGACAGATCGTGAAGCTGAGGCTCCAAGACTTTGGCCACCTCATGAGAAGAGAAGACTCCCTGGAAAAGACCCTGATGTTGGGAAAGATGGAGGGCACAAGGAGAAGGGGATGACAGAGGACAAGATGGTGGGACAGTGTTCTCGAAGCTACCAGCATGAGTTTGACCAAACTGCGGGAGGCAGTGGAAGACAGGAGTGTCTGGCGTGCTCTGGTCCAGGGGGCCACGAAGAGTCGGACATGACTAAACAACAACAACAACAAAAAGGTCTGAGGACTAGGCAAAGGAGTAAAAAGGAGGTCAGAACCTTTTTTCTTTCAAACACTGGCAGTATTCCCTCCATCATTTGGGTTCCCTGAACCTTTTCCAGAGTCGGACATGACTAAACGACTAGACAACAACAACATTGCAGCTTGTAAAACAGTGATTGAATTGCCCCCCAAACCTCAGGCTTTTATATGCAGCCATACCTCATGTTACGTCCGCTTCATGTTACATTATTTCAGGTTACGTCCCGCGGTGACCTGGAAATACCGGAAAGGGTTACTTCCGGGTTTTGCTGCTCGCGAATATGCAGAACCGCAAAATGACGTCACAGGCATGCACTGAAGCGGCGAATCCCAACCCGCACGTGTGCAGACACACCGCTGTGGGTTGCGCTCTTTTCATGTTGCAAAGGGGCCTCCGGAACAGATCCCGTTCACAACCAGAGGTACCACTGTACACTATTTACACAATGAGTCCCGTCTGATTGGCTGATTCTGCTTCCCTCCTGGAGCCTGATTGGTCTTTTCCTGCAGGCCAATCCGTTCTACGATCCTACCAGCCTAATAGGCTGATCAACTTCCTCCTGGAGCCTGATTGGTCTTTTCCTGCAAGCCAATCAGTTGCTGCCTTCTAGGATCCTACTTGTCTATCGTTCTAGGATCCAAGCTTAGTAACATAACAGAAACAATGGAAGACGCCTTTGTTTGGCAAGCTTTTCCAGCAGGATGAAAAGAGAAAGTTAGATCTCTGAGGCTTTGGGCCTTTTTATTTGTATTGTTTTTAAACCAGAGGTGGATTTAGGGCAGCACGACTGGTTCCCCCGCCCCGGACAATGATGACATAGTAAATTGAGCCGAACAGAAGGCGAGAAACAGAGAGGAGCTAAATTTTCACCTCGCAAGGAGCGCCGCTTAAATTTGAAAAGACAAAGTCTGCCCCTGTTTAAATCTATCAGGGTTTTTTTTGGGGGGGGGTGTGGATTCTGGTTATACCTATTTTTAGTTGTTTTTAGGGTATGACATTGAAATTTATGTGAAAGGTGGTAACATAACAAGGAGAAGGAAGATGAGGGAGGGGGGAGGTTTGAAGAAGAAGCCCGATGCAGCGAAAACACCTTTCTGATTTATCGTGGTGCAAACCTTTGAGAACTAACATCCATTTCAACAGATGCGCAAGGCATTATCCTCAGCTGACAGGCATGGCAACCATAGAAAGTGGTGCCAAACAGTCACGACATGCAAAATCTTCACTCTGTGGAAATTTTTGGCAAAGCTCAAATGTATTTGAAGACACATCGATTGAGAATTCAGAGTAACAGTGACTGGAGGTACAACACAACCCTCCTAGCTTTTAATAGGTTACAGGTGGGGACTCAAATTCGGCGACATGACGGCATCTTATTATGGAACGTTTCCTTCCAGGTTCTCACCTTGCAGAGTCCCAAAGTCCAGCGTCAGTAGCTGTAATGTTCTGATTTCTAGCCTCCATTTATTGGTTGGGGGAGGACAGGTTTGGTAGAGGCAACGGAGCTTTTTCATTCTGAGGAATTATCCCTTGCGGGGTGGTGATGGTTATTCTCGACTGCCGCTAACTTAGCAGCATCATTAAGAAGATGGAACTGCTTAAAGCTTGCTCTCTCCATCTTCCAAGCACCACCTTGAGATGCAGCCCACAGGCTCCTGATGGATCGGCTGCTTTTGCTGTGATCCAAAGACTTTACTGCTCAGTTCTCTTGCTCAGGCTTCCCCAACCTGGTGCCCTGAGCACTCTCAGAAGGCAGGAGTCCAGCCCTGTCTTTTATTGGGGTGGGGGGTGGGGAACAGCAAGATCTGTGGCTCTGAATAATAACAATAACAATAACAATAACAACAACAACAACAACAATTTATTATTTATACCCCGCCCATCTGGCTGGGTTCCCCCAGCCACTCTGGGCGGCTTCCAACAAAACACTAAAATACAATAACCTATTAAACATTAAAAGCTTCCCTAAACAGGGCTGCCTTCAGATGCCTTCTAAAAGTTTGGTAGTTGTTTATCTCTTTGACATCTGATGGGACGGCATTCCACAGGGTGGGTGCCACTACCGAGAAGGCCCTCTGCCTGGTTCCCTGTAACTTGGCTTCTCGCAGGGAGGGAACCGCCAGAAGACCCTCGGCGCTGGACCTCAGTGTCTGGGCTGAATGATGGGGGTGGAGACACTCCTTCAGGTATACTGGACCAGGGCCGTTTAGGGCTTTAAAGGTCAGCACCAACACTTTGAATTGTGCTCGGAAACGTACTGGGAGCCAATGTAGGTCTTTCAAGACCGGTGTTATATGGTCTCGTCGGCCGCTCCCAGTCACCAGTCTAGCTGCCGCATTCTGGATTAGTTGTAGTTTCCGGGTCACCTTCAAAGGTAGCCCCACGTAGAGCACATTGCAGTAGTCCAAGCAGGAGATTAGAGCATGCACCACTCTGGCGAGACAGTCCGCGGGCAGGGAGGGTCTCAGCCTGCATACCAGATGGAGCTGATAAACAGCTGCCCTGGACACAGAATTGACTGAAACAGAATTGACTGGACACGGAATTGAATGAAAAGCACCCAGGAGCCACACCAGCTGCTGCGATTCATCCTCCATCATCACTCATTTCTCGCATGACATTCATCTGTATATTTGGGCATTGCCAGGACAGTTCACAGAAGGTGCATGTCATAAGCAATGAAGGCATCGCCCAATCCGGCCCTAAGCTTTGCTGAAGAGCAACAGCTGGCTGGTGCCCAGAGCCCTGAGTCCAGAATTGCTCTCACTTTGCCGATTGTGAACCCATTTCTCTCTCTCTTCACTGAGCAGCTGTATACACTGGCTCCATCTTAAAAAGTTATGTTCAGGAAAGAAAGCAAAACATCAGTGCACGTCGGTGCAATGGTCCATGCTAATGAATTTAATGCAGTTAAAAGCGGCAAATTAGCAGCAGATCCACCTAATTTAAGAAGGCCAACGGGCTCCTGCTCCCAGTTACTTCATTATCCAGGCTCCTTCGCGGCCACGCTCTGTCCTCTGAAGAACTAATGGATCGACACGTGCCAATTATGGCTTCGCTTTTGCTGGTGGTGCAGAGTACATGTCTCAAAAAACAAACCCCATTTTGGATGAGATTTAGGTGGAGCGTTTGTCCCTCTCCTCGTATCACTAAGACTTGTGGGCATGCAACGAAGCTGGATGTCCGACTTCTTCATGCGGCGCACAGTTGGACTGTGGAACTCACTGCCACAGGAGGCAGGGATGCTCACCAACCTATATAGCTTTGAAAGAGGATTAGACAAAGCCATGGAGGGGGGCCGGCTATTGATGGTTACCAGCCACAATGACTATGTTCTGGCTCCACGGTTGGAGGCAGCGGTGCTTCTGAATCCCAGTTGCTGGGAACCACAAGAGGACAAAGAGCTCTTCTGCTCGAATCCTGCTTGTGGATTTACCTTTGGAGAATCTGTTTGGCTCCTGTGAGGACAGCATGAAGGACATAATAATAATACGATACAATACAATAATCTTTATTGTCATTGATTGTCCCATACAGAACAACGAAATTGGAAAAAAAACTACATCAGACATTCAGAAACCAACAAGCCTGCTATCCTAGCTATTCCAGCCTGGCTAGTCCCCTAAAACTCTGATACCCCATAATTAAATACAATATACTCCCATACAGACTCCTTACATTGTGTTTAAAACCAAAATCGCATTTGGATAGAAACTGTTTCTCAGGCGGCTAGTCCTAGTCTTTATAACCCTGTACCTTCTTCCAGAAGGCAGAAGCTGAAAGAGATCATTTCCGGGGTGCGCACTATCCTGCGCTATCTCTGCAGCTTTCTTATGGCACCTGGAAGCATAGATTTGATCCAAGGTGGGAAGAGTGCACCCAATTATTCTCTCAGCAGTCTTTACAACCCTGGACAGCATGGTTTTTCCCCTGACCGTGCAGCTCCCAAACTACACACACAGACCGTAAGTTAATACACTCTCAACAGTACAATGGTAAAATGCCATCAAAATAATAATAATTAATAATAATAATAATAATAATAATAATATATAAAAAATACTTATACCCCGCCTTCCCCAGCCAAAACCGGGCTCAGAGCGGCTAACATCAAATATATAACATATTACCATAAAATCAAGCAATCAATTAAAATACATCCTAAAATCAAATCAGAATCAAAGTGAAATGCAATCAGATGGCAACCCGCAAATTAGGGATGGGGACCCTAAATGCTCACCAGGCCTAACTGTTTATACTGATCTTATATGAGCCTGTGAGAAAAGTTGGGGGGCCATTTTCATGCAAGTTCTTATAAGGAGAAAGGGGAAGTCAGACTGGGGGAGTCAGACTGGACCCTGGCCAAAGGCCTGGCAGAACAGCTCCATCTTGCAGTCCCTGCATAAAGATGTCAGATCCCGCAGGGCCCTAGTCTCTTGTGACAGAGTGTTCCACTAGGTTGGGGCCACAGCCGAAAAGGCCTTGGCCCTGGTCGAGGCTAGTCTAATCTCCTTGAGGCTCAGGACCTCCAAGATGTTATTATTTGCGGACCGTAAGGTCCTCCGTGGGGCATACCAGGAGAGGCGGCCACAGAGGGGCTATTCTTGTGTTCTTATGTAAATCTTTGCTTCTTATTTAAAGGGGACGGGAAGTGAGGAAACTTTTGGCAGCCAAATTGCATGGAGAAGTTGGTAAGGAATTGAGCCCTGCTGAGATGGAACTTGGCCGTCAGAACGGGAAGGAAGGAAGAGGAGAGGCACAGATTGCCCTGCAGTTAAGTGGATTAAAATTGGATCGCAGGCTCCGCAGCTGTTCTAGCAGCTGTGGTTTGCATTCCCACCAGGTGCATCAAACCAACAGTAATCGCCGCGCTCCCAGCCCTCTGCCGCTTTAAATGTATGTTTTGAAAAATCACAAACATTCCTTCTGAGCCTAACGTACCTTGCGGGGTGGCTCTGAACGAGTTTTTATGCGGGGGAAAGGGCACCGATGGCCGTCCTCGCTCGCCTACACAGCTCCTCCGGCAGTGAATAGCGGGATTATGAAATTCAATTGGCGCAATGAAATGTAACATCTAAACCCCGTGGCACCATTGATTTGCACCTTTTCAAGAAAAGCACTTTGGAAGGCAAGCAGAAATAACGATTTTGAAAAACCACAGGTGCTGGCACAGGGGCCGAGCGCCAAAAAGAATCGTTGCCATGATTCCCAGGCTGGAACGTACGAGCAAAGGCTGTCGAGTAAAAGATGGAGGTTCTCTTGAGGTTCCAGGAGTCGTTCTGCTCCAGGTGTGCCCTTTGCAAGCAAATCCACGGCTGGAGGCAGCAATGCGTCTGAATTTCAGTTGCTGGAAACCACAGGAGGGGAGATTGGCTTTGTGTGCGAATCCTGCCCACAGGCACCGGGTTGGCCACTGTGAGAACAGGATTGCTGGACTAGTTGGGCCATTGGCCTGATCCAACAGCCTCTTATCTTCCAAGGGGGAAACCACCTGCCTCTGACAGGATGCAGAAATCCTTCCAGGAAAAAGGCTTTTGCCCTTGCAGCTGGCAGGATTCTTCACTGCCCAATATTGCTTTGGTAACCTCTAAGAAAAAAGCCAGTTGTCTTTGTCCATGGAGTTTTCTTGGCAGGGATACTGGAGTGGCTTGCCGGTTCCTGCTCCAGGTGGATCACGTTTGGTCAAAACTCTCCACTATGACCATCTTAGGTGGCCTTACACGGCATAGCTCATAGCTTCTTTGAGTTATTCAAGTCCCTTTGCCATGGCAAGGCAGTGATCCATGAAGGAGACAGCATTTTAAAAAGCAGAGACATCACCTTGCCAACAAAGGTCTGTATAGTTAAAGCTATGGTTTTCCCAGTTGTGATGTATGGAAGTGAGAGAAGAAGAAGAAGAAGAAGAAGAAGAAGAAGAAGAAGAAGAAGAGGAGGAGGAGGAGTTTGGATTTGATATCCTGCCTTTCACTCCCTTTAAGGAGTCTCAAAGCTGCTAACATTCTCCTTTCCCTTCCTCCCCCACAACAAACACTCTGTGAGGTGAGTGGGGCTGAGAGACTTCAAAGAAGTGTGACTGGCCCAAGGTCACCCAGCAGCTGCATGTGGAGGAGCAGGGACACGAACCCGGTTCCCCAGATTACGTGACTCTTAACCACTACACCACACTGGCTCTCTAGAGCTGGACCATAAAGAAGGCTGATCGCCAAAGAATGGATGCTTTTGAATTCTGGTGCTGGAGGAGACTCTGGAGAGTCCCATGGACTGCAAGAAGATCAAACCGATCCATTCTTAAGGAAATCAGCCCTGAGTGCTCCCTGGAAGGACAGATCCTGAAGCTGAGGCTCCAAGACTTTGGCCACCTCATGAGAAGAGAAGACTCCCTGGAAAAGACCCTGATGTTGGGAAAGATGGAGGGCACAAGGAGAAGGGGACGGCAGAGGACGAGATGGTGGGACAGTGTTCTTGAAGCTACCAGCATGAGTTGGACCCAACTGCGGGAGGCAGTGGAAGACAGGAGTGCCTGGCGTGCTCTGGTCCATGGGGTCACGAAGAGTTGGACACGACTAAACAACAAACAACAACAAGAAAAAAGCAGCCACGGGAGAGAGAGCGAGAAGGAGGGTAGCCTTACATAAGCACTAATCTGTGGCAGAGACTAGACCGAGGCTTCTTTCCACAACGTATATCCGCTGCCAGAGCTGAGGACATCTCCTCCCTTGGCATGAATATTTCAAGCCTCTCCACGCTCGCTCGCTCCCCTTCCACTTCGCTGGGCCCACCGACACAGAGACTGGGAAATGGGCCCTGACAGGCAGGATTAATGGGGAGATTAGCATTTACATGGTGCTTCCCTTCTCTGAACAAATCTGGATCTGGTCCTCGGTGTTTACATGCCCCTGTCCTGAGCCAGAGAGGTCTGCATTCTCTGCAGCCGCTTTGACGCTGTGGTTTGGAAAGACGCCTTGAATCTACGAGAAAATACGAAGCAACTGAAGGCTGCTGGTTGCAAACAGAGAGTCCTGGAGCTACTGGCGTTGCAAAGATAATGAACTTTAAGAAGAAAGGAAAGTTTGAGTCAGGGATGTCCCTGACGACACAGAACGCTTGAGAGCTAAGCCGCTCCTAAAGAAGACGAATTGGACAATTACTGCGCCCATTTATCATGCGGACGCTATCTTTGGTAATGGATGTTGCTTCTCTACTTGAAGGTTGAAAAGGAAGGTAGCAGCGAACGTGGAGGAGCAGGCGGTGCCCATGGCTGATTTGTCTCATGGCCGCCTCCTGAGATGAGTGCGAGTTACATGATCAGCCTGGCTTCTGTTTTCTCCTCCGGGTCCAGCACAGAAGTCCAAACAGATTCGTCCAGGGTTATGGCAAGTGGGTGGACTGGCAATTTGGCCGAGGCCACTAATGGTTTTCGCCTCCCCAGGAAGAACGGTGGTGGTTTTTTTAAACAAAAAAAGCAAGCCTTGATGGTTATTTGCTGGCGCACATAGAATAGAATCATAGAAGTGTATGGTTAGAAGGGAACCCAGGGGTCACCTAGTCTAAACCCTTGCAATGCAGGAATCGCAGATAAAGGAATTCAAGACTGTAAGGAGAGCCTGGATCAGGCCAAAGGATCTAGTCCAGCTTCCTCTTCTCGTAGCGGCCCAAAAGATGCCCCAACTGCAAGCCCATAAGCAGAGAGAGAGTGAGTCAGTGTGCTTTAGTGGTTAAGAGCGGTGGACTCGTAATCTGGTGAACCGGGTTCGCTTCCCTGCTCCTCCACATGCAGCTGCTGGGTGACCTTGGGCCAGTCACACTTCTCTGAAGTCTCTCAGCCCCACTCACCTCACAGAGTGTTTGTTGTGGGGGAGGAAGGGAAAGGAGAATGTTAGCCGCTTTGAGACTCCTTGGGGAGGTGATAAAGCGGGATATCAACTCCAAACTCTTGTCTTCTACTCTTCAGAGTCAGAGAGCAACAGTGTTCTCCCTATTTGCGATCCCCAGAAACTGGCAGACTGCCTCCGACGCTGGAGGGACAGCATGGCCTTCTGTGTTACGGCCCCCTGACCAGAATGCCCTTCCTGTTGAAGTATAGGTGGTGGAGCTTTGGATGGGCCCCACCAAATACCATTCTCCTGGGCATCTGGAGTAAATGAGAGAGACCATCCATTGGTTCTGGTATCGTCACGGTGTTGTCCTTGGGAGTTAAATTTATTGGTCGCTTTCATCATTGTTGGGTCTTTGATGTGTATGTTGTACATTATGTATTGCTGGCAAATTTGGGTGTTCGAGGAGGGGAAGCACCTCTGGTGGGGAATGTGTCCTGCTCCTTCTGGGGCAGTTTGTCTACATCTGGTCTTCTCCCTGACTCAGCTCTCACTTGTGGCTCCTAGAAGCTGTCACAGCAGCCACAACCCTAGGAAACGGCTTGGAAATGGTGTGAGGGCAGCCGATAGGTCTCAAACCCTCCATGACATAGGGACCTCCCTGCATGCGAAGACAGGCTCCGGCAGATTGAGCAGACGAGACCAAGAGTGCGTCCAACGGTCAAGTCGGCAGTTTCTGAATGTGCTGCAGAGAGAAGTCAGATGGGGAGTTTAGCCCAGGCATAGGCAAACTCGGCCCTCCAGATGTTTTGGGACTACAACTCCCATCATCCCTAGCTAACAGGACCAGAGGTCAGGGATGATGGGAATTGTAGTCCCAAAACATCTAGAGGGCCGAGTTTGCCTATGCCTGGTCTAGGAAGGCTCTGATCCTGAACCTCCACCACCTTGCAGGATATCTTCAGGAGAAGAAAAGGCTAGGGAGTAAACCCTACACACATCTGGACTGGGGTCCCTAAGACGCTTGGATGGCACCTCGTATGCCAACTCCTGCCACCAAGCTGGTGTCAAACGTCTTGCTCTGCTTTTGTGATGGCCTGGGATTTGGATTCGGATGCTGAACCTGAGGAATCCCAGCCTGCACAGGATTCCCCGCCTCCAGAACCAGCTGAGCCGGGGCTGGGGCATGAGCCCGAAGGGTCCTCACCTGTGCTGGATCCTCAGGTGCAGGCACCAGCTGAGTCTGCTCTGGCTCCTGAGGTGATGGAGGACCCATAGCCTGCAGGTGCTCCACTCTCAGCCCCGTCAGAGGAAGTGGAGGTTGCCTCTGGGTCCAGGAACCCTCCAGCCTCTCCTGAGCTGCAGAGGCTCAGGGCAGAGAGGCAGAGGGAACTAAGTTCCTGCAGGAGGCGTGCTCGCCTACAGGCCTGGAGAGGCGAGTCACCTGAGGATCGGGGCCGCCCTGTGCCTTTGAGCAGATAAAAGCCAGCCAGCCCCAGTCCCAAGTTGCGGGAGCAACATTGTTGGTAGCCTGTTCCTGCCTGCACCCTGTCCTGCCGGAGTTCCTGACCACAGCAGACTCCTTGCCTTGGACCCAGCTTCAGCTTTGACGGACAGCCTCCATACTGCACCTTCGACCTCAGACTGGCCTCGGATCTCGCCTCTCGGTTAGCCCACGGGACCAGCACAGCTTTCCTTTGGACCACAACAGGGAGGCTGAGAGGGGGGTCTCCATGTACACTGCCCAAGCTTGCACTCTGGAGTGGTCACTTCAGTGCTGCAAACACAATGGTTGGACTTCACCCCCGGAGGCTCACTCCATTACATCTTGAGATAGACAGATGCCAACAACAAACATTGTGTGCTGGTCCAGGGGGGAGGTTACCGTGGGGCGAGGTCCAGGACCTGAGTCGAGGGTCGGCAGACAGTCCTCCACGGGTGAAGCGGGGTCCACAGCGAGGAGCCGGGCAAGAACAGGAACTCTGGGGGAACAGGACTGGATGCTGGCCGAAACAGCTCATCAACAACGTTGCTCCCGCAACCTGGGACCGGGCTGACTGGTCTTTATCTTCTCTGAGGCCAGGGGCGGTCCCGGCCCCCAGGAGACCCGCCTCTCCTGGCCTTAAGGCGAGCACTCCTCCTGGGAGAAACCAGTTCCCTCCGCCTCTCTGCCCTGAGCCTCTGCAGCTCAGGAGAGGCTGAAGGGTTACTGGACCCAGGGGGAGACTCACCTGTAGGCACTGTGTCCTCAACCATCTCCGGAGCCAGAGTGGATTCACCTGGTGCCTGCTCCTGAGGATCCGGCACAGGTGCAGGCGCTTCAGAATCAAGCCCCTGCCCCAGTTCAGCCGGCCCTGGAGGCGGGGACTCCTGTGCAGGCTGGGATTCCTCCGGTTCAGCCTCTGAATCGGATTCCCAGGCCATCACACATTGGAAACTGTCCCAGGATCATTTTGAGGCAGATTTAGAAATAAATAAAGAGATTTTTAAAAGGCGCTCCTGCCAGGAATGTAAGCTGGGGTGCTGAGTCTTGGTGGTGAGACGAAGAGGACTTTGACCACGAGGAGGACAAGAATAAATTCTGATGACTCGGGAAACAAAGGTCTGGGCACCGTCTGCAGACATGGCACATTCCTCAAAGTTATCTATTCTTAGCCCATAACAATGTTTGGGGGGAAAAGGCAATGTTGGTCTTAGGGCAACACAGAAGAGGTCAGAGGCCAGGATGATGTAGTGTTGAGAAACTGCTTCTCGTTCATCTGGCTATTTATGGTCTGCCGCACAACTATTTCAGGTATGCTGGATGTTTTGTAATGACTGTGCATAGTTATTCCATCCCTGCTGGTAATCCCATAAGAAGTAGGCGTTGTTGATTGTATTATGGCCACCAAGTTGGATACCATCACAAATTGCTTAGTCAAAGTAACAGAGGAAAAGGCTACTACCCATGGTGATTGGCCTCAATGGCAATGTTTTAACTCTGTGGTCTATGAACTCTGTGGTCATTGTGCCTATGAACAGCAGTTGCTGGAAACCACAGGAGGGAGAGAGGGCTGGTCTTGTGTTCGAATCCTGATTGCTGGTTTCCCAGTGGGGCATCTGTCTGGCACCTGGGAGAACAGGGTGCTGGCCTGATCCAGCTGGCTCTTCTAATGGTGATGCAGCAGGGACCCCCCTGAACTGTCAGCGTCAAATTAATTTCATTAGTAAGAAACCAGTCTATCTGCCTAAGAGCTGAACTACATGTTATAACCAAGTTGCATGACTGAAACAGCCCAAGTAATTTGGGTGATGCAATTTGGGTAAGGAGGAGAGGGTGCTTAATCGTTCAGCTCAGCTCCAACTCTCTAGCTTAAATCCCTCCAAAGCTTAGGAACATATGAAGATAGATCAGGCAATAGGGGCCAATCTAGTCTAGCTTTCAGAGTGGCCAACTAGATGCCTCTTCAGACAAACCCTGAAGCATGACCTGAGTTCAAGAGCAACTTTCCCCCCTCGGTTTACAGCAACTGGAGGGACACGGGTGGCACTGTGGTCTAAACCACTGAGCCTCTTGGGCTTGCTGATTGGAAAGTTGGCGGTTCAAATCACTGTGTCGGAGTGAGCTCCTGTTTTCTCGGTCCCTGCTCCTGCCAACCTAGCAGTTCGAAAGAACGCCAGTGCAAGTAGATAAATAGGTACCGCTGTGGCGGGAAGGTAAACGGCATTTCCATGCACTCTGGCACTCGTCACCCTAACCTCTCCATTCTGAAGGAAATCAGCTCTGAGTGCTCACTGGAAGGACAGATCCTGAAGCTAAGGCTCCAAGACTTTGGCCACCTCATGAGAAGAGAAGACGCCCTGGAAAATATCCTGATGTTGGGAAAGATGGAGGGCACAAGGAGAAGGGGACGACAGAGGACGAGGTGGTGGGCAGTGTTCTCGAAGCCACCAGCATGAGTTTGACCAAACTGTGGGAGGCAGTGGAAGACAGGAGTGCCTGGCGTGCTCGGGTCTAGGGGGTCCACGACTAAACAACAACAATGTATAATTTGGACTATTTAATGTGATTTGATTGGATTGTTAAAGTGGAAACTTTAATAAAAAGGAAATAAAAATGTAACCTCCAAAAACTCTTTGGGTTGGCTTTTGTAACTCGCTCTCACAGTAGCTTTTTATTTAAAAATAAAGGGAAGGAGGGTATCAGCTGAAGGATGCGATAAGGCAGAGGGAGTTCCATGAAACCTCATTACTACCCTCATGATGATGTGCTCGAGGCAAAGAGAATAGGAGAGCTAATGAGCACAAAATGGACATAGCAAATGAGGAGACGACGACACGGGACTTCAATGGCTCAATGGCAGAGCCAGGCAGTTCTGCTGGACATAAAAGCCGCATCTGCTTGCACAGCCCATTGCTGCGGCTCAGGGGCAAAACCAGGAGCAATGAGACGCATAATGCGCGAGGGCCAAAGGGAATTGTTCATGGCAGCAGCGGGAGGCACAACGAAACAAACAGCCTCCGCCACCCTTCTCCTAACTCTGCACCATTAAGCTGCGCTGGAGAAGAGGCAAAGCTTTGGGGGGAAGCGATTTAATATTTAAGAGCATTTATGCAACTGGTGGGAAGCAAGCAAAGCAAACCTGGGGGGAAAGCTGGTTGTTGTTGTTGTTCAGTTGTTTAGTCATGTCCAACTCTTCATGACCAATATCTCTATCTTTTTCTACTTTGTAACTCATCGTATATTTCTCCTTACAAAACTTCTTGTAGTCCTACTAGCGTAATTTGTTGATTACAGTTGCCCTTCAAATAATTCATATACTTCTTCCAATCTTCCCTAAATCTCTGGTCCCGCAGGTTTCGAATCCTTCCTGTCATTTTGTCCAATTCTGCGTAGTCCATTCATTTCGTCTGCCATTCTTCTTTCGTCGGAATTTCTTCTTCCATCCAAACTTCCTACTGGGATGCAAATGGAAGCCCGGAGAGGTCAAAATGCCACAAGAGTGCAGCTCTGCAGCTCTTCTTAATAAGATTTGCGGGGGCCACATATCATGTGCGATCTGCATTTCCTTGGGGGGGGGGGGTTGGGTTGCGTTTTGTCAGTCCTGCTGCCTGTTTATGAGAGAGCTTGATTTCAGAGGACAGGCCAGCCCCAAAATAGACCCTTCCAGGGCAGATGCTGCCTTCGTCAAATGCCTGCCTGAACATCGATCACGGCCGAGGTTGGCTTGTTTCTCTGGCCGATGGAGGCGATCCGCCTTGCAGCGCAACGCCCAGGGAAGAGAGTCGGCTGTTTTTTACCTTTGAACTGAGGTTGACCCAAAGAGCCAGGCGAGACACAGGCGCAGGGAGTGTGAATGTCGAAAGAGCCCTTTCTCTGCTCTCACAATGGCCAACCAGATGTCCATTATGGGAAACCAACAACCAGGATTTGAACACAAGACCCAATCTCCTCTCCAAAAGTGGAGGCATTGTGGTTAGGAACCACCGATAGAAATCGCCAAACCTCTGAGCGCTTTAGACAGCGACTTTAAAAGCAGACTTTTGGTTATCTTAATGGTTTACCTCTTTCTCCCCAATATACAGATTTCCCCCTCACTTTTGCCATCTTCAGAAACCACCCTTGTTCCAAACACGAGATATATTTAGAAACCTTGATGCTCTGTGCTTTTGCTCTCAAGACACGACCTCTCAAGAAATTCAGCAAATTAATTTGATTATCTGATTACATAATTAAACGCAGCTCTATTTTATATTTATTTTGGTCTCTGCCTATCTAGATATAGGCCTGGAAGAGACAATCTCTCCACAACTTCACCACTTCCTGGCAGAGGGACGCTTCCTGTGTGGTCATTTTAACAACTTACACCTTACAGGTGGAAGTGAATCCGCAACCTGATTGGCCTACAGGAGAATCCCGGAGTTAGCCAATCACGTGGGGCCCATTGTGGAAATAATATATATAAAGCAGACAGTTCGGGAAAACTTCCATTCCTCACTACTATGAGCTGAATAAAGCGCATGAAATCCACTCTCGACTCCGAGTATTTTTCAGTCCTTTTCTGGAATCCCTGGAGAGCTGATGCCAGTCAGTGCTGGCAATACTAGCCTAGATGGACTTGGTATAAAGACAGCTGCCTCTGCTTCCTTGTGCTCCAGCTCCTTGGCTGGTTTGGGTGTTCCTTTCTGACACCTTTCTGAGCTCTGCAATATCCTTTTTTGAGATGGGCTGGCTGGGGAGGAACTCCCTCGCCCCGGCATATGCTCACTATGCTAACCTCAGTCCTTCTGGCCATGACTGACGCCCCTTTAGATCCCTTCGCTCCATTTCCCTCGCAGCCACCGCCTTCAGGCTCCCGGATGCTCCCATCCTGCACTGCCTGGTCGTGAACCCCCAGAGGTGAACTGCAAAGCAAACCCAATTCATCACTGTCAACCCGAAGGTGTCCCTTCTGTGCCGCTGTAGTGAGTGCCCGGCGGTGTCCTCAGCAAAGCAGCGGAGTGCATGCAAAATGTCCTGACCTCAGTGCAGCTCAAAGAGACCTCAGCTAGGAAAGTGAGGAAAAGAAAAGGCTTATTTCAGCCTCAGACCTTGGAGAGAGGCTATGGAGCAAAACCTGGTCCACGTCGCATTTTAATGCAAGCCCCACCTAACCCAACTCTACAGTTCTGCGACTCTACGATTCTAATCCTTGCTTCCGGAAATCATGCACAAATCATGCACACAGCTATCCCTCAAGAAATCGCCCCTTCCCTGATTTTTGTGGTAGGGCTCGTCAGCCAAAAGCAATGTTCACAAAAATGACTGCATTAAGAGAAAATATGCACAAAAATGGACACAGTGGTACCTCGGGTTAAGTACTTAATTCGTTCCGGAGGTCCATTCTTAACCTGAAACTGTTCTTAACCTAATGGGGCCTCCAGCTGCCGCTGCACCACCAGAGCACGATTTATGTTCTCATCCTGAAGCAAAGTTCTTAACCCGAGGTACTATTTCTGGGTTAGCGGAGTCTGTAACCTGAAGCATCTGTAACCTGAAACATATGTAACCAGAGGTACCACTGTATTTTAGTGAGAACGGGATTTCAAAATGCTTTGCAAAACGGCTTGCAAAAGTGTGTATATGAGCCAAAATGGTACACAAAAATGTTTAGGAGAATTTTAAAAGACAAAAAAAGGGGGGGAATTGGTGCAGGCTAATGCAGAAATAGCGGGACACAGGTGGCGCTGTGGGTTAAACCACAGAGCCTAGGACTTGCCAATCAGAAGGTTGGCAGTTTGAATCCCTGCAATGGGGTGAGCTCCCATTGCCCGGTCCCTGCTCCTGCCAACCTAGCAGCTCGAAAGCATGTCAAAGTGCAAGTAGATAAATAGGTACCACTCCGGCAGGAAGGTAAACGGCGTTTCCGTGTGCTGCTCTGGTTTGCCAGAAGCGGCTTAGTCATGCTGGCCACGTGACCCGGAAGCTGTATGCCGGCTCCCTCGGCCAATAAAGCGAGATGAGCGCCGCAACCCCAGAGTCGGTCAGGACTGGACCTAATGGTCAGGGGTCCCTTTACCTTTACTTTTAAAGCAGAAATATTTTCCCAGGCTTACGTGTAGCAAACAAATGGTTAAGAATTCAGGTTGCATGGGAAAAGGCACACAAACACAGCAGACAATGAAAAATCTATTTCCAAAGAACAGATACTCCTTGCAAGTCACTTAATCTTCCTAGTTAAAGTCCTCAGCTTAAAAGATTTTCTAACAAATGAGACACTCGAAGACGGTAGGCGTGTGGGAAGAATATTCATTAACTAATTGCAATTGCAGGCTGGCTGAAGTGTTCTAGGATCATTTGTCCTGCCAAGAGATGTTCTTGGAGACTGCATTTATATAAAACACACACCTCAAAAAAGTGTTAGTTTGATTCATAGACTCGTAAAATTTTAGAGGGCTAAGGGATCCCCAGGGGTCATCTAGTCCAACCCCCTGCAGTGCAGGAATCTCAGCTAAAGCATCTGTGACATATGGTCATTCAACCTCTGCTTAAAAACATCCAATGAAGGAGAGCCCATCACCTTTCAATGGAGTCCTTTCCATTGTCCAAAGGCTCCTACCAGAGAAAGTTCTTCCTAATGTTTCCTAATGTTTACCTAGACAGCATCTTAAAAAGCAGAGACATCACATTGCCAACAAAGGTCCTTATAGTTAAAGCTCTGTTTTTCCCAGTAGTGATGTGTGGAAGTGAGAGCTGGACCATAAAGAAGGCTGATCGCCAGAGAATTGATGCTTTTGAATTATGGTGCTGGAGGAGACTCTTGAGAGTCCCACGGACTGCAAGAAGATCAAACCTCTCCATTCTGAAGGAAATCAGCCCTGAGTGCTCACTGGAAGGACGGATCCTGAAGCTGAGGCTCCAAAACTTTGGCCACTTCATGAGAAGAGAAGACTCCCTGGAAAAGACCCTGGTGCTGGGAAAGATGCAGGGCACAAGGAGAAGGGGACGACAGAGGATGAGATGGTGGGACAGTGTTCTCGAAGCTACCAGCATGAGTTTGACCAAACTGCGGGAGGCAGTGGAAGACAGAAGTGCCTGGCGTGCTCTGGTCCAGGGGGTCACAAAGAGTCGGACACGACTAAATGACTAAACAACAACAAAATGTTTCCCTGACACCGTTATTTTACCTCTTTGAGCGTTGACGGGAAGGTCGTCTCTTGCAAGTAGAACTCTGGCACGCACTGGAAGGTGATGGTCAGGATGATGCCGAAGCAGCCCAGGTGGACGCAGGCTGCCCTGTACAGCTCAGTGTTCACAGATTCAGAGCACTCCAGCGTTTCCCCGGAAGCCGTCAACAGTGTCAAGGCGACCACCTGCCAGGGGGAAGTAAGAGGAAAGGGAGACATGCTTTAGTCTGGGGTCTATCAAGCCACGGAAGGACGGGGGTGGCACTGTGGGTTAAACCACAGAGCCTAGGGCTTGCCAATCAGAAGGTCGGCGGTTCGAATCCCCACAACGGGGTGAGCTCCCGTTGCTCGGTCCTAGCTCCTGCCAACCTAGCAGTTCGAAACACGTCAAATGCAAGTAGATAAATGGGTACCCCTCCAGCGGGAAGGTAAACGGCGCTTCCGTGCGCTGCTCTGGTTTGCCAGAAGCGGCTTAGTCATGCTGGCCACATGACCCGGAAGCTCTACGCCGGCTCCCTCGTCCATTAAAGCGAGATGAGCGCCGCAACCCTAGAGTCATCCACGACTGGACCTAATGGTCAGGGGTCCCTTTAGCTTTATCAAGCCATGACATCTTCTATCTCAGGTGACATTTAGGTTCAGCTGCTAGATCGTTTGTGAGCTGGCAATGTTGGTGAATGGCGTGTCCCAGACGCAACACTGCAGGGGGAGTCTTCATAGTGACCCAAACTGGGCACTCCCTGCTGGAGTTGGTTCTCACATTCGATTGCCTGTAGTCAGGTCTGGCAGGTGGGGCGCATGGGTGCACATCTGCCCACAGAGATCTTTCCTCGCGCCTGAAGGGGCCCCCTCTCCATCCACCCCCCACAGCTGAGATTTTGCTGGGAAGAAGTGTTCCAATTCACAGAATCATAGAATTGGAAGGGAGCTCTTGGTATCCTCTAGTCCAGCGGTTCTCAACCTGTGGGTCCCCAGATGTTGTTGGACTACAACTCCCATCATCCTTGAGCTCTGGCCTTGCTAGCTAGGGGTGATGGGAGTTGTAGTTCAACAACATCTGGGGACCCACAGGTTGAGAAAGGCCAACCCTCTGCAATGCAGGGATCTCAACAAAAGCATCCATGACAGATGGTCTTTCAACCTCTGCTTAAAAACCTCCAAGGAAGGAGAGTCCACAATGGGAGACCATTCAATTGTTGAACAGCTCTTACTGTCATAAGGTTCTTCCTGGTCTTTAGAGGGAATCTCCTTTCTTGTAACTTGAAGCCACTGATTCAATTCTTACCCTCCAGAGCAGCAGAAAACAAGCTTGCTCCCTCTTCCATGTGACAGCCCTTGAGATATTTGAAAATAGCTATCCTATCACCTCTCAGTCTCCTCTTTTCTTTTTTTAAAAAAATCATTTTTATTGATTTTCCAATTAAAAAAACATCCACTTAAATATCCAATCATAATACTTCAATTAAAAAACAAAAAACAAAAATAAAAAGATCAAATTATAGTCCAAATTGTATTTATAAATTTCTTGGGGCTCCCCACGGTCTGGATCTCTGGAGCATATCTCCGCATCTTAGTCCTGTTTCTCAGTCTCCTCTTTTCCAGGCTAAACATACCCAGCTCCTTCAAACATTCCTCATCAGGCTTGGTTTCCAGACCTTTGTGAGGATATTTCACCCCTCCCATTGCAAGAATCTGCTGATGTTTCAGAAAGGAGGGGGCGGATTTTGCTCATTACTTATTCCGCTCCAGCCTGACTTCAAAGGGGGAGTCTGAGTGTTATCTGTGTGTAGATAAGCTCCTAACACTCAGTGCAATCCAGCGTCTCCATTTAGTCTGTAGTTAGTTTGTATAGTAGCTGTAGAGAATAAAAGAAGTTCTTCTACAGAAGCTGTCGTTCGTGTGGTTCGTGCTCTGCTGTGCTCCGCTGACTACTGGAAGTGAGTTTGGTGCTCACAGCTCTGAGTTGTGAGTCCACAGCACTTAGACCTGCTTCCTGCGTGGAAGGTCTCTGGAAGTGCTTTCCAGCTCGCCTGGCCCAGTCGGGGCTGAAGAGGTTGAGTCCAGTCGGTGGCACTGGCTCAAAGGCGAAGCTGATACTTTGATCATCTCAGTTGCCCGCTTCTGCACTTCTTCCAGCTTGTCAACATCCTTCTTAAATTGTGGCACCCAGAATTGGACACAATAAACTTCCTCCATGCCGTGTGTAATTTTATAAGCTCCTACCATCTTGCCTCTCGCTCACCTTTTCTTTAAAACGGAAAAGCCCCAAACACTGCAACCTTTCTGCATTGGGCTAAGGTGGCTGGGGATGATACGCTGTGTAGTTCAGCAACTTCTGGGAACCCAAAGCTCATCCCTTTAACTCTCCTCCGAGCTCTTGAGCCTTTGCTCCAGCAGGCGGTGCAAGTGAGCCGACTTTAAGCGCCAGCCTTCCTACCAACCTCTCTGCATAACAAATTTCCTCCTGGCTCCTGTTCGCTCTTCCTTCATGGACCGGCTTGGCTGGCAATTGTTTTCTGCTGTCCTGATTGCAGAGTTTGCCTGCTCAAGGTGAAACCACAGCACTGTCAGTTTGACTGAATTCCTCCTTAACAATGACAGCTCTGACTGTGCTTAACCTCGCACAGGGAAGCCGCAGAATGAGAGGAGTGTAGAATTAAGAGCCCCAGAGGGACCTTGAGCAAAGCACCGCTCTGATGCTCAGCCTTTTCTCCATATAGGTAATTTTGCGAGGTCAAAGAGGTCCGGAGGAGAAAACATGCTCCAGGGAAATCACACGGAAAAGCAATTGAAAGCGGTCTGCGTATCACTCTGCAAAGTTTGCAGCTGAGGTTTTGTCATTTCCACATCATGCTGTTTGCTACGGTGTTTTGTTTTTTTGTTAAAAAGAGAGAGAGCGGCAGAACTGGTAAGCCAATATCCTCATTCCAGTTGTGGACACTGAGGGCCAAGCTAGTAAGTTTTCTGGAGATACTGTTGGGTGATTAAGCTGAGCATCCTGGTCTTGGAAAAGGGAGCGGTAGTACTGCGTCCATTCTTGGGGTTCGACAGTACAAATTGGCCCACTACGCTCATGCTCCAGTAGGCCTGATATGGTACTCCAGAAACAGGATGTGTCCTTGTTGTGCGAGGCATTTATTAGGCTGTACCAGGCGTTTCTTTCGGCTCTCTGTCTTTTCCATTTAATTAGCTGTTTGTACTTCCATCTAGGGACGCAGGTGGCGCTGTGGGTTAAACCACAGAGCCTAGGACTTGCTGATCAGAAGGTCGGTGGTTCGAATCCCCGCGACGGGGTGAGCTACCATTGCTCGGTCCCTGCTCCTGCCCACCTAGCAGTTCGAAAGCACATCCAAGTGCAAGTAGATAAACAGGTACCACTCCAGCGGGAAGGTAAACGGCGTTTCCGTGCGCTGTTCTGGTTCGCCAGAAGCGGCTTAGTCATGCTGGCCACATGACCCGGAAGCTGTATGCTGGCTCCCTTGGCCAGTAAAGTGAGATGAGCGCCGCAACCCCAGAGTCGGCCATGACTGGACCTAATGGCCAGGGGTCCCTTGACCTTTACCTTTACTTCCGTCTAAGTGAGACGTATGCAGTAAATAAGAGAGGCGACCTGGAGGTCTGATATTTACGGTAAGGTCTCTGCAGGTGTCCCTTTGCCTGTTTGCACTCAGAGTCAAACCAGGTGGCAAATTCCGCTAACCTTTCTGTGACAGTGTTTCGGATCACGGTATCTGCTCGCTACAGAGTCCTGTATAACTCAGAGGCTTGCCTATTTTTATTAATACAGCAATATGACTTTGCCAAGCCTGCTGCTCCCATAGGAAGCTGCCTTACGCTGAGCTAGAGTTAGACCATTGGTCCATCTTGTTCAGTACTCTCAACACTAGGACTTAAGAAAAGTCTGCCGGATCAGGCCCGTGGCCCATCTAGTACAGCCTCCTGTCCTCACAGTGGCCAACCAGCTGCCTGTATAAAACCCGCAATCAGGACATGAGCACAACAGCAACACTCTCAACCTCCTCTGGTTTCCAGCACCTGGTATTCAAAAGCGTCACTGCCTCTGACTGTGGAGGCAGAACACAGCCACCCTCCTCTTCCTCCAGGAATTTGTCCCATCCCCTTTTAAAGCCATCCAAGTTGGTGACCATCACTGCCCCTTGTGGGAGGGAGTTCCGCAGTTTAATACGTTTAGCATTCAGCTTCATTGGGTGCCCCTGAGTTCTAGTCTTGTAAGGGGGGGGCGGAGAGAAAATGTTACATCCTTAATAATTATAATTCCCACAGATAACAGGTCATAAGAGAGTCATAGTTACTCCTGCCATTCCTTGAATTTCTTTTTTTTATTTCCAAAACCGAAAAAAGAAAAATTACAAACATCAAATTCAACATCCATATTCATTTTCTAACATAAACCTACTACATAATTAACTAAATTAAAATATACCTAACTGCTCTAAACTTCTCTTTGCTGTATACAAATACAACACAGTTAGAAATTGTATATTAAAGCTTTTATATTATAAATAATATTTCAAATTCCCCTATACCCCTCCCCCCATTGATTTTCTTTGCTTTGAAAGATAAGGTGCAATCTGAACTATACACACTTGTGGCCACATTACAGATTCCTGTAACGGCACACATCTTGGTAGCTGCCCAAAAGAGGACGTCTCGGTTATCCTGAATCATCCAAGGAGCGCCGGCTCTTGCCTGTGCCATATTAATCCTAGCAAATGCAGCCTAAAGCCCCGAAAAATGGGACCCATTAGAGGCAGATGTGAGACGCCAATTACTGCAAATCTATTTGAATCCTGGAGCGCTGAGAAAGCAAGAGACGGAGAGGGGAGGCAGCGACGGTTCTGAGCTTGACTACTTCCTGGGAGAGAGGCCGAGGGCGCCGAAGAATCAGAGTTGCTTCGCTGGGATGCTGTTGCCCCAAAGCGACCAAGGGACTCAGAATCAGAGGGTCTCTTGTGTCCGGGTCCTGCTTGCAAGTTTCCCATTGGGGCATCGGCCACTGTGAGAATAGGATGCTGGACTCGATGGGCCCCCTTTGGCAAGATCCACCAGCCACTCTCTTCTTATTACCTCATTCATGTGATCCACGGATGCTCTTGCTTTTAAATCTGTAATAATGCACTTCAGCAAACTCAGCTTTGCAGTGGGTAAAAGAACGGGCCAGTTTCCTGGGCAAGGGGGCATCTCTCTCCCAGTTTGCCAGTGGCCGCCCAGGGAAGCCAGTGACTCTGACGCAGCCTTCCCAACCACCTTGGCTCAGACCCTGTCCTGGAGGTGCAGGGAGGCAGCAGAAGGGACTGACTCTCTGCTCCAGCCCTGCATTCTTCCTCCACCAGCTTTCCCCAACCTGGTGCCCTCCTGGTGTCCAAGCCAGCAGGGCCATTGTGGAAGAAGTTGTGGAAGTTGTGGAAGGACAGTCCTGAGAGACAGAGCCTTCAAAGCCTTCTTTTTCCTCCTCCAGATTTCACCAGAGCCCAACTTTCTTGCATTTGGAGATGTCGACAGCAGAGAGGGATACTGCGATTCAGGTGCATTCCGCCCCGAAGGCTGATTTTTAAGTGTGGTCGCTTGGTGTGTTGCCGTTAAGGTGAGTTAAATCGAATCTTAGTTTTCCTCCACATTCAGAGTGAATAATGTTTCTGAATCCCAGTTGCTGGAAACCACAGGAGGGGAGAGTTGCTCTTGTGCTCAAATCCTGCTGGGGGGTTTCCATTCAGGCATCTGGTTGGCCACTGCAAGAACAGGATGCTGGAGTAGATGGGCATTTGCCCTGATTCAGCAGGTGCTTCTTGCATGCTTATATGGGGTACAAGAGTTATAGGGCCTCTATAGTTACCGGCGGAATGCACCTGGGACACAGGTGGCGCTGTGGGTTAAACCACAGAGCCTAGGACTTGCCGATCAGAAGGTCAGCGGTTTGAATCCCTGTGACGGGGTGAGCTCCCATTGCTCGGTCCCTGCTCCTGCCAACCTAGCAGTTCGAAAGCACATCAATCTGCATGTAGATAAAATAGGTACCGCTCTGGCAGGAAGGTAAACGGCATTTCCATGCGCTGCTCTGGTTCGCCAGAAGCGGCTTAGTCCTGCTGGCCACATGACCCGGAAGCTGTATGCCAGCTCCCTTGGCCAATAAAGCAAGATGAGCGCCACAACCCCAGAGTTGGCCACGACTGGACCTAACGGTCAGGGATCCCTTTACCTTTACTATAGTTACCATGGCTGAAAGTAGGACATTTTGGAGGGAGCGCGGCAGCAGCTAGTCTTCATGCACTCAAGGGCCAATTGCAAAGGAGAAATTTCAGGCTGTGCGGGAAGTGCGGACCTTTGCAAGATTTCTGGGGTCTCTGCTGGCAACTGCAGATTGACAGCCTCCTCTTTCCACTGCCAAACCACCAACCCTTCTCTCATGTCTTAGAATTTTCTCCTTTAGTTATTTTATGGACTTGTTTTTGACGGCTGCTCATGAATTTTAACTAATGTCGATTCCCGGACGGCAGAGGCTGCCCTGCCTCTTTTGTCTTCCTATCGATCACCTGCCCCCTTTTATTAGCTTCCTTTTTCCTTCCCTCCCTTCTCCTTCCCCCGCCCCCCGCCTATCCGTCACTTCTTATAAGTCACTGTTTTTTTGCAAGGTGCATGGAATCTATCAATTGCGTTGGAAGCCGGATAATCCATCCCGCCGCTGCAAAATCTGAGCCGGGAACAGCCATTCATCTCGCAAAGAGCCTTGGGATGATGGTAATGATATCACAAATAACGAGGAAGTGGGGGAGCTCTGTGTTCCCCAAAAACACAAAGCCCACAGCTCCCACATAACACCCCCACAAACAAGCTATGAGAAGTATGAGATTGGTAAATTGGTAAATACTTCATTCACAGATCAGGTGAATTTGCTTCTCTCTGTGTGTGAGCGAGGAGGGGGCTGGGTGGGATTCATAAATCATTGAGAGTTTCACATTACCTGCCAATCCCTGATAAATCAGTGTCCCTGTTATTGCCTCTTGGAAATAAATGCCAATTAATTTCGTTAGGGTGAGTTGCTGGCATCGTTTTTCTCCTGCACCTGATGACGCGGATTCAAGTGCACAAAAGCTTATGATGCCATTTTTAAAATAATAATAATGTGTTTGTCTCCAAGGTGCAGCAAGTTTCTTCCTCGATTTTGCTGGCACGTGCCAGTGAGAGCTTGTGTGGTAAAGTGGTTAGTGAGTGTCAGACTAGGACCTGAGAGATCAGGGTTCAAGTTCTCACTAGACCATAAAGACCACTGAGTGACCTTGGAGAGTCAACCACCTTCCTAGGGAGTCCGTTCCACCACTGAACAGCTCTCACCACTAGAAGGTTCTCCCTAAGGTTTTAGCTAGGAACATCTTTCTTGTAATTTGGAGAGTCAACCACCTCGTGAAGGAGACTGTTCCACTGTCGATCAGCTCTTAATGTCAGAAAGTTCTTCCTGATATTGAGTCAGAATCTCCTTTCTCATAACTTGAAGCCATTGGTTTGGGTCCTACTCTCCAGAGCAAACAAGCTTGTTCCCTCCTCCATGTGACAGCCCTTGAGGTATTTGAAGAGAGATGTCACCTTGCCGACAAAGGTCTGTATAGTTAAAGCTATGGTTTTCCCAGTAGTGATGTATGGAAGTGAGAGCTGGACCATAAAGAAGGCTGATCGCCAAAGAATGGATGCTTTTGAATTCTGGTGCTGGAGGAGACTCTTGAGAGTCCCATGGACTGCAAGAAGATCAAACTTATCCATTCTTAAGGAAATCAGCCCTGAGTGCTCACTGGAAGGACAGATCCTGAAGCTGAGGCTCCAAGACTTTGGCCACCTCATGAGAAGAGAAGACTACCTGGAAAAGACCCTGATGTTGGGAAAGATGGAGGGCACAAGGAGAAGGGAACGACGGAGGACGAGATGGTGGGACAGTGTTCTCAAAGCTATGAACATGAGTTTGACCAAACTGTGGGAGGCAGTGGAAGACAGGAGTGCCTGGCGTGCTCTGGTCCAGGGGGTCACAAAGAGGTGGACACGACTAAATGACTAAACAACAACAACAAATCCTATCTCCTCTCAGTCTCCTCTTTTCCAGGCTAAGCATACCCAGCTCCTTCAACCATTCCTCATCAGGCTTAGTTTCCAGATCCTTGAACAAGCTTGCTCCATCTTTCACGTGACAATAGCCCTTCAGATACTCAAAGATGGGCTAATCATGTCACCTCTTACATCTAACAGAGCCAGGGAGGTGTAGTGGTTAAGAGTGGTGGACTCGTAATCTGGTGAATCGGGTTTGCTTCCCCGCTCCTCCACATGCAGCTGCTGGGTGACCTTGGGCTAGTCACACTTCTCTGAAGTCTCTCAGCCCCACTCACCTCACAGAGTGTTTGTTGTGGGGGAGGAAGGGAACGGAGAATGTTAGCCGCTTTGAGACTCCTTTGGGTAGTGATAAAGCGGGATATCAAATCCAAACTCTTCTTCTTCTTCTTTCTCATGTGTATATAAGCCAGCCAGTGTGGCATTAACGGTTAGAGTGTTGGACCTGGGAGACCAGGGTTCGATCCCCACTCAGACCTGAAGCTTGGGCCAGTCCCTATCTCTTAACCTACCTCACAGGGTTGTCGTGAGGATGAGTGAGGGAGAAGGAGAACCATGCACACCACTTTGGACTCCTTGGAAAGAAAGGTGGCATATAAATGTTACAGATAAACAAATAAAATAGATAATCTGATGGGCAAAGACCCTCCTGGCTTCTAAATCAATAGACGACAGATGGTTGCAAAATAAATGACTACAGCAGCCTTTGTCATCCTGGTACCCTGCAGTTGTCGTGGACTACAACTCCCATCACCCATGCTGGTTGTGGCTGATGGGAGTTGTAGTCCAAAAATGTTCAGAGAGCACTTGGCTATCAGAGGCTGGAAGACAGCATACTGAGCTGAGTCTAACAGTGATGCACAATGTTTGTGGGAGTTTTATCACTGATTTTTTTGCTCCAAGCAAGTAAATAACTCAGTGGTAACAGCCCGGGGCCAGGAAAGACAGTTCTTTCCCCATAATATATCCCCAAAGTTATTGCACCTTTGTTATTGCAGCTTAATTGTAATCTGCTTTGGGGGCTGGTCTTGGCTAAACAGTGGTCTATAAATAATCGCATTCTTTGAATTAATAATAATCTCTTTTGCAGGCTTCCTTTCTGTCTCAGTGCTCAGGGGACCTTACAAACTTCCATCATTTCTGAACGTAAGCACTTGGGTGTCCAGGTGCCCCCAGCTGAATTTGCAACACCCTGTACCTTTTCCTCTCACCTTCCTTCATTTCTGGGGAGCCCTGACTGCTGCTGTGTGAAATATGGGGGCTCCCTCTGCATATCTTGAGGAAGCGTTTCGCTGTGGGTGCTTGGCGCAAGACAAACGATTTTTAAAATGCCCAATTTTCCTCGGCGTTTCCTGCCACCTTAAATCTAGGGGGAAACTTCTAATGATCTCACCGCCTGTCAAATTGCCATCTGGTTTGGTTCCATTCCTGTTCTCACATCATTGATCTTATAGCAATCCCCCACCTATGTTTTATTATTAAAGCTAGAAGGATACATCTGCCCACGGGACAAATCTGTTTAGGAAAATGTTTTCCTAAACTGGAAGTGACTCCCATACGAGGAAATGTTGCGAGGTTTGGGACTTTTCAGTTTAACGAAAAGGCAAGTTAAAGGCGACGTGAGAGAAAGTAGATAGAGGAATGTTTCTCTTTCTCTCTCATAACACAAGATTTTGTGGACATCTGAAAGTTGGAAGATTCAGATCAGAGAAATGAAAGTAAGAACGTAAGAATAGTTTGGTGGATGAGACCAATGGCACATCTAGTCACTAGGATGGCTCACTCGGTAGAGCATGAGACTCGATCTCTGGGTCGCGGATTCAAGTCCTACGTTGGGCAAAAAGATTCCTACATTGCAGGGGGTTGGACTAGATGACCCTTGGGGTCCCTTCTAACCAGGGGAGTCTTTAGCATATGCACCGCCAGGGTGCAAAGATCCGCCCAGAGCCCCCAAGTCTGACAAGCGCCGCCGTTGTGAATGACAAGCGTCGCAGCTAGTGCGGCGCATCTTTGGTAAATGAGTGCACAAATTTGAAAGTCCTTTAGTGAAACAGTAGGTACTGTGGTACCTCGGGTTAAGAACTTAATTTGTTCTGGAGGTCCCTTCTTAACCTGAAACTGTTCTTTACCTGAAGCACCACTTTAGCTAATGGGGCCTCCTGCTGCCGCTGCACCGCCGGAGCACGATTTCTGTTCTCATCCTGAAGCAAAGTTCTTAACCCGAGGTACTATTTCTGGGTTAGTGGAGTCTGTAACCTGAAGCATATGTAACCTGAAGCGTCTGTAACCCGAGGTACCACTGTATACATTTCAGTAATACCTAGGTATATATGTACAGTCATACTTCATGTTATGTTTGCTTCACGTTGCGGGTTTTCAGGTTGTGTCCCGCAGCGACCCGGAAGTACCGGAAAGGGTTACTTCCAGGTTTCGTCGCTCACACATGCGCAGACACGCAAAATGACATCATGCACATGCGCAGAAGTGGCGAATCGCGACCTGCGCATGCACAGACGCGCAGACGTGGGTTGCGTACTTTTCAGGTTGCGAATGGGCCTCCGGAACGGAGGTGAGCTCCCATTGCTCTGTCCCAGCTCCTGCCAACCTAGCAGTTCAAAAGCACACCAGCACAAGTAGATAAATAGGTACCACTGCAGCGGGAAGGTAAACGGTGTTTCCATGCGCTCTGGTTTCCGTCACTGTGTCCCGTTGCGCCAGAAGCATTTTAGTCATGCTGGACACATGACCCGGAAAGCTGTCTGTGGACAAACGCTGGCTCCCTCGGCCTGAAAGCGAGATGAGCACTGCAACCCCATAGTTTGACTGGACTTAACCGTCCAGGGGTCCTTTACCCTTTACTGAGATATGTCTTAGGATATGTGGACTTTTGGGGCTGATCCAGCAGGCTCTCCTTATAAGCTCTCTTTTCTGGAGAATTTTAAAGGTAAAGGGTAAAGGGACCCCTGAGCGTTAGGTCCAGTCACAGACGACTCTGGGGTTGCGGCGCTCATCTCGCTTTACTGGCTGAGGGAGCTGGCGTACAGCTTCCGGGTGATGTGGCCAGCATGACTAAGCCGCTTCTGGCGAACCAGAGCAGCGCACGGAAACACCGTTTACCTTCCCACCGAAGTGGTACCTATTGATCTACTTGCACTTTGACGTGCTTTCGAACTGCTAGGTGGGCAGGAGCAGGGACCGAGCAATGGGAGCTCTCCCTGTCGCGGGGATTCGAACTGCGAACCTTCTGATCAGCAAGCCCCAGGCTCTGTGGTTTAGACCACAGCACCACCCGCGTCCCCTGGTGAATATTAGGACAAAGCTTTTACTCTTCAAGTCCTGCTCAGCTGCACCATCAGTTTTCTGCTACCTGACAAGTTGCCGTGTGACCTGCTCGCTTGCCAGTCACCTGGACTCCTCTGGCTACAGCCCGTGTGGTTCTTACCTGCGTCGCCAAAATGCCATGCCTGAGCCCCGTGTTGTGGGTTCCGGTGCCAACGACGCCGGCGGCTGTCACATCCGAAACGGCTCCTAGACTGAAGGTGGGGAAAAGGGGGGAATGTGAGCTGTAGGCAAGAAGGCAGAGGCTTTCTCTATTGTTTATTCCCCAAGGTGGCTGCTGAGACAATGATATTAGCGAACGTGACGTTTGGCACAAAAGGTAATTAATTGCCACCTGCTCCGGATCCTGAACACGCCAAAATGAAATGAGACACGCATGTCACGGCACATCAAGCTGCAGAACAAGCACATTGAACTAGGAAGGAGCCTTGGCTGTTGATTTGCATTTCTGAAAATACAGATATTCCTTTGAGATGTGTGCAGCTTGGTGCGACTGAAATAGCACTCCAATGTGCCCCAAATTAGCAGGCAAACCTGCCTTTTCGACATTTCCCCTCCAACGTGAACCTTTCCTTCCAACTAATAGTTTCACCCAAACTCCAGCAGAACAACAGTCCTGAATTGCAGGGAGCCTGCAATTATTCTGCAGATGGAAGGACAAAAGAAGAGGAGTCAATCTTATTAAGCCCTTCTGTGATTAAAAGGCTCCTTTGGCCCCGATGTCAGGGCATCTGAGCAAATTTGCATGCGATGCTGCGAGCCGATTGCCTCCCGCAGGTCACTCCTCAAAAGAACTCATTTGCCACAAAGGCTTCTGAGTGCCGTCTTGGCTAAAGAGAGGGCATCGGGGGTGAAAGATCCCAGCTGGGGCCTTTGACTCACAGAGGCCTTTGCCAACCCGGTGCCCCCCTAAGCGCTGATATTGGTGGCATTTCAGCACATGCAAAGTTGTCTTACTTACATGGGCAAAGCCAAGCCGTGTTTGCTCAACTCGGTGTTCAGATCAGAGAGAAGGATGCCAGCCTCTGCTGTCACTTGCTTCTTCTCTTTGTCCACCTGCAAGCGACAAGATTGGCTCTTTTATCTGCATCTATATATAATAATGGGATGCGGGTGGCGCTGTGGGTTAAACCACAGAGCCTAGGACTTGCCGTTCAGAAGGTTGGCGGTTCGAATCTCCGTGACGGGGCGAGCTCCCGTTGCTCGGTCCCTGCTCCTGCCAACCTAACAGTTCGAAAGCATGTCAAAGTGCAAGTAGATAAATAGGTACCACTCCGGCGGGAAGGTAAACGGCGTTTCTGTGCGCTGCTCTGGTTCGCCAGAAGCAGCTTAGTCATGCTGGCAGATGACCTGGAAGCTGTACGCCGGCTCCCTTGGTCAATAAAGCGAGATGAGTGCCGTAACCCCAGAGTCGTCCACAACTGGACCTAATGGTCAGGGGTCCCTTTACCTTTACCTATATAGAATAATATTTTATTCCTTTGTAGCATATAGGAAGTTACATTTGTTACTTGACAATTATATCCCAATTCAACAAAACTAGTGTGTCATGGTCCGGTTCACGGGTGATCAAAGTCCCAGCTGGGGACATCGGGACCGGGGACAAGATGGTGGGGTGAGAGCAGGAACGGGAGTCCAGAAGCCAGGAATCAGGAAGCCAAGGGTCCGAGAATCAAGGAGTTACGAAGTCAGGGGTCCAAGGATCAAGAAGCAAGGTGTCAAACGCAGCAAGGCAGGAAAAGTGTTGCTGTGGCAAAGAGCTGAAGGGAAATGCTGACCTTATATCCCTTCCCAGCTCTTGCCACCAGGTGCAGTGAGTTACCAAGCGGCCTCACCTGTGCGGCTGCGCCTTGCCTCTCCAGAACAAACTTAGGGAGGCCCCAGTCCTGCGAAGCCCTACTGGTCACAGGGTCTGGCTCCTGCATGCACTCCTGACATAGTGGCTTCCTGCTCACCCAATGTTGCTGTTTATAACCCAAATTGCACACAATTGCGGTTTAAGGTTTGACTTATTTAATTTCCTCCTCTCCTAGTATGTCTCCTAATACGTTCTGGAGGTCACCCCATGGATGAGCTCTGCTCCAAGTCATCTCTCTGGCCAGGTACTGTGAGGTGGAATCTGAACTAGGTGGGCCATGAGAAGGACCCAGAAAGGGAGAATCCTGCTCTCTTACCTTGAGCACCTTGTTCATCCTTCCCATCTCGATCATGTAGTCATCCGTGCAGGCAATGTCCGAGGGGGAATGTCCACCTCCCACCACTTTCACCTTCTTACTCTTCTGCCTGGCCAGATCCAAGATCTGCAGAGAGGACAACCAGGCATTGGTACAGAGGAGACCCCCGAGCTCAAGGAAGTGGAAGCTGTGGTCCTCTGGATGTTGCTGGATCCAACTCTCAACAGCCCCAGCCAGAATGGCCAGTGGTCAGGGATGATGGGAGTTGGAGTCTTGAGGGTCACAGGTTCCACATCCATACCCTGAGGCCTTGAGGTGCACTGATATTCCACCCCACCTTTCCACTTCCCATCCCCTCCATGATCTCTGAAGGCTCACCCTTCACATGGCGCCCTCCAGATGTTTCGAACTCAACTCCCACAGGTCCAGCCAGCATACATAGATGTAGAATTGAACAGGTAGCAGGAGGATCGGGACCAGCCTAGAATGAGTTGGCCCTGCCCACCAGTGGCCTCCCACTTTCTGCTGTACCAGCCCCCACTGGCAAAGCCACTTCCGAGCTGGAGAGGAGGTGGGGTTGCGGGCTTCACGCCCCCTCCACGTGTGTGGGGGCTGGCCTCAGCCTCCGCGTGATTGAAAGAATCCCCGGCCGCATCATCCCCTGGCCAGCCAATCGGCTGGCCTGGGGGCGTGGCCTGCGCTATTTAACACTGGCACGGCCGGGGATCTCCCTCTTTTGACCGCTTCAGCTGCTCCGGTTTCCCACCCTCACCCCCATTAGGTTTTTCTTTCTGACATTGCTATGGACCTTGGCTGGTCGCCGTTGAGGGGCCTGGTAGGAATTTTTTCCTCTCCAGCCACTTGGTTTTTCGCCTACCTCGCAGCAAATCACCACAAGTTCCTCGCCATTGGCGGTTAGGCATTGGTAAGGGTATTGTTATGTAGATGAGGGGGGGAGGAAGCGCCATCACCTCCCCCACATATTGAAGGGTATTCTGGTAAAGGATTCCAGGGGCCGTGGCCCTGTCCGAAGCCTATGGAGGTGAGGGCCTAAGCCACGCCCCTATCGGTGACCCCGTGGTTTCCTAGTTGATGTGCATCAGCAGGACTCCCCCTACTGGTGGTTAACCCTTCCTGGACTTCAAGCGGATGGGCTGAAGTCGGATATAGTCGGTTAGGACCAATGCCTAAGCCAATACTGCTCATTACCTGCAACCAATAAAGTTGTGGCCATTTTTAGCCCATTAACCTAAATAATTGTGTCATGTGTCTTTATTTCCACTGGGCGGAGGCGGGAACTCACCACGCAACGATGCCCCCTCTGATGAACCCAAGTTAAAAACAAGTGTTTGCATATTCAAGTCAGAAAGGCCCCGTTTCGAAATCCTTGATGTCACGCCGATTGAACTAATGGAGATTATTCAGATGAGATTTCAATTGTGCATGGTTTTCTGGTGCTCACGTTGGGTAAATTGTAGGAAAAAACGAAGGCCGCTGACAAAGGCCTTGGCCAAAAACATCGTTCTTTTTTTACTTGCTCTATCCTTTTGGAGTCATATCTCAGAGATGTGTTGTTGACTTTTCCCATGTGATTTTAACCCTTGCTGACCCTGGCTCCCCACTGAGCTTGTGGCTATGGCATCCTTCTCCTGGTCTTCCAAGACCATAAAGATGGAAGGCTAGAAGGGTGAGCTTTGTTTGTCTGTCCTACACCTGATATCTAGGGAAAGTTGGGAAAGTCACACTGACTGGAACCTCCCTCCACTTACCTCCTTGATCTCATCCACCGTAGTTGGCTGAAAATACATCTCCGGGGAGGAGCCATAAGTCTTAGCCCAGTTCTGGAATCTGACACCACCTTGGCCATGGACCTAACGCCCAGAGACACAAAACAAATACCATTGTTATAAGAAGCTAAGGTCTCAAATATATAAACTAAATGTTCATAAATTTACAAGGCAAACACATAAGTATGTAGACCGTGTGTCTGAAATAGCACAGGAGAACAATCCTGAAACCATTTTGACTCTCCCAAATTGACCTCAAATATTTCTCTGCAAGGAGGAAGGAAATGGCAAAGCCTCTCCATTGTCTTTTGCTTACCTGTCTTAAGGGCGTATCTGTGTATGAATAGGGTGAGCCTGTGACCTGGGTTCAGGAACTAAAGTATTTACCATCACAAAAGAATGGCCAGGCTGCCCAGGTAATGCAATCAATGACCATTATCAGGTACCCTGGCAGGCAGGATTTCTACTGTAGACCGTCTCCTCTGCTGTAGACTGCCTCCTTCTGGAATGTATGTATGATGTTTTGGGAGGTGGTCTTGGGCTACAAGACGCGGGTGGCGCTGTGGGTTAAACCACAGAGCCTAGGACTTGCCGATCAGAAGGTCGGCGGTTTGAATCCCCACGATGGGGTGAGCTCCCGTTGCTCGGTCCCTGCTCCTGCCAACCTAGCAGTTCGAAAGCACGTCAAAGTGCAAGTAGATAAATAGGTACCGCTCCGGCGGGAAGGTAAACGGTGTTTCCGTGCGCTGCTCTGGTTCGCCAGAAGCGGCTTAGTCATGCTGGCCACATGACCCGGAAGCTGTACGCTGGCTCCCTCGGCCAATAAAGCGAGATGAGCACCGCAACCCCAGAGTCGGCCACGACTGAACCTAATGGTCAGGGGTCCCTTTACCTTTACCCTTTACCTTGGGCTACAGGGTGGGCAGTTTTAAAAGTTTAAATAAGGGCTTGCACACCATTGTTCTGGGTTCCTCCTTCCTGCTGCGTGTGGTGAGTGAGGACCCTGTTGCAACAGTTTAATAAAGATCAGGCTTACTAGCTGCTTTGCTTCTCAGTATTCTCTGGTTGGCTTCTGTTATTTTCTCCTACCGATAGGGAACCCACTTAAGGACTCTATATGGGCTCTTGGATACCCCATAAGGGAAAAGGAGCAGATTTTGCTTACATCACCATTCCGGATGGTTTCAGCGCTGGGACATCCTCATGGACACCTATTGCCCATTATATGGCCACATACAGACATCCCTTGCCCTTTTATTGCTGATGGTCTTGCTGATGATATTGCTCCAAGGTGTGGATTTCTTCCACCAGAAAGTACTGGGTAGGCATTTACATCGGGTGAAGTGAAAAACCCTTTGACATTCAGGTGCCGAAATCCCAAGGGAGCAGAAAAGACAATTTATGTACACGACCATGGCTGCGCAGATGTTATTGGCCCAGAGATGGAAAGAAGATGCAGTCCTGACCAGAGAAGAATGGCAGATCAGGTTGATGGATTATGCCGAAACGGCTAAAATGACCGGAAGAATCAGAAGTCAGGAAGACCAAAATTTTATAACTTACCTTAAAATCCATTGTAAACAGCTGAAGTCGTAAGTTGGATTGCAATATCACTTGTAGTTTAATGTGAATTTTGGACACAATGGAGAGGTAAAAGATTTGGATTATCATAAAAAACGCAGGAGGAAATGATTCACAATAGGACCCACAAAGGGAGGAGGGAAGCCCAGGAGACTGGAATCTTGTTATGTTGCATGTTGGATATGTAAGATAAGTTTGAGTACTTGTTACTAAATATACAAAGAAAAAAGCACACCAAGAACTCAGGCCAATGTAAGTTTCAATAGTGGGAGTGGTCCCTAATCACAAATCAATAGTCAATAGTAACAAAAACTAATATATTCAAAAGTACCGTATTTTTTGCTCTATAAGACTCACTTTTTCCCTCCTAAAAAGTAAGGGGAAATGTGTGTGCATCTTATGGAGTGAATGCAGGCTGCGCAGCTATCCCAGAAGCCGGAACAGCAAGAAGGATTGCTGCTTTTGCTGAGCAGCGATACCCCCTTGTTGTTCTGGCTTCTGAAATTCAGAATATTTTTTTTCTTGTTTTCCTCCTCCAAAAACTAGGTGCATCTTATGGTCTGCTGCGCCTTATAGAGCGAAAAATACGGTATGTATTCTGACAAGGATTACAAACTCTAACAGAGATTACAAACTCAAACTCATAAGGATATGTGTAACACAATAATTTGTTACATAATTAGGGATAAGAGTTTATGAGTAGAGGTAAGTTTATGTTAGTCCATAGTCGGATTTGGCGTGGAAGTCTTAGTTTCAATCATTGAACAGAAGTCAGAAGTCAAATTCAACGTAAAGGTTTCAGTTTTAAACATAGAGCATAATTTTCAGAAGTCAATTATGGATTACAAACCAGGACAGCGCCCCGTTTCGATGTATTCACCTTCATCAGCCAATTTTTAAAGGGTTGGGTAAGTTTGAAGACTTTTGGATAAATATATCCTGTTATTTTCTACGTTTCTCAGGGGTAACAACTACGTGTGGGTAGATCAATGTGTATCTTGAGTTTTTCTGTGTGTTTACTTAAAACCATGACCCCTACGGGTCTGAATAGCTATCAGGATTATACATCATTTCTTTAAGACCTCAAATTAAACTGCAGCTGAACTTTAGAACACTGTGCCGTTAAGATCTAGGGATCTCATCTACACCTTTAAGTGCATATAAAAGGTAACAGGCTCACTTCCAAATTGAAAACGCGCAGAAAAGCTTTTGAATGGATTACCGTAGTTTTCGCCCTATAGGACGCACCGGCCCATAGGACGCACCTAGTTTTTTGGGGGGGAAATCAAGGGGAAATTTTTTATTTCCCCCCCAGGTTTGCGCAGCCATCCCCCAGCTAGAAGAGGGAGACGGAGCGCTCCGTCTCCCTCTTCTGCCTTCAGGGACAGCCTCTCTAGCCTCCGTGGGGCAGCGGCTTGCCCCGCTGTCCCCCGAGCTTGTGGGGCTGGCCATGTGGAGAAGCAAGCTTGCTTCTTCTCCCCCCCGCCAGCCTCCAGATCAGGTCGGGGAATAGCGGGGTGTCGGCGCTGCGCCTCCCCGCTGTCCCCCGAGCTTGTGGGCTGCAGGCTGCTGCCCGAAAGCCTTGCGAGCCCGCGGGACCTCCCGCTGGGCTTGCAAGGCTTGCGGATAGCTTCCTGAAGCCTGGAGAGCGAGAGGGGTCAGTGCGCACCGACCCCTCTCGCTCTCCAGGCTTCAGCAAAAGCCTGCATTCGCCCCATAGGACGCACACACATTTCCCCTTCATTTTTGGAGGGGGAAAAGTGCGTCCTATAGGGCGAAAAATACGGTAGTTTTTGTTATTATTGACTATTGATTTGTGAATAGGGACCACTCCCACAATTGAAACATACATTGGCCTGAGTTCTTGGTGTGCTTTTTTCTTGGCATGTTGGATATGTGACTGTATCGTTTTAATCTGAAAAACTAAATAAATACATTTTATTTTAAAAAAAAGAAAACCCCTTCACATCTGCACTGCTTTTGGCGACAGACGTTCCAAGCCAACTTAAGGGAACAGTTTTGTTCTGTGCACTCCACTCCCATGGTTTAATGGAAAGCTGCGACTCCTGAATTGCAGGGGGGTTGGACTAGATGATCCTCGGGTGTCCCTCCCAATGCTACGATTCTGTGATTCTAAGTGCATGGATGGCCTTTTAAGCCACTGTGTCTGGTTCTCCCTCTGCTCCCCGCACCCACCAGCTTCAAAATGAAGAACAAGATCCATTCCAGGATATATATATATATATAAAAGAGAGTTTTCTTACCATTGTGTTTGTGGCTTCTTTGAATATCCAAAGGAAAGCTTAGCAGGAGACTGAGGGTCTTCCTCCGAGACAAGGCGGGTGTGGTCTACAGCAGATCTCAGGAGAACAGCTGCTGGAATTGGGAGGAGGCAAGGAAGGCCACTTTCCAGGGAAAAAAGGGTTAATGAGTAACCTCTGCAAGGCTGGCTTGTGGTTAATTTGAGACAGTTTGAGATAGTTGACAGACAACAGGTAGAGATTCTTTAAAGCAAACTTTAATGATGATCCTGGCGATTTGTGCTGAAGGAAGGATGAGGCGTTGAAAGCAGAGGAAACTTGACATGTATCGGGGAAGGGCCCCAAAACAAGGGAGTTTCTAAACTGGGTCTGGGGTAGGTTCTGCCATTGATCAAGGGAAGTCAGAAAGGTAAAGGGATCCCTGATCGTTAGGTCCAGTCGTGACCGACTCTGGGGTTGCGACACTCATATCGCTTTATTGGCCGATTTAGCCGGCGTACAGCTTCCGGGTCATGTGGCCAGCATGACTAAGCCACTTCTGGTGAATACTTCTGGTGAAACGCCTTTTACCTTCCCGCTGGAGCGGTACCTATTTATCTACTTGCACTTTGATGTGCTTTCAAACTGCTAGGTTGGCAGGAGCAGGGACCGAGCAACAGGAGCTCACCCCGTCGCAGGGATTCGAACCGCCAACCTTCTGATCGGCAAGCCCTAGGCTCTGTGGTTTAACCCACAGCGCCACCCGCGTCCCTAAGGGAAGTAATAGTCCCACCCTATTCTGCCTTGGTCAGACCACACCTGGAATCCAGTGTCCAGTTCCGGGCCCCACCATTTAAGAAGGATAGTGACAAGCTGGAGAATGCACAGAGGAGGGGAACCGTAGACGACGAGGGGTCTAGAAACCAAGCCTGATGAGGAATGGTTGAAGGAGCTGGGTATGTTTAGCCTGGAAAAGAAGAGACTGAGAGGAGATAGGAGAGCCATCTTCAAATATCTCAAGGGCTGCCCTATGGAATGTGGAGCATGCTTGTTTTCTCCTGCTCCGGAGGGTAGGACTCGAACCCATGGCTTCAAGTAATAATAAAGGAGATTCCAACTAAACATGAGAAAGAGCTCTTTGATGCTGAAACAGACTCCCTCGGAAGGTGCTGGACTCTCCTTCCTTGGTTGGGGTTTTTTAAGCAGAGGATGGATGGCCACTTGTCATGGATGCTTTAGTTGAGATTTCTGCATTGCAGGGGGTTGGACTAGATGACCCTTGGGGTCCTTTCCAACTTTACAGTTCTATATTCTATAGCAGAGTCCTTGCCAGGTTCAACTTAAAAATACCAGATTGTTGGTATTTGTGAAATCAAAAGTTGGCAGAGCCCACTGGTTCCAGAACCAGCAACTCCAGGGAAGGAGGCAGCTTCCGGAATGACGCCCAGATAGTTTCTGGGCACCCACTCGGGGGCTTTTGCCAAGAAATGATATGTTGTCTCTGGAATGAAAGGGTCAGCACAGTCCCCTTCTGAACCAAACACTGTCCCCGTATCTCTCTCTCCCATCTGCTGAGCTGGAGATCTTCCTTCCGATGTCCTTGCTTTTCGAACCTTCTCAAACTGCGACTCCATCCCTTTCCCCTCTTCATCTGTTTCCTGCTGACACACCTCCTTGGCTGAAAGTCGGGCGAGCAGAACAAACGAGCCTGGATAGTGTTCTAGGAAGGACAGCGAGCTTTCTAAATCCAGAGAGCCGCATTCTGGTTAACTGTGAGATCGCCTTACCCGTTACATGCCCACTTGGCCATATCAATCTATGGAAGGGGTACTGTTAAAAAGTACCACATAATTCCACATTCTGCGGCAGCACCTGCACTACGAAACTCCCTGCCTATGGAAATCAGGCAGGCGCCTTCACTGTATTGTATCCGGCAGATGCAAAAAAAAAATAGCCTATCCTATCCAGGTATGTAGAATGTGGATGGGTGTTATAATCTCCATAATTTAAGCTTCATCTGGTACACAGGATGGGACCCCACCTGCCTGCGGACTGTCTCGCCAGAGTGGTGCATGCTCTAGTTATCTCCGCTTGGACTACTGCAATGTGCTCTATGTGGGGCTACCTTTAAAGGTGACCCAGAAACTACAACTAATCCAGAATGTGGCAGCCAGACTGAGGACTGGGAGTGGCCGCCGAGACCATATAACACCGGTCTTGAAAGACCTACATTGGCTCCCAGTACGTTTCCAAGCACAATTCAAAGTGTTGGTGCTGACCTTTAAAGCCCTAAACGGCCTCAGCCCAGTATACCTGAAGGAGCGTCTCCACCCCCATCGTTCTGCCCGGACACTGAGGTCTAGCTCCGAGGGCCTTCTGGAGGTTCCCTCACTGCGAGAAGACAAGCTACAGGGAACCAGACAGAGGGCCTTCTTGGTAGTGGCACCGGCCCTGTGGAACGCCCTCCCACCAGATGACAAAGAGAACAACAACTACCAGACTTTTAGATGACATCTGAAGGCAGCCCTGTTTAGGGAAGCTTTTAATGTTTAACAGACCACTGTATTTTAATACTTTGTTGGAAGCCGCCCAGAGTGGCTGGGGAAGCGGGCGGGGTATAAATAATAAATTCTTCTTCTTCTTCTTCTTCTTCTTCTTCTTCTTCTTCTTCTTCTTCTTCTTCTTCTCCCCCTCCTCCTCCTCCTCCTCCTCCTCCTCTGTTTATTGCTTCCCCCCTAACAATTACTGTTAATTGTTTTAGTGACCAATTTATCATCTTTCTTTTCTTTTTTTGTAAACTGCTTTGAGAGTTTCATTTTATTTTACAATCAAGCCGTGTACAATTTTTTAAAATAAATAACTTTCCAGGGGCAGCTTGCTAGCAGTTGACAGGACCAGAGGAAAAAGTTTCAAGCAGGAAAACTTTTTAAAGCCCTAACTGGTGATGTTGAGGTTTGGACCTGGGACCTTCTGAGTGCAAGGCAAATTATCTCCCCAGAGCCACACCCTTTCCCCATTAGCCTGAGGGAGCAGACATTTTCCTATAGGTGCTTCATTCCTAACATCCAAACACCTCCTGCCCACTTTCTGCAGATGAGAAGTTTCGGATGGCTTCTTGGAACCAACCGCTGCTCTTTCTCATGTTGTTTGCAGCCTTGCTCTTTGTATATTTGGGTTCCTCCTCCCTTAAAAGGTAAAGGTACTCCTGACCATTAGGTCCAGTTGTGGCTGACTCTGGGGTTGTGGTGCTCATCTCGCTTTATTGGCCAAGGGAGCCGGTGTACAGCTTCCGGGTCATGTGGCCAGCATGACTAAGCTGCTTCTGGCGCACGGAAACACTGTTTACCTTCCCGCTGGAGCGGTACCTATTGATCTACTTGCAGTTTGACGTGCTTTCGAGCTGCTAGGTTGGCAGGAGCAGGGACCGAGCAACGGGAGCTCACCCCGTCGCGGGGATTCAAACTGCCCACCTTCTGATCGGCAAGTCCTAGGCTCTGTGGTTTAACCCACAGCGCCACCCACGTCCCTTCCTCCTCCCTTACTGTTGCTTTTATTGCTGTTCTAACTGGTGCAAACCACCATGGGACTTGGGCGAATGAATTGCACCACAACGGTACTTCAAATCAATAAATAGTAGTGTCTGCATCGGTGGGGCAGGCATCTGCTCCCCAAATCTTAAATCCCAGACTCTTAAGAAGCAGACGGGAAAATGCATTTTGTCCCCTTTCTCCAGCTGCAGGCCAAAGTTCAGCTAAGATAATTGTCCTGTTAATCACAGAATGGTTAACATGCGGCAGCCAATAAGTTAACTATTGCCTGGACTGGTTCAGAGTCCCCATAAATTCCCCAAAACGCTTCTGGGCACATTTGAGTATTTTCCTTTTAAAAGAATTTACTGCTAGTCATCAAAATATAGTGCTCAGGAGACTTTGGAGAAGAGAAGGCTAATCTAGCTACAGAGCAGACTTTGTGATGATTAATTTTGTAGCTCCGTATGTGTGCGTGGCTCTCTGTTTTATGCACACAGCTCACTGGTGTAGCAGGAAACCCCCCCCCCCCCAATCATTCAGTTTGTACAAACTTCACACACACTCACACACTACATATGATACGCTTCTGTTATAAATTCATAGAAAATCAACCATACATCGGATTTGCACTGTTCCACTTTTATTTTACTCCATGAAGGAAGGACTACAAAATGGGGAAGGTTTGATACAGGGCAGCCATAATCCCTTGAGCATCCCAGCACATCCACAGGAGCCCTGCCCAGTTGCTATGCCAACCCTGATGGTCCCAGACAGAAGACCATCAAGATCACAAAGAACTTGCATATGGGAGTGGATTCAGCACGGACTGGAACAAAGGACAATGATCAGCTCTTCCCTCTGGGGGCAGGAAACTGCAAACTCCCCTTTGTCACCTGGAAAGTACTCATGGGGAGGGGGAAAGGGGGAACCAGCCAGGTGACAGGACACTCAGGTTACCACCACAACTCCTCCCTCAACCCCTTTCTGTGATGTATGTATCTGAGGGGTGGTCTTAGGTTACACCCCTTCTGTGATGTATGTATGATGTTTCTGGGGGTGGTCTTGATCTGTTGTTGTTGTTTAGTCATTTAGTTGTGTCCGACTCTTCGTGACCCCATGGACCAGAGCACGCCAGGCACTTCTGTCTTCCACTGCCTTCCGCAGTTTGGTCAGGCTCATGTTTGTAGCTTCGAGAACACTGTCCAACCATCTCGTCCTCTGTCATCCCCTTCTCCTTGTGCCCTCCATCTTTCCCAACATCAGGGTCTTTTCCAGGCAGTCTTCTCTTCTCATGAGGTGGCCAAAGTCTTGGAGCCTCAGCTTCAGGATCTGTCCTTCCAGTGAGCACTCAGGGCTGATTTCCTTCAGAATGGATAGGGTTGATCTTCTTGCAGTCCATGGGACTCTCAAGAGTCTCCTCTAGCACCAGAATTCAAAAGCATCAATTCTTCGGCGATCAGCCTTCTTTATGGTCCAGCTCTCACTTCCGTACATCAGTGGTTATAAAAGGCTTACTGGGAAATGCAAAAGGGCTACAAGTGGCTTAACAAGCATAGGAACATAAGAAGAGCTTGCAGGATCAGGCCAATGGCCCATCTAGTCCAGCATCCTTTTCTCACAGTGGCCAACCAGATGCCTGAATGTGAAGCTCTCAAGCAGGTTTTGAGCTCAAGAGTCCTCTTCCACTCCTGTGGTTTGCAGCAACTGGGGTTCAGAAGCCGTGGGATAAGCAGCCTCATATAACCAACATGCTTAAGTCTCATTAATGCATGAAAGGGGTTAAGGTCATAGAGTAAGCTGTCCTACTATACAAATGATTCAGAAACACTCACCATTTTGGAACCTAAGTTTTACGGCTTGTGTTTTCTGACTGCTGTATGGAAAAGCACATGAACCTGACCTTTGCAGAGTTTGTAAGAAGGAGAGTGGGGAACTTTGGAAGCAACTTAGAAGGGGATACAGTGGTACTTCTGGTTGCGAACGGGGTCCATTCCGGAGGCCTGTTCGCAACATGAAAAGAGCGCAACCTGCAGCGGCGTGTCTGCGCACGCACAGGTTGTGATTCACCGCTTCTGCGCATGCACAAGTGGCAAAACCCGGAAGTAACCTGAAAGAACGTAACATGAAGCGGACGTAACATGAGGTATGACTGCATTTTAAAGGTTGTACAGTCTATATTTCCATGCTTTACTTTGATGCCTATTTTGCGATTTTAAATTTCTGCTGGGGTGCTCTCAGCAAAGAGTTCTTGTCCCAAACCTGGATCTTGCCATCCAGGGAATCCTCCTTTGATTATACCTATATTATATATTATTATATTATATTATATTATATTATATTATTATATTATATGCATCTTCCAAGGCTCCATCTACTTTCCAGTCAACTCTCACTAGAAAACTCTTTAACCACCTTTTGCTCCCTCTCTCCCCATCTCACCCCACTGAAGCAGTATGAACTTCTCCAAACTATGCTGGGTGTTTCATTCCAAAGTTTCTGGATAGAATCCCAGGAGCCTGTCTTCTATCATTAGCCCTCATTGATGAGACACCACCAATCACCTTGGACTAATAGGCAGCAATCTGCGTAACTGAGGATGGCGCTCAGCATCTGTAAGGCCATTGTGTCTGCTAAACAGGTACAGCAGACAGGCCTGCCATGATCGGTTTAGGTCAGGAGCATGCAAATGCGGTGCATTTATGCAGCTGAATAATGCATGGCACAGGCTGCAAATGCAAATTTGCATGAGAATACACGGGAATTTTGAGAAGGCAGTTGCGATCGCAACCAATTGATTGCGACTGCAGAGTGATGTCAGTGATCTGATGGCTGTGAGTTTTGAATGCGTTTGACAATTAGAAGCACGAGACACTGATTGAATCAATGCAAAGTGGGCAACTTGCATAGATTTGGGGAGGGCCGCGACTGTTGCTGAATATTCATAGAGTCCTCAGATGTCAGATGTGTCTTCTATCGGCTTGAAGCGAGGGCAGCCCACAGGCATCAAGGAGAACAGAATCTCTTGGGCACTTTTTGCCCCAAAGGGGAAAGAAGCAGAAGTCCCAGCAAAGGAAGAATGGATACAAAAACTTGTGGAATATTCAGAAATGGCGAAATTTACTGGAAGAATAAGAAATGAAGATAACAGAAATTTTAATCTAAGAATGGAAATGTTTTATTGAATATTTACAGATAAATTGCAAACAAATGAAAACATTAGCAAGATTATTGTAATAACCTGCAGTTTCATAAGAGTATATATTTAAGGTAAAGGGACCCCTGACAGTTAAGTCCAGTCGCGAACGACTCTGGGGTTGCGGCGCTCATCTCGCTTTACTGGCCGAGGGAGCCGACGTTTGTCTGCAGACAGTTTTTCTGGGTCATGTGGCCAGCATGACTAAGCCGCTTCTGGCGAAACCAGAGCAGCACACGGAAACGCCGTTTACCTTCCCGCCAGAGCGGTACCTATTTATCTACTTGCACTGGTGTGCTTTCGAACTGCTAGGTTGGCAGGAGCTGGGACCGAGCAACGGGAGCTCACCCCGTTGCGAGGATTTGAACCGCCAACCTTCCGATCAGCAAGCCCAAGAGGCTCAGTGGTTTAGACTGAGGTACCATCTCTTGAATCAAGGGTGCTGTGGCTTAAACCACAGCCTAGGACTTGCTGATCAGAAGGTTGGCGGTTCGAATCCCCGTGATGGAGTGAGCTCCCGTTGCTCGGTCCCCGCTCCTGCTAACCTAGCAGTTCGAAAGCACATCAAAGTGCAAGTAGATAAATAGGTACCACTCCGGCAGGAAGGTAAACGGTGTTTCCGTGCGCTGCTCTGGTTCGCCAGAAGCGGCTTAGTCATGCTGGCCACATGACCTGGAAGCTGTACACCGGCTCATAGAATCATAGAATCATAGAGTTGGAAGAGACCACAAGGGCCATCGAGTCCAACCCCCTGCCAAGCAGGAAATGTTGATTTAAAGCAGAGTCTGTCGTGGCCAGCGGAAGGATGAGGAAAATGTGTTACATACTCTATATTGCTTTATTTACAGTTCAAAGCTGGTATATTACAGAAAGACATCTTGCCTCTGCAGGAGCAGAGAAATGCATCCTCTCTCCTCAACAGCTCGGAGAGAATCACACAGTGAAAAACAGGAAACCAGTGTACGTCACATCCAGTCTCCCTTTCCCGTGAGAAACTCCAACAGTACAGACTGTGGAATGTAAACACCTGTCTTGTGACTGCAGTTGCTGCTCAGTGAGGGAAATAGAAACCAACATCCTCCCCTTTCTGTGAACATCACTGGGCAGCGTGTTTGCACAATATCAGTACAAACCCAACTTCTGCACATAGGTACAGTGTTGATCCCTTGATACAATCTTGGACAATACATCAGCAGGAATTTCATTACCTGGCATATAGGACACCGTTACGAGTCCCTTCTGAATACATTCCCTAGCATGCTGCAACTTTAATTGCAAGTGCTTTGTGCTTTGCTTACAACCTTCAGACTTCAGCAAAGCCAAACATGCTTTGTTGTCCTGGTAAACCTGGATTGGACATTTGACAGGAATTTTCATATCTTTGCACAATTGTACTAACCATTCACAATCCTTAAGTGAATAAGACAGTGCATTCAGTTCGGCTTCACAAGTACTTAAGCTAACTGTTGTTTGCTTCTTGCATGACCAATCAAACAGACTCTGATTGTACATATAGCAAACTCCAGACGTACTTTTCCTGTCTGTAGTGTCACTTCCAAAACTTGCATCTGCAAATATCTCAAGACCACCAGACTTCTGATTGTTAAATCTCAGTCTGTAATGCATAGTGCCTTTCAAATACCGCGCTATGCGTTTCAGAGCTTTCCAATCCTTGACACTAGGATTGTTGACTTGTCTGCTTAGCAAATTACAGCTAACAGCAATGTCTGGTCTTGAACATCTGGCAATGAAGTTTAGCTTGCCTAGCACACTCCTGTACAGTGTAGTGTCAGAAAATGCTTCTTCAGTGTCATCTACCTGATAACCTGTTGTCATCGGTGTGTCTACAGGGTTAGCATCCATCAGATTTAGTTTGCTTAACACATCAGCAATTTTCCGTGACTGGTGTACTAGAATGTTACCATCTTGATCTCTCTCTATTTCCAGAGATAGGTAGTTGTTTACCTCACCAAGATCTTTCATGTCAAAGTGCTCTTTCAGTTGAGCTAGGGCGCTATTGTACATTGCAACATCTTTCCAAAAGAATAATAAATCATCAACATAAAACAAACAGTACAGTTTCTTTTGCCCCTCCTCTTTGACAAATACACATGGATCAGCTTTCCTTGCTGAAAACCTAGAGAAAACAATACTTCAGTGAGTTTTGTGTGCCAACACCGTGCACTTTGTTTGAGACCATAAAGGGATTTCTTCAGAGCACAAACAAATCCCTGTTTTACCTGTACGCCATCAGGTGGAAGCATATAAAGTGATTCATCTAGAGATCCGTACAGAAAAGCTGTATTAATATCATGGTGACTAATGTGTAGATTTTCCTCTGCAGCTAGCTTGAGCATAAGCCTAATGCTTTCATATCTCACTGTGGGTGAATAGGTCTCGTGATAGTCTTCACCTGGTACCTGTGCAAAACCTCTGGCTACCAATCTGGCTTTGTGTCTGACTATCTTGCCATTTTGATCTGTCTTCGCTTTGAAGACCCATTTGCTTCCAAGCAGTTTCATTCCTGGAACTACTGGAACTAGCTCCCATGTTTTGTTCCTTTCTAAGGAATCAAGCTCAGCCTTCATGGCATTTAACCATGGCTCAGCTTCCTTTGAATCCAAACCCTGGATTTCTTGGAAACTTGAAGGTTCAAATACCTTCTTGGAGCTTTTAACAGCTGTTACTGCTATCTTAGCAAACTCATCAGCAAATCTCTTTGGAGGTTTGCCTTTTGTGGCTCTCTGTGACCTACGAATTAGCCTTAAGTCTTCAACACTCTCCTCTTCCTTCTTAGGAGAAAAACGACCTATTGTGAACAATGGTTCCTCCAATTCTTGATCAGAGCTTTCAGAGGGTCGCATAGAGGCTTTCGCACTCTTGAAATCCTCTGAATCACCCGATTCAGTTTCAGATTCAGACTCAGAACCTTCATCAGTGGGTGTGGGCTGTTGTGGTTGCTTTTGACTATCCTCAGTCTCATCACCGTCATCAGGATAACATTGGAAAATTCCCACATTCTCCCCCACTTTGCATTGTACTCAACACTTCTCGTGAGCTTAATTGTCTTAGAGTCAGTCATCATTATTCTGTAAGACCCTTTCTGATAACCTAGAAAGATACCATGCAATCCACGCTTGTCTAACTTGGAGTTTTGTGGTGAGCGAACCCACATGTCAGAACCAAAATCTTCATGTGTTTGATGTATGGCTTCTTGCCAAACATCTTCTCATAGGGGGTACAACCAATCGCTGAAGATAGCCTGCGATTGTAACTGTAAACAAAACACGAGAGAGATTCGGCCCAATAACTCTCTGGAAGATTGGCATCATGCAGCAAGGTCTTTAACCCTTGAAGCAAAGTCTGATTTGCCTGCTCCGCAAGTCCATTCTGCCATGGCGAGCGAGGACTAGACAAATCGTGTTGAATTCCTTTCTCAGTCAGAAAAGCTTCAAACTGCTGAGAAGTGAATTTCCCCGCGATCACTGAAAAGAGTCTTTATCTTCTTACCATGCACATTTTCCAACCAAGCACAGAATTCCTTGAACCTAGGAAAAGCCTCCGATTTCTGCTTGAGATTGTACACAAAAATATATCTAGAAAATGCATCAATGAGAACCATGAAGTATCTATTTCCACCCAAAGAGGGCGATAGTGGTCCAACCAAATCAGCATGAACAACCTGGTATGGTTCTGTAGCTGTCCTACTAGACACCTTTCGCAGCCATTTTCACCTTGTTTGCTGCGCATGCTTTGCACTTCATGTGGTACCTGCAGGGTTTAATAGTCATACCTTCAACCAAGGCAGGCATTTTAGATACTGCCTCAAAATGCAAATGACCAAATTTTCGATGAAAATCGTGAATACATTCTGCATGCAAACTTTTGTTAGAACCTGCAATGCAACAAGTGTCATCCTGCACCACATCATCATAATACAAAACAAACAAATGATCAACATATTCTGCATGCAATACATAATCATTTTTCTTTGTGATGATGCACTTCTTGTTCTTGAAGGAAACGTCAATGTTCCGCTCATTCAGCTGTCCAACGCTGAGCAGATTATGTTTGGCGTCTGGCACGTAAAGCACATTCTGTATCGATAAGTCCAAACTGTGAAGAACAACAGTTCCGTAGCCTTTACTGGGAATAGTGTGGTCATCCGCCTGGTGAATCGCACCTTCCTGCGGTGTAAAAGACACAAACAGTTTCTTATCGTTGCACATGTGGTGGGTGGCCGCTGAATCAACAACGAAGAAAGATCTAGACGTCTTCTGGACCTCTGCAACCTTTGGAGTGAAGCGTGAAACCATAGCCTTGTGCTGCGTTGTCCTAGACACCGGACCTTTGCCTTTGCCTCGGCCTTTTCCGCGCGATGAGCTTCGCTGCGCTGCTCTGTCTTGGCCCTGGGATGTCTGCATTCCCTCTTCATATGGCCTAGACGTCCACACGAGTAGCACTTTCACTGCCTTCAAAGCTTTGGCGCCATCTGGTGGTTCCACTGCACTATGGGATGACGTCTGTGAAGACTTCCCTTGCCCATGCAGCTAGCACCCCGGCGATCTGCTTCATTTAAAATCACGGCAGTAACAAAGTCCACTGTCAGCTGAGCAGTTGGTTGCACAGCAATCTGGGTTGCAACAGACTCCCAACCTGAACCCAAAGATTGTAGTATCATGAAAGAATACACAGCCTCTGGAAAGTTGAGTCCTCTCTGTTGCAGCTCATGTCTGAGATTTTGCATCTCCATTAGATGTAAACGCACATCTCCACCTTCAGCAAGAGCCATATTATGCAGCTTGTTAAAATAAAACATAGTGGATCCAGCTTCTGTCCTTAAGTGAGCCTCTCTCAGAGCGTCCCAAATTTCTCTGGCTGAGGTCTTATCACGCAATAGACAGAGCTCTTCTGGGGATACTATCAATGTAAGAGTTCCCTTGCTTTGGAATCCTTAGCTTCCCATGCATCTGTAACTGGAACTGGGGGTTCCTGTAATCACCTCAAACAAACCCTCTTTCCGCAGAATTGCCTCTGCATACTGAACCCAGTCGCTGTAATTTTTCTTGTTGAGCTTAGGAATCCTACAAGCATCCTGAAGGGCCATCATGACTCTGGCATTAGCCTTCAGCGTCATATGCTGCTGCTGCCTCATTACAAAGGCACACTTAAAAGTTACTTTCGATTTCCCCAGCATAGTGACTTGTGCCTGGGAGCCTTTTGCCTATTCCCGGCAAAACCGGCTTTAAAAGTTCAAAGTCCAGCCATAAAGCCATTATCTTGAAGCTGGCAGGCTGCCCGGAGCAGTAGCACATACCTCATCAATCACTTCTACGCGCAGAGCAGATTCCTTTCCGATCCGTCCCTCTGCATTCCGATCCTCTGCCGGCACTCCGATTCGACGTCTGGAGCCCATAACCACGTGTTGATTTAAAGCAGAGTCTGTCGTGGCCAGCGGAAGGATGAGGAAAATGTGTTACATACTCTATATTGCTTTATTTACAGTTCAAAGCTGGTATATTACAGAAAGACATCTTGCCTCTGCAGGAGCAGAGAAAATGCATCCTCTCTCCACAGCTCGGAGAGAATCACACAGTGAAAAACAGGAAACCAGTGTACGTCACATCCAGTCTCCCTTTCCCGTGAGAAACTCCAACAGTACAGACTGTGGAATGTAAACACCTGTCTTGTGACTGCAGTTGCTGCTCAGTGAGGGAAATAGAAACCAACAGGAAACACCATCAGAGCACTCCTTACATATGGTTGTCAAGCCTCTGCTTAAAGACCTCCAAAGAAGGAGACTCCACCACACTCCTTGGCAGCAAATTCCACTGTCGAACAGCTCTTACTGTCAGGAAGTTCTTCCTAATGTTTAGGTGGAATCTTCTTTCTTGTAGTTTGGATCCATTGCTCCGTGTCCGCTTCTCTGGAGCAGCAGAAAACAACCTTTCTCCCTCCTCCTTTCTCCTCTCTCTTTCTCCTATTGGCTCCCTCGGCCAATAAAGCGAGATGAGCGCCGCAACCCCAGAGTCATCCGCAACTGGGCCTAATGGTCAGGGGTCCCTTTACCTTACCATCTCTTGATAGTACTTGGTGGTACAAACTTGCATACAAATTTAATAAACGAACAAAACAAAATCAATGAAATTAACTGGCAGAAAGGGAGAGAGAGATTTTGAACTCTGAGAATCTGTTCATGCCGCTTCTTTGTTGAAGGCGATGCCACCTGGAAAACTGGCCCACGCCATCTCTCTTTTATGGCCCTGATTTTGCTAACAAAGGAGGAGTCTTATTAAACCGGGCCACCGATCATATTGCAAAAGACTTGGGAGACAAATGTCAGTGGGTAGAATTTTATTTAATTTTTGTCCCCTGCAGCAGCAGAGCTGTCGGGCTAATAGAAAGGGCTTTGGTGGACCGCCCCCCCCAGCTAATTAAGGAGTGTCACCATCCGTCAGATAAGAGGCAGAACGAAAGGGCATCGTGCTCCGCGGACGGCACCCTGGATTTATTAGCTAACCCGAAGCGGCGGAACCCGGCCCTATCACAAAGCGTTTCCATTGGAAGACTTTTATTGCATTGAAAGCCGCCAACTCCCCCCCCCCAAATCTTCTGACTGCTGTGTTCTTGCCCCCCCTCCTCTCTCCCCCTTGCAACATCCTCCTCCTTTTATCTCGCTTGTGTTCTCAGCATCTCACTCTCAGGGAAAATAAATAAATAAAGCAAACATGATTTGCTCTGGGATAGAGCGGCCTTGAAGATAAGGAAATGTCACGATGCCCCCGCTGTGCGCAGTATAAGGATGAGGCGGCAGAACCTCTGTGTGTTTTTCTGAAATGGCACATCTCTTTGGAGGCCTGGTCCCCTTTTCGCTCCCAATTTCCAAAAGGGATATATATATGTGTGTGTGTGTGTGTGTGTGTGTGTGTGTGCGCGCCAGGTCCACACGTCTGAACCGTTTGTGCAAAGAAGGGCATACGCCCCCCTCTTTGACGTGCTATTAATTTCTCTTTAAAAGTAAAAAATGAATGGGATTTCCACCGGATACCTGAAAAATGAATCAGCCTCATAATTTTTTAATTGATTTTCATACAATTTAACAAATCCAATTCAGTTTCCATACAATATTCCCTTAGCATTTCGACTTCCCGTCCTTGATGTTTCTGTGCAAAACCTTTTATCGACTGCTTTAAATATAATACTTACTTCTGACTCCCTCGGCAGGAAAGTGGAAATGAGCGCCGCACCCCATAGGCAAATTTGACTGGACTTAACCATCCAGCATTTTTCAAAAACCTTTTAATACTTATTTCTATAACATATATTCTACATTATATTCCTTTATCATTCACATTCCTTTGCTTATATTTCCAGCCCTGCCTGCGATTTCATTTGCCTATAATATTTTCTCAGATAACCTGGAAAGGGTCTCCACTCTCCCACAAACATTTCGTCCCTTGGGTCTCTTCTTTTCGCCATCAATTTAAGCATCTCCACATAGTCCAATAGCTCTGAAGTCTACTCTTCTTTCGTTGGAACTGCTTTTGATTTCTGAACATGCAATATTCTGGCTGGAGTGGAAGCATCCATAAACAATTTAACCAACTTTCATGGGGGGGACCTCTGCCCCTATTCCCCAAAGAAATGCTTCAATATTTTTGTGTGTGGGTAAGACTGTTTTAGGGACGTGGGTGGCGCTGTGGGTTAAACCACAGAGTCTAGGACTTGCCGATCAGAAGGTCGGCGGTTCGAATCCCCGCGACGGGGTGAGCGCCTGTTGCTTGGTCCCAGCTCCTGCCAACCCAACAGTTTGAAAGCACGTCAAAGTGCAAGTAGATGAATAGGTACCACTCTGGCGGGAAGGTAAAGGGCGTTTCCGTGCGCTGCTCTGGTTTGCCAGAAGCGGCCTAGTCATGCTGGCCACATGACCCGGAAGCTGTACGCCTGCTCCCTCGGCCAGTAAAGCGAGATGAGTGCCGCAACCCCAGAGTCGGTCACGACTGGACCTAATGGTCAGGGGTCCCTTTACCTTTACCTTAAGACTGTTTTAAACAACCTTTTTAATTAATTTTGAAGACCTTCCTCTCTAGAGGCAGAGAAAGGCAGGTGTCTGTCTAGAGAGAGGATAGTTTGATGCTGGAAGACTCTCCCTCGACCGTTGCAGGTAGTTTTGAATGCATGGATGGGACAGAACTTGCACTGGTCATCTAATTAGTAAAAGGTAAAGGACCCCTGGACAAATAAGTCCAGTCAAAGGCGACTATGGGGTGCGGCGCTCATCTCGCTTTCAGGCCAAGGGAGCTGATGTTTGTCCACAGACAGCTTTCTGGGTCATGTGGCCAGCTTGACTAAACCGCCTCTGGTGCAACGGGACACTGTGATGGAAACCAGAGCGCATGGAAACGCCGTTTACCTTCCCACCGCAGCGGTACCTATTTATCTATTTGCGCTGGTGTGCTTTCAAACTGCTAGGTTGGCAGGAGCTGGGACATAACGGTGGAAGCCCAGTTTCTGGGTCATTCTCAGAGCCAGTGTGGTGTAGTGGTTAAGAGCGGTAGTCTCGTAATCTGGGGAACCGGGTTCGTGTCCCTGCTCCTCCACATGCAGCTGCTGGGTGACCTTGGGCCAGTCCCTCATCTCTGAAGTCTCTCAGCCCCACTCACCTCACAGAGTGTTGTGGGGGAGGAAGGGAAAGGAGAATGTGAGCCGCTTTGAGACTCCTTCGGGTAGTGAAAAAGCAGGATATCAAATCCAAACTCTTCCTCGTCTTCTTCTCTGGAGGTGACCATCGCATGGATCACAGTGGCTAGGTCAGGGCGAGAGAGGTGAGAAGCCAACTGCTTAGCTTGGCGGAGATGGAAAAATGCCGCCTTTGTTATAGCTGCAATCTGCACCTCCATGGAAAGGGAGGTGTCGAGGATTACACCCAAACTCTTAACGGACGGTGCTGGCATTAACTGCGCCCCCGCAATCTCTCATGTCACCTCTTCCTTGCCTTGTTTCTAAACTAAAAAGCCAAAAACATTGCGACCTTCCTTCATAAGAGAACCGCTCCATCCCCTTGGCCATTTGAAATCATTTTTATTTGGTTTTACAAATTAGTGTTTACATTCAAAATCACAAATGATAACAAATACACAAGATTCTTCCGAATGTCTAGACTTCCCTCCATAGGTTCTTTACTTAACCTTTCCAGCTGCATACTACATCGCTCTAATTTTTCAGTTCTCCATTATGCCCAAAGTTTTTGTTACATTGCAAGAGATATTTAAGCCCTGCTAAAGAGTTCAAACGTTTACAGTGGTCTCTCAGATCAGTTTCCTCCATTCTTTATTGAAGTTTTGATCCTCCTGATTTCTGATTTTCCCGGTCATTTCTGCCATCTCTGCATAGTTCAACAACTTAGTCTGCCAGCATCCTTGCAGTTGTCGTATCCTTTCCCTCATTTGGGTTCCCTGAACCTTTTCCAAGTCTGCAATATCCTTTTTGAGGCAAGGTGACCAGAGATGGGCACAGTGTCCATTCCTTTCTTATCACCCCAGTTTCTTACTCCGCGCTACAGCTATAGACTCTTATCCGCAGATTGGACAGATTCATTTGGTCTCGCCTAACAAGGACAAACTGGCCTGACAGTCAGCCAGAGCTATTGCCTGTTTCCCTGCTGAGATAGAAGGGGCTTCCTTTGCAACAGAGTATTTAGCAAATGGTCCTTCGGCTATGATATCAATCACTGCGTTCAAACGACAACAGCCTGCGAGGTCTGAGGAGGCTCCAAGTTCAGACAAACAGCAGATTACTCTTGGCCAACAAGTCGTTCGTAAGCTTATCTTCCACTATGTGAAAGCCCCTGCTACTGAAATTTCCCATTTTGAAAGACACACACACACACACACACACACTTTAGTGGCAGACATACCAGGTAATAGGCTGTTTGCAAAGATGCAAGACTTGCTTTCAGTTTGCTTTCTGAAGATGGTTTATTTGAGCACTTTTGCTGCTCTGAAAACACAGGTGCAATGGGACAAGCTCTAGAAAGATGGGGGGGGGGGTCTACGCCTTTTCAGCCTGTTGAACAAAAGCTGGGTGTGGTTGGTACCTACTGGATAGTGCCTGTGTCACCACCCACCTCTCATTTCCATTAGAAGAAGCAGCTACAGTGCTTTTTTTCTTTAAAAAACCAACATTTAGCAGTACTCTCATTTTCCTACTCATTTTGAAATACTGCCCCTCAAAGAGGCCAAACTTAGATTCACAAAATGTTTAGGGGTATGCGTACCCCTGTGTCCCACCAGAAAAAAGCACTGAGCACCTTCCTGTTAGCAACAACAATAAAGTGTAGAATTGAGTCAGCCCATTGCATCCTGACTCAGAAGCAGAGGCCTCAGCATTCAATGTGAATAGCATGGCTGCAGCTTCTACAGGTGGAGGCAAGGAAGCTCAGGAGGGGCTAGATTTTGTCCCAGAATTCACAGCTAGGGATTATTCATCATCATCATCATCATCATGCAAGGGGGGTGGAGTAGATGACCCCTTTGGGTCCCTTCCAGTTCTACAGTTCTATGATTCTATCATCTTATGCTCAGATCACAGTGCCTGCACTGGTGTGACTGGCTGAACCTGCTGCTAACGTGTTTTATTGGCTGCAGGTCCTTATTAGCTGATAATGTTGTGGCCCGTTTCTCGTATACAGTGGTCCCTTGGTTCTCAGATGCCTTGGTACTCAAACAACTTGGAATCCAAACACTGCAAACCTGGAAGTAAGTGTTTTGGTTTGTGAACTTTTTTTGGAAGCCAAACATTCTCCGTTTTGAGTGTTACACTTCCGCTTGGAGTGCCACACTTCCATTTTGAGCGCAACACTTTCGTTTTGAGTGTTAAGATGAGGTCTGTCTGTTTTTGCTATTTATTTTGCGTTTTTGTTTTGCAACTCTTTTGTTTTGTTTTTGTGACTATGTGGAACCCAGTTCGGCTACTGATTGATTGATTGTGTGACTGTAGTACATTGTTTATTGTTTTCATTTTATGGATCAGTGGTCTCGTTAGATAGTAAAATTCATGTTAAGTTGCTGTTTTGGGGTTGTTTTTAAAAGTCTGGAATGGATTAATCCGTTTTGCATTCCTTTCAGTGGGAAAGCACGCCTTGGTTTTGGAGTGCTTTAGTTTTGGAAAGGACTTCCGGAATGGATTAAGTTTGAGAACCAAGGTACCACTGTATCCATCTGTTGCTCCTATATTTATCCCATATTCATGGCCGTTCCAGTGGGCTGCTTTTGTCCCTCTCAGGAAAACTCTGTCCGCTGGTGAAGAAAGCAAAGACCATCCCATTTGCTGATGGATAAACACCTACAAAGTGGTGTGGGTCATTCTTGTGATGTTAGTCATCAGCCTTAGGCAATATTTCTCTTGTATTACCATGAAATCACCCTTACTTAATGCTGTGGCATCTCTGGGTCCCCTTGTCCCCGAGTTAATGCACAATGTTACATGTCTCTGTGTGCATCCATGTATCAAATTGTGCATATTTTAGTTTTTAATCTGAACAAACAAGGCATCGTGTCGTTTGCATCTTCTTGTGGGGACAGAGATAAGCCTGCTCGGTGTGCAATTAACAGATAATTTGTTGCAAATAACAAGAGCGATAACCCGAAGGTGCTCTGCAATTAGCGGGTTTAATTTCATCCTCTCCAACGAAAGCAGCACTTCTGGCATCTGTGTGTTTATGCGTGTGTGATTGAGACAATTTGAGCCTTAGATGATCCAGAAGGGAAAAAATGTACAGACAACATGGGAAATGTTATTATGTGATGTGCAAAGTCTCAATCACACGATGCGATGAAGCTACCTTGGCATTGCCAAATCCCTTGTTGAATAAAGGAACCTTGTTTCAAGCTGTAATCACAGCGCTGAGCCAAAATGCGGTGTATGTGCACAGTTTGCAGAGATGCTTATTGATGTATGGAAGTGAGAGCTGGACCATAAAGAAGGCTGATCGCCGAAGAATGGATGCTTTTGAATTCTGGTGCTGGAGGAGACTCTGGAGAGTCCCATGGACTGCAAGAAGATCAAACCGATCCATTCTGAAGGAAATCAGCCCTGAGTGCTCACTGGAAAGACAGATCCTGAAGCTGAGGCTCCAAGACTTTGGCCACCTCATGAGAAGAGAAGACTCCCTGGAAAAGACCCTGATGTTGGGAAAGATGGAGGGCACAAGGAGAAGGGGATGACAGAGGATGAGATGGTGGGACAGTGTTCTCAAAGCTACCAGCATGAGTTTGACCAAACTGCGGGAGGCAGTGGGAGACAGGAGTGCCTGGTGTGCTCTGGTCCATGGGGTCACGAAGAGTCAGACACGACTAAACAACAACAACAATTATCACAGATGAAAGAAGAAACAAGAGAATAGTAGAATTGGAAGGGACCCCAGAGGTCATTTGGTCCAGCTCCCTGAAATGCAGGAATCTCAGTTAAGCATCCCTAACAGGTGGCCACACAACCTCTGCTTGAAAACCCCAAACAAAGGAGAGTCCGCCATCTTGCGAGGGAGTCTGCTCCACTGGCAAAACAGCTCTTACTCTCAGAAAGTTCTTCCTAAGGTTTTGTCAGAATCTGCCTTCTTGACATGCGAATCCATTGGTTCAGATCTTACCCTCCAGAGCAGGAGAAAACAAGCTTGCTCCATCCTCCTTGAGATATTTGGAACTCCCTCAGCCATTCCTCATAAGGCTTGGTTTCCAGACCTTTGACCATCTTGATTACTGTTCCCAGCTTGTCAATATCCTTCTTAAACGGTGGTGCCCAGAACTAGATGCAGAACTTCAGTTACCCCACTGCCAGTGGTACCTTGGTTTCAGAACATCTTAGTTTATGAACAACTTGGATTAAGAACGCTGCAAACCCGGAAGTAGGTGTTTTCGTTTGTGAACTTTGCCTTGGAAGCAGAACACGTTCCGCTTCTTGCTGAGTGTAAATTGAGTCCCCAGCTCCTATGGGAAAGCACACCTTGGTTTATGAACACTTTGGTTTAAGAACAGACTTCCGAAACGGATTAAGTTCATAAACCAAGGTACCAGTGTACTAATTAGATGCCATGGAACACAGGTGGTGCTGTGTTAAAAAGCACTGAGCCTCTTGGGCTTGACGATCAGAAGGTGGGCGGTTCAAATCCTGTGACGGAGTGAGCACCCGTTGCTCTGTTCCAGCTCCTGCCAACCTAGCAGTTGGGAAGCACACCAGTGCAAGTAGATAAATAGGTGCCACTATGGTGGGAAGGTAAACGGTGATTCCATGCGCTCTGGTTTCCATCACAGTGTCCCGTTGCACCAGAGGTGGTTTAGTTATGCTGGCCACATGACCCAGAAAGCTGTCTGTGGACAAACGCTGGCTCCCTCGGCCTGAAAGCGAGATGAGTGCCGCACCCCATAGTCGCCTTTGACTGGACTTATTTGTCCAGGGGTCCTTTACCTTTTACTAATTAGATGACCAGTGCAAGTTCTGTCCCGTCCATGCATTTCAAAACTACCTGCAACGGTCGAGGGAGAGTCTTCCAGCATCAAACTATCCTCTCTCTAGACAGACACCTGCCTTTCTCTGCCTCTAGAGAGGAAGGTCTTCAAAATTAATTAAAAAGGTTGTTTAAAACAGTCTTACCCACACACAAGAATATTGAAGCATTTCTTTGGGGAATAGGGGCAGAGGTCGTTCCCCCCCCATGGCGTTTCCATGTACTCTGGCACTCGTCACGGTCCTCCGTTGCGCCAGAAGCGGTTCAGTCCTGCTGGCCACATGACCTGGAAAACTGTCTGTGGACAAACGCCAGCTACTTCGGCCCATAGCTGTCAACTTTCCCCTTTTCTTGCGAGGAATCCTATTCGGAATAAGGGAATTACCCTTTAAAAAAGGGAAATGTTGACAGCTATGCCTCAGCCTGAAAACGAGATGAGCGCTGCAACCCCATAGTCGCCTTGGACTGGACTTAACCGTCCAGGGCTCCTTTACCTAACAATGATGATATTTTTATAATAGTATTTTTATTATTTGTACCTCACCCATCTGAGCTGGTTGGTTCCAGCAGGAGCTTCTGATGTGCTTAATTGCTTTGATCAACTCATGACCAGAGTAGATCCAGGGCTGCCCGATTCCTTTTGTGGATTTGAACATTGTTTGCTGGAGAGTAAACACAAACAAGGGGACGAGGCACAGCCAGCGGCGCTCGAACAAATTGGAGTAATTGCAAACGGGCTCTTTCGCTGATCGGAGTCTCCCGCCTGTCAGAATAGATTGGGTTCATCTTCACCTGCCTTCTCTCCCTTGACAAACTGTGTCCTCCTTACTCTGCTCCCCTCCCCCTCAAAAGGCATCTTAATGAATTGTGGAGAGAGTAACCCAGAATTTAAAGAAGCATTGTCATTGTAAACATAAGGCCAGGAGCAGCCTATAAAAGCCTTGTTTTTGTTGAGGAATGAAGCCAAATGCAGCCCGGTTTCAAATCTTGGACACCAACGTGGTTAGGAATGGAAAAAATAATAATATCAGTAACGGCGAGAACCCCCCCCCCAACAACCTCCCCTAAACAATACCCCAAGAGCCTGCTGGACAGTTTTTGTAGCTGGAGTCAGTCCAGGCTCCACCCTCCTACACCAGCTAGGAAAAGCCTGCAAGGCAGGGAGCAGGTCTTCCAGGACTCACAGCCAATATATTGTTATGTATTAAATTTGTTAGTCGCCCACGGCAACCCAAAGCAACTTACAGCCCCCAACCTCCCCCCATAGGGACATTAAAACCAGGGGGTGAGGGCAGGGCCGTCTGTGGCATATGAGGAACTGGGGTGCTAAGATCCGCCCAGCACCCCCAAATTTTTGGAGGGGAGGTCCCAGTAGTGATGTATGGAAGTGAGAGCTGGACCATAAAGAAGGCTGATCGCCAAAGAATGGATGCTTTTGAATTCTGGTGCTGGAGGAGACTCTTGAGAGTCCCATGGACTGCAAGAAGATCAAACCTCTCCATTCTGAAGGAAATCAGCCCTGAGTGCTCACTGGAAGGACAGATCCTGAAGCTGAGGCTCCAGTACTTTGGCCACTTCATGAGAAGAGAAGACTCCTGGAAAAGACCCTGATGTTGGGAAAGATGGAGGGCACAAGGAGAAGGGGACGACAGAGGACGAGATGGTTGGATAGTGTTCTCGAAGCTACCAGCATGAGTTTGACCAAACTGCGGGAGGCAGTGGAAGACAGGAGTGCCTGGCGTGTTCTGGTCCATGGGGTCCACAAGAGTCGGACACAACTAAACGACTAAACAACAACAACAAAGTTGTTGAGCTTTTAAGGAGGAGAGCATGAAAAAAAAGAAAAGAAGCGGTAGCAATAACTCCATCTTTCCGTTTTGCAATTATGCAAAAATGAGACACCACTAGGCGCCACTGCCAGATACATTGATTTTGCAGAAGTTACCCATCGACTGCAATCACCCCAGGATCACTGTTAAGAGCTTAGGAGGCTTCAGCGGCAGGCACCCCCCCCGAATTTGGCGCCCGGGTGCATCACACCCCTTGCACCCCCGGGTAAAGACGGCCCTGGGTGAGGGGAATACATTATACCATCCCAAGCACTTCTGAAAGGTCACAGATAGTTAAAGCCAAAGGCCTGCTTCTGGTGGAAAGATTTTGCCTGACGCCTAGAGATGGTGCCAAGTGAGGCTGCCTGGAGAGAGCCTTCCACAAACAGGGGGCCACCACAGAAAAGGTAGTGTCTGCCATCTATGTTCACAGCTCCTTTCCGCATTCACATTTATGGTTTTTTGGCAGTTAGTCCTTCAGGGACATTCCCTGGGAGTTCTCTGCCCCACTCCAAGGGAGAACTAGGTCTCTGGTGTAAGGGCTGTTGATTACCAGTGTAACTTTTTTGGGGGTTTTTAGGCGAGTGAAAGAGTCTTAAAAATGATAAATATCCTGGAGACCAACCAATCCGAAATCTGAGTGTCCCATGTGCCCACAAGACCCAGCGGCTGCCTTATGTAACCTCCAGTCTGGGGCATTTTCCAAGGAAGGGGATGGAGTTGTTGTTTTGCCGTTTAGTCGTGTCCGCCTCTTCGTGACCCCCTGGACCAGAGCACGCCAGGCACTCCTTTCTTCCACTGCCTCCCGCAGTTTGGTCAAACTCATGCTGGTAGCTTCGAGAACACTGTCCCACCATCTCATCCTCCGTCGTCCCCTTCTCCTTGCGCCCTCCATCTTTCCCAGCATCAGGGTCTTTCCCAGGGAGTCTTCTCTTCTCATGAGGTGGCCAGAGTATTGGAGCCTCAGCTTCAGGATCTGTCCTTCCAGTGAGCAGGGCTGATTTCCTTCAGAATGGAGAGGTTTGATCTTCTTGCAGTCCATGGGACTCTCAAGAGTCTCCTCCAGCACCAGAATTCAAAAGCATCCATTCTTCGGCAATCAGCCTTCTTTATGGTCCAGCTCTCACTTCCACACATCACTACTGGGAAAACCAGAGCTTTTACTATACGGGATAGAGAAACCCACCCAATTATGAAACCGGGGTGGGCTCAGTCTTTTTACTGCTTTTTTTGCAAGTGAGAACGGCAGCCTGTCTGCTTCCAGCTCCAGCGCTCTGCCCCGCTTTAAACAATGAACTAAATTGGAGAATGAATAAAGGGGCAAATGAAGCTGTTTATTCCCACATACGAGGTTTAGTGCCAGGATAAATCTTCCGTTCCGCTCCGCGCTGTCGCCCGAGTTCCACCTCCGCGCCGGGAGAATTAACTGCCAGGCGATCATTGCCAGATGTTTCCTGCAATCGCGGCCTATTTAATCGGGCAGTTTGGTGGGGAGAGGAGAGATCAAACCTCCTCAATTTATGCCTCGATGACCTTTGAGAAATTGTATGCAAATGAGCTGAACAAATGAAGCGACGAGGAGCTGGAGCACGACACCCAACAAATGACACGGCGGCGACGCTCCGGTTCTACGGGAAAGAGAGATGCGATTCTCAGAAATTTAGGAGCGTGGAAGGGCAGAAATTACGTGCCCACCCCCTTTTTCTTCTGGGAAAACATACACGTTGGGGGAGAGATGGGGAGAAAATAACCAGAATGTTATTTGAAAAGAGGTAGCCTGATGATTCATATGAGTTTTCCCCAATCTGTTGCCATTCCCTCCAGCTGTTTTGGACAACAAATGCCATTATCAGGACTCAGCCACAAAAGGATGGTTTATATGCTCTGAGCTAAAAAACACAAACCCACCTTGAGATGGACAGTTTCTCCTTCCTCGCCCATCCTGAAAAATGGCCTTGGGGAAAGCAGGCAGAAGGTCTTATTTCTCTGTCCTTGGAATCAGCAGAAATGACCTGGCAGGACTTTGGTTGGAGCACTCCACTCCTAACTTCTGCTGCAGGACCAGTCCACCAGTGGGCCCATCTAGACCACCATCCTCTTCTCACAGTGGCCCACCAGATGCCAGTGAGCAGGACCAGAGCACAAGGCCAGCACTCTCCCCACCTGTGGTTTCCAGAAACTGGGATCCCGAAGAATCGCAGCCTGTGACAGTGGAGGCATAGACATCTTGGCTAGTAGCCACTGTTGTAAACAAAAAATCTGCCCTTTTTCCCTTATGGGGTATCCAAGAGCCCATATAGAGTCCTTACATAGGTTCCCTATTGGTAGGAGAAAATAACAGAGGCCAACCAGAGAATATTGAGAAGCAAAGCAGCTAGTAAGCCTGATCTTTATTGATCTGTTGCAACAGGGTGCTCCCCTCACATGCAGGAGAAGAGGAGGAACCCAGAACAATAGCGTGCAAGGCCTTATATAGACATTTTAAATTCCCTGCTCTGGAGCTCAAGACCACCCCTCCATTCAATCACAGAAGGGGTGTAACCTAAGACCACCCCCCAGATACATCATACCTACATTACAGAAAAGGCGGTCTACAGCAGAAATCTGAGTGTGCTGTTTATCTTGTCTGCCAGGTTACCTGTTTAATGTTCACTTGATTGGATTGCCTGGGGAGCCTGGCCAGTCTTTTGTAATGATAAATACTTAGTTCCTGAGCCAGGTCACAGCCTCACACCCTATTCATATCTTAAATGTGCCCTTAAGACAGGATTTGTGAAGGAAAAGACAATGGGGAGGCTTTTCCATTTTCCTTTGACCTTGCAGAGAAAACATTTGCTCAGTTTGGGAATCAAAAATGGTTTTCAGGTCGGTCTTCCTGTGTTGATCTATGTACGTGATTGGTTGGTACATTTATGAACATTTAACATATATCTAAGATTCCTATCACACCACCGATTGCCCTCTGCCCCTCCATGACTCTGTCTAACCCTCTTTCAAAGCCATCCACGCTGGTGGCCATCACTGCTGTGAGTTCCACAGATTAACACTTCACTGCGCGAAAACGCCCTTCCTTTTCTCTGTCCCAAAACTTCCAACGTAGATTCCGATTAACCTCCCTCCTATATCGGGATGGCACAAATGTCAACCGCTGCTGTCCTTTCCATGCAGCACAAACTTCTGCGAACGCTTGTGACCCCGAGTGCGGAATCAGGGGGTGCAGTAATTGTCCTGGATTAATGACTGCAGAAAACACCCCGGTAAGCGGAGTCAGCATTGCAGTCAGTCCTTCCCTTCCACAGAGCAGAGAATTCATCCTGCTCTCCCCCCCCACTCCCCTCCTTCACACCTTGCTGTGTCAGACCGGAGGGCAGACAATCCTTTCCTCGCCATCATGTTTGCTTAATTTTCTCTCCTTGTAAAACAGATGGAAAGCATGCAGGGCCACGGCATTAGCTTCTAATGTGATTAAAAGCCAAAAGCAAGGTTATCTCCTGGCTTCCCACAGGCTGCTTCCATCATCCAGGTTAGCTCTGAGGAGGTTCTGGCTGACAGCCAGTCAAACAGGTGTCTAATGGACTCTTCTGCATTCTCACCGGACAGATTCAATCATTCGCCCGTGCTCAGAGTCTTTTGTTCCTTGCCCACCCATCAGTGAAAAATAATTATGTTAAACCTGGAGCCCCAGTTGGCCGGCGAAGGATATCCACAGCGAACAGGAATGTAATGAGGGCAGAGAGGAAAGTGGCTCAAAGATATCCCTAGCAACAGAGGAGGAAGGGTCTGCATTTGGATGAATTTACCTTGCCAAAAACCTAACAAGAGGGAGATCAGAGCCGAAGGACACATTCGGCCTGTTCTTGCCTCTACTTGTCTGCCAGGTTTCTCTTATGCACAGCAACCCAGGGCATGTGGGTGGGGGTTTAAGGTGTTACGGAAATTACGGGGGGGGGCATCTTTAAAGTTGTTAAATGTTACAAATACTATGCATAAATGTATCCTTTCAACTTGAGAGCTCAGGGAAGTTACCTAGCTTTAAAAATCATATAAAATCAACTCCTTTGCCAGTTTCCTTCATTCCACCGCTGAAGTGATGGACATGAGGCAGGAGTTGATAATGCAGGTGAGCTGCGCACAGGTGAGCTGTGTGCAAGTTGCCGGCCAGCCCTGTGGAGCCTCCTTTTATTGACACAAATATGCAAACCCAGGCAGATACATTTTGGGCTGTGACCTTTACACATCTTCCAGTCCTGAGGTCGTGGGGTGGTACAAAGCTATTTCGGCACCTGTTTCCACCGTGTCATTTCCCCCTTGCACAGTGTATGACGAAGGAGACAAAAGGTCTCAGAGACAAAGGTTACAGACAGGGCACAGCAGACTACTGAGACCGCAAAAGGTTAGACAGAGGCAATGATGTTCAGACAGCTGTGGCTTGTCTGTGGGGGGAAGTGTGCCCAGCACCCCAAGGTCATGCATGCAGGCAGACTGAGGCTGCCTGTGTGTGGGGAGTGTCCTCCCTCTGGACCCCACGATCATCCCTACACACCGCCAATTCGCTTCATTGGCCAAGGACTTGGAAACCACTCAGTCCCCGCCATAATCCCTCAAGCGGGAGGTCACTGTACTCACTGTACTCATAGGTGTCAATCGCTGGGCAAAGGCACTCCTCCGGACAGACTTGCCCAGGTGGCAGACTATGCAAACCAAAGTTCTATTGTCCCTTTGTAGTAAGTGCTTAGAATGTACTTCCCCATGCATTTCCTGTATCCGCCTGTTGCCCCAACACTTTCCTCCTATGTTAATCATGTATATCCCTCCCCTTTTCTGATGTAGCAATGATGTAGTGATGATGCTTAATGAACTGTATGCTGGGATAAGATAGAAACTTTTAAAAGTCCTTGTCACCCCATCCTCGGGGTTCAAAATTCCTCTTTGAACCTGTTGCACAATAAACTTTGGTCTACAGCTATTTGCTCCGGTTGGTGGCTGGACGCCTTCCTTTATTCCGCAGGGACCCGCGGGCTCTGCCCGACCAGCTGGGTGGCTGAGCAGCCTTGCACCTAGATTTTTCCGTAACAAAGGAAAAATTAGATTTCACCAGGTGTCCTATGGGGGAGACCCAGTTTTCTGAGTGCAAGTTCTGGAAGTTGGGCAATAGGGGCAGTGCAGGATTCTTTTGGGTGTACCGATCTCCCCGCTGCACCAAGGATTCCCTGCCCGAGCTGCTTCAGGTCATGGCAGATGTTCTCTTGGGGACACCTAGTTTGGTGGTCCTAACATCCATGATGACACAACCTTACATGGGGCTGCTTGGGACTTCGTAGAAAGCATGGCCTCCATGGGGCTGTCCCTGAATAAGTTTGGCCTGACACATAGCCGTGGACATGTCTTAGACCTGGTGTTTACCTCTACGGATGTGGGTGATTTGACACTAAGTTCCAGTGAAATGAATGGGACGCGGGTGGCACTGTGGGTAAAACCTCAGTGCCTAGCACTTGCCAATCGTATGGTCGGCGGTTTGAATCCCCGCGGCGGGGTGAGCTCCCGTCCTTCGGTCCCAGCTCCTGCCCACCTAGCAGTTCAAAAGCACCCTTAAGTGCAAGTAGATAAATAGGTACCGCTTTATAGCGGGAAGGTAAACGGCGTTTCCGTGTGCTGCGCTGGTGCAGGCTCGCCAGAGCAGCTTCGTCACGCTGGCCACGTGACCCGGAAGTGTCTGCGGACAGCGCTGGCTCTCGGCCTATAGAGTGAGATGAGCGCACAACCCTAGAGTTGGACACGAATGGCCCGTACGGGCAGGGGTACCTTTACCTTTACCTTTTTCCAGTGAAACGAAGTACCATGGTCAGATCACTTCCTGGTACAGCTAGGCTTCTCTGTGACCCTTCCCGTCCGCAGGGAGGTGAGACCAATTCAAATGGTCTGCCCCTGCCACTTAGAGGATCCAAATGGCTCCCAGAGAGTCGTAGGGGATGTCTTATCCCATGTTGATGGCCTCTCAGCAGATTCCCTGGTGGCTCGCTGGAATGTGGAGTTAACCAGGTTTTGAAGAGCCCTCTCAGGTCCTCTCCTCCAGAGCAGGAGAAAACAAGCTTGCTGCATCTTTCATAGGACAGCCCTTGAGATATCTGAAGATGGCTCTCATATCTCCTTTCAGTCTCTTTTCCAGGCTAAACATTCCCAGCTCCTTCAACCATTCCTCATAAGGCTTGGTTTCCAGACCCTTGATCATCTTGGTTGCCCTCCTTTCTTAAATTGTGGTGATCAGAATCGGACACAGTATTCCAGGTTGGGTCTGACCAGGGCAGAACAGTGACTTCCCTAGATCCAGACACTATACTTCTGTTGATACAGTCCAGAATAGCATTAGTCTTTTTTGCTGCTACATCACACTGTTGACTTGTGGTCCACCAAGACCCCTAGGTCCTTTTCACATGTACTGCTAGTAAGCCAGGTGTTCCCCATATTATATTTGTGGATCTGTTTATTCCTGCTTAAGTGCAGAACCTCACACTTGTTTTCACACTGGCCACACCTGAGGTCAACTGCAACTTTCTGCACTTGAGATTCCCAGCACCTGGTATTCAGAAGCTCACTGGACATAGTAATTGTGGCCAATAGCCATTGACAGACTTATCCTCCATGAAAAGCCCGGGCTGAATCAATGCTACAGCATGACATTACAGCAGCTTCCGGGGCTCATTAAACTGCTCCATTTTTCCAGGAACTGAGTTCAGATTTATTACCCTCCATCTTATTTAAACTCCACAAAGATAGAGGAGAGAACTGTTGGAGACGAGGCCTTTTGAGATATATCAGATGAAAGAGCTGGGGTTTTTTTTCTTTTTCTTTTATGGCTATCCCAGGCCAGTGCGCAAAAGGCAAATTTTATGGAAAAGGGCTGTCATCTGTTTCAATCACATCCCCACAGATATAAAATTTGAAAACCACAGCCTCAGTGAAGTCGATGGCTGTACGTCAGATTTACAAAGGGAAATGAGCTCAAATTATCTTCTCTGTCAAGGCCTAGCATGAGATGGAAGGGAATGTGACCTAGAGAAGTGGGGGATTCGAACCGCTGACCTTCCGATCGGCAAGTCCTACGCTCTATGGTTTAACCCACAGCGCCACCCGCATCTGGTGACGTGGTAGGAAGGTTCAAAAATGATGCACAGCATGGAGAAAGTGGACAGAGCACTCTTGTGACACTCTCGCCCCAACCTGCTTTGTCTATGGAGCAGACCCACTAACCAAATCCCCAAGTCTCCTGCTTCTTTCCCACCCCTCGGAGGCTGTGTGCTTCGGTCTAAGTCAATCTGAATTCATTCCCCAAGACGGATCCCTCTAACTGCTGTATCAAACGCTTTCGTTCACACCCTCCCAAATAAATCCCACCTTACGGCGCCCCGTTTTGTGTGTAATCCTATAAAAAGAAAAGGCCACCAGCTCTGTCAGGCGTGATTTAGTCTGCATAAACCTGCCACCAACCGCTTTATAGCTTTGGCAGCCGGGCTGGGGGGTGGGGAGTTGCGGCGGCGGGGAGAATTAGCTCCTGAGCAGTTTGTCTCTCAGTTTTAATTCAATTCCTTTTTCATGAGAAACAGAACTGTGATTTAAAAGGAGAGGGCTTTTTAAAACTCCCTGCCTGCCTGCAGTCTAATGCTGAGTAGCTTATCTTTACTCGCCTCTTCTCCTTTGGAGTAGGGCATTTAGGGAAGGAAATGGAGAAGGCTCACAGCAAAGGCTGTCAATGCTTTGAAAAGGGTGGTCATGTTGTTGTTGTTTAGTCGTTTAGTCGTGTCCGACTCTTTGTTACCCCCTAGATCAGAGGACGCCAGGCACTCCTGTCTTCCACTGCCTCCTGGAGTTTAGTCAAACTCATGCTGGTAGCTTCGAGAACACCGTCCAACCATCTCATCCTCTGTCGTCCCCTTCTCCTTGTGCCCTCCATCTTTCCCAACATCAGGGTCTTTTCCAGGGAGTCTTCTCTTCTCATGAGGTGGCCAAAGTCTTGGAGCCTCAGCTTCAGGATCTGTCCTTCCAGTGAGCACTCAGGGCTGATTTCCTTCAGAATGGAGAGGTTTGATCTTCTTGCAGTCCATGGGACTCTCAAGAGTCTCCTCCAGCACCAGAATTCAAAAGCATCCATTCTTCGGCGATCAGCCTTCTTTATGGTCCAGCTCTCACTTCCATACATCACTAAGGGTGGTCATATAGGACTTTAAACTTGCAACAAAGCCTGGTGCTTTGTCTATAAAGAGCGAGGTCGACTGACACATCTGCTTCCTTTGACGCCTCTTCGCTCGCCGCTCCCTGAAAAAGCATTGTGTTCAATGTGACGTCCGGCACTAGCAAACTTCGGCCTTTAGTGCTCTGAAAGTGCGAAGGCCCTGGAGGCAGCTCCTCGCTTTCCACCAAAAACCAATCTTCGAGCACGTATGTGTGAACAGGGCGCTCTGGAGTCGGAAGGGGTGAAGCTGCCAGCCTCACGCCGCATTTTGCAATGCCACTGATGATGTGGGTTCCATCAGCATCGCCTCTGCCCTGCTCAGTGGTTGCCAACACCTCGGCCGGCTACAGGGCGAGGCAGGACCTCTCTAAACTGAAAACTCAGGGATGGGGAAGGCTGCCTGCTGCCACCCGGACTGTCCCTTTCAATCGCTCTGTGAAATTGTGGGGCAGGCCTCATGCCCTGCCTGTCCCCATCTAACTCAGACAGGAGGCTGGCTTGCAAAATGCAAAACTGGGGCCGGAATCGCCAACTCGGAAGGCTCAGGAGTGTGTCGATTCTGGCTCAGTTTCTTCTTTGACTTCTACAGTGGTACCTCTGGTTAAGTACTTAATTCGTTCCGGAGGTCCATTCTTAACCTGAAATTGTTCTTAACCTGAAGCACCACTTTAGCTAATGGGGCCTCCTGCTGCTGCTGCGCTGTGGCCACGTGATTTCTGTTCTCATCCTGAAGCAAAATTCTTAACCTGAGGTACTGTTTCTGGGTTAGCGGAGTCTGTAACCTGAAGAACAAGGCGAGAAAGTTATTTAAATGGATATGTATAAATATGCAGGGATGGTGGGGAAATTAAAGGAAGAAGGGAAGTTGTTGAATGTTTTTATTAAAAGAAAGATATTAATGGTGGAAATGTACATTTGAACGTGAATGTGATTTTTGGAAATGGCAATAATGAAAATTGTATTAAAATAAATTAGGAAGAGGAAACACAGTTTGTAAACTTCTTTCTTTATTCCAGTTACTGATTTTCTACAAGTAATTGTTGCAGCAATAAAAGCAGCAGAGAGGAAACCTTTCCTCTAATCAACGTAAGCCAATAATTCACTATCCCAGTAAAGAGATTCCTAAGGCACTCTGAAGCTGCAGACGCATAAGGCAGGGCTGGGTTTTTTGTTCAGCAGTAAGGCACATGTTTTTCATGGAACATGGAAGGCCCAAGCCTCAGTTCCTGGGACCTCCGGTTAGGCACAGCTCTGTGTTAGAATCCTGACGCCAACTTCTGAGCACAGAATTTGCATAATACTCTCCCCTAGTCTCCACGATTTGTCCTGATTTTCCTAGTTAAGGCCAAGGGGCACAGATGTGGGGCACAGAAACCTCACCCTCACTTGGTGGAAATCTTCGTGAACAGATTCTCTGGCTCTGGGGGTTTCAGGGAAGTTTTTAATGTACGACATATTAGTGTATTTTTGGCCTTTGTGGAAGCCGCCCAGAGTGGCTGGGGAAACACAGCCAGATGGGTGGGGTACAAATAAATTATTATTATTATTATTATTATTATTATTATTATTATTGGCTTACACAATTGCAACCAAATCTTCAAAATCTTACAGGAGGGGTGGAGAACCTGTGGCCTTGCAAATGTTGTTGCACTACAACAATCACCATCTTGGGTTTGTTAAGCCGGTTTCCCTCTGATGCTGGAACCTGTAAACAGTGGTTTAAGTGCTGCCGACTGACCCAGATTGCAAGCCATGGTTTGATTGTGGTTTGCCCCCTCCCCCCCTTTTTGTAGGACATGCTTAAGAACCATAAGCTCCTGACTTGCATGTCCTTGGGAAACTGTACTCCAACAAACTAGCAGGCCTCCTCTTCAGGTAGGTGACTGGGTTGGACTAGATGGTTCTTTGGGTCTCTTCCAGCTCTACAATTCTTTGATTCAAGGAGGAGGAGGAGGAGGAGGAAGTGCTTATTCTCAGTCCAATAAACCATGGTGTGTTGGACCCGAAACTCTTAAGCCAGGTGAATTATCTTGGACAGTTTTCTTAAAAATATAATTATTCTCTCACTTACGAACTTTCAGCAGAATCAATATGAGCTGAGAACTTGTGGGGAAGGGGCTATTTCTGGTGTTTTGGGCTTTGTGCTATTAAAACATGATTGTTGGTCCATTTTCTGTTGTTAAGAACGGATTACATTATACAGCGGTACCTCGGTTTTCGAACGTAATCCCTTCCAGAAGACCGTTTGAGTTCCGAAATGTTTGAAAACTGAAATCTCAATACGGAAGCCTAAGAACAGAAAGCTCAATGCAGAAAACTCAATATGGAAGCCAGGTGGCATGTTTGACTTCCGAAAAGTGTTTGAAAACCAAAGCATTTACTTCTGGATTTATGGCATTTGAAAACCGAAACGTTTGGCAATGGAGACGTTCGAAAACCAAGGTACCACTGTAACACATTTTTTTTCCACACCACCAACGTGAAAATCCATTTTGTTTCCGAAAGCACCCACAACCGTTCAGAGCACATCCGCAATGGCTTCTTCCCAAAGCCAACCGCCAGCGCTTGAGCCAGGTTTGCTGCCCGGGTCCTGCTTAGAGCTTGGCCATCGACTGCAGTGGCACATCCTTGTGAACGCCCTGCAACCACTCGATGAGGATCTTGTTCAAAGCCGCAGGCCTGAGAGGAAAACACGTCACTGGCAAGGCAGGTACGAAAAACAAAGACCTCAACCCAGTGCCCACAGAAACTAAACTGCTGCCAAGCCACATTCTGCATTTTTTTTTCACATGGCACAGCTTTTCCATGTTCCTTTTCATGTGTGGTGGAGCGTGACCCGGGAAAGAACATGCAGACAATGCACAAGGTGGAAGGGAGCTGTTCTGGTGCGTTCCCTGGGAACAGGAGCTGAAACAGAGCTGGACCGCATCTCACTTTCGCCATGAGCAAACTAGAGCTGCCCTTTTGCAAACCACAGTGACAGCGGCCGGGTTCGCACGACACAGTAAACTGTGGCTTTACAGGGATCGCACAAACATGGAGAAGAGAAGATGGAGAAAGGAGATGTGAGAACCGTCTTCAAATATCTGAAGGGGGTCCCTGCCAACCCAGCAGTTCAAAAGCATGAAGTGCAAGTAGATAAATAGGTACCGCTCTGGCGGGAAGGTAAACGGCGTTTCCATGCGCTGCTCTGGTTCGCCAGAAGTGGCTTAGTCATGCTGGCCACATGACCCGGAAGACTAGGACTAGCCGCCTGAGAAACTCCACCTGAGAAACAGTTTCTATTCAAATGCGATTTTGGTTTTAAACACAGTGTAAGGTAGTTTCTAGGGGCGCAGGTGGCACTGTGGGTTAAACCACAGAGCCTAGGGCTTGCCGATCAGAAGGTCGGCGGTTCGAATCCCCGCGACAGGGTGAGCTCCTGTTGCTCGGTCCCTGCTCAACTGGAAGATGGAGCAAGCTCGCTTTCTCCTGACCTGGAGGGTAGGACCCAAACCAACAGGTTCAAGTGACAAGGAGAGTCCTGCTAAACCTTAGGAAGAACTTTTTGGTGGCAAGAGCTGTTTGACGGTGAAAGGGACTCCCTGGGAAGGTGGTGGAATCCTTCAACTGGAGGTTTTTACAGAGCAGTTGGATGTCCATCTGTCAGTGATTCTTTTGCTGTGATTCTTGTATTGCAGGGGGTTGAGCTAGATTGCCCCTGCTAATTTCTATATTCTATATTCTATATTCTATATTCTATCCTATCCTACCCTGCAGAGGACCCAGAGCTACTTTGCTCCTCCACCACCTTCCTTAGCCTTGTGCCTTACAGAGCTAAGTCAACGTGTGGTTTACCATGCCATAGGAAGCAGAATTATTGGTTAGCCTTGTTAGGATTCATTTCCCGTGTTGCAGTCATGGGATTGTTTTTATCACATGACGGTGTATGTTTTCATTCCACATTGTGGGAAGTGACGGAGACAGGGTGTTTATATTACTGTGTTTCCGTGATGTAGGACTTTTGTCCTTTGTTCTTTCTCTTTGCTGTCTGATGCTGAAGGAGGAGTAGCTGAGTTACGATGCTCCAAGTGTATATATGTAAATAAACATAGTTTAGAGAAAATGCTGCGCTACTGAGTCTGAACGCTGACTGCCTATACTCTGCCGATCCTGAAGTGTGCCGATGCCTTTGAGGCTGTGATGTTCAGACTGGAAAACGTTTTTTAATCTCCCGAACGACCAATCAGGAGGGGGAGAACATGCCAGTCGGGCATGTGTCTTTGCCAGACTCCTACTCGTGTGTAGGACCTCCTGACAAGCCTCTCTCCTTATGAGCTGTATCTCGCCGTTGGTGTGGAAGCTTAAATGTGAGTCCCAGTCTGAATGACACACCAAGTCACTGGCTTAGCTCACTGTGCAACAGGAGCAAAAGGGACCCATTCTGCATCCTCTCCGGTTTCCTGCCACAGATCCTGCCAGAGTCCCTTCTCCAGCAGGGATGGGGGCGCAGATGAGCCTGTGGGGCTTGGAGACTCTGCCTCTGTATATTCCCCTGCTCTATCTTAAGGTAAGTTACTGGGCCCTTGGTTCAGGGGGCAGGGGCAGCAGGTACTTGGTGGGTAGACTCGAAGTTATGTGGGGAATGTTTTAACCAGGTGCCTGCAAATGGCTCCAGCCTTTCTGAACGTCCAGCCTGCAACTCTTAAGAGCGGCTTCATCCCTTTGCATCCCTCCAGGTCCTGCACTGGTGACCTGGGAAAGGCATTAAAGGTAAAGGTAAAGGGACAGACTCTGGGGTTGCGGCGCTCATCTTGCTTTATTGGCCGAGGGAGCCGGCATACAGCTTCCGGGTCAGGTGGCCAGCATGACTAAGCCGCTTCTGGCGAACCAGAGCAGCGCACGGAAATGCCGCTTAGCTTCCCGCCAGAGCGGTACCTATTTATCTACTTGCACTTTGTGCTTTCGAACTGCTAGGTTGGCAGGAGCAGGGACCGAGCAACAGGCGCTCACCCTGTTGCGGGGATTCGAACCGCCAACCTTCTGATCGGCAAGTCCTAGGCTCTGTGGTTTAACCCACAGCGCCACCCGCGTCCCTTAGGCATTAGGCAGGGATAAAAGCCTTGCACCACAATCCAGCTCTGGGCAATTGAGGGAATGGCTAAGACTAGCCAGGAAGGATAACTCTTCACACCAGGAAACCTTTTCCGACGGAGGGCTGCCTGCCTTCAAGGGCAACCCTTATGTGAGTCACTCGCCAGTAGTGCGTGTGGCCAGGGGCAAAGTGAGAGGAGCAATGGATGCGATTCATATATTTGAACAGCAGGGTACATTCCAGAGGTTTATACAGTCGTACCCTGGTTCTCGAAAGGAATCTGTTCCGTAAGTCCGTTCAGCTTCCGAAAAAAGTTCACAAACTGGAAGACTTACTTCCGGGTTTGCGGCATTCGGGAGCCAAAATGTTCCGAGTCACAAGGTGTTTGAGAACCAAGGTACGACTCTACACACACACACACACACACACACACACACACAGACGCACTTTGCCATCTTCAACCCAGACAAGCAAGGGGCATTGACACACTGCCGGCACACATCCTGGCTTGGCATACAGGAGGATGCAGAGAAGGGCAACTGAGGGCTCCACCTAATCCAGCCTCCTCAGTGGTCACCCAGATGCCTCCCCTGGGAAACTCGCAAGCAGGATCTGAGCACAAGAGCAGTCTCTGCTTCTCCGGTTTCCGGCAACCGGTACTAAGAAGCATCGCTGCCTCCAATGGTGGAGGAAGAGCGCAGCCATTGTAGTGAGAAGCCATTGATAGCCCTCTCCTCCTCTTTGCAGAGTCCTCTTTTAAAGCCATCTAGGTTGCTTCCCAGTGATGTATGGAAGTGAGAGCTGGACCATAAAGAAGGCTGATCGCTGAAGAATGGATGCTTTTGAATTCTGGTGCTGGAGGAGACCCTTGAGAGTCCCATGGACTGCAAGAAGATCAAACCTCTCCATTCTGAAGGAAATCAGCCCTGAGTGCTCACTGGAAGGACAGATCCTGAAGCTGAGGCTCCAATCCTTTGGCCACCTCATGAGAAGAAAAGACTCCCTGGAAAAGACCCTGATGCTGGGAAATATGGAGGGCACAAGGAGAAGGGGACGACAGAGGACGAGATGGTGGGACAGTGTTCTTGAAGCTACTAACATGAGTTTGCCCAAACTGCGGGAGGCAGGGGAAGACAGGAGGGCCTGGTCCATGGGGTCATGAAGAGTCGGACACGACTCAATGACTAAACAACAACAGGTTGCTTCCTGTGGCAGGGAGTTCCACAGTTTAACCGTGTGCTGCATGAAGAAATACTCTCTCCTCTGCACATGCACAGCAGTCTTTCTGCCCATGTGATGCATCCACCTGCAGATTAGATACCATGTGCCCTTTACAACTGTGTTCACCCCCCATCACTCTAATTCCCGCCCCATAAATCCAGGAGAATATTCCACCATGTCGTTTAAACTGGCAAGATGTTATACCTCCTTGTAAAGTTTGATGTGGGGGTTGGGAGCGGGCAAGAAAGAAAGACGACTCTGACCCTTACTCAGAGCTGAGCTGTCCCCGCTTTCCGCCCTGATTTATTCATCCTACGCCGGAATTTATTGTCCCGTCAGTGGGGGGGTGTCTCTGCTGAAAGGCAATTCCACCCAGCGGCTCATTTAACGGTCTTCTAGAGAGCGTTGATAGTTGGGTTATTTTTTTACAGCTGCTGCGACATTAGGATGAGATGGAGGTTTATGAGTCGCGGATGAACAATGGGGGCAGGAAGGGGGTGAGGCGGGGTGGGTGCTCATGGAAGAAATAAAACACCTCCTTGCACATATACACACACAGAGGCATGGAAGAACTTGGTGCAAAGGAAACTTTGGTGAGGGGAGCTGGTGGGGGGCTTGGTTTAGAGTGCACCTTCACTGCAGTGGCCTAGAGGTCTGCAGGCACACGTCACTCTACTGGGAAGAATTTTTGTTGTTTAGTCGTTTAGTCGTGTCCGCCTCTTCTTGACCCCCTGGGCCAGAGCACGCCAGGCCCTCCTGTCTTCCACTGCCTCCCGCAGTTTGGTCAAACTCATGCTGGTAGCTTCGAGAACACTGTCCAACCATCTCGTCCTCTGTCGCCCCCTTCTCCTTGTGCCCTTCATCTTTCCCAACATCAGGCTCTTTTCCAGGCAGTCTTCTCTTCTCATGAGGTGGTCAAAGTCTTGGAGCCTCAGCTTCAGGATCTGTCCTTCCAGTGAGCACTCAGGGCTGATTTCCTTCAGAATGGATAGGTTTGATCTTCTTGCAGTCCATGAGTCTCCTCCAGCACCAGAATTCAAAAGCATCAATTCTTCAGCGATCAGCCTTCCTTATGGTCCAGCTCTCTCTTCCATACATCACTACTGGGAAAACCATAGCTTTTACTATAGGGACCTTTGTTGGCAAGGTGATGGGAAGTGATGGGAAGAATAGGGACGTGCAGCTGTCAATTTTGGTTTCTCCCTGATGGGAAGGAGCCAAAGGGCACAGCACATCCGTAACTCCGCCACCGAAAGTGGATACAGGAGAAGATTCTCTCCCCTCCCTCCTAACGCCAGAACTCCTGGGCAGCCAACAAAGCTGAATGTTGGGAGATTTGGGGCTGAGAAAACGAAGTCCTTCTTCAAATGGCGGCAGCAAGGGCCACCACCTTGGAGGGCTTTACAAGAGGACTGGGCAACTTCAGGCTACCAATGGTTGCTAGACACAGTGGTTACGTTCCGCTTCCATAGTTGTGAGGCAGAAATGCTTCTGGATGGCAGTTGCTGGAAACCGCAGGAGGGGAAGCGGGCTCCATGTTTACCTCTCCATCTGCGTGAAGTGTCCGCACTCTTCAATGTGCCCACGGCTCAGATGTGGAATCTGAAAAGACAAGACTCGGGTTACGACCCAGGCCAGCCGTAGGATGATGATAATAATAATAATAATAATAGTAATAATAATATTTTATTTGTATTTCGCCCTTCCCAGCCGAAGCCGGACTCAGAGCGGCTAACAACAATAAAATAATACAGCATTCTAAAATCAATTCATTTTAAAATCAGTTCAAAATCAAATTAATGGCAACCATTGGGCTAGAGTTCTGTGAAGATTACCAAAGGAGGGGGTCAGGCTGTGCCTTGGCCAAAGGCCTGGTGGAACAGCTCTGTCTTGCAGACCCTGCGGAAAGATGTCAAGTGCCACAGGGCCCTAGTCTCTGGTGACAGAGTGTTCCACCAGATCAGGGCCACGGCCAAAAAGGCTCTGGCTCTGGTTGAGGCCAGCCTAACCTCCCTGTGGCCCGGGACCTCCAAGATGTTTTTATTTGAAGACCGTAAGGTCCTCCGTGGGACATACCAGGAGAGGCGGTCCCATAGGTACGAGGGTCCTAGGCCGTATAGGGCTTTAAAGGTTAAAACCATGGATGGCTTCTCCATGGTGAGGGATCATGAGCGGAGAGGGGTCGACAGCGAGAATTGGAAGCTGGGAGGGCAGTGCAGTGCTCCTTGGTTAAGAAGCTGAGGAAGAACACGGAAATGGCTCCAGGGAAGCCAGCGCAGGGTGATGAAATGAGGGAGGAGGGCCACGGTTCTGACTCTGGAGCAGCTGCCCTGAAAGGGGGCAGTGACAGGCCCTACCAGGCTGCCTCATCGCTTGCTTGCCAGTCAAATAGCACCTCTCCCCGCAACTTACTTTCTTATTTCGTAATTTCATAAAATTTATACACCGCTCGATTGTAACAAAAACCTCAAAGCAGTTTACAAAAAAAGAGAGAAAAGATAAAGGAATAAAATAATCACTAAGAGAAATGAACAACAATCTAGGACTTTCAGAAAGCGAAAATAACAACGGACTGAAAACAGATTAAAACTCACACCAACTTTCTAAGCATCCGGACATGCTTGTCTGAACAAATAATAATAATAATAATAATAATAATGATGATGATGATAATGATAATGATAATGATAATGATAATTTATTTATACCCTGCCCATCTGGCTGGGCTTCCCCAGCCACTCTGGGCGGCTTCCAACAAAATATTAAAATACAGTAATGCATCAAATATTAAAAGTTTCCCTAAACAGGGCTGCCTTCAGAAGTCTTCTAAAAGTCTGGTATCTGTTGTTCTCTTTGATGCTTTTAGCAGGTGCTGAAGAGCACAGTGAAGGTGACGGCCTGCTATCAATCGGCAGGGAGTTCCAAAGTGCAGGAGTCGCCATACTGAAAGATTGATTTCTTACAAATGGGGGACGCGGATTATGGGGCACCTCTACACAGTGCCAGTTCCTCCAATAGAAGTGTAAGGCTCACCCCCCCCCATGCCTCTATCAGCGGGCAGACATGGAAGTGAGCCTATGGAGTCCTATGGGAGCAGAGTGCTGCTGAGATACCCTGGTTGAGATCTTTTAGGGCTACAGAAGACCAAACGAACTGGAAGCCGTTACAGATGGCAAGAGGAAGGGGTATTGTGTAGTGCAATGCCTTTGACTTCATTTGAGCTCAGTTTCGAACAACATCGGCAGCTGACTTTTGTCTTTCGTGGGCAGCCCCACGTAAAGAGCACTACAGCAATCCAACCCGGGAGGCCACAACACAGAAAGGATGTTTGAGAAGGACAGTTCGGCTCCAGCAACCTGCAGCTTCTGTGCATCTGCAGGCAAACATCACCCACCTGTTGCAGAGGTTGACAGCCCTAGTCACTCACCCATTCTTCCATGCCTTTGCTCAATTTCGGGGGCAGGACTATGTCCCCCCCAGCAGTGACCATCAAAGCAGGAACTCTGATCTGTAGATTCAAAGATGCAAAGGGAAAGGAGGTCGGTTTGCAGCTGTGATTACCCAGGCATGATTTTACGTGTTGCAGAAATGGGCAGGGGAGAGTTGGCTTGTGTGCAGCTGCCAAATCCCTTGGGAGATGCAGTCTCTCCCCACCCCAATATTTTGGGTTATACGGTGGAAATTCCAGAGTAGTGGTTGTGCTTTCTGGGTTTGTTACCTGGTGCCTTAAAAGACTAATAGGTTGTTTGGGGGGAATAAGGTTTTGTGGACAGGAACGGCCCGCTCTGTCAGATGCATGAAGTATTATCCTCAAATAGTAAACATACAAAAGGGATTTTGGCCAAGAAATCTAAGAGACAGACAGATTTTAGCTGTGAAAATGACTTAGGAGAGCAACTCCCTCCTTGTTTTTCATGTGCGTTTTCCTCTCCTGAATGGAAGGCTGCCCATGCCAACTTGCTCGCTCAAGACTTGTGCCAACCTGGTGCCCTCAAGCTGTTGAAGGGGGCCAGGTTGGAAAAATCTGTTGTGGAGATAAACCTTTTGATGAAGATCTACTGCATTTGGCCGGCTAGAGGTTTACGGTGACCTTTTGGAGCTTTGTTCCAGGGCAAGAGGGTGGGAAAATCAAGGGAGTCACTTCTTCTCCATCCCTTACCTTCCAGCTCCTTGCACAGGATCCCCAGCGCACGTTCGCCTGCATGTTTCGGTACCAGTTCAGTGGTCCTCTGAAAGAGGTGAAGGGGAGAAGAGCAGGAGGCTCGTAAGAGGCCAGTCACAGAATCGTAGAGTTGGAAGGGACCCCCAAAGACCATCCGGTTCAACCCCTTGCAGTGTGCGAACCACCGCAAAAGAATCAGAAGTCCTTGAGCCCCACAGAGCCCCATCACATGCAATGCCTGTTGGGATACTGCCGGGGAGACGGGGGCATCAGGCAGGCCCCCAGCTGGCTCCAGCCACTGGCTGGCAGCCAGACAATCACCGGTCTCCCTTGGAACAGCATCAATCAGTGACACGAGCCTCAGATACGTTTAGAGACCCGTGCACGCTCTGTCAGCAGAGTGAGTAAATCTTCTCACAGCAGAAGAGGCAGACAGAGAAATGTGTAAGCATATTTACAGCTTTTATTCAGCAGCAGGAACAAAGGAAAAAACATATCTGCTTCCCTTCGTCTCCAGCAAAACAGCAAAAAGCAAAAGTTCTATACAAACGGTAGTTCCCAGCAGATCTGTGCTGAAAGTAAACAGGCATGTGGCACACAACAGTCATGCCTGTACCCTTTTAAGGTGGAACGGAACTATATCCTAACAATGCCTGCACTCCCAAGTACAAGCTGCATTGCAGTCCTTGCGCAGAAGAACGGGAGAGCGTGCCGTGCCAAGGCAAAGTGCCCTCCAGACCTAATTGTGGGACAATATTGCCGTCAAACCCAGGGCTGTCTTAAGCATAGGCGGCTCTGGGGTGCAAAGTTCCACTCAGCGCCTCCCCCCCAGGTTGCCCAGTCCCAGGCGTGCAGGAGGGTGGAGCCGGCCAGGAGCCTCAGCGTCTCGCTGGTCGGTCGCCCCCGAACTCGCGGCACAGAGCTGCCCACAGCAGAAGAGCCCAACGCAACGCTCCGACCAATGGGTGGGCTCTTCCCCAGACTCAACTCTCGAGCCCTGGACTCTCGGCCTGGCGCCCCTGAGAGCCTGGCATCCAGGTGCCCCGCACCACCTATGGGTAAGACGGCCCTGGTCAAACCAACAATTCACATTGTGCCAGACAGGCCCATGAAGGGGCTGAGGGTCACAGAGCTTTCTTTTAAATTTGCTAGAGAGAACCTTGTGAGATGGCTTCCTTTGCCTGCCTTGGTAGGAAGCTGTAACACTACATACTTCCTTCCTGCCTGGTCAGCCTCTTCTTTCTTCATCATGCTTCCGAGCTGGCCCTACATGCATGTCTGAGCTCTGCTGCTCACAGAACTCTCTCTGCAGCTCAGACACTATTTTTGAACATACAGTGGTACCTTGGTTACCGAACTTAATCCATTTCGCGAGTCCGTTCGACTCCCGGAACTGTTCGAAAACCAAGGGGTAACTTCCAATTGGCTGCAGGAGCTTCCTGCACTCAATCGGAAGATGTAGAAGGCACATCGGATGTTCGGCTTCCGAAAGACGTTTGCAAACTGGAACACTCACTTCCGGGTTTTCAGCGTTTGGGAGCTGATTTGTGTTAGGATATTTCCGTTCCACCTTAAAAGGGAGCAGGCTTTGTGAGTCAGAGTCTGCGTATTTCCTGTTTTCACAGGATGTTTATGTTTTCTGTTGCTTTCGTTTTCTCTCTCTGTGTCGTAGACACTAAAGCAGGCAGTCATGTTTTTCTGTGTTCTGATCAACGCTGAATAAACTTGTAAATAATGCTCTCCTGAGTGCGACTTTGGCTGTGCATTGTCTGCTGATAGAGTGTGCATGAGCTCTGGAATGTGGCAAGCTATTTCTCAGAAGCTCATGTCACTAATTGCTGATACTGCGTGACTACGGGAGGTCGATAGATGTCCGGCAGCTGGCTTGGGGGCCATGATGGACTTTATCTCCCTGGCAGTATCCCAACAGTATTCGGGAGCCAAGCCGTTCGACAACCAAGGTACCACTGTATATTTTGTACTACTTCAAGACTTGGATTATGTAAGTAAATACTACTTTTATTTCTTCACAAAACAATGGGAGTGTGATTGCTATTTTTAAGGGGGAGAAAACAGGTAATACCAGGAAAACGCAGTCTGTCTTAAAGCATCTTGGATTATTGTTGCTAGATGGTTAAGTCAACCTTGTCTTAGTTCCCAAGATGCAAAGGATGGTACTCTGCTGATCTCACAAGGAAGGATAAGAACAATAAATCCTCTCCTACTGTCTAAATCTATTCCTACACAAATGAGAGCCACGGTTACTCCTGCTTCATCCCCTCCCTGCCACTCACCTAAATCCAGATTTTTGAAACTGTTGGAGATAGTACTGCAGCACGGGCTCTGGCAGGAGAGAACTTGAGGGTGCGTCTTCGGAAAGTCCTTTCAGCAGTCCTCCTGTGGTGCAAATGAAGGAAGATCGGAATGAAAGTAATGCTTTCGTGGCCATAATTAATTGCAAATGGCGGGGCCTGAGCAAAAAAATGGCATTTCCAGACAGTCGCTATTTTGTGGGTGGGATTTATAAGAGCGTAAGAGGTGTTGGTTTCTGTGTGTTGCCACTGTGCAGTGCTCTTGGAGTCAAAAGACTCTGTTTACATTCCAGGGATTCCAGACTGTTGGAAGTCTCATGGAAGACAGGAGACGGATGTGATGTTACTGGTTGCTGTTCCTTTGTTTTTCAGTTACTCTCTGCTTTCACAGAGAGAGCATGTTTATTTCTTTTCTGTCTGCATAGCGAGAAATAAAAGTCTTTGCAATGCAGCTCATAAATCTCGTCACTTCTGCTGCTTTGAAACTCTGCTGAATGGGGAACATGCCTGGAGGCTTATCAAAGGCCCAGGTCGTTAATTATCGTCGGAGGCGATTCCGAAGGACTCGACCGGAGGAGGAGTAGCGCGGTCGTAGTGAACGCAAGTCCAACAAGAGGAGCCTGTTGGACCAGGCCAATGGCCTAGAGCGTCCAGTATCCTGCTCTCGCAGTGGCTACCCAGATGCTTCTTCTGGGAAACCAGCAAGCAGGATTCAAACCCAAGATCCCTCTCCCCTCCTGTGCTTTCTGGCAACTGGTATTTGGAAGCACTGTTGCCTCCAACTGTGGAGGTGCCGCATAGCCATCATGGCTGGCAGCCATTGACGGCTCTCTCCTCTATGAATTCATCTCATATTCTTTTAAAGCTCTAAACGGCCTCTGCCCAGCAGACCTGAAGGAGCGTCTCCACCCCCATCATCCAGCCTGGACACTGAGGTCCAGCTCCAAGGGCTCCCTCACTGCAAGACTCTCCCACCAGGAGTTTAAATTCACTGAACACTCGTACTTAAGCTGGGAACTCGCAAGCTGAAAGCGCCCCCATGCACTGTTGTTGAGGAAGAACGGAATGGGGTCCAGTTAGTCAGCTGAGATCACTGCCTAATTTGCTTAGATTGAGCACCTCGCTACTGTTATTTAATGTTATTTATGAAGGTTGGCAGTTCGAATCCCCACAACGGGGTGAGCTCCCATTGCTTGGTCCCTGCTCCTACCCACCTAGCAGTTCGAAAGCATGTCAAACTACAAGTAGATAAATAGGTACCACTCAGGCGGGAAGGTAAACGGGTTTTCCATGCGCTGCTCTGGTTCGCCAGAAGCGGCTTTGTCATGCTGGCCGCATGACCTGGAAGCTGTCTGCAGACAAACGCTGGCTCCCTCGGCCAGTAAAGAGAGATGAGCGCCGCAACCCCAGAGTCGTCCGCAACTGGACTTAATGGTCAGGGGTCCCTTTACCTTTTAATGCCCAACCTGTTAGGGGCCATGCCCTAAAAGCCAGTACAGTGGTACCGTGGTTCTCAAACGCCTTGGTACTCAAACAACTTGGAACCCAAACACTGCAAACTCAGAAGTAAGTGTTCCAGTTTGCGAACTTTTTCTGGAAGCTGAACGTGCTCCATTTTGAGTGTTACGCTTCCATTTTCAGTGTTACACTGAGGTCTGTCTGTTTTTGCTATTTTGTTTTTGCGGCTTTTTTGTTTTGTTTTTGTCACTGATTGATTGATTGTGTGACTGCAGTACAATGTTTATTGCTTTCATTTTATGGATCAATGGTCTCGTTAGATAGTAAAATTCAAGTTAAATTGCTGTTTTAGGGGTTGTTCTTAAAAGTCTGGAACGGATTAATCCATTTTGCATTACTTTCTATGGGAAAGTCCGCCTCGATTTTGGAACGCTTTGGACTTCTGGATCGGATTAAGTTTGAGAACAAAGGTACCACTGTAAGAACAAAACCCAACCAATAATCCCTCCTCCCACAACGCATTTAAAAGGGCACTGGATGTCAATCAGCCTGGTTATAGAGGAAAGTTTTTGCCTGGTGCCTAATGGTGCATAATGAAGGTGCCAGGGGAATTTCCCTGGGGAGAGCATCCCACAAGCGGGGAGCCACTGCAGAAAAGGCCCCGTTCTTGTGCTGCCACCCTCCAGACCTCTCATGAAGGAGGGCCTCGGAGAATGATCTCAGGGCCTAGTCAGTTCATATGGGGAGAGGCAGTCCTTAAGTTTTTGCGGTCTTGACCCTTTTATGGGTTTATAGGTCAAAACCAGCGCTTTGAACTGGGACCAGAAACTATCTGGCAGCCAGATGTTCCCCAGCCTTGGCCTGTTCCCTTTTAAAATGTGTTTTTTGTGGGGGTGGGCTGGGCTGTTGGGTTGTTGTTTTTGTTTTTATTAGGTTAAGTTTACCAGATTTTTTTCAAAGAATCCGGGGACACTTTTTTTTTTTTTTGGAAAAGAGAAAAAAAGTTATTATTATTATTAAATTAAGAAGTAATCTCTTCTGTCGTCTTGTGCTGGTCCCGAGGGTTAACCGTGTGGTGAGGTCCGAGTCCAGTCTGAGGTCGAGGGTGCGGTATGGAGGCTGTCCGTCAAAGCTGAAGCTGGGTCCAAGGCAGGGAGTCGGGTGAGGTCAGGAACTCTGGCAGCCAACCCCAGTCCCAAGTTGCGGGAGCAACATTGTTGGTAGCCAGTTCCTGCCTGCACCCTGTCCTGCCGGAGCCCCTGACCTCACCCGACTCCCTGCCTTGGACCCAGCTTCAGCTTTGACGGACAGCCTCCATACTGCACCCTCGACCTCAGACTGGACTCGGACCTCACCTCACGGTTAACCCACGGGACCAGCACATGATGAGGGAGGGAGCAAAAGGTTTCCCTTCTCCCCTTTTCCACCCCACGCCCAAATGCATGCACCCCATATCATGTGGGAACTGCCGGAGCGCCTGCCCGGCTGCTGTGTTCTCTCACCTCGCTCCCGGCATTTGCTGACATCAAGCGAAGGGCCGTTTATCTTGTCCTGCAAGGAAAGTGTTTTGAATGAATGATCAGAAGTCAAGCCAGTAGGCTGCTGGTGGTGAAGAGGCAAAGAGGTGAGGTGGAGAGGAGCTGGGAGAGGGAAAGGGATCTGCTAGAATAGGGGTCAGCAACCTTTTTCAGCTGTGGGCTGGTCCACCGTCCCTCCGACCTTGTGGGGGGCCGGACTTTATTTTGAAAAAAAATTTGAACGAATTCCTATGCTCCACAAATAATCTAGAAATGCATTTTAAATAAAAGCACACATTCTACTCATGTAAAAACACCAGGCAGGCCCCACAAATAACCCAGAGATGCATTTTAAATAAAAGGGCACATTCTGCTCACGTAAAAACACCAGGCAGGCCCCGCAAATAACCCAGAGATGCATTTTAAATGAAAGGACACATTCTACTCATGTAAAAACACGCTGATTCCCGGACTGTCCGTGGGTCAGATTTAGAAGGCGGTTGGGCCGCATCCGGTCCCCGGGCCTTAGGTTGCCTACCCCTGTGCTAGAGTCAGAACTGATAGGCCACTTAGCTCAGCATTCTCAAGAGAGAGTCAAAAAATAAATGAATCTGAGAAAACGTAACCCAGCTTTTAAGCCACAGAAGGTTGGATATTTCAGCCCAAATAAAAACGATACAGTGATACGTATAGATTAAAGGAGTAAAGCGGAAAGTACATTATCTAGGAATGTTATAAAGAGACAAAAATTCAAAATTTAAAGAGTGCAAGGATCATACAGAATTTAAAAATAAGGAAGTTGCGGTGTGGTGGAGAGAAGTCAAGGTGGTGTGAGGGGAATGGGGGGGGGAAGGATTTATGTTTGTGTAAATAATAGTGTATTTTTGTGTGGTTTTGTTTGGGTAGAACGTACTTTTTCTTTTTCTCTTTTTGTATTAATAAAATTCAATAAATTTTTTAAAGAAAATGGGGGGGGGGCGGGGAATGATACAGGTTCGGCCAAATCTGCACGATGCAATTCAGTTTCTTCAGTCATGTGGAGGGGCAAAGTCTGACGGAGTCCCCTCCATTCTGTATCACCTCTGGAGGCCGTAAGGCACTGCCCACCGTTGAAGTAAACTTGCCCATTAAAGTGGAGATGCAAAGAGGTTGAGGGAATATTTTTTCATATGCGGTGGACTTGTAAAAGGGCAAAAGAGTATTGGGAAACGATCCATAATGAATAAAAAAAATGTTTTAAAGTACTTTTCCAAAAAAACCCCCAACAACAACCCCAGAGTCCTTTCTGTTTGGGATAATTCACACAGAAATTCCCAGGTGTCAAAAAAGTTTATTTATGTATGCCACTACTGTGGCTTGTGTTTTGTTGGCCCAAAAATGGAAAACGAGCGAGGTCCCAACTAAAGAAGAATGGCAACTTAAGCTGATGGAATATGCGTAGCTTGCAGACTTAACATATAGAATAAGAGAACAAGAAGAACATACATTTAAAGAAGATTAGAAAATGTTTGCTGAATATATTGGAAATAATTGTGTGCAGCTGAAAACACTGGCGGCATTAAGATAAATTCAACCGTGTAAGTAAGTTTTGATGGATGTAATAATGGAATACTGAATGCTTTTGTTTATGTTAAATATGCAGGGATTTATGGCATGCAAAATGAACCACAGAAAGAGAAGAAGGGAAGTCACTGATATTGCAAGGATGTTGAAATGAGTATTTAAAATTGTAAAACAGAAAATGTAATATAAATTATGAAAATAAACTAAACCCTCCACATCCACAAGGACATTTGGCCTTCCCTTGTTCTCCTGCGCGCACACAAAGTACAAACAGCATCAAATTCTGTAGGAGGGCAACCTGAGCCCAGAAGTGAATAGCAGTGCCTCCGACATCCCAGGACACCCTCTCCTGCCCCAACACCCCACAAGAAAGAGAGACCAACCTCCTTCCGGATCGACCGGATCATGAACTTCAGGGTCCTGCTGATGTCCTTCTCCAGTTCAGCCTCTGCAACTCCCTGCAGAGGAAAAAGGCGAAACATTGAAGTGTGGATGCAAGACATGACAGGAGGCACTGTAGAAGGAAGAATATTCTCTTGGCTACAACCAGGCACTAGATTTTCAAGATCTTATTTATTAAGAGTATTGTCACATGCCACTCCTATCTAGGGAAGAGTTCAGGGGTTCTGGGAGTTTAGCCAGGTCCGGTTTGCTTGAAGTCAGTGGAGACTGCGGTGTCTTTAGGATATGTGGTTTTATGACACGATACGATACGATAATCTTTATTGTCATTGTCCCATACAGGACAATGAAATTGAAAAAATCTACGTAAGACCTTCAAAAACCAACAAGCCTGCTATCCCAGCTATCCCAGCCTGGTTAGCCCCCTAAAAACTCTGATACCCCATAATTAAATACAATATACTCCCATAGAAACTACTTTAAAGGTAAAGGGACCCCTGACCATTAGGTCCAGTCGTGGCCGACTCTGGGGTTGCGGCGCTCATCTCGCTTTACTGGCCGAGGGAGCCGGCGTACAGCTTCCGGGTCATGTGGCCAGCAGGACGAAGCCGCTTCTGGCGAACCAAAGCAGCGCACGGAAACGCCGTTTACCTTCCCGTTGGAGTGGTACCTATTTATCTACTTGCACTTTGACGTGCTTTTAAACTGCTAGGTTGGCAGCAGCAGGGACCAAGCAACGGGAGCTCATCCCGTCATGGGGATTCGAATGGCCGACCTTCTGATCGGCAAGTCCTAGGCTCTGTGGTTTAACCCACAGCACCACCCGCGTCCCAGAAACTACTTAGCACTGCATTTAAAACCAAAATCGCATTTGAATAGAAACTGTTTCTCAGGCGGCCCGTCCTAGTCCCTCGAGCCAAGGTCTACCCACATCTGAAACATAATAAAGTTGTGGCCAATTTTAATCCCATAGCACATTGTCTTGAGTCGTTATTCCACATGGGGGCCGCCCAGGGTTTGGGGGACTCTGCCTGTCCATGCAAACCAGAGCAGCAGCTGAATTCGTTTTCCAGTCCATACGGTTCATACCTGTCCACCTTTTACTGGGTCCTCCGTGCATTTCTCAGGTCTTGGGTGAGTATTTACCTTCCCACCGGAGCGGTACCTATTTATCTACTTGCACTTTGTGCTTTCGAACTGCTAGGTTGGCAGGAGCAGGGACCGAGCAACGGGAGCTCACCCCGTCACAGGGATTCGAACTGCCGACCTTCTGATCGGCAAGTCCTAGGCTCTGTGGTTTAACCCACAGCACCACCCGCGTCCCAGAAACTACCTAACACTGCATTTAAAACCAACATCGCATTTGAATAGAAACTGTTTCTCAGGCGGCTAGTCCTAGTCTTTATAACTCTGGACCTTCTTCCAGAAGCTGAAAGAGATCATTTCCGGGGTGCACACTGTCCCGCACTATCTCTGCAGCTTTCTTATGGCACCCGGAAGCATATATTTGATCCATTTGCACAAATAAGACAACTCTGGGCTAAGACGGAGCAGCTCCCAGAATTATCACCCCAACAGATCTCCATTAGTCTCAGCTTTGGGTCCAACACAGAGCAAGCAGGTCTCTGTGTCTCCAGCTTCCAGCTCAGCTCACACCCAAAAACTCTGGCTCACGGTCTCCTACCTAGCAGCTAGGGGAGGGGGTGGAAGAAAGCCCCCCCCCCGTTAGCCAAGAGGGCCCCGTCACTTAGTTGACGCTCTCGCAACCTGGCTCATTCTTTCGGGATGCTGCTGAGGTCACTCCAGTGGACAGAGAAGGCCGTCGTCTTGCAAAGAAACTTGTCCGACTACTGCAGCAACCTCTTCCTCTCTTATGCTCTAACCCTCAGTGGGCACAGGCCTCCTAGAACCTGAAGGGACTCAGGGATTCAGACCCCCCCCCCAAACCCACAACAATATTTACCGTATTTTCCCATGTATAAGACACCCCCATGTATAAGATGACCCCTGTTTTTTTCAGCCCAAAATGAATAAATAAATATTTTAAATATCAAGCAGAACAACTTTACTGATATGTTTAGTATCGTAATTACGGTAGGTAATTTTTTTATTTTTGGGGCTAGTCAGCGTTATTATAATACGCAGTATAAGAACTGGAGCGGCGTCGGCATTGGTGCAGAGCCGGTCAGCTGAGCTGGAACGAGAGCATGTCCTCGACGGCCGGGAACTGTTTGGTGCTGCAATGCAAGAATCATTGTTGTTGTTGTTTAGTGGTGTCCGCCTCTTCGTGACCCCCTGGACCAAAGCATGCCAGGCACTCCTGTCTTCCACTGCCTCCCGCAGTTTGGTCAAACTCATGCTGGTAGCTTCAAGAACACTGTCCCAACATCTCGTCCTCCGTCGTCCCCTTCTCCTTGTGCCCTCCATCTTTCCCAACATCAGGGTCTTTTCCAGGGAGTCTTCTCTTCTCATGAGGTGGCCAACGTCTTGGAGCTTCAGCTTCAGGATCTGTCCTTCCAGTGAGCACTCAGGGCTGATTTCCTTCAGAATGGAGAGGTTTGATCTTCTTGCAATCCATGGGACTCTCAAGAGTCCCTCCAGCACCAGAATTCAAAAAGCATCCATTCTTTGGCGATCAGCCTTCTTTATGGTCCAGCTCTCACTTCCCAACATCACCACTGGGAAAACCATATAGCTTTATAATCATAAAGAACCATGTAAGAGGGAATTTGTATGCAGCAGAAGTCAAATTGTGTTTTTTCTGCTCCACTCTCAAACATCCAGGGGAGCGAACTGCACTCTGCCCCTTGGGCCCAAAAATTGGGGAAAAATATCGTCTTATACACGGGAAAATGTGGCATATATCGATTTCTGGCTTTTGGCAGTCAATCATGCTTATTCAGATGGTAGCTGCTTCCACTGCTCTACCTCAGAAGGTAGCTGAGGTATCTCCTTCATTGGAGGTTCTCAAGCAGAGGTTGGGTGGCCATCTGCCACGGATCATAGAATCCTTAGATCATAGATCCTTAGAATCATAGAGTTAGGGCCTAAAGGTATGGTCAACCCCTGAAACAGGAACACCATCAGAGCACTCCTGTCATGGTTGTCAACCTCTGTAAGGCCTCCAAAGAAGGAACTCCACCACACTCCTTGGCAGCAAAATTCCACTGTCGAACAGCTCTTACTGTCAGGAAGTTCTTCCTAATGTTTGATGGAATCTTCTTTCTTGTGGATTTGGATCCATTGCTCCGTGTCCTTCTCTGGAACAGCAGAAAACAACCTTTCTCCCTCCTCTATGTGACATCCTTTATATGTTGTTCATGAACACCTCTTATATCCTCTTCTCCAGGCTAAAGCTGTGCCCAGCTCCTTAGCCGTTCCTCATAGGCATCGTTTCCAGGCCTTTGGCCATTTGGTTGCCCTCCTCTGGACACGTTCCAGTTGTCAATGTCCTTCTTGAACTGTGGTGCCCAGAACTGGACACAGTACTCCAGGTCAGAGGTCTGACCAGAGCAGAATACAGTGGCACTATTACTTCCCTTGATCTAGATGCTCTCCTATTGATTACAGCCAGGGTGCATTGGCACAGCTGCCGCGTCACACTGTTGGCTCATGTCAAGTTTGTGGTCAACCAAGACTCCTAGATCCTTTTCACATGTACTGCTCTCAAACCAGTGTCCCCATCTTGTATTTGTGCCTCTCATTTTTTGCCCAAGTGCAATGCCATTTTTCTCCCTGTTAAGATTCATCTTGTTTGTTTGGCCCAGTTCTCTAATCTGTCAAAGGTCGTTTTAGTGTGATCCTGTCCTCTGGGGTGTTAGCCACCCCTCCCAATTCAATTGTCATCTGCAAATTTGATCAGGATGCCCTTGAGTCCATCATCCAAGTCGTTGATAAAGATGTTGCAGATCAGACCCGGGCCCAAGCCAGACCCCAGTGGCACCCCCCTAGTCACTCTTCTCCAGGATGAAGAGGAACCATTGATGAGCACCCTTTGGGTTCGGTCAGTCAGCCAGTTACAAATCCACTGAGTGGTAGCATAGTCAAGACCTCATTTTACCAGCTTCTTTACAAGAATATCATGAGGCACCTTGTCAAATGCCTTGCTGAAATCAGGTGACTACATCCTGCGTTCCTTCATCTACCAGGCTTGTAATTCTGTCAAAAGCGAGATCCAGGTTAGTCTGACATGACTTATTTTCGAAATCCATGCTGACTGTTAGTGATCACAGCATTCCTTTCTAGGTGCTCACAGACTGTTTGCTTAATGATCTGCTCCAAGATCTTCCCTGGTATTGATGTCAGACTGACTGGGCGGTAATTATTTGGGTCTCTCTTTTCCCTTTTTGAAAATAGGGACAACATTTGCCCTCCTCCAGTCTGCCGGGACTTCGCCTGTTCTCCAGGAATTCTCAAGATGACTGCCAGTGGTTCTGAGATCACATCTGCCAGTTCTTTTAATACTCTTGGATGCAGTTCATCTGGCCCTGGAGACTTGAATACATCTAAACTAGCCAAGTATTCTTGTACTATCTCCTTAGTTATTCTGGGCTGTGTTTCCTTTGCGGATGCTTTAGCTGCGATGCCTGCATTGCAGGGGGTTGGACTGGATGACCTCTGGGGTTCCCCGTCCAACTCTACAATTCTATGATTCCCTGAAAGCCCAACTAAGTGCCTGCATTAAGGACCTGCGTTTCCTATCAGCACCATCCACTCTCTTTGCCTCCTCGCCTCTTGCCCGTAGGAAGGGCTGGCAGGGCCCCCTGTTTGAACAGCAACAAGCTCGCTTGAGCTTTGTACAGCTGCCGCCTGAGAAAAAGGGGGCAGTTTGTCTTACTGTAATTTAAAGTGCTCTGTTGATTCCATTTTGTTTAAGCAAACATGGAGCAAAGGAAACAAAAGAGGGGAAACATGCATTTCCAGAGAGGCAAATGTCTCCACAAGGCAGCCCAGAAGTCAACAGAGCTCCACTTTTCAGTCTGTCTCTCACACGGGAGATGCTCCTGTTTTCAGGGCAAAGAGAGTGCCACAAGTCTGGCCTCATTTGGCATGTCAGTTTGGGGAAATGCAAGATTTCCGTGGGGTGTGGGGAGGTTTGTGAACAGGTGCCTTCTCTCTCTCCCCACCCCTCCACAAAAGGGCCTTCAAAAACTTTTTTTTTTTTAGCTATGCAATTCTGAAAATTTGCAAGCGTTTGGTAACATGAAAAAGCGGAACTAGAACTCTGGGACCATCCGAAGGAGCTTGTTGGAAGGTTCAGAATGGATCCTCAGGATTTTTGCATTGGATCACCCCAAATTCACCATCAGATCACATAGCATGTCCAAAATGCCACCACCAAAAAAAATCAGGCACCCACTGTTTCCTGGGGCCGCAATGGCTCAAAAACGTGGTTACAAAGCACGGATCCACATGGATCCTCAGGATTTTTGCATTGGGCTACCCCAAACTCACAGTCAAATCACATGTCTGTGGCCACAGCATGAACCACAAAAATCATACATCCACTGTTTCGTTCGGAATATTTTTTTCCTTGTTTTCCTCCTCTAAAAACTAGGTGCGTCTTATGGAGCGAAAAATATGGTAATCAAGATAAATAAATAAATGGCTCTACAAGAGGATAAGAGAAGACTGTGGAGGAGAGGCTCCTAGCCAGTGCTATTTTTCTATAAAAAGAGGTGCTGGAACGCACCATGAACCCTTGTTCTCTTAAAATGGCAATGGCGCCGGCCTGAAAGGTGCCGGAACTGAGTTCCTGCTGGAAAAAAAGCCCAGCTCCTAGCCAGGATGGCTCTGCTCTGCCTCCACTGCCCGAGGCAAGGATGCCTCTGAATCTCAGTTGCTGGAAACCGCCGGGGGGAAAAGGTTCTCGTGCTCAAATCCTGCTTGCTAGTTTCCCATGGAGTCATCTGGGTGGACACTGTGAGAACAGGATGCAGGAACAGATGGACCACTGGTGTGATGCAGCAGGCTCTTTTTATAGTCTTAGGCTCAGTTGCCACCCCTGGGCTCTCAGACCCCTAGTCTCCAGAGATCCGGCAGCCCTGCAAAGGCCTGCAAATTCTGCCCCTGTGCTTCTTTGAGTGTGCTGTTCGAAACAGACTGCGCTCCTGGCCCAGAGACCTCAGACTGAACCAACAGCAGCATTCTGTGCAAGACAGCTTGCTGCAGATCCAGGTATTTTACATTCAGAGTGTTCCCTTTATCTACTGAACATGTTAAAGAAAGGATTAAAGTCGGTTTAATGCACTTTGCTTTTAAAGAACTGGTTAATGACAACACTGAAAGAAAAAAGGGTGGGGGACACACACAAAGCACCCTCCTGACATTTGAGATAACCAGGAAATCAATAAAAGTCAGATGGTGCCAGGAGCAGATTTTATAGCCCCTCATCACTCTGGGTTGACAGCGCCAGTCGGCTCCAATTTCCAATTGCCTGAATGTGGCTGGATTGTCATCCACTCTCTGTTCTCGGTGAATGATGGGTTCTTTCCTTGCAAAGCTAAATTGGATTACTGCTGTAGACTAGCCCAGCTGTGATTCAGAGCCCAGCCTCAGCACTAATTCTTCCCAACCCCACAAGCCAAACTGCTGATGAGGTGGGATTGCTGGCCATACAGAGCTTGGATGGGCACCAGGGAGCAGGAAAGAATTCTTCAAGGCCGTGGGCAGATCTACCAGCTCTGCTTCTTGAGACACACACTTGCCAGCCCAGGAGATTTTTCTCCCCTCAATGCTGGCCAGATGAGTCAAGATTACTTGCCCCACTGCAGGCATGCTGGGGAGCAAAACTGTGGAAAAGGAGCCCTGCTTTTATTACGGTGAAGGGGGTCCATCCAGTCCTTTCCTGTGTTATATTTATTGTTTATGACTAATTTTGCTAGCTTTAACTATATGGACCTTACTTTTTCTGTTAGGAGGTAGCAAAGTGGGTGAAAGGAGAAACAAACCAGAAGCGGAAGTTGGGGGAAGCCTAGGAGGGGAGGGAGGAAGGAATACATAGTAAATATTAAGAATTTGAGATGTATGTAATGAATGAAAAAGAAAATGAATGAGATATATATATATATATATATATATATATGAATGAAACACCTGCCTACCATGGATGCAAACTTTCCTAAGGGTGCAAAACTGAGCGCGCATGCGTGAACACACACACACACACAAAATCAGTGCAAAGAGTTAGGGAAGAGGACAATTTGGGGGAGAAGAAGAGCATTTGCATAATAAACGCCAGCTAAAACAACCCTGGAAAGCAATAACCTTGAGCGGCAATTGGGCGATTTCAATAATTCATCCCTTAATCAAAACTGCGAGCGAAGCAGGGCGACGACAAGGAAATGCACTTCGGGCGCCCAGAAATCACTTCCAGCTGGGCTGCCTCCCTCACCCTGCCTCCAAACACACACACAGAGGAGAGGAGAGGAGGCAGAGGCTGCCCTCAGTCCAATGTGGAAAAGAACTTAGGACCTCTTCTTCCCACTCAGTGAAGCTTTCCCCCAGAAGCTGCCAGCACGGGCTCAGCTCTTCCAGCCGGAATCAGGGCCGGCTGCTTCATGCTGGCAAAGGCAAAACTGCAGCTCGCCACAGATGTGAGAAATAGATCTTTTCTGGCAAGGGAATACCGTATTTTTTGCACTATAACACTCACTTTTTTCCTCCTAGAAAGTAAGGGGAAATGTCTGTGCGTGTTATGGAGCGAATGCCTACGGATGGCGGGAGGATCTGCTGCAGTCGTGAGCAGAGGATCCATGGTTCCCCTTCCTTCCCTCCTCCGTGGCTCGCTTTGAAACAGCAAAGCGGGAGAAGAGCCGCTGAGTGGGGAGAGGGAGGGACAGAGAGCCTGCTTCTTTAAAGGAGCAAAGCGGGAGAGGAGAGGAGCCTTCTCCCCTTATACCCCTATTCTGCATTATTAACAGCATCCTTCTCCACCCACCCCACGCGTGTTCCTTGTCCCTTGAGTGCTTTTCCTTCCCTCCCCACTTAAAACGTGGTTACAAAGCACGGATCTACATGGATCCTCAGGATTTTTGCACTGGGTCACCCCAAATTCACCATCAGATCACATAGCATGTCCATGGCTACAGCTTGCACCAAAAAAATCACGCACCCACTGTTGCCTGGAGCCGCAGTGGTGCAAAAACGTGTTTACAAAGCATGGATCCACATGGATCCTCAGGATTTTTGCATTGGGCTACCCCAAACTCACCGTCAGATCACATGTCTGTGGCCACAGCATGAACCACAAAAATCATACATCCGCTGTTTCGTTTAGAATATTTTTTTTTCTTGTTTTCCTCCTCTAAAAACTATGTGCGTGTTATGGTCAGGTGCGTGCTATAGAGCGAAAAATACGGTAGTTTATCGCGGCCAAAACAAATCTCTCGCTCCAGAACCAACACAAAACCAAAACCTCACATAAAGAAGAAAAGCCGAAGGTTGCAAAACAGGATGCCTAGTGGTCAGAGGGCCGATTGAGGGTGGGAGGGAAGCAGTTCAGTAGGGAGAGCAACATGCTGGCAGGGGCTGATGGGAACTGTAGTCCAAATCATTTGGGGGGGGCACCAGCTTTGCAAAGGCTGCTCTACAGAGTGCCTTCTCTCTCTCAAATTCGCTTCCAGCCTTGCTAATACAAGGACTACAAATTTTCCCTTTATTCTTCTTCTCAGCCTTAAAAATGGATTTGGAGTTCTGGTTAGTGTTGGTTTCTGAGAGATCATCTCACCCCCTTGGATACCCAGTGGGGGCATGCTGCAGAAACCATCCTATCAGGAGGTCCATTCCATACAATGCAGGATTGGGGCTTTTAGTGTTAGTGGCATTAAAACTTTGGAACTCCCTCCCCTTGAATATTAGACAGGAGCTGCAACTGAGGTCCCTCCCTTTGCTTCTGTGTCCCAGCATGCCTCTGGGGATGCAACATCACATCATGCGGAAAAGACTGAACGGAGGTCATTCAGCAGAGGTTATATTTTCTCAGAATCCTCCGGAAAAGCAATCTCTCAAAGGACCTGTTGATGGCATTTTACCATTGTACCGTTGAGAGTGTATCAACTTATGGTCTCTGTGTGTGGTTTGGGAGCTGCTCGGTCAGGGGAAAAAGCAATGCTGTCCAGGGTTGTAAAGACTGCGGAGAGAATAACTGGGTGCACTCTTCCCACCTTGGATCAAATCTACGCTTCCAGGTGCCATAAGGAAGCTGCAGAGATAGCGCAGGATAGTGCGCACCCCGGAAATGATCTCTTTCAGCTTCTGCCTTCTGGAAGAAGGTACAGGGTTATAAAGACTAGGACTAGCTGCCTGAGAAACAGTTTCTACCCAAATGCAATTTTGGTTTTAAACTCAGTATAAAGTTGTCTCTATGGGAGTATATTGTATTTAATTATGGGGTATCAGAGTTTTTAGGGGGCTAACCAGGTTGGGATAGCAGGCTTGTTGGTTTTTGAATGTCTGATGTAGATTTTTTTCAATTTCGTTGTTCTGTATGGGACAATGACAATAAAGATTATCATATCGTAACGTATTCTTGCAGGCCTGAAACAATCTGCAGACAAAAAACTCATCCCTAAGACTATTCATAAGCAATCAACTCATGGCAGGGCACAAGAAAAGCGTGATAAAACTCCCAAGATCAAAGGTGACAAAACAAATGGCCAACACGGAACCAAGAGCTACATTTTGGGCTTGCACAAGAGTTTTGCTTCCTTTGAACCATTGCATCGCCCTGAGCACACTAAATGAAACTGACAGTAGCTGAAGCCCAAACTGTCTGTGCTCCATATCTTCCAGGGTGGAAAAGAGGAATCAACCGACACTCTGGCTCTCAACTCTGAGCTGGGAGTCTTGCAGCCTAAAAGGGGTGTCAGAGTGGAGTCTACCCACTTTGGTTTTCTGTAGACTTTTTAGGTCAGCACAGGTTGGGCTTAGGATGTAATAGAACCACAGAATTGTAGAGCCGGAATATGCAGTTGGCCCATAAGGGAATCAAACCTGGGACCTTGGCATTATCAGCACCACGTTCCAACCAACTGAGCTATCCGAAAACCTTAACTGTGATCACGGGTTTGGATGGCACACTAAGCCAAACCTGAGTTAGTGGCTGCCCTGAACTGACCTTACAGGCCTGGAGTGGAGCAGAGCGGCTGCAAACTCCTCCTCCTCGAAAGCCAACACAATTGCAGTGTCACACTAAACCACGGTTTAGTGAACAGCAGAAAATGAACAGCAAACTATGGTTTAGTGAACAGCAGAAAATGAACAGCAAACCATGGTTTAGCGAACAGCAGAAAATGAACACCAAACCATGGCTTAGCGAACAGCAGAAAATGAAACCAAACCATGGTTTAGAGAACAGCAGAAAATGAAACCAAACCATGGTTTAGTGTGTAGCACGATGTGTGAATGGAGCCTCTGTGTGCTCAGGTCTCAGAACCCTCTTCAGGTAGGCATGGATAGGAGTGCAACCGCAGCTCCTGTGATTTGTCGGCGCAGCGAAGCCTCTAGATTGGACTGGCCTTCTGCACTCGTGTGGTCCACTACAGACTGGGCCCCTCCATACGGTCCAGTTCAGGGTCCAGTTCCAAAGATGAACAGCAGACAATTTGGATTAAAAACAGAATACCTACCCCAAGTCTAGATTCTGGCACAGCCTCAGCTGGACACCAACACGTCACCAACTTCCATACTCTTACACTTCCTTGCAGGGGGTCGGACTAGATGACCCTTTTCAACTCTACAATCTTGACCCTATGATACTCACTGGCTCCTGGAAGTAGAGCTGATAATCAAAGACAGGTATGGATTCAATCCTTTTCATTACATCCACTGCGGGATCTGCAGGCTTGTAGGGAGTATTCAGTCCAGCCACTGCCCTGAAACATCGCAGCAAGAAGCCAGAGGGCAGTGTTAGTCTGTGGCTGCAAAAAGCAACAGTCTTCCGGCATCTTAAACATTTTAAATAAATTTAGTTACGACCCCTCCTGAACGAGACAGATCACTGCTCTGGCCAAGAAACCCTGCTCTTGATTTTGAACACAAAGCATCAAGGATTGGTCACAAGCATAACAAGTCAAACTACAACTAACCCAGAATGCGGCTGCCAGACTGGTGACTGGGAGCGGCCGCCGAGACCATATAACACCAGTCTTGAAAGACCTACATTGGCTCCCAGTCCGTTTCCGAGCACAATTCAAAGTGTTGGTGCTGACCTTGAAACCCCTAAATGGCCTAGGCCCAGGAGACCTGAAGGAGCGTCTCCACCCCCATCATTCAGCCCGGACACTGAGGTCCAGCGCCGAGGGCCTTCTGGTGGTTCCCTCCCTGCGAGAAGTGAGGTTACAGGGAACCAGGCAGAGGGCCTTCTCGGTAGTGGCGCCCGCCCTGTGGAATGCCCTCCCGTCAGATGTCAAGGAAATAAACCACTCTCTGACTTTTAGAAGACATCTGAAGGCAGCCCTGTATCGGGAAGTTTTTAATGTTTGATGTCTTATCGTGCTTTTAATTCTGTTGGGAGCCGCCCAGAGGCAGGGGGAAACCCAGCCAGATGGGCGGGGTATAAATAAATAAATAAATAAATAAATAAATAAGGCCAGGTTGCCCTACTTTACATGTTTATTCTGAGCAAAGCACAGAGGTTTGCACAAAGCATCCTGGGAATCATTTGCTAACACCACTGCCCAGGTAAGTTCAAGATACTAATGCTATTTTGTTAGGAACACAGTGTGCTGGGCTTGGGGGTTAACCCAAGCAACGCGGTCCAGGTCCGGTCCCAAATCCAAGGATTCCATGAGGAGTCAGTCCAACAGGGCCAAGGCAGGAAACCAGGCTAGGTCAGGCACATGGTAACAGGCAGGTTCCATCAAGCAGCAATGTTGCTCCCGCAACCTGGGGCGGGGTCCGACAGCCTTTTATCTTTGTCAGGGTAATGGCTGGTCCTGATCCCCCGGTGACTCACCTCCCTGTCTCGCCCAAAGGCGAGCACTCCTCCTGCGAGTACTCAGGTCTCTCCTTCTCTCAGACCTCAGTCTCTGCATCTCAGGAGACGTCGGTGGGTTACTAGACCCAGAGGCCGCCTCAGCCTCTCCTGACCCAACCCATAGCGGAGCAGCTGTAAGTGATGGCCCAGCTGGAGGCAACGAGGTCATCCCTGCATCTGGAGCCAGGGCAGGCTCAGGCCCCTGACTCGGCCCAGCTGGTGCTTGTTGCAGGGGAACCTGTGCAGACTGGGGCTCTTCAGTATCAGGCCCCAGACTTGGTTCAGATGCCCCCTGAGGCAGAGGATCCGGTGTGGACCGAGACTCCTCCGGTCCCGAGTCTGAGTCCCAGGCCACCACACACAGGAAGTTTCCTCACCCCAGTTGTCCATCAAGCTCAGTACTGTCCACACGGACCAGCAGCAGCTGTCCAGGATTCTAGGCAGGAGTCTTCCAGCCCTACATGGAAGTGCCATTGGGGACCGAACCCAAGACCTTCTGCTTGCAAGGCAGAGGCTTCCCTGCTAAGCTACGGCCCTTACCTGACTTGTCTTTTTTGTCTTAAGATGTGTGCATGGTGGAGGTTGAGAGGAACCGCTAAATATGTTAATTTTCCTTAGAATTAAAAATGCTGCACAAATGCTAATTCAACTCACCTGACTCGCTCTGGGTAAAGGAGAGCCATGTGCCACACTGTGACACCGCCCCAGTCGTGGCCGATGAAGGTAGCTTGGGCGATGCCCTGAAGGAGAACGGAAAAAGCAGTGAGCTGACGGAGGGTTCGGAAGCTCCCCTTCCCAAAAGCGCAAGGCATGTTTCCTGCTCTGCTGCACTTCAAGCAGCGAGGTGCAACTTAACGGAAGGTGCTTTATATCTGGAATATTCTCGTTTTGTTTGGGGTTTCCCTGTATACATAAGCCCATTCTGCTCTGCCCCTTTATGTGATGTTTTGGGGCTACTTCCAACCTGCAGATGGTGACAGCAGTCACAAAATTAAAAGATGCCTGCTTCTTGGGAGAAAAGCAATGATAAACCTAGACAGCATCTTAAAAAGCAGAGACATCACCTTACCAACATAGGTCCATATAGTTAAAGCTATGGTTTTCCCAGTAGTGATGTATGGAAATGAGAGATGGACCATAAAGAAGGCTGATCGCCAAAGAATTGATGCTTTTGAATTCTGGTGCTGGAGGAGACTCTTGAGAGTCCCATGGACTGCAAGAAGGTCAAACCTCTCCATTCTGAAGGAAATCAGCCCTGAGTGTTCACTGGAAGGACAGATTGTGATGCTGAGATTCCAATCCTTTGGCCACCTCATGAGAAGAGAAGACTCCCTGGAAAAGACCCTGATGTTGAGAAAGATGGAGGGCACAGGGAGAAGGGGACGACAGAGGACGAGATGGTGGGACAGTGTTCTCGAAGCTACCAGCATGAGTTTGACCAAACTGCGGGAGGCAGTGGAAGACAGGAGTGCCTGGTGTGCTCTGGTCCAGGGGGTCACGAAGAGGCGGACACGACTAAACAACAACAAAAACAATCTTGGAAATGCCTGTGCTGTGGCAGCACAATTATCTTTTGCGAAAGGAAAGGCTCACGAGTCTTGGGCACAGATTAAAAACAGTTCATCGTCACCTGGTAAAGCTGTTTCTGGACTGCACCACTTCAGGCGGGGAAGTGCGGGCCTGAATCTGCATGGGAAAGCTCCCTTAAACACTGAAAATTAAGCTCAGAGCATAGAACAAGGGTGGGTGGATTTATCAGTTTCAGTTTCTCATTTCTCCAGTCTTAAGAGCAGTTCTCCACATTTCCGCATCAGTTTGTGAATGTGTTTTGTTTTTAAGTGCTCGTGCAAGTTCATGCTAATATGCACATCTTGCTATGCAGTTTTGCCTGTTGTACAGATTTTTGCAAGGTATTTCCCTATTGTATTGCATTTTTCTATATTATTTTCACTAATATGCATGTGAATGCACACTATACGTATTTTCTATACACATTACTGGCACTGGAGAATTGAATCGCAAAATTCGGAGAAGCGCAAATTTTGCAAGATGGCTATGTTTCAGTTATTGTTTGAATTTGTATATACCGTCCTATTTGTATATTGTATATACCGGTCTCAGGTCAGTTCACACAGGTTATTTCATTAAGTGTGAATTACTTAAGCTCACCTTTGAATGCAAACTGGATCAAATCTCCCCCCAATCCCTTGACTGGAATGTTTCTCTTGGACAACTATGTTGTGTCCGACTCTTCGTGACCCCCTGGACCAGAGCACGCCAGGCACTCCTGTCTTCCGCTGCCTCCCGCAGTTTGGTCAAACTCATGTTCGTAGCTTTGAGAACACTGCCCAACCACCTCGTCCTCTGTCGTCCCCTTCTCCTTGTGCCCTCCATCTTTCCCAACATCAGGGTCTTTTCCAGGGAGTCATCTCTTCTCATGAGGTGGCCAAAGTCTTGGAGCCTCAGCTTCGGGATCTGTCCTTCCAGTGAGCACTCAGGGCTGATTTCCCTAAGAATGGAAAGGTTGCATCTTCTTGCAGTCCATGGGACTCTCAAGGGTCTCCTCCAGCACCATAATTCAAAAGCATCAATTCTCCTCCTTTATGGTCCAGCTCTCACTTCCATTCATCACTACTGGGAAAACCATAGCTTTAACTATACGGACCTTTGTTGGCATTGGACAACTATGTGCCATGATAATGTCTTTTATTTATAGTACAAGACAGCATTCAGTCCTTGAGCCCCCACCCCCTGCCCCAAAGTTTGTCATGGGACAGTCCAAGAGTCTACCAGTATGTGATGAGCCCTTTTGCTTAGACCAGCCCACTACGGAAGAGGGAAGGGGAGATACCCCTAAGGAGTGCTCAGTCCTGTAAAGAATGGCTTCCAGTAAAACAAACTCTGCCCTGGGTTGAGACTCCAGACCAGTTTGTCTTTTTATGCTGGCCCAGAGCCAGGCCAACTCAGAGGGGATGCCTTGCCAAATTATCTTGAAAAGGAGTGGGGCGAGGAGAAAAAAAAAGCTAAACTCCAAATTCCAAGCATCCAAGCCCTCTCTTAACTTGAAAGGGCCATTCTGGCTTTTAAGAGCCAGCTGTTTGCTCAAGATACGGCTTCATTCGAGACACAGCTTGCATCCACCAACCCTTTTCCTCGCTTATTCCGAAAGCCCGTGGAAAGGAGACTCACCTTGCTTGCTCTTTGAGTCCTAAATTAGCCCTGGCAAGAGGCAAGCTCCTTTGGAGTAGGTTGGCTCAGCCTCAGCGGCTGCCCAAAGAAGCCCCCACCGTCCGCAAAGGGGTGCGTCTTTCATGGAAACAGCCCTCTCTCCCTCACCCCAGATCTGATCCCAAACAGAGCCTGCCAAAACCTGCCTTGCCAATCTACGTTTTTCAAGCCCTCTGGAGTGGGGTGACTGTGCTTTTCAACATTTTCTTAGATGACCCGGAGTCAGGGTGGCGTTCAGGTTTGCTGGTGCTACAAAATCGTTCGGGGCGGCAGAAAGGGATTGCGAGGAACTCTGAAAGGCTGCCTCTGAACTGGGAAATAAAATGGCAAGTGTGGTTCTGTGTAAGCAAGTGTAAAGTGTTGCAAAGTGGGGCAAAAAATAAATATTAACTTCACATGTACATTAATGGAGTCATAACTGGTAGCAACTCACAAGGAAAGAAACCCCGGGACTGCAGTGAATAACTTTTTGAAGATGTTGGCCCAGGGCTCTTCCTTATTATTCACGTTTTATCCTGTATTTTAAGCTGTTTTTTGTTGCATCAATTAAGTGTTTTAAATTTGTTGTTAGCCGCCCTGAGACCAGTTTTCTGAACCGGGAAGGGTGGGGTATAAATAAAAAATTATGATGATGATGATGATGATGATGATGATTCTTTGTTCTGATGCTGGCAGTTCCTTCTCCGTACTTAGGTAGTTGCCAAGGTAGCTAATCCGGCATAGAATCAAAGGTGGTTGTTTTATCCTGGGCCAGACTATTTGGCCACCTACCCTAGCATTGTCTATTTCCACCTTCCCTAGCCTGAAGTTCTCCAAAAGCTTGGGACTGCAAATCCCATCAGCCCTGGCAAGCAAGGACAATGGTCAGGGATGATGGGAGTTGTAGTCCAAGACATGGGGTGAGGGGTAGGGCGAGGCAAGCTGGTCTACTCTGACTGGTAGCCATTCTCCAAAGGCAAGAAGAAGAAGAAGAAGAAGAAGAAGAAGAAGAAGAAGAAGAAGAAGAAGAAGAGTTTGGATTTGATATCCCGCTTTATCACTACCCGAAGGAGTCTCAAAGCGGCTAACATTCTCCTTTCCCTTCCTCCCCACAACAAACACTCTGTGAGGTGAGTGGGGCTGAGAGACTTCAGAGAAGTGTGACTGGCCCAAGGTCACCCAGCAGCTGCATGTGGAGGAGCGGAGACGCGAACCCGGTTCACCAGATTACGAGTCCACCACTCTTAACCACTACACCATACTGGCTCTCTTGAACAGAGGGAAGCTCCCTCCCCACCGGCAATCATCTACTTGCTACTTTTCAAAAAACAGGAGATGCTTAAGGCTGAACCTTCTGCACGAAAAGCATATGGGCTGCCACCAAATTACAGCGCCTCCCTTGATCGTTCAAGTCCTGGTTCTCTTCCCACTGAAGCAGCAAGCAACGTTTTAGCAAGCAGACATTTGAATGACACAGTGAGATAAACCAGACACGCGATCGGCTTTGCCTTTATAAATGCATGCCTTTGACTGAAGCAAAAAAAAAAAAGGACCCCTGGACGGTTAAGTGCAGTCAAAGGCGACTATGGGGTTGCGGCGCTCATCTCGCTTCAGGCCGAGGGAGCCACTGTTTGTCCACAGACAGCTTCTGGGTCATGTGGCCAGCAGGACTAAACCGCAAACAAGAGCAGCACACGGAAACACCGTTTACCTTCCTGCCGGAGCGGTACCTATTTATCTACTTGTATTTTGATGTGCTTTTGAACTGCTAGGTTGGCAGGAGCAGGGACCGAGCAACGGGAGCTCACCCAGTCACGGGGATTCAAACCGCCGACCTTCTGATCAGCAAGCCATAGGCTCTGTGGTTTAGACCACAGTGCCACCCGTGTCCCAGCTATCATCCTAGATGGCTTTAGAAGAGTGACGGAAACCAGATGGCACGGAAACACTGTTTACCTTCCTGCTGCAGTGGTACCTATCTACCTACTTGCACTGGTGTGCTTTCAAACTGCTAGGTTGGCAGGAGCTGGGACAGAGCAACAGGAGCTCACCCCATCGCGGGGATTCAAACTGCCGACCTTCTGATTGGCAAGCCCAAGAGGCTCAGTGGTTCAGACCACAGTGCCATTCACATCCCTTACCTCTGTCTGAAGCAACAGGGCGTGTGAGCATGTGTTCCTTATAAGTTAAGGAACCACATTAATCCAACCTGCGCTGGATTAGCAACTGATAGTTCAGAAGAGAGACAAACGCCTAGGAGCTGACAAACAGTTGGTGCCTGACACCCTGCATCTTTTGGGCCCTGGGAAGCTTGAGATACAACTCTGCACAAGGACACACACACACACACACACACACAACCCTTCACACATGCACGTCAGCTGTAGGATAGGCGTCCAGCGCATCCCCCAGCAAAGAACAACGGAAGGAGCAAAGGGTCCCCTGTTCTTTTTTTTTTTAATAAGATATTTATTAAGGTTTTCAAAATATTACAATATAGAAAAAGAAAAAAGAAAAATGCAAAAATAGTTAAAAACACTTCATTCTTTCCATTACTTATCTTTCATTTGCTTATTTCCCGGACCTCCTCACACCTCCCTTTTTTGTATTCCAGTTCAATTTGTTAGTTCAGCAAATCCCTCCCCTCTTTGTATATCCTAGTCGTTAATCGTAAAGTATTATAATTTTAAATTTTTACCTATTAATAATCCATTTTTTCATATTCCCTTATAACGTTTCAGCTAAAGACCACTTAGTTTCAATCCAACATCATTCAAAGGGTCCCCTGTTCTGTCATTCCAGCAGCTTCTATCAGCCTGCTTTGGGTTCTCGGCCTCTCCCTGCGAGCCAAGGCTCTCTGCTTCTGCCTCATCAGCAGCCGCTGTCCCAGCCTGGCGTGGCAAATTCCGTTTGATTGAGCAGGCTCTTTTGCTCAGGCTCCTGCACGAGCCGCACAGGCAGCCGGTTAATGAGATGGCAGCGGCTTCTGCTGCAGCAGCAGAAAAAGGAAGGAAAATCAAGGCTTGTTGGGGGAAGCAGCAGCAGCAGCAGCAGGGAGGTCTGGCCTGAAAGATGGAGGGTTTGCGCAACCACAGGCCAGGACCAAGGGCAGCCGTAGTAATGATCACAGGAGCAATTCCTTAAAGTACTTGGCATTGTAGGGGAGGATATTAACAGACAGGATTGTAAATTGTTTTTATATGCAACAATGGCAGCAAGAATATTATTGGCACAAAAATGGAAAGAAGAAGAGTTACCGATGAAAGAGTGGCAAATGAAATTAACGGACTACGCAGAATTAGACGAACTGACAGGAAGGATTTGAAACCTGCGGGACCAGAGATTCTTAGAGGACTGGAGTAAATATCTGAACTATTTGAAAAGCAATTGTAATAAAAAGATTACGCTAGTAGGACTGCAAGAATTTTCTGTAAGGAGGATTAGGTGAAATATTGCAAGGAAGGCTACGAAGAGAATTATGAGTTAAGGACAATTAAAAGTAACAGAGAAATTAAGAAATGCAGATTAAGTGATAAAGAATGGAAAATCTTCAGAGGTAGTTGAAGGAAGTCTAAAATATTGTATAAGAATGTGTGTTAAATGACTGTTGGAAATTATATGTTAAAAAATTAATAAAAATGTATAAAAAAGAGAGAGAGAAATGCAAAGCACAGACACTTTGGGTGGTTTCGTTCTGCAGGGCTATTTCCACATGCCTAAGGGGACATTTCCATATGTGTTCTGATATGTTGCCTGCATGCAGCCCATTGCAAGCCCTCAAACCTGCCAATTTTTACAACCGGTCCTGAAAATTTGAACACCTCGAACCCCACTTTTCCAAATACTGCTCCCCCGGGAGATGGTACTACCGACTTTCTGGGAACCACAGATCCACGCTGATGGGCACCAGGTTGCAGGGATTCAGGCCGTCGCGCTACTTGGAGATACCACAGGGGACTGAACCAGGGACTTTCTTCATGCAAGGAAGATGCTGCACCGTTGAGTCACAGTTCTCCCCTTGTGTCAAAAGACAGGAGGGCACTGCGCCTTGTAGACATAGCTCCCAATACTGGACAGGCTATTGGCTACGCCCATAGGGACCCAAATTTGCAATTATTACAGAATTTTTCGCTCTATAGGACGCACTTTTCCCCCTCCAAAAATTAAGGGGAAATGTGTGTGCATCCTATGGAGCGAATGCAGGATCCTTGGCTTCAGCGATAGCAACGCAAAGCCTCCAAAGCGCAGAGGGAGCGCTCCCTCCGCGCTCCGGAGGCTTCCCGTTGCTTTCGCTGAAGCTGGGAGAGCAAGACTCTCCTGGCTTCAGCAGAGAGGGAGAACTGCGCAGCGCCCCTTCAGCCAAGCGGGAGGAGAAATGGAAGGGGCTCCGTTTCTCCTGCCGCTTCGCTGAAGGGGCGCTGAGCAGAGAGGGGGAGAATTTTTTTTTTCTTGTTCTCCCCCTCTAAAACAAGGTGCGTCCTATGGTCGGGTGCATCCTATAGAGCAAAAAATACGGTATTTTTAAAACAAAGGTGGCCTGGGAGCAGCAGCCCCCCAGATCTACAAAACCTCAGCTAGCAGACCAATGGTCCGCAACAGTGGGGCTGACCCTGTGAAGAACAGTGGAAACTCAAATACCATTTTTAAAAAAATGGAATGTAAGAGACAATCTCCTTCTGTCATTTTGGTTTCAAAAACCTTTCATGAGGCTTCATACGCTGCCGCCGCAGCAGCTGAAAGGCGGTGTTAATTGGATTTCTCATGGGCTTCTGTAGTGTCACAGAAAAGGCTGAAATCTAAGCTCTCTTATCAGTCCGGGATCCTCTGCGCAGTGGCTTCGTCTCTGCATCAATTATGTGACCATTTCTCCATTTCAGACTCTGGCAGGCAAAAAACACCACTCACACACCCAGCACACACATACACAGAGGACCGTTTTTCTGCCACACGCCCCCCCCCCCATCTCCAGAGTCATGGATCTAAAGAATATTCAGATGGATGGAAAATTAACAAATTGCAAAAAGCCAAGTTCAAAGAATATGGGGCCAGCCGGGGCAGCCAACGCGGATTCTCTCCCCAGCGCAGAAGCTGCTGCGCACTCAAAGCTATGCTTTCCCCATCACAAGAACAGAACAACAGCCCTGTTGGATCAAGGCAGTGGTCCATCTAGTCTAGCATCCTGTCCCGAGAACGGCCAGCCACATGCCTGTGGGAAATCTGCAAACAGGATGAGCGCATGCTCCCATCCCGTGACTTCCAAAAACTGGAGCCCTAAATGGCCTCAGTCCAGTATACCTGAAGGAGCGTCTCCACCCCCATCGCTCTGCCCGGACACTGAGGTCCAGCGCCGAGGGCCGTCTGGAGGTTCCCTCATTGCAAGAAGCAAAGCTACAGGGAACCAGGCAGAGGGCCTTCTCGGTGGTGGCACCCACCCTGTGGAACACCCTCCCATCAGATGTCAAAGAGATAAACAACTACCTGATATTTAGAAGACATCTGAAGGCAGCCCTGTTTAGGGAAGTTTTTAATGTGTGACATTTTAATGTATTTTTAATCTTTGCTGGAAGACGCCCAGAGTGGCTGGGGAAACCCAGCCAGCTGGGCGGGGTGCAAATAATAAATTGTTGTTGTTGGTACATATCCAGAGGCATCAGTGGAAGAGATGAGCCCCATGAACTCTGGCCTACAGTGTGTAGGAAGATATAGTCATACCTCGGGTTACAGAAGTTTCAGGTTGCATTTTTTCGGGTTACGGACCCGCCAAAATCTGGAAGTACCAGAACGCGTTACTTCCGGGTTTCGGGGGTCGTGCATGCGCAGAACCGCTAAATCGCGCTTTGCACATGAGTGCCGAATCGCAACTTGCGCATGCGCAGGCGCACTGCTGCGGGTTGCTAACATGCATCCCGCACGGATCACGTTCACAACCCAAGCGTCCACTGTACAGCAAAAGGCTACGTCTTCTGTTGCACAGAGTCAGCCAAAGGGTTATGTAAGAATGCAAACAGAGCTTGCTGGGTCAGCCCAGGGGCCCATGTAGTCCAGAATCCTGTTCTCACAGTAGCCAACCAGGTTCCCTTGAAATAAGAATTTCAATTGGCGAGCCAACCAGCCAGTTACCAACATTTGCAAGGAACTTTTCGTTTGAAGGGCAATGGTTTAAAGGCAACAGGCACACCAAGCAGGGTTCATAAATTTATTTCAGGATCCCCTCTCTGGTCATGGATTCTCTTATAACACCCTCAATGGGAAATCTGCGAGTAGGAGCTGAGCACAACATTCTCCTCTCCTGCCGTTTCTAGTTGGTGACTCCAGGACATAGCCTGACCCTCTAAATTGAGGTTATTTTATGCTTCATTTAAATAATAGTAATAAACGCATGCAAACTCCCTGAAGAATCCATATGTGCGCAAGGCTCCCCTCCACTCGCCCCAGGTAGGGCCCTACGGTTAGAGGTCTCTGCATCTGGGCAACACTCCAAACTGGGATTGCAGGAAGGAAGAATAAAGGTTTTGAAGTTTGATGCTGTGTTTTTATTATGTTGGAAGCTGCCCAGAGTGACTGGGGCAACACAGTCAGATGGGCAGGGCATGAATAAAATTATGATGATGGCAATTAAGCTGCTCCAAGAAACTATCTGAAGAAAAGACAGAATAATGTTTTTAGCATGTATTTTGTGCTTTTTTTATATAGTATTTTTAAGTTGTGGACCGCCCTGAGATCTGCAGATGAAGGGTGGCACACAAATATAAATAAATTACTAAATCAGTAAAATAAACAAGAATGCGAGTGGCGTTCTGGTTGCGATAGTTCTTGCTCTTGCAGCCAAGGCTTCGAACGAGAGACCCCAGGGATGCATCACACAATATTAATTAAAAGCCACAAATGCATTTGCAAACAGCCGAGAGCTGCTCAGAAAAGGAGAGGGATTTGCTCTCCCAGCTCAGGGAGTTGAACAAACAAGCCACATTAATTAGCGGGCTAATTATTAGAAGACTAAAGAAAGATTTCTCTTATCTAATGTGTGTTATCTTAGGAAGCAAAGCAAGGAGAAACTCTTTCGACTGCCGTTTAGCTGCACGGACGACCTTTACAACGTCGAAAGGCAGCATATAAATGTTTTAGACAAACTCGGCTTGGTGGGGGCAGAACCCACATATCCAAATATTTTTTTAGCATGGTGTATCTCACAGGATGGGTAGATTAAAACAAAGGAGTTTACCAGGAGTGCATTGTTGTAGATTACTCCCCTCCCGGGATCAAAGTCACGGTTCTTAACTTTCCTCCGTAATTATTTCCGGGCAGCAGATGGTGCGAGGGACGTTTAATCAGCAAGCAAATTAAGCAAGCACCTCCCCGCAAGCAGGTCGCTCATGCTGGTTTTCATAGTTAGCGCTTATGGAGTACTTACATGTTCAAAGCCCTGCCCTGGAAAGTTAATTAAATCTAAAGCTGGCTCCTGCCAGAGAGATTTTGCTTGACGGAGGAGGCAAGGGGGTTAGCAAAGATAAGGAAAGAAAGTTCGAGGGAAATGTTGGTCCTCTTTGTGCAGCAGGGAGCGAAGCACACCAAAGACGGGACACTTCCTGTAGCGCATGTCAGAGCATGCAGGAGCCTCTGGAGTGGGGCAGCTGTGGTCTGATGGAACATGCTGAAGGGGAGTCTGACCAAACACCAGGAAGAACTTTCTGATGGTAAAAGATGTTCAGCAGTGCAATGGACTCCCTTGGAAGGTGCTGGACTCTCCTTCATTCGAAGGGTTTTCAGCAGAGGTTAGAGGGCCATCTGCCATGGATGCTGAGACCATACCTGCCCACAGACTGTCTTGCCAGAGTGGTGCATGCTCTGGTTATCTCCCGCTTGGACTACTGCAATGCGCTCTACGTGGGGCTACCTTTGAAGGTGACCCGGAAACTGCATTTAATCCAGAATGCGGCAGCTAGACTGGTGACTGGAAGTGGCTGCCGGGACCACATAACACCGGTCCTGAGAGATCTGCATTGGCTCCTAGTACGTTTCCGAGCACAATTCAAAGTGTTGGGGCTGACCTTTAAAGCCCTAAACGGCCTCTGTCCTGTATGCCTAAAGGAGCTTCTCCACCCCCATCACTCAGCCCGGACACTGAGATCCAGTGCCGAGGGCCTTCTGGCGGTTCCCTCATTGCGAGAAGTGAGGTTACAGGGAACCAGGCAGAGGGCCTTCTCGGTGGTGGTACCTGCCCTGTGGAACGCCCTCCCACCAGATGTCGAGGCAATAAGCAACTGCTTTACTTTTAAAAGAAGGCGGCCCTGCTTAGGGAAGTTTTTAATGTTTGATGCTGTATTGTTTTTAATATTCGGTTGGAAGCCACCCAGAGTGGCTGGGGAAACCCAGCCAGAAGGGCGGGGTATAAATAATAAATTATTATTATTATAAGTAACCGTTCCGGTACTTCCGGGTTGCTGTGGATGCAACACGAAAACACGTGCTCTAAATGCTTCTAGCACTGCCTCTGCACTTTCTGATTCATGCCAGTTCTGTTTTTCTTTATGTACATTAAGCCAATTGCTTAAACCACATAACTCAAGTACTGTTCTTGGGGGACAGAAGGCAGGTAGGTGTGGAGGACTCCCTGGTCCTGAATGGGGTAACTGTGCCCCTGAAGGACCAGGTGCGCAGCTTGGGAGTCATTTTGGACTCACAGCTGTCCATGGAGGCGCAGGTTAATTCTGTGTCCAGGGCGGCTGTCTACCAGCTCCATCTGGTACGCAGGCTGAGAGCCTCTCTGCCCATGGACTGTCTCGCCAGAGTAGTGCATGCGCTGGTTATCTCCCGCTTGGACTACTGCAATGCGCTCTATGGGGGGCTACCTTTGAAGGTGACCCGGAAACTACAACTAATCCAGAATGTGGCAGCTAGACTGGTGACTGGGAGTGGCTGCCAAGACCATATAACACTGGTCTTGAAAGACCTACATTGGCTCCCAGTACGTTTCCGAGCACAATTCGGGTTTGAGCCGAAGAGCAGCCCTCTCCCATCCTGTGGCACTGGCTATTCAGAGGCATAGTTGCCTCTGGCCAGAGAAATCCCATCATGGAGAGAAGTCCTCAGTGGTCCTCACCTCCACAAATAAGAATGTCAGAATACTGGATCAGGCCAATTCAGGGCCAGCCAACACTGATTTTCTCCCTAGCACAGAATCTGCTGCACACTAAATCTCCACCTGCCCCATCATAAGATCAGAGAAAGAGCTCTAAAGGAAAGGGAATTTCTGTTGCCCACTGGGCAATGGCTTTGAGAACAGAAGAAGCAGGAGTTTGGGGATTTTTTTTTTAAAAAAGACCTATTTTACAAGTTGTCTGTCCTTGTTTCTCAATTTGGTCATTTTAAATGGCTTTGTGGAATTTTATGCATTGTGACTTGCTGTTATTTTTATTGATATTCAACTTTACTGTTTACTATTCTAATGGACTACTGAATGTTGCTTTATTTGACATAAGTTTTTTCATCTAAAGTTGCTCTGACTTTTTGGAATTGGATCAGATTGTTATTAGTTGTGTGATCTTTGCTGTCTATTTTGCTGCTGCTTCAGCTTGCTGCCTTGTGTCTAGTAATACAGAAAGGCAGTACAGTGGACCCTCGGGTTACGTTACCTTCGTAACTTTCGGGTTGCGAACGTGGCAAACCTGGAAGTGTATACTTCCGGGTTTTGCCACGCACATGCACAGAAGCGATTCCTCATGTTGCAGACTTTTCGGGGTATGTAGGGACCCCCAGAACGAATTAAGTTCGTATCCAGAGGGTCCACTGTATGCAAATTAAAAGTGAAATGGGGGGGGGCGCGAAGCCAATGGCCCACCTAGTCTAGCATCCTGTTCTCACAGTGGCTAATTAATTATTATTATTATTATTATTATTATTATTTATTACTTATACCCCGCCCATCTGGCTGGATTTCCCCAGCCACTCTTGGTGGCTTCCAATGAAGATTAAACATACAACAAAACACCAGACATTAAAAACTTCCCTAAACAGGGCTGCCTTCAGATGTCTTCTAAAAGTCAGATAGTTGTTTATTTCCTTGACATCTGATGGGAGGGCGTTCCACAGGGTGGGTGCCACTACCGAGAAGGCCCTTTGCCTGGTTCCCTGTACCTTTGCTTCTCGCAGTGAGGGAACCTCCAGAAGGCCCTCGGCGCTGGACCTCAGTGTCAGGGCTGAACAATGGGGGTGGAGACGCCCCTTCAGGTATACTGGACCGAGGATGTTTAGGGCTTTAAAGGTCAACACCAACACTTTGAATTGTGCTCGGAAACGTAACCAGATGCCCCAAAGGGAAACCCACAAGCAAGATTTGAACACAAGAGCAACTCTCCCCTCCTATGTTTTCCAGCAACTGGTATTCAGAAGCATTGCTGCCTTTTCCTGCGGAGAAAAATGTAGCCAAAGAAACTGCCCCCACCTCCTGTTTCCTTTTACACAACACAAGCAATAATGATCAGAGACCTGAAGGCTTGTAAAATCATCTCCTCCCTCAACTTTCCAGGATGCTTCCTCACTGCTCAAAGCTTGGCATTTTACGGAGAGGGCAAAAAGCAATTTAAAGTTGGTCTAGGCTTTTCAAGGCTGCCTGGGTCTGTGCTTTAGGTCTTCAGGAAAGCAATGAAGCACTGTTTTTCTTTTCCTGCAAACCCTGAACCATCCTTAGGAAAGCAGGCAGCCCAGCCCAGGACCGAAAGAGAGCATATTAAGCAGCTATTGATTGGGCAAACAAAGACCATCAGAATTGGGGTCAGGGGGCCGAGAACAAAAGCGCCTCGGCAATTTTATTCCTGTTTGCCGCGGAGGAAATTCAAATAACCTCAGCAAAGCCAGCGACGGGGTTTGGGGTGGGCGGCAGGAGTCAGGCCGCAGCTGCATCCAAAGGTGCAGAAAAGAACAGAGCAGGAAGGAAACTAGAACTCTCTTGAAATCCTTAAGAAGGATACCTTGGTACCTTGGCTCTCGAACTTAATCCATTTGGAGACCCTATCTGCCTGCGGACTGTCTCGCCAGAGTGGTGCATGCTCTGGTTATCTCCCGCTTGGACTACTGCCATGCGCTCTACGTGGGGCTACCTTTGAAGGTGACCCGGAAACTACAACTAATCCAGAATGCGGGAGCTAGACTGGTGACTGGGAGCGGCCCCCGAGACCATATAACACCGGTCCTGAAAGATCTGCATTGGCTCCCAGTACGTTTCTGAGCACAATTCAAAGTGTTGGTGCTGACCTTTAAAGCCCTAAACGGCCTTGGCCCAGTACACCTGAAGGAGCGTCTCCATCCCCATCGTTCTGCCCAGACACTGAGGTCCAGCGCTGAGGGCCTTCTGGCGGTTCCCTCGCTGCGAGAAGCCAAGTTACAGGGAACAAGGCAGAGGGCCTTCTCGGTAGTGGCACCCGCCCTGTGGAATGCCCTTCCCAAAGAGAACAAGAAGTACCAGATCTGAAGGCAGCCCTGTTTAGGGAAGCTTTTAATGTTTGATGTATTACGGTATTTTAATATTTTGTTGGAAGCTGCCCAGAGTGGCTGGGGAAGCCCTGCCATATGGGCGGGGTATAAATAAATTATTATTATTATTATTCGACTCCCAAAACCATTCGAAAACCAAGGCGCGGCTTCCGATTGGCTGCAGGAGCTTCCTGCACTCAAGCGGAAGCCACGTTGGACGTTCGGCTTCCGAAAAACGTTCGCAAACCGGAACACATTACTTCCGGGTTTGCGGCGTTTGGGAGCCAATTTGTTCGGCAACTAAGCTGTTCAGGAACCAAGGTTCTGCTGTATTGTCAAGCTGGAATGTGTGTGCTGAGGACGGCGACCAAGATGGTCAAGGGTCTGGAAGCCAAGTCTTGCGGGCAGCCTGGAGAAGACGAGACAGAGAGGTGATACCATAGCCATCTTCAAACCAAGGGATGCAAATGGCAAGGAGGGAGATTCTGATTAAACTTTAGGAAGAACTTCCCGACGGCAAGAGCTATTCGACGCTGGAAATGGACTCCCTAAGGAAGTTGTGGACTCTCCTTCCTATGAGGTTTTCAAGCAGAGGTTGGCTGGCCATTTGCCATGGATGCTTCAGCTGAGATTCCTGCACTGCAAGGGGTTGGACTAGAGAACCCTTGGGGTCTCTTCCAACTCAATTCTGTGAGTTAGCAGGCTTCTTGCCTCCCTCTGCTCACTGCTTTCACACCAAATTCCTCTGCCCAGGCACCCAGAGGTCGCCCAGAGCAACAGAGGAACAGCCCAGAGAGTGCACGCATGAGTGGTCAGGCTTCTAGCTTCTCTGAACCTGAGTGAAGAGGTGCAAAAGAAGAAGAGGAGGAGTTTGGACTTGATATCCCACTTTATCACTCCCCTTAGGAAGTCACAGAGCGGCTCACAATCTCCTTTCCCTTCCTTCCCCACAACAAACACTCTGTGAGGTGAGTGAGGCTGAGAGACTTCAGAGAAGTGGGACTAGCCCAAGGTGTTAGAATTCCTGCTCCGTGATTGCAGTCATGGGATTGTTGTCTTTCACATGACGGTATATGTTTTGGGAAGTGACGGAGACAGGATGTTTGTGTTACTGTGTTCCGTGAAGTGGGACTATTGTTCTTTGTTCTTTGCTGCCTGATGCTAGAGAGAGAGGGAGCCATGTTGCAGTGCTCCGTGTGTGTTAATATGTAAATAAAGTAGATTAGCCAAAATGCTGAGTTGCTGAGGTCTGTCATGTAAGGTGCGCAAATTCTGCGGATCCCTAAGCGTGCCGGTGTCTGTTGGCATTGGTCGCTGTGATGTTCGGGCTGAAGAAAGCTTTTGAAGCTCCCAAACGAACGACCAGGAGGGAGAGAACATGCTAGTCGGGCATGTGTCTCTGCCAGGGTCCTACTCAAGTGTAGGCAGAACTCCTGACACAAGGTCACCCAGTAGCTGCATGTGGAGGAGCGGGGAATCAAACCCGGTTCACCAGATTACGAGTCCATGCTCTTAACTACTACACCACGCTGGCTCTCCCCGTCACTTGGCCTGTGCTCTTGGTGGGGGACAAACACCATCCGCTAGGTACGCTCCTGGTGGCCAATCAAATGCCTCTATTGGGGAACCGGCAAGCAGGACCCAAGCACAAGAGCCCTTTCCACACTTGTGGTTTCCAGGAACTAGCATTCAGAGGCATCATTGCATCCAGCTGTGTAGGCAGAGAAGATATCATGGCTAGTAGCCACAGATAGCCCTCTCCTCTGTGAATTTATCTAATCTTCTTTTATAGTCTGCGGATCTTGCCAACAATAGCTAAAGCTATGGTTTTCCCAGTAGTGATGTATGGAAGTGAGAGCTGGACCATAAAGAAGGCTGATCGCCAAAGAATTGATGCTTTTGAATTTTGGTGCTGGAGGAGACTCTTGAGAGTCCCATGGACTGCAAGAAGATCAAACCTCTCCATTCTGAAGGAAATCAGCCCTGAGTGCTCACTGGAAGGACAGATCCTGAAGCTAAGGCTCCAAGACTCTGGCCACCTCAGGAGAAGAGAAGACTCCCTGGAAAAAACCCTGATGTTGGGAAAGATGGAGGGCACAAGGAGAAGGGGACGACAGAGCACGAGATGGTGGGACAGTGTTCTCGAAGCTACCAGCATGAGTCTGACCAAACTGCGGGAGGCAGTGGAAGACAGGAGTGCCTGGCGTGCTCTGGTCCATGGGGTCACGAAGAGGCGGACACGACTAAACGACTAAACAACAATTATTTATTAAATTTATACACTGCCCTTTTTCAAGAGCCCACAGTGCGGTTTACAACACCAGTCTAGGTTGGTGGCCCTCGCTGCTTCCTGTGGCAGTGAGTCCCACAGTTTAATTGTGTGCTGCATGAAGAAACACTTCCTTTTATCTACCCTGGATCTTCCAACATTCCGTTTCAATGGATGTCCAATTACAGGAGGAACCACAATGGGAAAAGGAAAGTCGCTCCTTGCCCCTTTGTAGACACACAAACGCTCTCCACAAAGCCACACATAAGAGCAGCGACATCGCTCCGCGGCAGATCAAGGTCACTGCATGAATTAAACATTTAAACCACCAGCGTACGTTCCTTCGCTTTCGCTAATTCTGTTAATGCTGCTTTCTCCCCTGCTGCCCTGCACTGCTTTATCTAATGTCATTCCAAAGTCCTTGCTCCACCAACTGCTGAACTTTCACTCCTGCAAACAAATTATTCCGGCCGCAGCCATGCCAGCAAATCTCGCTCTTCTGAGGGCACCGAACAGTTACTGACCTTAGAAAGGAGGTGTGCAAACAGATGACAACGGGCCTTTTCCGTAGCAGGGGAGAGAATCTGTCAACACCGCAAACCAGAGTCCCTGTAGTGACTACAGCTAATTTTCAGTGGGGGGAGGAAAGTATAAATCTAGATAAAATTGTGGGGGTATGTGATTTCATTCTGATGAAGGTGGCACCGTGCAAGTGCAGGCACCAAATCCACCATAAGTTGCCAAGTGGCATAAGTTGCATGGGCATTGGTACCAACTGGGCCCAAGAAACAGACTTATTTCAGTTCTGCTGAATTTTACTGCCCTTATCTTTACTATATTGTATTCCTGGTGTGTTTTATTCAAACTGTGTTGCTGTACTGAGTTGCATTTTTCTACTATAGTAAATTGCCTCCTGTCAACCTAGCAGTTCGAAAGGACATTGAAGTGCAAGTAGAAAAATAGGTACCGCTCTGGAGGGAAGGTAAACGGTGTTTCCGTGCGCTGCTCTGGTTCTTAGTCATGCTGGCCACATGACCCGGAAGCTGTACGCCGGCTCCCTCGGCCAATAAAGTGAGATGAGCGCCGCAACGCCAGAGTCGTCCGTGACTGGACCTAATGGTCAGGGGTCCCTTTACCTTTACCATAGTAAACTGCCTTGGAATTAATTTATTTTTTAATGAAAGGCATTATAAAAAATATTTAATAAATACAGTGGAACCTTGGTTCCCGAACCCAATCCGTTCTGGAAGTCCTTTCGACTTCCAAAATGTTTGCAAACCAAGGCGCGGCTTCTGATTGGCCCCGGAAAGAATGCCAACAGCCGAAATGGACATTCAGCTTCCAAGAAACGTTCGCAAACTGGAACACTCACTTCCGGGTTTGCGATGTCCGGAAGCTGATTTGTTTGTGAGCCAAGCCGTTCAGGAAGCAAGGCACCACTGTAGAATTAAATTTAAAAGACATAAGATGGTAAAAATCATCCTAGCTTGTTGCCTGAATGTCAACCAATTTGGAATACCTTTTGCCATATTTGCCCCCCCCCACTCCACCTTTGAAAAAGAGGGACACGGATGGCGCTGTGGGTTAAACCACAGAGCCTAGGACTTGCCAATCAGAAGGTCGGTGGTTCGAATCCCCGTGATGGGGTGAGCTCCCAGAAGCTGTATGCCGACTCCCTCGGCCAGTAAAGCGAGATGAGCGATGCAACCCCAGAGTCGGTCACGACTGGACCTAATGGTCAGGGGTCCCTTTACCTTTACCACCTTTGAAAGCAGGGGCAGCGGGTGCAAGTTTCTCAGCAGAAGACCTCAAATACTGGGAAGTCTCCTCTGAGAACAACTCAGCAACTAAAAGGCACAAGACTAATAGCTTATTTGAACCATCAGTTCTTTAAGAGAACTATAGTGAGCCCCTGTAGGAAAGTGCAGAGAGGATATCTTTATTTATTATTATTTTAGAAAAATGGAATTCTTTGGTAGAACAGCATGTCCAAAAAATAAAACCTGTCCTAAATCTTCTGCAAGATATCCGCAGGAAAAAGCAAAACCTGCCTAGGTCAAGAATTCAGCTTTACACCCCCACCAACACTTCAAACACACTCTCTCAAGATATACGCACCTACCTCATTTTAATAAATCCTGAATTGATTCCTTCCTTCCCACAGGGCCAGCAATCAGAACTACAATCCTAATTATATTGTCAAAACAGATTAATGTCTCCAAAGAGGTTAAAAGGAGGAATCGTTATTTAACTTCGGAGGCGGGGGTTCGGGTGACCTCTCTCTGTGTTCGAGACCTGGCCGTTTATCAAAAGCAAAAAGCAAAAGGGAAGCCGTTTTATCCAGGAAGGTCAGAGAAGCAGGATTGGCATATTTCAACCAAAACGACATGCAATAATTAATCCGCTTTGTCGGCAAAAATGCACCAGGACGAAGCCTTGGATGAAATCTACAACTGGCTCGATCAACGTGCTCCATTACGTAGACATTACTCAAGAACGTTATAAGATATATATAAAAAAAGAAGTCGTATTTTCACGAAGGGAATGTAGCTTAAGCACCGGCAGCTTAAGCACTGAAGCAGCATATCTCAAAAATAAAAACACAACCAGATTTAAATGGCATGGAAGAATCACCCCAGAGAGAGCTCATCAGGTTGAAAAGGAGCCTGAGGCTTCGATCTAGAATTTCAGCAATTTCTAGGTGGCCTGCACAGAATGGAAGATGGCAGGATCTCCAAGGATGCACCGTATTTTTCGCTCTATAAGATGCACCAGACCATAAGACGCACCTAGTTTTTGGAGGAGGAAAACAAGAAAAAAAATATTCTGAATCTCAGAAGCCAGAACAGCAAGAGGGATTGCTGCGCAGTGAAAGCAGCAACCCCTCTTCCTGTTCTGGCTTCTGGGATAGCTGCGCAGCCTGCATTTGCTCCATAAGACGCACACACATCCCCCCTTACTTTTTAGGAGGGAAAAAGTGAGTCTTATAGAGCAAAAAATACGGTATTTTACGGGGAGCTGGCACCAGGCCTGTTGGCAGGCCAACTCTGCGTTACAAAGATGTCTGCAAACGTAACATGTAGGCTGGCAACGTCGACCCTGCCAGGTGGGAATCCCTTGCAGACAACCGCAGTGCCTGGAGACAGGCTGTCAGGTCATGCATCCACAGCAGTGACCAGGGGAGGAATGACCACTGGGAGGAGTGCAGAGAAAAGGAATGTCATGGTGCATCTGCATCAGCACAACCGGATGCCTTCATCTTCCCCAGCTGCAGCAAAACATGTCTCTCCCTTATTCGGTCTCTACAGCCACAGCAAGCGTTGCAACCAGCATTCAAAACTCCCATTGTTCTAGGCGCGTTTTGTGACAAGGGATTTCATTAGCGCAAGCAGTTTATGAGCTCTGGGAGCAGTACTGCCCCAAAGATTTCAGATTTAAACTGCAGAGTGGAAGGAAAGGAGGACCGTTTTCTGCCTCCCCACTTCCAGCCACTCTCTGAAGACTCGAGAAGAGGCCCTCTTAAGAATATTAGGGGGCGGGCGGGCAGGGGAAGCATGGCTTTGTTTTTTGCAGTCTTTAGATGAGGACTAGACCATATAAGAAATCAATATAATATTTTTTAGCTGCAGTTCATTCATTTTCAGCTTTCTATTCTTGTTATAAAAAAGTGCACCATAATAATAATAATAATAATAATAATAATAATAATAATGATTTATTATTTATACCCCACCCATCTGGCTGAGTTTCCCCAGCCACTCTGGGCGGCTCCCAATCAAGTGTTAAAACAATACAGCATTAAATATTAAAAACTTCCCTAAACAGGGCTGCCTTCAGATGTCTTTTAAAGATAAGATAGCTGCTTATTTCCTTCACATCTAAAGGGAGGGCATTCCACAGGGCGGGTGCCACCACCGAGAAGGCCCCCTGTCTGGTTCCCTGTAACTTCACTCGCAATGAGGGAACTGCCAGAAGGCCCTCGGCACTGGATCTCAGTGTCCGGGCTGGACGATGGGGGTGGAAACACTCCTTCAGGTATACAGGACCAAGGCCATTTAGGGCTTTAAAGGTCAGCACCAACACTTTGATTTGTGCTCGGAAACGTACTGGGAGCCAATGCAGATCTCTCAAGACCAGTGTTATATGGTCTCGGCGGCCGCTCCCAGTCACCAGTCTAGCTGCCGCATTCTGGATTAATTGCAGTTTCCGGGTCACCTTCAAAGGTAGCCCCACGTAGAGCGCATTGCAGTAGTCCAAGCGGGAGATAACCAGCATATGCACCACTCTGGCAAGACAGTCCGTGGGCAGATAGGGTCTCAGCCAGCGTACCAGGTGGAGCTGGTAGACAGTCGCCCTGGACACAGAATTAACCTGTGCCTCCATGAACAGCTGTGAGTCCAAAATGACTCCCAGGCTGCGCACCTGAGAAGAGACCCTTCAGGGGCACAGTTACCCCATTCTGGACCAGGGAGTCCTCCACACCTGCCTGCCTCCTGTCCCCCAAAAACAGTACTTCTGTCTTGTCAGGATTCAACTTTAATCTGTTAGCCACCATCCATCCTAGCAATGTCCAGCCTAGGCATTCTGTTGTTGTGCTCATAACCTAGGTTTAAGGTGCCATTTAGCTCCTAGCTTTCATCTCTCAGTTTCTAACTCTGGCTGCAACCTTCCAACAGCTCACCCTCAAAGGCACACTCCTCCATTGTCTCCCGAGACAGATGGATGCCCGCCAGCAAACCAGGAACCCACTCAGGCAGTAATGGCACCTAGAAATGCCTTGGGACACACATTCCCTTCCCTGCCCATCCCAAGTGAGGGCATTGCAGCACCAGCAGCCTTGCCCTCGCTCTAAATGGGCTATGCTTGCATTCCCTGACCCTGGCTATTTCACACTGTGACATCATCACGCCTATAGCACGATCCCCGACTGGCTGGATCATGCTGTGAGGAAGCTGGGGGGGGGGGGGAAATCCACCCAAGCAGCTTCTAAGGAGGACAGCAAACAAAGGGGAAACAGACCCACATAAAATATGCACATTTTATTACTGTTGTATTATTATCACTATTGTCAGTAGTCTTGTGTGTTACTGGTGGAAAACGAGGATATAAACTGAAATAATATATGTTTTACCCCCCATTAGGCTCTTTTCCTTTGCTGCAGGAACACTGAGCACAGTCCTAATGCACACACAACTTAAGAGCTGGTGCATTTGGAAACCAGCCTGCTCTGAAAAACCACCACTGATGCCAAGGGCTGAAGGAGTCATGGGGACAATTTATCTCCCCAACCACCACTGGATCAAGTCATCCTGCATGCTGGGATGATCAGAAGGAGCCTCAGAGGCAACAGAAACTAATGACCCCAAACAAGTCCGGGGCTAGCTGGAATATGACAACGGACAGGGCAACAGCACGCTTGTGTGTTTTTTCGGACGGCTAACCAGCACTCGCATCTCCCTCCCCGAAGCATCAGTCTCTTGACAGAGGATGCATCCGCTATTAAACTGATACGAGAGGCTGTACTTTAGCCAAGAGAGAAAAATTGATTAGAACCTTCACTCCAGCTGCTTGCCAAGCCACGGGGGAATCTTCCTTTACTACTCTCTCCCAGCGAGGCTCAAAGAACGACACGGCTGAACTTTTAAGAGCACTTCCATTAACCGTCTTTTTCCGTCGGTCGGTTATAATCAGAGGGATAAAGGAAGGACATGTCACAGGAAGAGGGAAAGGATGCAGGCAACAACAGCGGAATCAGTTTGGAGAGGAGAGCTAACCTGAAGGCACTTGGGCAGGAATCTGAAGATCTTGTGCAAGGATGGGGAACACACCTGGAGGACCGTAGGTGCTGTTGGAGTACAACTCCCAGCAGCCAGCAGGGACGGTGGGAATTGAAGTCTAGCAATACCCAGAGAGACGCAGTATTCCCATCCCTGATTTGGTACCAAGCGAGGAATCTGGGCACAAGAGAATCCCCATGCCTCAAAAGCACCAGCAAAAGCCAACTCTAAATAATAATAATAATAATAATAATAATAATAATAATAATAATTTATTTACACCCCACCCATCTGGCTGGGTTTCCCCCTGCCTCTCTTGGCAGCTCCCAACAGAATTAAAAGCACAATAAAACATCAAACTTTAAAAACTTCCCTAAACAGGGCTGCCTTCAGATGTCTTCTAAAGTCAGATAGTTGTTTATTTCCTTGACATCTGACGGGAGGGTGTTCCACAGGCCGGGTGCCACCACCGAGAAGGCCCTCTGCCTGGTTCCCTGTAACCTCACTTCTCGCAGCGAGGGAACCACCAGAAGGTCCTTGGAGCTGGACCTTAGTGACTGGGCAGAACGATGGGGGTGGAGACACTCCTTTTGTGTGGACTAACATCCACACAAAACATTAGGAGTCCCATGGATCCCTTTAAAATCCCATTTATGCCTAACTGGTGGAAATGACTGGTAGAATCCGAGACCAGGGAGAGGAGTTGGTGGAAGAAGACTGGAAAAAGTTTAAAGACTATCTACAGAAATATTGTAAAATTAATGAATGTTAGAAAAATGTTGAAATGAAGTTATATGGCTTTAGTAGAAATATTATAAGGAATTAAGTACAGATAGGTTAATAGAGTATTAAAGGGAAAAAAATAAGGTTAGAATGAGTTAAGATAATTATAGGATAGAAAACAGAGGAAGATGGAAAGGAATTGCTGAAATAATTAACAGAAGTGGAATACAAAAAGGGAGGTGTGAGGAGGTCGTGGAAATAAGTGAATGAAAGATGGGATAATGAAATTGGTTGATTTATTTTATTGTCTTAGTCTTGTTTTGTTAATTTGATGTGTTGTATTGTATTGTATTTCTTTTTCTTTTTTTCTTCTTTTTTTTAGTGTTTTTGGGAAAATAATAAATATTATTTTTTTTAAAAAAAACCATTTATGCCATGCAGATGAGGAAATGTGAGCAGGTCCAAGTGGGCCAACAGAACATGCATGATCCAAATACGCTGCAGATAATAATTTAGTTATTTGGATATATTTCTAAGTCACTTAATTAAAAAAAACAAAACATACATGCAGTGCAAGTCAACATAAAAATGGTAAAACGATATCATAAGAACAGGAAAAAGAAGAAGAAGAATCCACTGGGACACACAGAGGAGTCTTACAGATACGCCACGTCGCAAGAGACGGACAGCCATGAAAAGGTTTCAAGTCTGAATATTTTTTGAAACTTACCATTTTGTCCAGGAAGACAAGCAGATCCTAAGGAAGCAAAGATCAAATGAAAAGTCAATATTAATAAATTTTTTATAAAAATAATTTTTTTATTTATACCCCGCCCTTCCCAGTTCAAAAACCGGGCTCAGGGCGTCTAACAACAAATTTAAAACACTTAATTATAAAAGCAGCATTAAAAACATGAATAACAATAAAATTCAAAATTCAAAAATCAATTAGATAATCCCCAGGGCTAGCTGGCTGAATTGGTCCTACTTGGGCCAGCGAGGAGGCCAGGGGAGAATTAGCTGTGGGGTCTCAGAGCGGGTGATCTTCATAAAATGGGAGGGGGACGAAAGAGAAGGGAAATAAAAGATTAGGCTGAATTCAAATTAAAGGCCAGGCAGAATAGCTCTGTCTTACAGGCCCAACAGAAGGAGGTTAAATCCTGAAGGGCCCTAGTCTCATGGAACAGAGCGTTCCACCAGGTAGGAGCCATCACTGAGAAGGCCCTGGCCCTGGTGGAGGATAGTCTGACTTCCTTAGGGCCCCGGACCTCTAAACTATGGTTATTCATTGACCTTAAGGTCCTCTGCGGGGCAGACCAGGAGGGGCGGCCCCGTAAATACGGAAGTCAAGCCTCCAGGATTTTTCTTCCGAGAGTATCTTGTCACTACTGAACCCACGCTAGCTGTTAAAATGATGCTGATCGTAAGCAGCTGCAAATGTGCTCAGTCTACACTGCAACACACACCTATCAACTCTGGACATGCCCAGGCGTTCTCTGGATGCAAGCAAGCAAGCAGGAGTCTGAACTGGCAGCTCACAAGGCTACACTAAAAGGGGATGTGTAACCCAATCTCCGTTGCCCAGACTTTTGGGGCAGGATCTGCTCCCTTGCTCAGAGCCTGACCAATCAGCAATATTCCAGCAGCTGGGATTTGGAGGCATACAACAACAATAATAATAATAATAATAATAATCTGGAGACGGTGGTACACACCTCTTGCTTCTTATCCTCCATGAAGCTGCCTAAACCTCTTTTCATAGAATCATAGAGTTGGGAGAGACCACAAGGGGCATCGAGTCCAACCCCCTGCCAAGCAGGAAACACCATCAGAGCACTCCTGAAATATGGTTGTCAAGCCTCTGCTTAAAGACCTCCAAAGAAGGAGACTCCACCACACTCCTTGGCAGCAAATTCCACTGTCGAACAGCTCTTACTGTCAGGAAGTTCTTCCTAATGTTTAGGTGGAATCTTCTTTCTTGTAGTTTGGATCCATTGCTCCGTGTCCGCTTCTCTGGAGCAGCAGAAAACAACCCTTCTCCCTCCTCTATGTGACATCCTTTTATATATTGGAACATGGCTATCATATCACCCCTTCACCTCCTCTTCTCCAGGCTAAACATGCCCCGCTCCCTTAGCCGTTCCTCATAAGGCATCGTTTCCAGGCCTTTGACCATTTTGGTTGCCCTCCTCTGGACACGTTCCACGCTCTTTTAAGGGTATCCAACTTAGAGGTCACCACTACATACTGTGGCAGTGAATTCCATAGGTTAACAGTGCCTGGTGTGAAGAAGTACTTTTTGTCTGCCCTGATTCTTCCAAAATTCAGCTTCACTGGATGTCCCTTAGTTCACGTATTATGAAAGGAGGAGGAAAACTCACCATCCCCTCTGCATTCATAATCTTATGTAGTTTTTGTAGAATCATAGGGTTGGAACTTAATTTCAAGTGTGGTAGCACCATAACTGATATAAAGCTGTTAGGAAACCCGTTTTATTTTCAACGGCTTGCACAACTTCAGCAGCAAACTTAAGAGCATGAACACTCGAATCAGCCGAACTTCATAATCTCTCTGACCCGTGGCAGGCCAAATCTGACGGATGGGAGGCACTGCCCACCTGTCAATCACCTGATATCACAACGATGTCAGATGAAGAGCCAATGATCAGCAAGCTTGAAGTCTCCACCTAACAGCTGATGGGCGGTGACTTGAAATCTGCTTTCCCTAGGGACTGGCTGTATGATCAAGCTCCACATGGCAAATTTGATCACATAGCCCAGGGGTAAGCAAACTTTTTCAGCTGTGGGCCAGTCCACTGTCCCTCAGACCTTGTGGGGGGCCGGACTATATTTTGAAAAAAAATATGAACAAATTCCTATGCCCCACAAATAATCCAGAGATGCATTTTAAATAAAAGGACACATTCTACTCATGTAAAAACATGCTGATTCCTGGACCGTCCGCGGACCGGATTGAGAAGGCGATTGGGCTGCATCCGGCCCCCGGGCCTTAGGTTGCCTACACCTGATGTAGACCAGCGGTGCCTGCCCCAGCAAGGTTAAATTACCCGTTCCACATTTGTAAGAACTCAATCTTTCAGTGTGGCAGTGACTACACTTTGGAACTCCCTATTGATATCAACCAGCCACTTTCACTGTGCTCATTTCAGTGCCTCCTTAAAACATCCTTGCTCAGACAAGCCTGTCCAGATGTCCAGAAAGTTGATGTGAGTTTTAAACCACAAAGCCTAGGACTTGCTGATCAGAAGGTGGGCGGTTTGAATCCCCGCCACAGGGTGAGCTCCCGTTGCTCGGTCCCTGCTCCTGCCAACCTAGCAGTTCAAAAGCACATCAAAGTGCAAGTAGATAAATAGGTACTGGTACCGCTCCGGCGGGAAGGTAAACGGCGTTTCCGTGCGCTGCTCTGGTTCGCCAGAAGCGGCTTCGTCATGCTGGCCACATGACCCAGAAGCTGTACGCCAGCTCCCTCGGCCAGTAAAGCAAAATGAGCGCTGCAACCCCAAAGTTGTCCACGACTGGACCTAACGGCCAGGGTTTCCTTTACCCTTTACCTTTATTTAGTCTATTGTTATATTAACTTTCTGAAAGTTACTGTTGTTTTTTTCTTACCGGTTAGTAAGCAATAAATAGATAGATAGATAGATAGATAGATAGCTCATAGCTCAGCCGGTTAAAGTGTTGTGCTGATAATGCCAAGGTTGCAGGTCCGACCCCTGCATGCGACAGCTGCATATTCCTGCATTGCACGGGGTGGACTAGATGATCCTCAGGGTCCCTTCCAACTCTATGATTCCTGGGGTGTAGACAGTAATTAGCTAGATGGACTCAGTACATAGCAGCTTCCTGGTTTCTGGCTGAACTCTGCACCTTTTTCCCCAGCCCCATTAACAAAGTCTAGGCTACCTTTTCTCCATTCTAATACAGTCTTGATCCAACTTTCGTTTTAAGTGTTCGCACGGGATCGATTCAAGTGAGCACATGCCAGAGGTAGGCTCCTAAATGCTGTGACCTACCTTGCATATTTCTTCCTGGGAATATTCCTCTATCTCTGCAAAAACAAAATCAATTATTAAAGTCATTTTAGTGCCCTCAAAATTCATTTTTAATGTTCCAAAGCTGCCATGCGCCTCTCCTCGTGAGCAATCTTCCAATCTCTGCAAGTGTCTGCCTCTTTGGACTCGATACAGAAAGAGAAGTTGCTTTTTGGAGAAGGATGAATAAGCATTGTACTGGAGCGTTCAGCAACAGTTCTTGGAACGACTTGGATAAAAGAATTGAGGGGACGCTCATCAAATTTGCAGATGGCTCCAAACTGGGAGGGGCAGCTAATGCCACAAAGACAGAACTGGGGTTCAAGATGAGTCTAAAGAGAGAACTGGGCCAAAACTTGGGCCAAAACTAACAAAATGAATGTCAGCAGGGACAACTGAAGGCCCTACACTTAAGCAGGAAGAACCAGCGGTACAACTAGGGACACCTGGCTATTCTTCGGCGATCAGCCTTCTTTATGGTCCAGCTCTCACTTCCATACATCACTACTGGGAAAACCAGAGCTTTAACTACAAGGATATAAACTTAAACAAATTGCCATTTGTGGTTTGAAAAGTTAGCTGGAAGTTTCGGGGCACACAATGATTGCAAACAAAGCTATCTGTTTACCCCAAAACTCTTGCAGGCAACAGCAGCAATGAAAGCAGAATCTCCTGTAACTCCCCCCCCCCCAATATATCATCAAGAGCACAAATTGTCATGAATGCAGAAGAAAAAGGATAGCTGGACAGACCCAAAGTGCTGGATTCACGAGGCTCAGCACATCTTCGTCACTTAGAATATCTGTTTTGCATGCAGAACACCCCAGGTCCAGTCCTTGGTACTTCCAGGCAAGGCTGGGAGAGACTCCTGCCAAACAGTGGAGCGCTGCTGCCAGTCAGAGCAGACGATACTGAACTAGATGGCATAATGGTCTGAGACTCTTATTCCTGCCCTACAGGGGGTTGGACTACATGACCCTGTAGGGTCCCTTCCAACCCTACAGTTTTATGATTCTAGGTTCCTGCGCTCATTTCCTCAAAGTTGGAAGGCAATGGGAGCTTTAAAAACGGGGGGGGGGGGGAGCTGATGGAAGGGAGGAGAGGGCAGCTGAGGGCAGCCGAGCTTTAAGCAGATCAAGAAGGGAGTGTGTCCCAGCCTCTCTCTTCCTTCCCACCCACCCTTTCATCAGGCTAATCTCCAGCTATGCTTTGGGCCAGAGGTTCCTCACCTGTGGATGAAAAGCCCTTGGGATCTTATGAGCTGCTGCCAGGAATGTGTCTGGCATTAACAAGAGCGAAGGAAGAGGAGAGGCGCCCTTACATGCAGCCGCTGGGAGAGATCATTAGGGGGTTTGGGCTGGGTGTCCATCAGTATGCGGATGATACCCAGCTCTACCTCTCTCTCAAATCAGAACCAGTGAAGGCGGTGAAGGTCCTGTGTGAGTGTCTGGAGGCGGTTGGAGGATGGATGGCGGCTAACAGATTGAGGTTGAATCCTGACAAGACAAAAGTACTGTTTTTGGGGGACAGGAGGTGGGCGGGTGTGGGGGACTCCCTGGTCCTGAATAGGGTAACGGTGCCCCTGAAGGACCAGATGCGCAGCCTGGGAGTCATTTTGGACTCACAGCTGTCCATGGAGACGCAGGTCAATTCTGTGTCCAAGGCAGCTATTTATCAGCTCCATCTGGTATGCAGGCTGAAACCCTCCCTGCCCACAGACTGTCTCGCCAGAGTGGTGCATGCTCTGGTTATCTCCCGCTTGGACTACTGCAATGCGCTCTACGTGGGGCTACCTTCGAAGGTGATCCGGAAACTACAACTAATCCAGAATGCGGCAGCTAGACTGGTGACTGAGAGCGGCCGCCGAGACCACATAAGCCTGGTCTTGAAAGACCTACACTGGCCCCCAGTACGTTTCCAAGCACAATTCAAAGTGTTGGTGTTGACCTTTAAAGCCCTAAATGGCCTCGGTCCTGTATACCTGAAGGAGCATCTCCACCCCCATCGTTCTGCCCGGACGCTGAGGTCCAGTGCCGAGGGCCTTCTGGTGGTTCCCTCCCTGCGAGAAGCCAAGTTACAGGGAACCAGGCAGAGGGCCTTCTTGGTAGTGGCACCTGCCCTGTGGAACACCAGATGGCAAAGAGAACAACAACTACCAGACTTTTAGACGACATCTGATGGCAGCCCTGTTTAGGGAAGCTTTTAATGTTTGAGGCATTACTGTATTTTAATATTTTGTTGGAAGCCGCCCAGAGTGGCTGGGGAAGCCCAGCCAGATGGGCGGGGTATAAATAATAAATTATTATTATTATTACTGCGGGCACAAGCAGGGCGGCTTTGCAAGGCCTTTGCCTTTCAAGGCTCACACCGTCCAGTGGGCAGCTGGTGTCCTGCAGCAAAGGCAGCTCTAACAGGTGATGGAAGTTGTAACCCAACAACATTTGGAGGGTGCCATTTGGCTACCTCAACTGGTGAATAGTACTGAGTTGGGCAGAACTAAGGCCTGATGTGGTGGAAAGCAGCTTCACATAATTGTAGAGTTCTGGAAGGGACCCCAAGGGTCATCCAGCCCAACCCCCTGCTATGCAGGATCCCGACTTCCTCTGTCCATATGTTCAAGACAAGGGCTGAAAGTCAGCTTACCTGGGGGAGCTGTGGAGTCTCCGTATCCTTTCATTTCCACGGCAATGACACGGAAGCCAGCATCAGCTAGAGCCGGGATCTAGGACGGAAAAACAAGAGTGAACCGCAAGGCAGTGGGGTGAGAATTAACTCGGATTATTGGAACGTTTATTTCTTTCCTCCATCCAGGTCTGCCCCCAGGCCACAAAGGGCTCCTTTGCTTTCATCCTGCACCATCCAGCCTGTCAACACTTGCTGCACGCATGGAGCTTAGGAGTCTTTTCCCGAGGGATTAGGAGTGGAAACAGGCTCTAAGCAACATACAGTCACCGCTATCAAGGTGGGCATCGTAGCAAAGTACAGATAGGAATTGTTAAGAAACTGAGTACGGTACGAATCATAAAAAATCCACAGGCTTACTGTCTGAACAGACAAAGGAAGGAATGGGGGAAAGGCATGAACTCAAGTGGAAAGAAAGAGAAAGACACATGGGCAACACTTGCTGAGATTTTGGAATGACCGCTCCCCACATTAAATGGGGGGGCGCCCTTTGCATGGTCGCGTGCAGCCCCCTGGACCCTATGCGGCACCATTAGCACAGGCTTGGCTTCGCCTCCCCCCAGGTGGGATACCTGGAGGTCTCCGCCTACCTCAGTCAGTTGCCCAATCCCGCCTGGAGAGGCGTTGCCAAGGTGATCACGCCAGGTAGGGGGAGGGACTACCTGCCCACACAATAGGCGGAGGATCTTACCTGGGAATCTGGCTCCAGAGCTTCTCCCACCCTACCCACCCTCAGTTAAGACTACTTTTGCAGCTTAACCTTTTCTCCACAGGTACGCGGACGCTGCTACGTCAAGGTCGCTGTTGAAGGGCTGGAAAGGAATTCTCCTGCATTGGCAGGGTTGCCTTTCCCGTAGGAAAACATCACAACTTTGGCCCTACTAGAAAAATTAACTAATAAACTGAAACTGACACGGGGACAAACAGAAGAAGACGCCTTCACCCCAGTATGGCTCCCCTTTATCACATACACAGCCCAACAGGACAATGACAATAATCCACCAACAGCATACAAATCAATATGGCTAACCTGATCCAAAACACCCACCCACCTCACTCACACACGAAAACAAAGATCACCACAGCCAATCACAAGCAAACAATCACACTCTAGGCCAACCCCAACCTCTCTCACCACCAAAGGAACACAAGTGAACAACACAAGCAACGCTGACACCAAACTCTACATACATTAAACATAATAGAAACACCGCCACCCGACCCCACCCCTATCCATCTTCCCTCTCTCCACCCCCCTTTCTTTTTTCTTTTTCTTTTTTCCTTCTCCCCCTAATGCCTCAACAAATGAAACGGATTTGTAAAAATGTTACATGGGAAAAAAAAAAATATGAGGCACTACACTTCTGTAAAACAAGAAAATCCTTAATAAAATATTTTTTTTTAAAAAAAACAACTTTGGCGGTATCAGGCCTTGGGCGGAATCCTTTAGTCTATCTTCCCTGAATTGGGGGGGGGCGTGCAGCGGTGACCCACACCCCCCTCCTCTGTGCAACGGTGATACCAGGGTTCCCCATAAAAGGGGTTGTTTGAGGGGAGGCTCTGGCCGTACGCCAAGAGGTCGTCATTGCTCTCCCCTGCGACGGCGGCATAACGGGGGCGGGCTCTCTCTGCTTGAACATATGTTCTCCAGAGCCAACTCCCCCCCCCCACTGGATAACCCTGATGTTCCCCAGATCCCCGGTGGGGAACTGGGAGGGATAAACGCCCAATGCCTGAGCCAAGGACTATCCACATCTGAAACATAATAAAGTTGTGGCCAATTTTAATCCCATAGCACGTTGTCTTGAGTCGTTATTCCTCATGGGGGCCGCCCAGGGTTTGGGGGACTCTGCTTGTCCATGCAAACCAGAGCAGCAGCTGAATTCATTTTCCAGCCCGTACGGTTCATACCTCTCCACCTTTTACTGGGTCCTCTGTGCATTTCTCAGGTCTTGGGTGAGTCCCAAGATGGGCTTGGATAGGAGTTGTACTCCAAAACACCAGGAGAAGGCTGGTTAAAGCTCCCTGTGTGCAGGAGAAACCAATGCACACAGCCTGCCTGTCCAAGATCCGCCTCCCTCTTCGCCATTCCGCACTATGAATCCCAGGTGTGTTGGCTGGGGTTGATGGGAGTTGTAGTGCAAAGCCTCTAGGGGGCATCAGGTTATGGGAGGCTGCTGCACACAGTGTGGTGGGCGCTAATGGGGCCCTATTGCAAATATGACGGATGGAGGTCATCCCTCTCTCCACCTGCACGGAATATCTCTTACCTGGTACCTCCAAGATAACCAGGACTCTGGGAAGCCATGGCACAGCAGAACGACCGGGCCGCTACCCAGCTCCACAAAGTGCAGCCGGGTACCAGGCTAAAGGGGAGACAGTGTAAGACATGAGTCAGAATCGCAGACGGAGGTGGAAGCGACATCACGTCCAAATCGCAGGACAAAGCCCACCATGACAAAGAACATCAAAGCTGGAGAAGAGGTGACATAAGAGCCACCTTCAAATATCTGAAGTGCTGTCACATGGAAGAGGGAGCAAGACTGAGAAGAGACGGTGGAAGAAGAGTGGAAGAAGTTTAAGGAATATTTGAAAAAATATGTTAATATTTAAATCTTAGAACAGCTTTGGAAGTGGATATAGGCTGTAGGGTTAGAAGTAGAAGATAGTGTATTTTAAAATAGTATTATTTGTAAGTGATAGAATGTGAAGTTATTTTAAGTGTGATTTAAAAAAAAAATTGGTTAGAAATTATGGTAAATTGCTAAAGTTGAAGTAAAATGAAAATCAGATAGGTGGGACTTGGGGAAGCCCACTTAACAATGTTTAGAAAAATACGGATACGGCAATAATTTGTTTGTATTGTTTGTTTCCGTGTTCTTTATTTGTGTTGTAAAATGAATAAAAAAATTGGGGGGGGGGAAGGTTGTTTCTTTTGTGTTTTCTATTTTATCTCGGTTTATTGCACCCCACTTTGTTGACTCTGGATTGTGAAGTGGTTTACAAATCTGCAGGTGAATAAAAATACAATAAATAAGTTCCAAGTTGCCAGAAAGTCAAGATTGTTGCAGTCTGGGAAGCCACCACTGGACTCTCATGCGTCAATCTGCAGAGCAGATTTGACAAATGCAAAGTAGCAGCTATGGGACTCGCTTTAATTGTTTGCAGTATATGTCAGCCTCCCAGCAACGAAGCTTCTCCTGGCAGTTTTCAAGGAACAACTTACAGGATTCTTTTCCCCGGAAAAAGCACTTATAGGACCCTAACCCCCAAAGCAGTCCATCTGCTCTTACCTTGATTGCCACATAGCCGTGGACCACACTCTCTGGTTCGCAGGCGGGCGGAAGGCATTCCTCCTGCTCAAGAAGCTGGGAAGTAGATAATTGAAGGAAGGAGAGAGATTTCAAACACCTTTTGCAGGTACAGGAATAGCAGCAAGCTGCCTAATACACAAGGTGTGTAATTAGGAGACGTGAGTACAGTGGTGCCCCGCAAGACGAATGCCTCGCAAGACGGAAAACCCGCTAGACGAAAGGGTTTTCCGTTTTGGAGGTGCTTCGCAAAACGAATTTCCTATGTGCTTGCTTCGCAAGACGAAAATGTCTTGCGAGTTCCTGCGGGGTTTCTTTCCTTTCCCCCCCTTTTTCCCAAGCCGCTAAACCGCTTATCAGCTGAGGGCTAAGCCGCTTATCAGCTGATCTTTAAGCCGCTTAACAGCTGATGCTAAGCCGCTTATCAGCTGATATTTAAGCCGCTAACAGCTGATGGCTAAGCCGCTTATCAGCTGATCTTTAAGCCGCTTAACAGCTGATGCTAAGCCGCTTATCAGCTGATCTTTAAGCCGCTTAACAGCTGATGCTAAGGCGCTTATCAGCTGATCGTTAAGCCGCTTATCAGCTGATCTTTAAGCCGGCTAAGCCGCTAATACTGTAGCGCTAAGCCGCTAAACCTCTAATGGGCTTGCTTCGCAAGACGAAAAAACCCGCAAGACGAAGAGACTCGCGGAACGGATTCTTTTCGTCTTGCGAGGCACCACTGTAGTAAAGCACAGATTAATTTTGACAAGTACTTCTTTTAAATGGGAGATATCCAACTAACTCATTCTGCTAGCGGAAGGACTTCCACTTGCGCAGCTAAACTCTTTTTGGTGCACACCCTGCAACCTTCCCAAACCCTTTTCTGAGGGGTCAGGGGAACCCACACTTAGGGGAGCATAAGAGACAGGAAGGGACGCGGGTGGCGCTGTGGGTTAAACCACAGAGCCTAGGACTTGCCGATCAGAAGGTCAGCGGTTCAAATCCCCGCGACAGGGTGAGCTCCCGTTGCTCAGTCCCTGCTCCTGCCAACCTAGCAGTTCAAAAGCATGTCAAAGTGCAAATAGATAAATAGGTACTGCTCTGGTGGGAAGGTAAACAGGGTTTCCGTGCGCTGCTCTGGTTTGCCAGAAGCGGCTTAGTCATGCTAGCCACATGACTCGGAAACTGTACGCCGGCTCCCTCGGCCAATAAAGCAAGATGAATGCCGCAACCCCAGAGCCGTCTACAACTGGACCTAATGGTCAGGGGTCCCTTTACCCTTTAAGAGGCAGGAAAAGCGCTACTGCAGAAGTCCTTGAACTGATGGGAGTGAGTTAGCTGGATGCTGCCCCCAAAAATCTGCAAACCGATACAGATATGTGGCCAAATGAGAAACCCGAAAGAAACCAAAATGGACCGATTTGTTCATCTTTGGGTTTCTCAATTTTTCCAGTCTCAAGTTTGGTTCCTTGCCTCTCCCTTGCCTCTTAGCGCCCCACTAAGTGATCACACTGCCTACTTTTGGAACCACTGGTTTAAAGTGAACATCCAAGTTTTCACCGCATATAGGGTTTTTTATGCATTTATGTGCACATTATTTGGCTGGAAAACTGCACCGAAAAATTCGGGAAAGTGAGGATTTCAAAGAATGGATGCGTTTCAGTTCACATATTGTTTGGGAAAGCGCAAAGCAAGGAGGCCTGCCTTGAAATAATAATAATAATCGTAATTTTTATTTATACCCCGCCCTCCCCAGCCAGAGCCAGGCTCAGGGCAGCTAACACCAGTAAAATTACAATAGAAACATAATAGGGGGAGAAACAAAAAAACAACAACCCCAATTTAAAATACAGGTTAAAATACAATTTAAAAAGCAGCCTCATTTTATTGTTGTTTAGTCGTGTCCGACTCTTCGTGACCCCGTGGACCAGAGCACGCCAGGCACTCCTGTCTTCCACTGCCTCCTGCAGTTTGGTCAAACTCATGTTCGTAGCTTTGAGAACACTGTCCCACCATCTCGTCCTCTGTTGTCCCCTTCTCCTTGTGCCCTCCATCTTTCCCAACATCAGGGTCTTTTCCAGGGAGTCTTCTCTTCTCATTTTATTTGTAGCCCATAAATCAAAACCATAAGGGGAGGGAAGACATAAGGGTCAGACTGGAAAAGGCCAGGCGGAACAGCTCTGTCTTGCAGGCCCTGCGGAAAGATGTCAAGTCCCGCAGGGCCCTAGTGTCTTGTGACAGAGCGTTCCACCAAGTTGGGGCCAGTACTGAAAAGGCCCTGGCCCTAGTTGAGACCAATCTAACCTCCTTGCAACTTGGGACCTCCAAAGTGTTGTCATTTGTGGACCTTAAGGAGAGGCGGTCCCGTAGGTAAGTGGGCCCTAGGCCGCAAGCTGAACCAAATTTCTACCCCCATCATGATTCTGTGGCGAGGCAAAGAAGCAGAGAGAGACCGTCCTAAAAGCATTCAAGGAACTTCAAGGTTTATCAGAGATGGGAATGCAGCCAGAGTCTAGCACCAGAGTCTACCCACAATGACATTCTGGCATGTCGTCAAGCTGGCTGGAAGGTTCTCTTTATTTTGGTTTTTCTCGCTTCCTCTTTGGTCACTTGTTTGGCACTCAGAACCTCTTGTTCACCGTAGCGTCCCACGCAAGGTGCTTATGTGTGGTGGTGGTGAAGGAATCGTTTGGTGGTGTTTTTTGGGGGGCTGTTTTTCAGACTGAGGAGCAAGCAGACACTGACCTGAACTAAAGCAAAGGAAGTCCTGCAAACCTCTGTCCCCAAATGCCAACCCAAGAAAATGACAACTGGTGCAGTGAATTGTCAGGAAGCCTGGGAAATATCCCAAAACGCTTGTGTATGAAAGAGGCAAAGGTATTTTTCATGCATAGCAAATATGCTTAGCTCCCATACACACGGGAGGCCTAGATAAATAGCAACCTTTCTAATATCTACAACCATGAGGTCTGGAAACTTGCCTTTTAAATATTAAATAATACTGCATTTTTAAAAGCAAGCAAAAATGCAAAGTGCTGCTCAATGCCACAAACACACAAATGCCCATATTGAGATGTAAATGAAGTGCAATTAAGATGATCCAAAGGTTTAGATTTTTCCTGCTCTGAAACAATCTTGCCATCTAAAAGCGCCCTTTGCATTTTCTTTTTTTCAGGACGTACCACAAAACCTAGCAATTCAGTGAGTGCAAAAGTACAAGCCTGGCTCAGTCAGTGCAGAAGAGAAAGTTTCTACGCTTCTGCGGTTAATAGTTCACTCAGCAGAGGCCTCTCTAGAGAGCAGAAGAAAGGAACCTTCTAAAGGATGGAGGGGATCCACTTTCAAAGAATCAGCTGGTACGTGAGCTACCTTTGTAGACGGGGAGGGAAAATGCAGCAGCTTGTTAGAACTAGGAGCGACGGAAGCACTACGGAGAGGCACTTTGCTCCGGCACTGAGTAACGAGATCCTGCTGGGCCAGTCACGGAGGAAGGTTTACAAGGTTAATATGCCCAACACTGCTGAAATCAGCAGTCCTGGATAACCCTCGACGCAGCTGCCTCCTTCGCAGCCTCAGGATACTCTGTTGTTAACCTCTTTCCCCAGGTTCATTTCATTCCTTGTTGGTGGAGGGGATGTTAGTGGCAGAGATAATTTGAGGTGTCATTTAGGGAAGGGCCATAGCTCACTGGGTGAGCATCTGCACTGCATGAAGATGCTCCCAGCATCTCCAGTCCCTGCCTGGAAGCCTGGAGAGGTGCTGCCAGTCAGTGCAAACAATACTGAGTTAGATGATTAAATTGTTGTTGTTGAGTCGTTGAGTCGTGTCCGACTCTTCGTGACCCCCTGGACCAGAGCACGCCAGGCACTCCTGTCTTCCACTGCCTCCCGCAGTTTGGTCAGACTCATGCTGGTAGCTTCGAGAACACTGTCCAACCATCTCGTCCTCTGTCGTCCCCTTCTCCTTGTGCCCTCCATCTTTCCCAACATCAAGGTATTTTCCAGGGAGTCTTCTCTTCTCATGAGGTGGCCAAAGTCTTGGAGCCTCAGCTTCAGGATCTTTCCTTCCAGTGAGCACTCAGGGCTGATTTCCTTCAGAATGGAGAGGTTTGATCTTCTTGCAGTCCATGGGACTCTCAATAGTCTCCTCCAGCACCATAATTCAAAAGCATCCATTCTTCAGTGATCAGCCTTCTTTATGGTCCAGCTCTCACTTCCATACATCACTACTGGGAAAACCAGAGCTTTAACTATACGGACCTTTGTTGGCAAGGTGACGTCTCTGCTTTTTAAGATGCTGTCTAGATTTGTCATTGCTTTTTTCCCAAGAAGCAGGCATCTTTTAATTTCGTGACTGCTGTCACCATCTGCATTGATCATGGAGCCCAAGAAAGTAAAATCTCTCACTGCCTCCATTTCTTCTCCTTCTATTTGCCAGGAGGTGATGGGCCCAGTGGCCATGATCTTAGTTAGATTATTAAATATGGAAGTACAATAAGACATGAGCCATCAGTTGGTATTTCCAGAAGGCTGAGGAATACCTTGTTAGGATATACCGTATTTTTTGCTCTATAACACGCACCCGACCATAACACGCACATAGTTTTTAGAGGAGGAAAACAATAAAAAAAATATTCTAAACGAAACAGCGGATATATGATTTTTGTGGTTCATGCTGTGGCCACAGACATGTGATCTGACGGTGAGTTTGGGGTAGCCCAGTGCAAAAATCCTGAGGATGCATGTGGATCTGTGCTTTGTAACCACGTTTTAAGTGGGGAGGGAAGGAAAAGCATTCAAGGGACAAGAAACACGCGTGGGGTGGGTGGAGAAGGATGCTGTTAATAATGCAGAAGAGGGGTATAAGAGGAGAAGGCTCCTCTCCTCTCCTGCTTTGCTCCTTTAAAGCAAGCAGGCTCTCTGTCCCTCTCTCCTCCCCACTCAGTGGCTCTTCTCCCGCTTTGCTGTTTCAAAGCAAGCCATGGAGGAGGGAAGGAAGGGGAACCATGGATCCTCTGCTCACGACTGCAGCAGATCCCCCCGCCATCCGTAGGCATTCGCTCCATAACACGCACAGACATTTCCCCTTACTTTCTAGGAAGAAAAAGGTGAGCGTTATGGTGCAAAAAATACGGTAGTTCAGTTCCACCTTAAAAGAGTACAGGAATGACTGTTGTGTGTCGCATGCCTGTTTACTTCTGGCACTTGCTGGGAACTTCCATTTGTATAGAGCTTTTGCATTGCTGCTGTTTTGCCTGGAGACGAAGGGAAGCAGACATGTTTTTTTCCCTTCGTTCCTGCTGCTGAATAAAATGCTGTAATATACTGCTTAAACATGGCTCTGTACGCCTCTTCTGCTGTGAGAAGATTTATTCACTCTGCTGACAGAGCGTGCACGGGTCTCTAAACGTATCTGAGGCTCGTGTCGCTGATTGATGCTGTTCCAAGGGAGACCGGTGATTGCCTGGCTGCCGGCGGTTGGCTGGAGCCAGCTGGGGGCCTGCCTGATGCCCCTGTCTCCCCGGCAGTATCCCAATAGACCTGACATTTGTGTTTTCGTACATTTTGTTGGAAGCCGCCCAGAGCGGCGGGGAAACCCAGTCTGATGGGCGGGGTGTGAAAAAATAAATGACTGTTATTGTTATCACTGCCTTCCTACACTCACAAAATGTCAGAAATGTTTCCTGCAGAGCTACAACTGCAAGGTTCTTCTCTTCCAGCATCAAGCCTGGCGAAGCAGCCACCTCACCTTTCAAGCATGACTGAAAGTTGCTTCACTCTGCAAGCACTTAAGCCTTCAGCTCACGGGCTGCCAACCAGTTCCCGGCAGAAGCCAACTGGCTTGTCACATCTCTCATCTTCTTGCAAAAGCTACATTATGTGAACAGGCTGTTGTGTTATGTGCAGAGAGTTGACTAACCAAACCCAAAGGAGTGCTCACTGCTGGTTCCTCATCATCCTGGGTGACAAGTTGGGAGCCTCAGGGTTCTACCCTGGGCCCGTTGTTGTTCAACGTATTTATAAACAACTTGGATGAAGGAATTGAGGGAACACTCGTCAAATTTGCAGATGAACCAAACTGCAGAAGACAGAATCGGGATTCAACATGACCTTAACAGATCGGACAACTGGGACCAAACTAACAAACTGAAATTCAGTGGGGATAAATGCAAGGATAAATGCACTTAGGCAGGAATGGCCAGCTGCACAAATGTAATATGTAAATTTGAAAAGGATCTAGGGGTCTTAGGAGACCACAAGCGGCCTAGGACCCTTGTACCTACAGGACCGCCTCTCCTGGTATGCCCTGTGGAGGACCTTAAGGTCCATAAATAGCAACACTCTATAGGTCCCGGGCCCTAAGGAAGTCAGATTAGCCTCAACCAGAGCCAGGGCCTTTTCAACACTGGCTCCAGCCTGGTGGAACGCTCTATCTCATGAGACCAGGGCCCTGCAGGGTTTGATTTCTTTCCGCAGGGCCTGTAAGACAGAGTTGTTCCGCCTGGCCTTTGGCTTGGAATCAACTTGATCCCCTTCCCCTCTTTCCTTTCTCCTTCTGTGATGGAACTCCTATTTGGGGACTTCCCTGGCTTTTCTGGCCCATGTAGGACCAGTCTGGATAGTTAGCCTTGGTGAAGATTTGACGTTTCCCCCCACCACCCCCAACAGTTTTTGATCTGGGCTTCCACTCAAACGAGGCTGCATTTTAAGTAGTATTATAATCTTGTTTTTAAGTTGTATTTTAATCAATTGTTTTTATACCTGATGTTAGCCGCCCTGAGCCCGGTCTTGGCCAGGTATACATAAAATTAATTAAATAAATAAGTAAAATAAATAAACACGAGTCAACAATTTGATGAAGCAGCAAAAAAGCTGATGCTATTCAAGGCTGCATCAACAGAGGCACAGTGTCCAGACTAAGGAATTGGAGGCAGCAACAACTTCTGAACAGAAGTCGCTGGAAACCACAGGAGAGGAGAATGCTCTCGTGCTCAAATCCTGCTTGTAGGTTTCTATTTGCAGCCTCCGGCTAGCCACTGTGCAAACAGGATCCTGGATTAGTAATAATAATAATTTATATGCCACTCTGGGCAGCTTCCAATGAATTAAAACAGCAAACGCAGTAAAACATCAAGCATTAAAAACCTCCCCACACAGGGCTGCCTTCTTCTAAAGATCCAATAATAATTTATTATTTAGACAGTACGGTGGCCTGATCCAGCAGCCCCCTTCTTATGTCCATTACTCGTTAGGATTGCAATGCAATCCACAGGTGCAGTTGCTGAAACTCAGGAACCAACCTACAGAGAGAAAGTCATTTCCACGCAACGTCCGCACGGAAAAAAAGCTCCTCACCTGAACTCCCGTCAGGTCCTGCAGCTCCTTCAGAGCCGAGTCAAAATCTTTGACGAGGATGGTAGCCATGCCCATCTCCCGAGCGGGCTTCAAGTTTGCGCCAGTGTCATCCAGAAAAATAACCTGGCGCGAGGAAGAAGCAAAAGCCAGAGTCAGCTGAAAGGAAAGAACGAATGCACCTATCCTGTTCTGCCATTGTTAGATCTAGTGGGCCTCTGACCACCTCGTGGCTGCAAGGAATGCCTTGTGTATACAGTGGTACCTCGCAGGACGAATGCCTCGCAAGACGAAAAACTTGCAAGACGAAAGAGTTTTTCGTTTTTTGAGTTGCTTCGCAAGACCTACAGACCTACTTCTGAAATTAAATGAAAGAGAAAGGAGAACGGATCATGGATTTTCTCCGAAGGCCTCATCCAATTTGCTCTCTGAATACTTGTTTTTCACCACAAGACCCATTCCCGCCACCATCCTGTGGCCAAGTTTGACAGGTAGGTGAGGATACTCGCTTGACATCACAATGACATCAGGGGAGCAATTTTTTGCTTGTGCAGTCAGCTGATTGTTGGCAATTGCAAAGGGGGGGGGAGTTGTGGATGCTGCCAAACAGCTGATCAGTGGTGCATACAAGCCCCTTTTTGGCCCTGCCATGTCTTTACCTGCCACACAACTGGCACTGAGTGTACAGAGGAAAACAACCAAGATGATCAAGGGTCTGGAAACCAAATCTTATGGAAAAAGTTTGAGGGCGCTGGGTGTGTTTAGCCTGGAGAAGAGGAGACTGAGAGGTGACAGGATGGTCACCTTCAAATATCTGAAGGGCTGTCACGTGGAAGATGGAACAAGCTTGTTTTCTGCTGCTCCAGAGGGGAGGACCTGAACCAATGGATTCGAACTACAGTGGTACCTTGGGTTAAGCACTTAATTCGTTCCGGAGCTCTGTTCTTAACCTGAAACTGTTCTTAACCTGAAGCACCACTTTAGCTAATGGGGCCTCCTGCTGCCGCCGCGCCGCCGGAGCACGATTTCTGTTCTCATCCTGAAGCAAAGTTCTTAACCTGAAGCACTATTTCTGGGTTAGCGGAGTCTGTAACCTGAAGCGTATGTAACCCGAGGTACCACTGTACAAGGAAGGAGATTCTGGCTAAACAGTAGGGAGAACTTTCTGACAGTGAAAGGTTCCTCACCACCACCCCTGCACCAGAGCGTAGAATCATAGAATTGTAGAGTTGAAAGTGACCCCAGGGGTCATCTAGTCCAACCCCCTGCAGTTCAGGACTGATGTTAAACACATCTGGAGAGAGAGGGAGAGAGAGAGAGATCCTGAAGGGAACAACAGAAGCTTTTTGCAAGTATAAGACTGAAGAAGAAGAAGAAGAAGAAGAAGAAGAAGAAGAAGAAGAGGAGTTTGGATTTGATATCCCGCTTTATCACTACCCGAAGGAGTCTCAAAGCGGCTCACAATCTCCTTTCCCTTCCTCCCCACAAAAAACAATCTGTGAGGTGAGTGGAGCTGAGAGACTTCAGAGAAGTGTGACTAGCCCAAGGTCACCCAGCAGCTGCATGTGGAAGAGTGGGGAAGCGAACCCGGTTCCCCAGATTACGAATCTACCGCTCTTAACCACTACACCACACTGGCTCTCAGAAGTGTGCCACCAACCTCTTCAGGTTTCACTTTCAGCACATCCAGTGCATACTCATAGATCTTGGGATCTGGCTTTTGCAGACCGACACGGCATGACTCAATCACCCGGTCAAAATATCTGTTCAGCAGACACAGGGCAAGGCCTGTACGGTGCCTGAAGTGGCTGTCATCAACCCAGTTGTTGGTCAGGACAGCTGTCTTGAAGCCTGGAAGGGGAGAGGCAGGAGAGTCAGAAGATGAACCAAAGCCCAGGCCACATTCCGTACCATAGTTAGGAAATACGTCTTAATTCCAGGTGTGGATTCAGATAGCATAAAGAATTAGGGTGCAGGGAGAAGGGCTTGGGTGCTTTGTAAACCGCCCTGCGATCTTCGGGTGAAGGGTGGCATGGAAATTTAATAATAATAGAAATGACCCATTCAGAGGGGAAAGCTTTCATGATGCATCTGTTTTCGGAATACTGTCATATTGCTTTTCTGTTGGATCGCTGTACAGTGGACGCTCGGGTTGCGAACGTGATCGGTGCGGGATGCACATTTGCAACTCGCAGCGGCACGTCTGTGCACGTGCGGGTTGTGATTTGGGGCTTTTGCGCATGCGCAAAGCGCGATGTAGCGCTTCTGTGCATGTGCGGCCGCCGAAACCCGGAAGTAACCCGTTGCGGTACTTCCGGGTTTCGGTGGTCCGTAACCTGAAAAAACGGAACCTGAAGCGTCTGTAACCTGAGGTATGACTATGCCACTTTGACAGTTTTTAAAATGTTAAGCGTTTTAGAAATGCTTTTAAACATACAAGCAATAAACAAAGGATATCAACATTGTGAATAAATAAAGGGCTCCTTCTAAGCTCATAAAAAAGCACCCTACAAAAATACCACACCAACATAGCCGTGAACCATCAGAGGCACCCAGCTTGTGTAACAGCCACCCCTTGCCACACGAAGGAGCCATTACCGTTCTCCCTGAGCCTCACAGCTGCCCGCAGGAAAGGGGTATTGAAGGAATGTTCCTCCATCAATGTCTCAATGACCTGAGCCACCGAGAACTGTTTTGGGAGGGAGGCTCCAGAGGCACCAGCAGCCTTCTTACAGTCTTCTTCAAAGTCGGCCATCATCTGAAACACAGGAATACAGGAGGCTGCTTTATGACAAGTCAGACCATTGGGTCCCACTACCTCAGTGTTGATGTATGGAAGTGAGAGTTGGACCATAAAGAAGGCTGATTGCTGAAGAATTGATGCTTTTGAATTCTGGTGCTGGAGGAGACTCTTGAGAGTCCCATGGACTGCAAGAAGATCAAACCTCTCCATTCTGAAGGAAATCAGCCCTGAGTGCTCACTGGAAGGACAGATCCTGAAGCTGAGGCTCCAAGACTTTGGCCACCTCAGGAGAAGAGAAGACGTCCTGGGAAAGACCCTGATGTTGGGAAAGATGGAGGGCGCAAGGAGAAGGGGACGACAGAGGACGAGATGGCGGGACAGTGTTCTCGAAGCTACCAGCATGAGTTTGACCAAACTGCGGGAGGCAGTGGAAGACAGGAGTGCCTGGCATGCTCTGGTCCATGGGGTCACGAAGAGTCGGACACGACTAAACGACCAAACAACAACAACACCTCAGTGTTGTCTGAATAGATGGAGAGCAGCTCTCCAGGGTTTCCAGGCTTTATAGGTTCCCTACCCAGGGACTGAACCTGGGACCTTCTGCAAGTGACCTGCCACAGAATAACGATCTTCCCTGTGTGCTCCTCAGCCATCAAACCTTAGGGAGAATTGCATTATTTATCTTGAAACAGTTGTGCAAGAAAAGGCTAGGTCTTTCCAGCAAGCACGATTGAGAAGGCAGAAATGTATTTCGGATCCCACCGGACCGGGCCTGAAGGAACTGTCCTGCTGCCTAGAGATCCCAGCGATGGAACTCCCCATGACATGCTCTGCCCCAAGCCAAGACCCCTCCCCCCCAGCCCCTCAGTCTTACCTGAGTGAGTGCCATCTGGCCCGTCATCGCTTTGGAGAAGGGTCCATCAATGCCTCCTTGCAAGGCAGCATTTTGGAAGAAATCGCTAGAAGATGAAAGCACACGCACACATACAAAATTAGACCACAGTAAGACTGGCAAATGAATCTCTGCTCCACTGTAAATTAATAATATGATGATGATGATGAATTTATTATTTTGGTCACAGACCAGTTCCAGCCCACACACAATATCAAGGAATCATAAAACACAATAGGGATACATCTGAATTTGCAAATTAGGTATAACAGCGACACTACAGATATAGCAACAGTTAATAAATATATAAATTAAAATTTAGTCGCTAACATATAACCTAAAACTATCATTTAAGGCCTTAATCATTATGATAGCACAGTTTGTTAATAATAATAATAATAATAATAATTTATTATTTATACCCCGCCCATCTGGCTGAGTTTCCCCAGCCACTCTGGGTGGCTTCCAACAGAATATTAAATTTCAATAGTCTATTAAACATTAAAAGCTTCCTAAACAGGGCTGCCTTCAGATGTCTTTTAAAGATAAGGTAGCAGCTTATTTCCTTCACATCTGAAGGGAGGGCGTTCCACAGGGCGGGCGCCACCACCGAGAAGGCCCTCTGCTTGGTTCCCTGTAACCTCGCAATGAGGGAACCGCCAGAAGGCCCTCGGAGCTGGACCTCAGTGTACTGGCAGAACGATGGGGGTGGAAATGCTCCTTCAGGTTCCTTAAGTTTTATTAATTTTAATAATATTAATATTCCACCTTTCATCCGAATTACAGAGCGGCTTACAATATACAGTGGTACCTCAGGTTAAGTACTTTATTCGTTCCGAAGGTCTGTTCTTAACCTGAAACTGTTCTTAACCTGAAGCACCACTTTAGCTAATGGGGCCTCCCATTGCCACCGCGCCGCCGGAGCACGATTTCTGTTCTCACCCTGAAGCAAAGTTCTTAACCCGAGGTACTATTTCTGGGCTAGTGGAGTCTGTAACCTGAAGCGCCTGTAACCTGAAGCGTATGTAACCCGAGGTACCACTGTAACATATATAAATGAAACAAACACACCCTGAAAACCAAGCAGGGCTTCCCACTTTACACCAAAGGTGGGTAAACTCAGGCCTTCTGTGGCCCCCAAGTTCTCTCTGAGTGGCCCTTGCGACTCTCCAGGCCACGCCCCTCCCTAGCCACGCCCCCTTTTGCCAGGCTTGCACCAGGCTGGAATGTGTCCTGGAACTCTGATAATGCCTTTGGCTTGCCTGGATTGAAGGAGGAGGAGGCTTCCGTGCATGTCTATAGAAAGCAGCCTAGTGTTCAAAAGGTATCCCAGAAGCAGAAGAACATGGACCAGACCAGTGACTCATCTGGCCCAGCAGGCTTATCTAACTTTTCTCTATCCATCTTCCCCATTCTATAATTTTGAAAACTTCCACCATGCCCCCTGTCGCTGGCCTTTTCTTGAAACTGAAAAGCCCCGACGTTGCCTAACTTCACAGAGAGCCACTCCACCCCCTTGATCATTCTAGTTGCATTCTAGGAAGGACTTTGGTGGGCCTTGCAGGGTTCAAAGGAAGGGGGTATGCAGGCAAAGAGGCTTCACAAGAAGGGAAGGGAGTCCTGCGGACAAAAGGGAGTCAACTAGAGCACAAACTCTTATTCAATTGCATCAATGGAAATGCCAGCCAGCACCGCAGGTTTAAGTTTGAACTCCAAAGCTGTAAAAGTGATGGCTTCACCAATCTGATTGCATTCAAAACTGTTGCAACCAGCCCTTAGGGTGAAGAGCGGGTTGTTAATTAAAGCAATAATAATCCTTCCAAGTATATCCTTGTAGTACTAAGATGTCAATAAGGGAAACGGACCAAACCTCAGGTTCTTTCATCTGCCTCCTTTTCAATCAGATAATCTCCAACCTTTGTAATTAAGGCAGTATCCATATCTCTTTGCTCTGGGGAACTGCTCAAGGGCGTATCCTGACTAAGTGAGTTTTAGCCTTTCCAGGTGAAATGTACGCAATACCTCGGAAGCCGGTGCTTGGTGTTTTAATCTCTTTGATGCTCTTTCATTATTGCGGGGTGGAATAGGGAGGAAGGAAGATTAAGACCCAGTTGTTGGTGGCATCTGTCTATCTCAGGAGACGATGGAGTGTGCCTCTGGGGGTGAAGCCAAAAGGCTGTGTTGTTAGTGACCGCCGGACCCCCAAGCCTGGGAAGTGTACATGGAGGTCCCGGGCTGCCCAGACGACAAGCCCCCCCCTCTTGGCCTTGCCGATGTGGCCCCAAGGAAACCAGGGCAAGATGTTTGGCATCAGGGAAGGAGTGTCCACCATCTCACACTGGGAGCCTGTTCCACTGTGTATAAATATTATGAAATGAATGGAAGGATGATAACAGAACCCTGTCCCAGACCATGATGGCTACATACTCCACCAGTGTATTGGAGGGAATATGGCTCTGAATGCATTGCTGAGAATCACAGGTGTTGAAGAAGAAGAAGAAGAAGAAGAAGAAGAGGAGGAGGAGGAGGAGGAGTTTGGATTTGATATCCCGCTTTATCACTACCCGAAGGAGTCTCAAAGTGGCTAACATTCTCCTTTCCCTTCCTGCCCCACAACAAACACTCTGTGAGGTGAGTGGGGCTGAGAGACTTCAGAGAAGTGTGACTGGCCCAAGGTCACCCAGCAGCTGCATGTGGAGGAGCGGAGAGGCGAACCCGGTTCCCCAGATTACGAGACTACCGCTCTTAACCACTATACCACACTGGCTCAAAGTTCAAATTGAAATCCAGGCGGAATAGCTCTGTCTTACAGGCCCTGCGAAAGGAGGTTAAATCCTGCAGGGCCCTAGTGTCATGGGACAGAGCATTCCACCAGGTCAGAGCCATCGCTGAAAAGGCCCTGGCCCTGGTGGAGGATAGTCTGACTTCCTTAGGGCCCGGGACCTCTAAACTATGGTTATTCACTTGGCTATCCTTGCCTTCTGGAGCTTGCGCCCTGCATGGGTCTTACCCCTCCCCCAAGCAAGGCAGAGAGTTTTTAAGCTCTCTGCCATGCTTACTGGCCTCTGCCATGCTTACTCACAGAGCCATCCAAGATCGCGCAAGAGCCTCCAAGAACTCAGCAAGGAGGCAGAGAGCTTTAACTGAGCTGTGGTCCTCAGATGAAGAAGATGAAGAACAGCTTGGACTTGATATCCCACCTTTCACTTCCCTTAAAGAGCCTCAAAGCAGCTAACAATCTCCTTTCCCTTCCTCCCCCACAACAAACACTCTGTGAGGTGAGTGAGGCTGAGAGACTTCAGAGAAGTGTGACTGGCCCAAGGTCACCCAGCAGCTGCATGTGGAGGAGCGGGGAAGCCAACCCAGTTCACCAGATTACGAGACTACCGCTCTTAACCAATACAACACTCTGGCTCCACACTGAGACAGCTCTTGGACTCATGTTCTGCTTTCAGGCTTCTCACTGGGACATCTGGTTGGTCATGAGATGGGACACTGGCCTGCTCCTACAGGGCTCATCTTACATCATGGGCAACCAAAGAACTGTTAATAATAATAATAAATTTTATTTATAACCCGCCCTCCCCGGCCAGAGCCGGGCTCAGGGTGGCTAACACCAATAAAATCACAGTAAAAACATAATGGGGGGGGAGAGAGAAGGGGGGAAAAACCAATTTAAAATACAGGTTAAAATGCAATTTAAAATGCAGCCTCATTTTAAAGTAGTCGATAAATCAAGACCATAAGGGGAGGGAAACATAAGGGTCAGACTGAGTCCAAACCAAAGGCCAGGCAGAAGAGCTCTGTCTTGCAGGCCCTGCGGAAAGATGTCAAGTGCCGCAGGGCCCAAGTCTCTTGTGACAGCGCATTCCACCACATCGGGGCCAGTGCTGAAAAGGCCCTGGCCCTAGCTGAAACCAATCTAACCTCCTTGAGGCTTGGGATCTCCAAAGTGTTGTTATTTGTGGACCTTAAGGTCCTCCGCGCGGCATACCAGGCAACCCCTGTCTCTGGGTTTGGCAGCCAAGGGAGGTGAGAAACCTATGCGAGCTCATGTGCTCAATCAACTCCCAGACAGTTCTCTGCACTGTGGAATGGAATTTAAGAAAGGAGATTTTGACTAAACATCAGAAAAAACAGCAAGAGGAGTTGGACAGTGGAACGGTCTCCCTTGGGAGGTTGTGGGCTCGATCCTTCCTTGGAAGTTTTTAAGCAGAGGTTGAATGGCCATCTGTCACAGATGCTTTAGCTGAGATTCCTGCATTGCAGGGGGTTGGACTACATGACCCTTGGGGTCCCTTCCAACTCTACCATTCCATGATTTAGGACAGATAGAAGAATATACTTCTTCATGCAGTACATAGTCATACTATGGAGGCAGTGATTTATGAAGGAGAGGGCTGTCAATGACTACTAGCCATGATGCTTCTTGATACCAGTTGCTGCCAACCACGAGATGGGAGAGCGCTCTTGCTCATGTTCTGCTCGCTGGTTTCCCAACAGGCTTATGGTTGGCCACTGTGAGCAGAGAATGCTGGACTCGATAGACCAGATGGGCCATTGCCGTAATCCTGCAGGCTATTCTTATTTTCTTATGCCCTTTGACACCAATTGCCATAATTGGTTGGTAGTGAATACAGTGGTACCTCAGGTTACATACGCTTCAGGATACATACGCTTCAGGTTACAGACTCCGCTAACCCAGAAATAGTACCTCGGGTTAAGAACTTTGCTTCAGGACGAGAACAGAAATCGTGCTCTGGCGGCGCAGCCCCATTAGCTAAAGTGGTGCTTCAGGTTAAGAACAGTTTCAGGTTAAGAACAGACCTCCGGAACGAATTAAGTACTTAACCCGAGGTACCACTGTAACTGGTTGTCTGTAGAGTGTTTTCAATATGGGGGGGGGCATACAGGGCTTTGTGGGAATGGAAGTACCCTTTCTGTCCCAGTGACTGTGGGTCAGGAAGTTACAGCCCAGCGTGGAAAGGATTCCGTCCAGTGTTCAAAACTCCCATTGTTCTAGGTGCATTTTGCATCAGGGAATTTCATTAGAATGCACACTTTCTGAGCTCTGGCCTCAGTACTGCGCATAGTTAGCAACGAGAACAAAAATCGTCTGAAAGCACCGCTCTTTCAATGCCAAAAACAGTTCTGCAGAAAGCAGAAATCTTCCTCTTCCAGAAGAAACCACAATAACAATCCGAAAAGCTGGGGAAATTAACTGGCACCTTCTCTGGTCAAGAGAGACTGGTCAGAAAGGTCTTCTTGACGGAAAAAGGGCCATTGCTCCCTGCTAAGCGCCTGCAACCAATTCATTCTGCAAGGGGCAGTGGCAGAAAACAAAACAGCCAGGGAAAGGAGTTCGCCTCTTCACCTGGGCAACCCTTCCTCACACCTCCATGCTGCCCACAAATGAAGGAAAACAAAGAGGCAGAGATGGGCAAATGAAGGCAGAAGTGTTGAGTGGGAAGGGGGGGGGGTGAGATGGCAGAGATATAGAGAAAAACAAAGGGTTGCTTTTCAGCAGCCAGGAAGATTTGGAAAGCAGCATTGGGCAAAACCAGAAGCCACCCTGATGCGCAATCACTTCCTCAGATTCAGCAACACTTTTTCTCTTTTCTCCTTTTTTCATTTGTTCTTTCTAGCTACCTTGGGTCCTGGTTCTGGAGAAAGTCAGGAAATAAGTAAAATAGTAGTAGTGGTAATAATGATAATTATTATTTTACGTCCTCCTGCATTCTGTTGTTTGTTTCGCCTTCACGTTCCCTTCCCCAGCCTTTCCAGGCAATACTGAAAGTCCTCATTGAACTGTCCTATTTCTTTGTGTCTCAGCCCCTCTGCCCTGCGCACTGCCATTACTGGCAGCTGTGCAGTCCCACCAATCTGCTGCATGCCTGGGCTTGGTGTCTCAGCAAGTAAAAGGTAAAGGGACCCCTGACCGTTAGGTCCAGTCGTGGCTGACTCTGGGGTTGCGGCGCTCATCTCGCTTTATTGACCAAGGGAGCCAGCATACAGCTTCCGGGTCATGTGGCCAGCATGACTAAGCCACTTCTGGCGAACCAGAGCAGCGCACGGAAACGCCGTTTACCTTCCCACCGGAGTGGTACCTATTTATCTACTTGCACTTTGACGTGCTTTCGAACTGCTAGGTTGGCAGGAGCAGGGACCGAGCAACGGGAGCTCACCCCGTCGCGGGGATTTGAACCGCCGACCTTCTGATCAGCAAGTCCTAGGCTCTGTGGTTTAACCCACAGCGCCACCCACATCCCTGTCTCACCAAGTACCATTCTCCAAATGGTGTCTATGTATTAAGTCTCATCCCTCTTTTTTTTTTAAAAAAGCAAAAAACAAACAAAGGTAAGACACATCATCAACACACAAGCAGATCAGCAGAAGTGGGGAACCTGTGGCCCTCCAGATGTCGTGGTCATGTCCCAGCTCCCATCAACCCTCACCGTTGGTCATGCTGACTTCTGGGACTGATAGGAGTTGGGTGTTCAACAGCAACTGGAGGGCCACTGGCACCCCACCCCACTATATAGTGCAAGAAGACAATGTCAGATAAATCTGAGACCCAAAGCTTTCTCAGATGCCTTGTGTTGGGTACCATCCCATGCAGCCATCCACAGATGCCATACAACCTCAAAGCATTCAGGATGGTCGGCACTTTGTGGATAACTCTTGATCTCTATCCAAAAGCCTCTTTTAACTTCCATCTTCCCCTAATGTTAAACCAGGAGCAGACACTATATTTACATTTCCAAAACGTATCATTGCGGTCAGCATAAGCCGTGCTCCATCCTAAAGGTGTCAAATAACCCTCGGTAGTGATTTTCTTTTAGATTTACAGAGGAAGAACATGCTGATCCTGTAGTAAACATAGCAAATCAAACATTCTAGGGCTTGGGAGCCAATCATATTTCCCCTTCCCTAAGGTTATTGCTCTTAATGAAGGGTGCGAGGTTTTGCACATGAACCCAAATCATGCACTCCTGTAGGAGGGTCTAGCTAGGACAGGAAATTCTGCTGGTGCTTTTATTAATAATAATAATAATAATAATAATAATAATAATAATATATTTATACCCCGCCCATCTGGTTGGGTTTCCCCAGCCACTCTGGATGGCTCCCAATAACATATTAAAAACACGATAAAACATCAAACAAAAACTGCCCTAAACAGGGCTGCCTTCAGATGTTTTCTAAAAGTCAGGTAGTTGTTATTCCCTTGACATCTGATGGGAGGGCGTTCCACAGGGCAGGCACCACTACCGAGAAGGCCCTCTGCCTGGTTTAAGCAACAGAGTTCAGTTATCATTGACAGTCACCTACAATTACGATGTTTTGGTCTCCCATAAATACCCTGTTCTTCCTCCTGCCATTCCTGACGGCATATGGCAAGTTCTACTCTGGCAGCAAGTTTAGCCTTCATTTGAAAGAAGTTCCAGAGGCTGTACTTTAACCCGCTTTTGACAGCCAGTGGTGGTGTGTAGTTTGAAGGCTGCGGCCCTTGGCTGGGGAAGATCCAGGTTTAAATGAGAGTTCCTCCGAGCCACAAAAATTAGTGAGTAAACTTGGGCTAGTTGCGATCTCCTCTTAACCTACCTCACACGGTTGTCAGGGAGTTGATGTGGAAGAGCCTATGTTCCTTGGAAGAAGACCGAGTAGCAATGTAACAAACAACAAGTGCCTTCTTCATGGCAGCACACAGTTAAACTATGCAAATTGCTGCAGCAGGAGGCAATGATAGCTATCATCCTAAAAGGTAAAGGTAAAGGTACCCCTGACCATTAGGTCCAGTCGCGGATGACTCTGGGGTTGCGGCGCTCATCTCGCTTTACTGGCTCCCTAAAATATCACTGCTTTGCTCATTTCTGTATATAGGGTGCCTACATTCTGTTATGCGCAAATGGCTTGACCTATTAGGTCCATAAATTACCATATAGCATATAAGGTAAAGGTACCCCTGACCATTAGGTCCAGTCGCGGATGACTCTGGGGTTGCGTGTTCATCTTGCTCTATAGGCCGAGGGAGCCGGTGTTTGTCCGCAGACAGCTTCTGGGTCATGTGGCCAGCATGACTAAGTCACTTCTGGCGAACCAGAGCAGCACATGGAAACGCCGTTTACCTTCCCTCCGGAGTGGTACCTATTTATCTACTTGCACTTTGACGTGCTTTCAAACTGCTAGGTTGGCAGGAGCAGGGACCGAGCAACGGGAGCTCACCCCGTTGCAGGGATTCAAACCGCCGACCTTCTGATTGGCAAGTCCTAGGCTCTGTGGTTTAACCCACAGCACCACCCGCATCCCAGCTATCATCCTAGATGGCTTTAAAAGAGGATTAGACAAGCTCATGGAGGAAAGGGCTATGAATGGCTGCTAGCTATGCTCGGTCTCCACCCAGGTGGAAGCAGTGATGCTTCTGAAACACCAGGTGCTAGAAGCTGAATGAGGGGAAAGGGCTCTTGTGCTCAGATCCTTCTTGCTGGTTTCTCACAGGCATCTGGTTGGCCATTGCGAGAAAAGGATGCTGGACGAGACTGGCCAGTAGCAGGGTCCAGCAGGCTTTTATTAAGTTCTTATGGAGCTTCAGTATTCAAGGCCAGCACTCAGCTGTGACTCTCTGGTGTGATGTGAACAGACTTGAATTTCTCTTGCCTATTTTTCCTAACTTCCCATTCTTTCACACTCTGCTCTTTGATTCCTTCTCTGCACTAAATAGATTCCCTTGGCTTCCCTTCTTAGGATACCCTTTGGGAACTCAAGTTTCTGGAGCTTCTCTTTCTATATTTTTATTTGTACCCTGTTCTTCTGCTCATTGAGAACCCAGAGCAGCCGGAAGCTCTGCATTTCTGATAGAGTTACCTGTCAACTTGAGGGACGCTTAAAGCTCATCTGTTTCCGACGGTTCTGGCACAGTTGCTTCCATTAAGAATGACCTTTACTTACATAATGCATATTTATGCTAATTGGCTTCTTTGTTTGGCAGCTCTGCTTTTGTCTCATTTATTTATCATTTCAAATTATAACAGTGCAATCTCGGCCTTCAAAAATCAATGGTAATGAGGACGGGTCAAGGCTCCACGGCAGAACACCTGCTTTGCATGCGGAAGGCTCCAGGCTGAATCAGAATCATAGAATTTCAGATTCTATCTAGTCCAACCCCCTGCAATGCAGAAATCACAGCTGAAGATTCTGTAACAGATAGGCCAACCAGCCTCTGCTTAAAAACCTCCAAGGAAGGAGTCTACCACCTTCCAAGGGAGTCTCTTCTACTGTCACACAGCTCTTCATGTCAGAAAGTTCTTCCTAATGTTTAGTCAGAACCGTCTTTCTTATAATTTGAAACCATTGGTTCAGGCCCTCCCCCCTGGAGCAGCAGAAAACAACCTTGCCCCATCTTCCATGTGACAGCCCATCAGATATGTGAAGATGGCAATCCTATCACTTCTCAGCCTCCTCTTCTCCAGGCCAAACATCTTCTACTCCCTCAACCATTCCTCATATGGTTTGGTTTCCAGGCCCTTCATCATCCTGCTCAGCCTCCTCTGCACACCTTCCAACTTGTCAATATCCTTCTTAAATTGCAATGCCTAGAACTGGGCAGAAGACCCCAGGTGGGGTCTGACCAAGGCAGAATAGAGCGCCCAGCAGCCCCAGAATCTCCACCTAGTAATTATATTCAGTTGTGGGTCTGGCTGAAGATCAACCAAGGAATTTGGGATGAAAATACAATTTCTCAAGTCTTTTCTAGAAGAGCTTTAGTTGTTCCGTAGATGGACTGTTTCATCCCTCAGGCTAAAGGCTGGGCCTTAGATGGCAGAACCTCTTGTACTGTCTTGATCCCATATCTGCTACCCTGCCCTACCATTAGAATGCAGCATGTGCTATCTTGTTCTGTTGCATTTCAGCAACCTCCCCTAATCCCTCTTTTCAAAGCCATCACTCATGCGTGCCTTTGAAAGGATGTCTCCATGTTCCCGATGGAATTTTGCACGTGGTGTGTATGGAGAATGGAAGAACGTGGTGTTACAGTTGTACCAACTCTCTTCCTTGCGGGCTTTGGAATTTCATCAAAGCGTTTCTTCTGAAAGTGGGGCTTAGTGTTTGACATCATATATCAAATGGAAGGAGCTGATCTTTCCCATCATAGAGTTGTAGGGGAGGGAAAGGGGAGGGAACATGAAGGTGAAGCAAACAATAGAACGCAGGAGAACACTACCTACCAATTATGCCATTTGATGTCAAAGGGCATAAGAAGATAAGATAAGGACCTGGTGCGCAGCCTGGGAGTCATTTTGGACTCACAGCTGTCCATGGAGGCGCAGGTTACCGTATTTTTCGTTCCATAGGACGCTTCGTTCCATAGGACGCACCTACTTTTTGGGGGGGGAAATAAAGGAAAAATTTTTTTCCTTTATTTCCCCCCCAAAACCAGGTCGGGGAACAGTGGGATGGCGGTGCTGCGCCTCCCCGTTGTCCCCCGAGCTTGTGAGGCTGGCCCATGTCTGCCCGGCGTGAGGGGCGCTCTGCTTCAGGGCGCCCCACCCGCCGGGCGGCAGGCTGCAGACACCTGCGCGAAGCACAGGGCGTCCTCCGGAGGGCGCCTCGTGCTCCGCGCTGCAGGCTGCCGCCCGCAAGCCTTGCGCTCCCGGGGGGAGATACCCCGGGTGCGCAAGGCTTGCCAACACCTGCGCGAAGCATGGGACGTCCTCCGGAGGGCGCCCCGTGCTCCGCGCTGCAGGCTGCCGCCCGCAAGCCTTGCGCTCCCGGGGAGATCCCGGGTGCGCAAGGCCTGCCGACACCTGCGCGAAGCATAATTCTGTGTCCAAGGCGACTGTCTACCAGCTCCACCTGGTACGCAGGCTGAGACCCTACCTGCCTGTGGACTGTCTTGCCAGTGTGGTGCATGCTCTAGTTATCTCCCACGTGGACTACTGCAATGCGCTTTACATGGGGCTACCTTTGAAGGTGACCCGGAAACTGCAATTGATCCAGAATGCGGCACCTAGACTGTTGACTGGGAGTGGCCGCCGGGACCACATAACACCGGTCCTAAAAGATCTGCATTGGCTCCCAGTACGTTTCCAAGCACAATAGATAGATAAACTTTATTCGCATTAGCCAATGGCCATAGCAACATAAAACAAGCAATATATAATTAAAAAGACAACAATTGGTAAAAAGGACAATCACTGGCTCCCAGTACACTTCCGAGCACAATTCAAAGTGTTGGTCTGACCTTTAAAGCCCTCAACAGCCTCTGTCCTGTATACCTGAAGGAGCGTCTCCACCCCCATTGTTCAGCCCAGACACTGAAGTCCAGCTCTGAGGGCCTTCTGGCGGTTCCCTCATTGCGAGAAGTGAAGTTACAAGGAACCAGACAGAGGGCCTTCTCGGTTGTGGCGCCCGCCCTGTGGAACGCCCTCACTTCAGATTTAAAGAAATAAGCAGCTATCTTTTCTTTAAAAGACATCTGAAGGCAGCCCTGTTTAGGGAAGTTCTTAATATTTAATGCTGTACTGTTTTTAACACTTGATTGGAAGCCGCCCAAAGTGGCTGGGGAAACTCAGCCAGATGGCCAGGGTATGTATAATTAAATAAATAAAAATAATTGCTGCTGCCTGCAGGATTACGCCAATGGCCCATCTGGTCTATCGAGTCCAGCATTCTCTGCTCACAATGGCCAACCATAAGCCTGGTGGGAAACCAGCGAGCAGAACATGAGCAAGAGCGCTCTCCCATCTCGTGGTTGGCAGCAACTGGTATCAAGAAGCATCATGGCTAGTAGTCATTGACAGCCCTCTCCTTCATAAATCACTGCCTCCATAGTATGACTATGTACTGCATGAAGAAGTATATTCTTCTATCTGTCCTAAATCATGGAATGGTAGAGTTGGAAGGGACCCCAAGGGTCATCTAGTCCAACCCCCTGCAGTGCAGGAATCTCAGCTAAAGCATCCAGGTTTCCAGTAACTGGTCACAGCCATCATGGCTAGAAGCCATCAGTAGCCCTCTCCTCCATGAATCTGCCTCGCTCTCTTTAGGCTAATGCACTAGCAATGACTTGCCATGGTTACGTGCGAAGAGTTAGGCAGGCAAGAGTGATTGTGGTTAGCAACATTAATGGACAAATGGTCTGGGCTGCTTAACCAGTCCCATTTCTCCTGCCTTCCCACACACCCATGAAATGTCTCTGGGAGAGTTTCAGCTGCAAGGTTCTTCTCTTCCAGCCTCAAGCCTGGAGAGGCAGCCAGCTCATCTCTCAAGAGTGACTAGTAGCTGCTTCACTCTGCAAGCATTTAATCCACCACCAGCTCACGGGCTGCCAATCAGTTCCCAGCAGAAGTCAACTGGCTTATTGCTCCATCTCATCTTCTTGCAAAAGCTGCCTTGTGCAAACAGGTTGTTGCATTCTATGATTAAACGGGAGTTACACTACTTGCTCAGCAACTGACTGGGCTAAACTTAATGTTAACTCTTACATGAAGAAACTGCACTCCTAACACATACAGGAGCATACAGGTACATCCCTGATCAACTCAGATAACTTTACAAAAGATACCTTCCGAAATGCCGCAATAAAGTACATAGGTGTTGCTTTATGCATTCCAAAGGGTACAACCTGTGGGTTAGACAGAGTGAGTGGTTTCAAACAAAGCTGGGGTGCAGTTAGCATGAGAACAGTGAGTGATAAAGGTGTTGGAAAATACGTGAAGGAAATAAAGCGAGGTCCCTGTGTTGCCTAGGTAAGAGAGATTTAGGCAGTTTTCATGCCTTAAAGGTAATGTGGCCAGCATGACAAAGCCACTTCTGGCGAACCAGAGCAGCGCACGGAAACACCGTTTACCTTCCCACTGGAGCGGTACCTATTTATCTACTTGCACTTTGATGTGCTTTCGAACTTACTCACATATAATAAGGCAGTTTCCTTATTTGCCAATAACATTTTTATTGAAAGCTTTTTTAAACCCATTAAACACTCAAAACTCTAACTCATTTATACAAAAATACAAAACACAATTATATAGGGAAAAGAAAAAAGAGAGTTTCCTCTGTTCCTGTCTAGAACTGGGCCTGCTGTTCCTGCTGCTGTTTGTATTGATTGATTTATTCTAGCGACACTTTTTTTAAAGCACAAAATTCCTTTTAACTGTACTGTGATTGAAATGTGTATTAAGTTCAGTTTCAGTGCAAGTAACCTTAAGGTGCATTTGCTGGAAATGGTGGGATGAAATGATTGTAGTTTCAGAGACAGATCAATAAAATATCCCTCTAAAGAGAATGGCAAAATTGACAGGACCAAATGGCATGGGGTTTGTTTGTTTCAATAAACAGATATTTATGGTGTTTTCTGGGCACAATTAAAATCACAAAATAAAAGAAGAGGGTGCAGTGAAATGCTGTCTCCCCGTTCTCCCTCTCCCAGTGGAAACACGTGCTCAGATGCTTCCTTTTTTCATGTCCAAACGCCTTATAAAATTAGCCTCTTTGTGGTGTATCTGAAGTCCAAAGTCAAAGATAAGAGACGTTTATAAAAAAATGCTTTCTGTCCCTTCTGAGGACAGCAGCAGCAGATGAGAGAGATGTAGATCCTGTGCAAGCTTATCAGTTGAGTAGACATCACCGAACACAGCGGTCTGAACTTATTCCCAAACAGGCATGGAAGACACCAACTTTTGCAAACAGGGCCTGAAGGTGACATAGCATTAAGTAACCCCCATATTGACTTGGAGAGATCTTCCCCCAAATCTAGTTGAAACCAAAGGTAAGGTAAAGGATCCCTGGATGGTTAAGTCCAGTCCAAGGCGACTATGGGGTTGCGGCACTCATCTCGCTTTAGCCCGAAGGAGACAGCGTTTGTCCACAGACAGCTTTCCGGGTCATGTGGCCAGCAGGACTAAACCGCTTCTGGCGCAATGGGACACTTTGACGGAAGCCAGAGTGCACAAAAATGCCGTTTACCTTCCTGCCACAATGGTACCTATTTATCTACTTGCACAAGCATGCTTTTATATGCCTCTTGTCTTTGTCCATGGCGTTTTCTTGGCAGGGATACTGGAGTGGCTTGCCGGTTCCTTCTCCAGGTGGATCAGGTTTGGTCAAAACTCTCCACTATGACCTGTTCATCTTGGGTGCCCTGCTCGGCATAGTTCATAGCTTCTCTGAGTTATTCAAGCCCCTTCGCCATGGCAAGGCAGTGATCCATGAAGGGGGATCACTGGTGCTGGAGGAGACTCTTGAGAGTCCCATGGACTGCAAGAAGATCAAACCTACCCATTCTTAAGAAAATCAGCCCTGATTAGCTCACTGGAAGGACAGATCCTGAAGCTGAGGCTCCAATACTTTGGCCACCTCATGAGAAGAGAAGACTCCCTGGAAAAGACCCTGATGTTGGGAAAGATGGAGGGCACAAGGAGAAGGGGACAACAGAGAACGAGATGGTTGGATAGTGTTCTCGAAGCTACCAGCATGAGTTTGACCAAACTGTGGGAGGCAGTGGAAGACAGAAGTGCCTGGCGTGCTCTGGTCCATGGGGTCACAAAGAGTCAGACACGACTAAACGACTAAACAACAACAACACAGGCATGCTTTAGAACTGCTAGGTTGGCAGAAGCTGGGACAGAACAATGGGAGCTCACCACCGTTGTGGGGATTCGAATTACCGACCTTCCAATCGGCAAGCCCAAGAGGCTCAGGGGTTTAGACCACAGCGCCACCTGTTCCCTGCAAAGCCAAGCTCAATACAATACCTCTCAAAACAATACCAAGTACCTACAAGTAGTGAGTTGGTGGTCACTGCTGCCTTCTGGGGGAGCAAGTTCCATAGTTTAACTATGCACTTCATGAAAAAATCCTCTATCTGCCCTGAATCTTGCAACCTTCACTATTCAGCTGCACCACCCTCCATTCCAAGCCCATCAACAGATGGTGTAATTGCCTGAACTCCGTTTATCATTTGCTGGTGCTCTGACATGGCTGCACACACATCACTGGCAACCCAATGCTGGCTGGAATCATGACTGCTACCTTGAGCTCCTTGGATAAAAAGGTGGGCTATATAAAGGCACAGATCGTGAAGCTGAGGCTCCAATACTTTGGCCACGTCATGAGAAGAGAAGACTCCCTGGAAAAGACCCTGGTGTTGGGAAAGATGGAGGGCGCAAGGAGAAGGGATGACGGAGGACGAGATGGTTGGACAGTGTTCTCGAAGCTACCAGCATGAGTTTGACCACACTGCAGGAGGCAGTGGAAGACAGGAGTGCCTGGCGTGCTCTGGTCCAGGGGGTCATGAAGAGGCACACACGACTAAGCGACTAAACAACAATATAAATGCAAAAAATGAATAAATCACAGCCTCTCATGGCAACGAATTTCATCATTTAGCTTTGTGCCGTGTGAAAAAGTACTTTCTTTTGTCTGTCCTGAATTGTCCAGCTTTCAGCTTCAACATGTGGTCCAGGGTTTTAGTTATTAAAGGGCAGGGGGAAGTAACTCCTCTATCCACTTTCTCCACGTCATGAATAATTTTATACAGTTCTGTCTTGCATCTTCTTACTCCCCTTTGCTCTCAACTAAGAAGCCCCAAATGTTGCAACCTCTCCCATATCCACTTAGCTGGGACAGTTCCAGTCTTGGACTGGATCATACCTGCTCGAAGAACAGCAACGGAAGTCTGAGCACGGAAGAGAGAAGCATTCATAATTTACTGAGAAGGTCAGGTCAGGTCAGGTAAAGGACCCTTGGGCGGTTAAGTCCAGCCAAAGGCGACTATGGGGTTGCAGCGCTCATCTCGCTTTTCAGGCCAAGGGAGCCGGTGTTTGTCCACAGAGTTTTCCGAGTCATGAGGCCAGCAGGACTAAACCACTTCTGGCGCAATGGGACACCGTGATAGAAGCCAGAGCGCATGGAAACGCCGTTTACCGTCCCTATTTATCTACTCACACTGGTATGTTTTCGAACTGCTAGGCTGACATAAACTTGGGCAGAGCATCGGCAAGCCCAATAGACTCGTGGTTTAGACCACAGCACCACCCGTTCCCTAGAAGGTAAAGTAGGATGCCCTGAGCACCATTGCAGGGAATCAGTCACAAGTGGGGATGGCAGCTGCACTCAGATCTTTACTGCGGACTCCCCAAAGGCATCTGGGAGAAAAGGATGCTGGACTCATGAGCCTTTGGACCCAACCCAGCAGGCTGGCTCTTCTAAAATGACTGGCAGGAGGAATCAAGGACTGCTCACAAACAGTGCTAATACCCGAAGGGTTGTCATATGAAAGATGGACCAAGCTTGTTTACTGCTGCTCCAAAGGGCAGGGCCAGAATCAATGGATTCACAAAATGTTCAACAGTGGAACAGACTCCCTCAGAAGGTGGTGGTGGTTTATAGCAGAGGTTGGATGGCCATCTGTCAGGAATTCTTTAGTTGTGATTGATTAAGGTTTTGGAATATACTACATGTACAGATTAGGGCTTGGGTGATGCTGTGGTCTAAACCACAGAGCCTAGGGCTTGCCAATCAGAAGGTCGGCGGTTTGAATCCCCCACAACGGGGTGAGCTCCTGTTGCTTGGTCCCACCTCCTGCCACCCTAGCAGTTCGAAAGTACAAAGTGCAAGTAGATAAATAGGTACCGCTCTGGCAGGAAGGTAAACGGTGTTTCCATGCGCTGCTCTGGTTTGCTAGAAGTGGCTTAGTTATGCTGGCCACATGACCTGGAAGCTGTACGCCGGCTCCCTCGGCCAATAAAGCGAGATGAGCGCTGCAACCCCAGAGTTATCCATGACTGGACCTAACGGTCAGGGGTCCCTTTACCTTTTACAAGTGCAGATTAGCTCTCTCTGAGACACTTAGCCTGTGTCTGGGATGTGTACCCTTTCCCTCTACAGCAGTGATGGCCAAACTTGGCCCTCCAGCTGTTTTGGGACTACAACTCCCATCATCCCTAGCCAACAGGCCCAGTGGTCAGGGATGATGGGAACTGTAGTCCCAAAACAAGTGGAGGGTCAAGTTTGGCCATCAGTGCTCTACAGGAAGAGACTCCTAGAACTTAATGCCCCTCCCTGCCAAACACAAACAGGCACCCAATTCTCAGGGAACAGAAAACATCTTACAGTCATACCTCGTGTTGCATTAGGTTCATGTTGCGTATTTTCGGCTTGCGAAAGCTACAAACCTGGAAGTGTATACTTCTGGGTTTAGCCGTGTGTGTGTGCAGAAATGTTCTGTGCGCTTTGCGCATGCGCAGAAGCGTTCCGCGAACTTCACACATGCACAGAAGTGCTCTATCACACCACGTGCGTGCACAGAAACGACGCTCTAGTTACGGACTTTCCGGGGTGCAAACGGCACCCCGGAACGGATCGAGTCAGTAACTAGAGGTACCACTGTAAAAGGAAGGTGAGGTTAAAAAAACAACAACAACTTACACACAGGGACACCTTTCCTGCCAGCTAAACAAGCTTGCATTCTATGTGCATACTTTTGCATAGAGGGCCCATTCCATCATGGGAGCCCCTACTGCCAATACGAAGCCCTGGCACAAGTTGAAAGGCTGCCTGGGTACTGTCCTTCAACTCAGGATATTGCACAGTGATTAAGGGAGTGAGCTACAAATGAGGAAACCTCAAGCTCAAGTGCAACCTCTACCAGGAGCTTGCTAAATGGCTTCCGGAAGCCCACTCTTAAGAACAATCAAAACGTGACTTAAGAGCGTGGCTGCTGGATCACGTCAAAGTCTCTTCTAAATCCATCATCCCATTCTCACAATGGCTAATCCAGCAATAGGAGCACTCTCCCCATTTCTGTTCCCCGGAAACTGCCGTATTTTTTGCACCATAACACTCCCTTTTTTCCTCCTAGAAAGTAAGGGGAAATGTCTGTGCGTGTTATGGAGCGAATGCCTACGGATGGCGGGGGGGATCTGCTGCAGTCGTGAGCAGAGGATCCATGGTTCCCCTTCCTTCCCTCCTCCGTGGCTCGCTTTGAAACAGCAAAGCGGGAGAAGAGCCACTGAGTGGGGAGAGGGAGGGACAGAGAGCCTGCTTGCTTTAAAGGAGCAAAGCGGGAGAGGAGAGGAGCCTTCTCCTCTTATACCCCTCTTCTGCATTATTAACAGCATCCTTCTCCACCCACCCCACGCGTGTCCCTTGTCCCTTGAATGCTTTTCCTTCCCTCCCCACTTAAAACATGGTTACAAAGCACGGATCCACATAGATCCTCAGGATTTTTGCATTGGGCTACCCCAAACTCACCTGTCTGATCACATGTCTGTGGCCACAGCATGAACCACAAAAATCATACATCCGCTGTTTCGTTTAGAATATTTTTTTTATTGTTTTCCTCCTCTAAAAACTATGTGCGTGTTATGGTCGGGTGCGTGTTATAGAGCAAAAAATACGGTATATCCTAACAAGGTATTCCTCAGCTTTCTGGAAATACCAACTGATGCCTCACGTCTTATTGTACTTCCATATTTAATAATCTAACTAAGATCATGGCCACTGGGCCCATCACCTCCTGGCAAATAGAAGGGGAAGAAATGGAGGCAGTGAGAGATTTTACTTTCTTGGGATTTTACTTGTTTTCCTCCTCTAAAAACTATGTGCATGTTATGGTCAGGTGCGTGTTATAGAGTGAAAAATACGGTAGTATATTCCAAGACCAGAGGCAAAGATTTGTTCTTTTCATAAGAGTTGGGCAAAGCCTGTGCTAGCTGGATTACAAGCAACCTGATTTTCTTGGCAGAGGTCAGCATCTACCCAGGGATGTTGCAAAACATCACAAATAAATGGTTACTACACCTTGTGGGTGTAAATTCCACAGCTGAATTGCAATTATGAATTGCAAAAGGGACGCGGGTGGCAGTTCGAAAGTGTTGGGATACTGCCAGGGAGACAAAGGCCATCATGCCCCCATGCCGTCTCCGGACGATCCATCAACCTCCCGTAGAAACGCAGTATCAGTCAATTAGCGACACAAGCCTCAGAAATAGCTTGCCACATTCCAGGGCTTGTGCATGCTCTTTCAGCAGAGTTCGTACAACGAAAGATGCAATCAGGAGAGCATTATTTACAACTTTATTCAGCGTTGGTTAGAACAAAGAAAAAACATGACTGCCTGCTTCGATGTCCAGGCGCAGAGAGAGAGACAAAAGCTATAGACAAAACAGAAACATCCTGTGAACAGGAAATACGTAGGCTGTGACTCACAACAGCCTGTCCCCTTTTTAAGGTGGAATGGAATATCCTAACATCAAAGTGCAAGTAGATAAATAGGTACCGCTCCGGCAGGAAGGTAAACGGCGTTTCCGTGCGCTGCTCTGGTTCGCCAGAAGCAGCTTGGTCATGCTGGCCACATGACCCGGAAGCTGTCTGCGGACAAACGCCGGCTCCATTGGCCTATAGAGCGAGATGAGCGCCGCAACCCCAGAGTCGGTCACGACTGGACCTAATGGTCAGTTTACACCTTTTGGGTGTAAATTCCACAGTTGAATTTCAATTATTACAAAGTTAATAGCATCCTACCATACTGGTTTGTTGCCATGGTTATTGTCAGGGAACTGCCATCAGTGCCGGAGGGAGAGAGCAAAAGCCTGAGGGATTCCAGAGAGCGTCCAGGGATTGGGAGAAGCAGCGCATCTTATGGGGAAGAGAATCAGCGTAGCACCAGTGGAGAAGGGGGGCAGATGGGGGAAGCGGCGAGGCGGTCCCATGACTCCTTACCTGGGACCAGCGGGGAGAGTAGGGGTCCTCCGTTGTCTACGCCCTCCTTGCGCAGAAGGCTTTCGCGCAGAGAGAGTAGGAGGAGACTAGGCGTCAAAGAGCTCCTTTGCTGGAAGAAGTTTAAGAAACGCCCACTGATGGATTCTGCCAGCAATTGAGTCAGCGACGGGTGAGTGCCTGTCTGGACAGAAAAGGTTCACTTAGGCAACACAGCCAGGTGTTTGCATCCAGCTGGGGAGATAAGCACCGGCTTACGCACGAGCAACCCCTAGAACCATTACAGCAATCCGTCAGTCCCTGACGTTGCTTGTGCGCAGCCCCGGAGAGGCAGCACGATGAGCCAAACAGGGCCGGCTGGAGAGACACTGCAATAAGGGAGGGAGGGGAGGTGTCCGAGGGAGAAGAATCAGATTGGGAGGTTCAACCAGCGGGAAGAGATCCGAGCGGATGGGAGGCTGGTTTTGAATCCTCAGAAGATGATGACAGTTCTTTCAGGGGATTCCCCGCATCGTCAGTTGAGGAGAGAGAGGAGGTTGTATCGGAAGATCGCGCCCGGGGTGGGGTGGGGGGTCCTGAGGAGGAGGTGGATGTCAGGGAACTGCCATCAGTGCCGGAGGGAGAGAGCAAAAGCCTGAGGGATTCCAGAGAGCGTCCAGGGATTGGGAGAAGCAGCCCATCTTCTGGGGAAGAGAATCAGCGTAGCAGCAGTGGAGAAGGGGGGCAGATGGGGAAGCGGCGAGGCGGTCCCATGACTCCTTGCCTGGGACCAGCGGGGAGAGTAGGGGTCCTCCGTTGCCTACGCCCTCCTTGCGCAGAAGGCTTTTGCGCAGAGAGAGTAGGAGGAGACTAGGCGTCAAAGAGCTTCTTTGCTGGAAGAAGTTTAAGAAACGCCCACTGACGGATTCTGCCAGCAATTGAGTCAGCCACGGGTGAGTGCCTGTCCGCACAGAAAAGGTTCACTTAGGCAACACAGCCAGGTGTTTGCATCCAGCTGGGGAGATAAGCACCGGCTTACGCACGAGCAACCCCTAGAACCATTACAGTTATGCATGAGGATCACAGTGAAGTGCAAATATATATGTGTATATGCATGCTTCTTCTCCTGTTTACCAGCTGCCTCAATTTCCATCACGCCAAATTTTAGCTTAGAATAGAATCATAGAGTTGGAAGAGAGCACAAGGGCCATCGAGTCCAACCCCCTGCCAAGCAGGAAACAAAAATTACGTATCGCGTAGTCGGCAGGATTCGAACCTGCGCGGCGAGACCCCAATGGATTTCTAGTCCATCGCCTTAACCACTCGGCCACGACTACGAAGCTTGCAGAGCTCCTTGGTGCAGACACTTGCCCTCTCTTGCATTCTGCAAGGCACCATGCACATTTGACAGCAACAGGAAACCAAGCCTTTGGTGTCATTGGCCCAGTTCTGTGGAATGCTCTGCCACTAGAGATTCAGCAGGTGCCTTTTGTGCCTTTTGACCCGTTCTGGGGGCTGGGGTCGGAGGAAGCTCGGGCTTCCCCCGCCCCCAGCCCCGCAAGCTCCGGGAGCGATGGCGAGGTTGCGCAACCTCGCCTTCGCTCCCGGACCCCCAGCCCTCAGGCTAAAAACGAAGCCAGGACAGCGAGCGGGATCCATCCCGCTCGCTGTCATGGCTTCTTTGCTCTTTGGGGCTCGGGGGGGGGGAAAATAATCCCCCCTTTATCCCCCCCCCCCAAAATAAGTGCGTCCTATGGGCTGGTGCGTCCTATAGGGTGAAAAATACGGTATGTTTTGTTGCTGCAAACTACTTCCATTTTTTGTTTAATGACATAGTGGCATGTTACTTTATTTGATACATGTTGTTTATTTTAAAGTCAGGTTCTGCCCAGACGCTGAGATCCAGCACCAGCCAAGTTGCAGGGAACCAGGCAGAGGGCCTTCTTGGTAGTGGCGCCCGCTCTGGGGAACACCCTCCTATCAGATGTCAAATAGATAAACAACTATCTGATGCTTAGAAGACATCTGAAGGCAGCCCTGTTTAGGGAAGTTTTTAATGACTGATGTTTTAATGTATTTTCAGTCTTTGTTGGAAGCTGCCCAGCGTGGCTGGGGAAATCCAGCCAAATGGGTGAGGTATAAATAATAAATTATTATTAATTATTATTATGACTTATTTTCATTGGATCAGGTTGTTATAAGATGTGCAATCTTTGCTGTTTCTACGGCTTGTGAACTTGTCTTGAAAGATTGCATAAAAATGTAAAGAGAAATTGGAAAATAAATATCTAAATAAATAACAAAATTAGCAATACGTAACAATTAATAACCACAAAGCAATAGGACCCCTTTAGCGGTCCTCATCTCCCTCCCCTGTACACAAACAATTCCAGTAAACACCTCAAGGTGCAAACATATCTCAGAGTCCTAAATGTGGGGTGTTCCCCACAGAGCCCTGATCTTCCATCTTCCAACACCAATGCTCAGGAGAGTGCCTACATGACAACAGACTTGAAACACCTCTAAGCATGTACAGAGTGCAGCAACTGTCCTGCCAGCTGCTGGGGGGCACATAAGCCTAGGGCTTTAATATGTTTAATGAACTGATCTCTCTCAATCTGACTCTCAGGGATGCCCAATACATTCAGCAGAACATCTATCTACCGTATTTTTCGCTCTATAACACGCACCCGACCATAACACGCACGTAGTTTTTAGAGGAGGAAAATCCATAGGCATGCCACCCGTAGGCATTCCCTCCATAACACACACAAACATTTTCCCCTACTTTCTAGGAGGAAAAAAGTGAGTGTTATGGTGCAAAAAATACGGTATCTATCTATCTATCTATTAAAATTGATTGATTGAATGATATACCACTCCTCCCCTGAAGATCACAGGGTAGTTTACAACCAAACAAACATGTGGTAAAGGATTAAGAAACGGGTCCCACAATGCACTTTTGGGTTCAAAGCGGGTCCTGGGTCCAAAAAGGCCACAGGTACCATTTCTGCAAAGCACTGTGCGAATGTAGCAACCAACACCTAAGCATGTGCAGAGCGCAACAACTCCCCCAGGGCCACCACCACCAATCCCAAAGGCAACCGCGAGGCAGCACCACCCGGCCCCTCTGTTCCAGGGTTATATTATGTAACAGCTAAGAATTATTTAGTTATAATTAATTAGTCATTCGCGATTATATGATTACGTGGAATTATATAATAATTGATTACTATTACAGTATCCAACTATAATTAGCTAACTGTATGTGATTATATACAGTAGGGAGAAACCCAGCCAGAGGGGCAGTGTATTAATAATAATAATAATAATAATTTAAATTTATTTAAAAATAAATAAATTATTATTACTATTAACTATTATTAATTATTATATTATATAAACATTATTGTTCATTTATTTTTGAGTACACACGATTCTGTAATTATTTACCATTTAATTATCAATTAAAGAATAGCGATCATTAAATTGTGATAATTATCACGAATATCCAACGAGTGGATCTCTCTCTCTTTCTGACTCCCAAGGCATTCAGCGCAGCAGCCTCTCTCTCTCTCACTCGCGCGCGGCCGGGCGCGCCCAACAACACACAAACGCACACACGAGAGACGCGGCGGCGGCTGCGGGGTTGTTTTTTGCGGTTGGCGTCGCCCCCCGAGCCAAGAGCAGCAGTCGGGCGGGCGGGTTTGCCTCCGCCCCCTTCGTCGCCGCCGCCGCCGCCGCGTCCTCCCCTCGCGGCCGGCTACCCACCCGGGCAGGCCCAGCGACGGCTCCAGCTGCCGGAAGACTCCCGGGAGGCCGCTGCCGAAGAGGACGCCGCCCAGGTCGAAAAGCACCGCCCGCCGCTTCGCCGCCATCGCCTCCCGAGCCAGAGTCGCTCTGAGGGAAAAGAGTCTCTGAGGAGACTCTGAGGGGAAGGCGAGGCCACGCCCACCCGCCGAAGGAAGCCACGCCCACGCTCCAGGCGGGCCACGCCCCCTCCTCCAAGAAGTCGGCCAAGGACAAGTGGGCCACGCCTACTCCCACCTGCGCGAAAAAGCCACGCCCTTCACGGCGAGCCACGCCCCCCGCTGCCCCCCTCCTCCAAGCCGGCAGGGGATGGGCAGGTCCTAGCGCCGCAAGTTTCACCCACGATGGGTGAATATATTTGAAATATTTCTAAGTGGTGTACGCCGTGCTTTTTTTTCTATATAAATTGGCTCATCTGATTTTGGCTACATAAAACCACCATTTTACAGTTCAGATTGGGAAAAATGAATACAGTAAATGGGCAAAAGTACAAAGATTCACAAAATGTTTTAGAGGTATGCGTAGCCCCAGAAAAAGCACTGGGTGTAGGTAAAACTGAAGCAGACAGCAAACAACAGACAACTTAAGCAAAATATTGCAAAAAATACCGTTGCATATATAAAAGTGTTACATTCATGTAGAGTTAATAATATACATGTTATTCAACACAGAGCAGGTTTTGCTGCTGGTGGTGGTGAACTACTAACTATTCTGTTTTTGGCAACAAGTCTTGCATTATATATATAAAAATAAAGAAGTAAACAGATGCAGATCATCCATTGTGCTACTTTACCAATGTAGCACAGAGGGAAAACAATCAAGATTCCCTCCCAGACAGATGACAGAAAGCTATAGAATGGAGTTTTTTGTTGTTGCACTCTTCTGACACCAACAATGTTGATAATAATTCTTCACATGGCACACAGCTGAACTGTGGAACTCACTCCCACAAGAGGCAGGGATGGCCAACTTGGGTGGCTTTAAAAGAATATTGGACAGATTCATGGAGGAAGAGAGGACACCTGCTTCTTGGGAGAAAAGCAATGACAAACCTGGACAGCATCTTAAAAAGCAGAGACATCACCTTGCCGACAAAGGTCCGTATAGTTAAAGCTATGGTTTCCCCAGTAGTGATGTATGGAAGTGAGAGCTGGACCATAAAGAAGGCTGATCTCCGAAGAATTTATGCTTTTGAATTATGGTGCTGGAGGAGACTCTTGAGAGTCCCATGGACTGCAAGAAGATCAAATTCTCTCCATTCTGAAGGAAATCAGCCCTGAGTGCTCACTGGAAGGACAGATCCTGAAGCTGAGGCTCCAAGACTTTGGCCACCTCATGAGAAGAGAAGACTCCCTGGAAAAGACCCTGATGTTGGGAAAGATGGAGGGTGCAAGGAGAAGGGGACGACAGAGGACGAGATGGTGGGACAGTGTTCTCGAAGCTACCAGCATGAGTTTGACCAAACTGCGGGAGGCAGTGGAAGACAGGAGTGCCTGGCGTGCTCTGGTCCATGGGGTCACGAAGAGGTGGACACGACTAAACAACAACAACAACTAGCCCTATGACTATGCTCTGCCCCCCTGGTTGGAAGAAGAAGAGTTTGGATTTGATATCCCGCTTTATCACTACCCGAAGGAGTCTCAAAGTGGCTAACAATCTCCTTTCCCTTCCTCCCCCCCAACAAACACTCTGTGAGGTGAGTGGGGCTCAGAGGCTTCAGAGAAGTGTGACTAACCCAAGGTCACCCAGCAGCTGCATGTGGAGGAGCGGAGACGCGAACCCCGTTCACCAGATTACGAGTCCACCACTCTTAACCACTACACCACACTGGCTGGTGTAAATTAGGCAGTAAATTACTCTGAATACCACTTGCTGGAGACCAAAGGAGGGAAGGGTGCTGCCATCTCTCATGGGCTTTGATGTGAAAGACGGGGCAAGCTTGTTTTCTCATGCTCTGGAGGATAGAACTCGAACCAACATCTGAATAACTTTCTAGCAGTAAGAGTTGTTCAACATTGGAACAGGCTCCCTAAGGAAGTTGTGGACTCTCCTTCCTTGGAGGTTTTCAAGCAGAGGTTGGGTGGCCATCTGCCATGGATGCTTTAGTTGAGATTCCTGAATTGCAGGGGGTTGGACTGGATGACCCTTGGGGTCCCTTCTGTACATTTAAATTTGTTAAATGTTCCAAAAATTATGCATAAATGTATCCTTTCGACTTGACAGCTCAGGGAAGTTACCTAGCTTTAAAAATCATATAAAATCAACTCCTTTGCCACTTTCCTTCATTCCACCGCCAATTTGCTTCATTGGCCAAGGACTTGGAAACCACTCAGTCCCCACCATAATCCCTCAAGCGGGAGGTCACTGTACTCACAGGACACTCATAGGTGTCAATCGCTGGGCAGAGGCACTCCTCCGGACTTGCCCAGGTGGCAGACTATGCAAACCAACGTTCTACTGTCCCTTTGTAGTAGGTGCTTAGAATGTACTTCCCAATACATATCCTGTATCCGCCTGTTGCCCCAACACATTCCTCCTATGTTAATCATGTATAGGTAAAGGTAAAGGGACCCCTGACCGTTAGGTCCAGTTCTGGCCGACTCTGGGGTTGCGGCGCTCATCTCACTTTATTGGCTGAAGGAGCCGGCGTACAGCTTCCGGGTCATGTGGCCAGCATGACTAAGCCGCTTCTGGCGAACCAGAGCAGCGCATAGAAACGCTGTTTCCCTTCCCGCTGGAGCGGTACCTATTTACCTACCATATTTTTCGCTGTATAAGACGCACCAGACCACAGGGCGCACCTAGTTTTTGGAGGAGGAAAACAAGAAAAAAAATATTCTGAATCTCAGAAGCCAGAACAGCAAGAGGGATCGCTACGCAGTGAAAGCAGCAATCCCTCTTGCTGTTCTGGCTTCTGGGATAGCTGCGCAGCCTGCATTCGCTCCATAAGACGCACACACATTTCCCCTTACTTTTTAGGAGGGAAAAAGTGAGTCTTATAGAGCAAAAAATACGGTACTTGCACTTTGACGTGCTTTCGAACTGCTAGGTTGGCAGGAGCAGGGACCGAGCAACGGGAGCTCACCCCGTCACGGGGATTCGAACCGCCAACCACCCGCGTCCCTTATTTAATCATATATAACCCTCCCTTTTTCTAATGTAGCAATGATGTAGTGATGATGCTTAATGAACTGTAAGCTGAGATAAGAAAGAAACTTTTAAAAGTCCTTCTCACCCCATCCTCGGGGTTCAAAATTCCCCTTTGAACCTGTTGCGCAATAAACTTTGGTCTACAGCTATTTGCTCCGGTTGGTGGCTGGACTCCTTCCTTTATTTCTCAGGGACCCCGCGGGCTCTGCCCGACCAGCTGGGTGGCTGAGCAGCCTCGCACCTAGATTTTTCCATAGCACTTCCATCTCTTTGATTCATACTAATCAAGTGCTCTTCCACTGAGCTGCAGCCCGTCCATGGCAATATCATGGCTTGCTGCCTCCTAAAGCCCAAATCCAGCCCTGTTGTTACTAATGGTGAGAACGGCATGTTCCTTCTTTGCTTCCTCAGCGTTGGGCCTCCTTTCTCCTCTTTTAAACCAGATCTCTAACTCTCTCTCTCTCTCTCTTGGTCAGTCATTAGCATTCCACAGAAGTTAAGTAAATTGAAAACACACACACTGCCACAGCACTGCGAAGGAAGGAAACTGCGCTCACAACAAATGCTTTCTGCTGACACGGTCCGTCTGTCTAACCTCCCCATGCACAGAGCTGGTCCTCTTGACTGGTAGATTGACTTGGGTTGAATCCATAACTGACCCACAGGGAATTCCAGAGAGATCGCTGGAGGAGATCTTAGGCAGACGACTCCCAGAGACGTTTTTAAATTGCCCATTGCATCGCTGTCGTTGGAGGACAGCTGTCACTCTGATCCACTGCTGAAGTTCGCACCAAATTGCACCGGAGAGATCTCTGCCATGGTGAGTCGGAGACTTTTTGGTTCATATTATCACTGCCCAGCATATTAAAAATAGGTGTTTTGTGTGGAGGGAGAGGTTGGAGTTGATCTGCTATCTATTCCTGTCTTGAAGCGGTTTTCAAATTAGGAGTTGTCCAATCTGCATTCTGAGAAACCTTTAGTACCTAGAACAGGGCAGGTGTGGAAAATGCTTTTCAGTCTAACCTCCCCACAAGCAAATCAGAACAAATGTGCAATAATGTTGCCTAACCTCTCAGCAAAGCATGTGACAAGCAAATTGGGATGGAAGCTCAATGGGCTGGTTGTCTGCAAACGACCTCACAGCACTAATGCAGGTCGAATTTGCTACTCTGCATTTTCATTAAAAGCCAGGCTAGGGTCATCTAAAACAAAACAAAACCCCTTGCTTAATTGATCATCTGAGATTTAGTCAGTTAACTTATCTGTTAAAGGTGCATTCATTGCACATGAGAAAAAAAGAGCAGTGGTTCTAAAGAGGGGAAAGCTAGATTCTTAAAAGACCGGCAGGGCAGGCACACAGGACCATAAGTCATAACACTGACTATTTCATCTGCATATGCAAATTAAGGAAATCTTTTAGGGAAAATGTAATGGGGCGAGGAAGGGTAAACAAAATCCAAAACATCTCCCAGTGTCATGGACCTCATCAGATTCAATCATTCTCCTTCTGCTATTTTTTTTCTTTCTAAAAAACACCCGGTAATTCTAAGGCTCACGGGTCTCCAAGGTTTTGCTGTGTGTGTGTGTGTGTGTGTGTGTAAACAACTACAGAAACCAAAAACACGGAACGCACTGCACAAAACCAAAAGAGAATCGTATAATTGTATAGTTGGAAGGGACTCCAAGAGCCAGTAACTTGTGTTTGAGCTCTCAGATGTGCCACAAACAATTTACTAAAAGCACCAAAGCGTTTTTTCCTGAAATTCCTTCATCCGGGGGCAACTTGAAAGAGATAGACATATCAAAAGAAGTGAGGACTTTATTTATGTATGCCACTACAGCAGCAAGAATATTGATTGCACAAAATTGGAAGACTGGAGAAATACCTACTAAAGTACAATGGCAAGAGACATTGATGAACTATGCAGAACTGGCAAAAATGACAGATAGATTGAGAGAAACAAACAACAGTGACTTTGAAAAAGAATGGGAACTATTTATATTATATTTGCAGAAACAAAGAAAGTCAATAGACTTGATGTCAATAGACTTGATGGCAGGATTGAAATAAACATTCACATTATCAGAAATTATTAGTATTATTATTATTAGTATTAGAAATTAGAAATTCTTAGAAGTATTAGAAATTATTAGAAAATGTTTAGAAAATAGTGAAATATCATGGTGTATTTACTTTTATTTTAAGTTTTTAGGCTTGATGTTATGTTATTAACAACTTTTTCTGTTAGGAGATAGCAAAGTGGGTGAAAAGAGAAACAAACCAGAAGCGGAAGTTGGGGGAAGCCCTGAAGGGGAGGGAGGGAGGACGAATGAAAAAGAAAAATGAATAAAATTTAAAAAGAAAGAAAGAAAGAGATAGATATACAAATAAGAATCTTACAAGCAATTTAACAGTGACATAACACATACAAGGTGACGCTGACACAAAAAACCTGCACAAACTTACACAACAGAACAAAAATCATTACCCCCCCAAATATTTATCTCCCACACCCCTGGATGTCTCTATTTTCATCAGAGAAATGTCAGAGTGTATGGAGTTATCTGAAACCCAAACCATCGAAAGGCAACCCCTATATAGGGAAGGTTTTTTTAAAAAAAGTTTTATTATCTTTTTATGTGGGACGTGGGTGGCGCTGTGGTCTAAACCCCAGAGCCTAGGACTTGCAGATCAGAAGGTCAGCGGTTCGAATCCCCGTGACGGGGTGAGCTTCCGTTGCTTGGTCCCTCCTCCTGCCAACCTAGCAGTTTGAAAGCACGTCAAAGTGCAAGGAGATAAAGAGGTACCGCTCTGGCAGGAAGGTAAACGGCGTTTCCGTGCACTGCTCTGGTTTGCCAGAAGCGGCTTAGTCATGCTGGCCACATGACCTGGAAGCTGTACTCTGGCTCCCTCGACCAATAAACCGAGATGAGCGCCGCAACCCCAGAGTCGGCCACAACTGGACCTAATGGTCAGGGGTCCCTTTACCTTTATATTTGTTGGAAGCCACCCAGAGTGCCTGGGGCAACCCAGTCAGATGGGCAGGGCATAAGTAGTAAAATGGTTGTTGTTAATGTTATTATGGAATAGGACACCCCTGTTTTCATCAGAGAATCGTTGGAAGGTATGTAACCATCTGCAGAAGATGAGAGAGAAAAGAGGCTTCGAACGGGAAAGGCAGAGTCCAGGGAAATACGATGCTGTGTGGTTAAGAACTTGGTTATGCGAAAATAAATCCTTTATGGGCCAGGCATTTGGTGGCCCTTTCAAAGCCAGGGCTGATCATATGTTTTTCCTCTTTCTTATGCTTGTCTGAGATCATGTTTTTTCAGGCGTTTCCAAACTCGCTCTGAAAGGGATTCATTGTCTGGTGAATACCAGACCCTTAATGCCCGAAAAAGAACACAGAATCTCTGGAAAAATAAAAATGACCAAACCATGTGATGTGGACAGTACAGCTCATGGCCACCAGATGTGGTTATGGCAGCAACTCGCTTAAATGGCATTGTTCTTATTCTTATTGAAATTTGTTACTCGCCCTTCACCCTAGGGCCTCAGGGCAGGTTGCAACTAACCTGCAACATTCATACTGAAATCTAGCATGGCACAATATGAATGTTGCATGTCATTATTAAATGACATGCAACATTATTAAAAACAGCCTAAAGCAGCTTAATATTGCGAGAATAAAGTTGGTCCTGGAAATTTGTCAAAAGCCAGGGTAAAGGTTGGATGATGTCAGCTCTTTACTGAACATCCATTCTGATTGGTGTTCAGGGAGGCTGCACAACATTGCGTCAAGCCATCATTTCCCCACATCTTCCATTGCCCCATAATTATCCTTCAGCATAATTAACCTTCCGCTTAGTTATGCACGGCGTGGAGAAAGCGAGTAGAGAAATGTTTCTCTTCCTCTCTCATAACACTAGAACCATGAAGCTGAATATTGGAAGAATCAGGACAGATAAAAGACCCTCCAAGTGCCCCTATGTGGGGGTGACAGTCCTGTATTTACAGAAGCACACCCTCCAACATTACTCTGGTGAAAATAGGGACGTTCTAAGGCAGCGATGGCCAAACTTGGCCCTCCAGCTGTTTTTGGACTACAACTCCCATCATCCCTAGCTAACAGGACCAGTGGTCAGGGATGGTGGGAACTGTAGTCCCAAAACAGCTGGAGGGCTAAGTTTGGCCATCACTGTGCTGGTCCCGTGGGTTACCCGATAGGCGAGGTCCAAGTCCGGTCCATGGTCAAAGGTGCAACGTGGAGGCAGTCCATAGTAGCTGAAGCTGGGTGCAGGGCAGGGAGTCAGGTGAAGTCAGGAGCAGGCTTGCAAGCAACCTCAGGAGCCAGAGCAGACTCAGCTGGTGCCTGCACCTGAGGATCCAGCACAGGTGAGGACCCTTCAGGCTCATGCCCCAGCCCCGGCTCAGCTGGTTCTGGAGGTGGGGAATCCTGTGCAGGCTGGGATCCCTCAGGTTCAGCATCCGAATCCCAGGCCATCACAATCACTGTTCTAAGGCAGGCAATTCCCATCATCCCTGACCATTGCTCCTGCTAGCTAGGGATCATGGGAACTGTAATCCAAAAACAGCTGGAGGGCCAAGTTTGAGGAAGCCTGTTCTAGGGGAAAGCAGGACATTCCGGGTGTTACATATTCAGTGGTCTCCATTTGCCTGGGCTTGAGTCTGGACTAAGGATTCTGAGCTCCTGTGTTCTGATTTAATGCATGATGTTCAGTCACAGAATATTTCAAGATTTGGGCCGCTGCCTTTGGCCCTTGAACTCTGAGTCGTGATTCGCAGTGGCGGATGGCCTGCCACAAAGCCACAACAAAGGCCACAATGGATTCACCTGAGGCCTGGTCTCATTTGTAGAAGGCATGCCAGCAGGCAATCTCTGATGGCTGAGGAGCGAAGTGTCAGGAGTTCAGCCTACACTCGAGTAGGACCCTGGCAGAGACACATGCCCGACTGGCATGTTCCCTCCCTCCTGGTCGATCGTTCAGGAGCTTCATAAGTTTTCTTCAGCCCGAACATCACAGCGACCGATAGCAACAGCCATCGACACACTTAGGGATCCACAGAGTTTGCGCAACTTGCGTGACAGAACTCAGCAACTCAGCATTTTGGCTAATCTACTCTATTTACATATAAACCCACACGGAGCACTGCAACATGGCTCCCTCTCTCTCTGGCATCAGACAGCAAAGAGAAAAAGAACAAAGGACAATAGTCCCACTTCACGGAACACAGTAACACAAACATCCTGTCTCCGTCACTTCCCAAAACATATACCGTCATGTGAAAGACAACAATCCCATGACTGCAATCATGGAGCAGGAATTCTAACAGGCAGTAGGTCTGCAGCTTTAGCATGATTGCATTCAACGTTGTATCGCTCAGCTTGGCTGGGGCCACCAGAGCCTGGGCCATCTTGAATATAGCAGGACCCCACACACTGACAGTGTAGCCCACTTCAGTTTGGGGTCAGTCACCCTATTGGCTGCGAGGAAGAACTCCAGCCGGCTGGCGTAGGAGTCCCATTTCCCTGGAACCGTGGTGTCAAATTCCTTGATGTGGCCCTGAGTGGCCATGATGGCCACTCTGTGTGATCTGCCTTGTGGCTTCAGCCAGTGATTTCTCTTCATGACCCCCTGGACCAGAGCACACCAGGCACTCCTGTCTTCCACTGCCTCCCACAATTTGGTCAAACGCATGTTGGTAGCTTCAAGAACACTGTCCCACCATCTCGTCCTCTGCCGTCCCCTTCTCCTTGTGCCCTCCATCTTTCCCAACATCAGGGTCTTTTCCAGGGAGTCTTCTCTTCTCATGAGGTGGCCAAAGTCTTGGAGCCTCAGCTTCAGGATCTGTCCTTCCAGTGAGCACTCAGGGCAGATTTCCTTCAGGATGGAGAGGTTTGATCTTCTTGCAGTCCATGGGACTCTCAAGAGTCTCCTCCAGCACCAGAATTCAAAAGCATCAATTCTTTGGCGATCAGCCAGCTCTCACTTCCATACATCACTACTGGGAAAACCATAGCTTTAACTATACGGACCCTGGTTGGCAAGGTGATGTCTCTGCTTTTTAAGATGCATTTTAATAGTTCAATAATGTATTTAAAAAACTATTTTTAAGTAGACAAATTTGACTATTACAGTGGTACCTCGGGTTAAGTATTTAATTCGTTCCGGAGGTCCGTTCTTAACCTGAAACTGTTCTAAACCTGAAGCATCCCTTTAACTAATGGGGCCTCCTCCTGCCGTCGCACCAACGGAGACCGATTTCTGTTCTTATCCTGAAGCAAAGTTCTTAACCTGAAGCACTATTTCTGGGTTAGCGGAGTGTGTAACTCGAAGCGTATGTAACCTGAAGCGTATGTAACCCGAGGTACCACTGTATTAATTATAATTAAATTATAATTATAATTAAAACTTCTCCTTATTTGTTTGTGAATATGCTGACCAAGGCCCCCTTTGGAATCGGAGGCCTGGGCCCCCCCTCTGACTGGGCCTGGTCAACAGTGAATTGTAGGTTGGTACCCACAAGGCAAGACACAGCAAGAACAGCAAGAACCTTTCTTGAACTACGTAACTGGGAAACAGGGGCAAAGCAACTGCTTATATACCGTATTTTTTGCTCCATAACACTCACTTTTTTCCTCCTAGAAAGTAAGGGGAAATGTCTGTGCGTGTTATAGAGCGGAAATAGCACGGATGGCAGGGGGTCTGCAGTCGTGAGCAGAGGATCGTGGGTTTCCCCCTTCCTTCCACCTCCTCCGTGGCTCGCAGGCAGCACGGCGGGAGGAAGAGGGCGCCGCTGAGTGAGGAGGGGGACAGAGGCGGTGTTACAAGCACGGATCCACATGGATCCCTCAGGATTGTTTGCATGGGCCACTCCCACTCCCAACGTGATTGGCTGTCTAAACTTCCAAGCTGCGAATCGCAAGTTCAAGAGCCAATGGCAGCGGCCCGAATCCTGAAACGTTCTGTGATTGGACAACATGTGTTGAATCAGAACACAGGAGCTCAGAATCCTTAATCCAGACTCGAGCTCAGGCAAACAGAGACCACTGAATAAATAACACTGGGATCAAATCAGAAACCAGTACGGCTTCTGTAAATCCAGAACTGTCCCTGGAGAACAGGGGCAGTTGGAGGGTCTGTGAATCCACAACGACTGAAAGTCCACTGTTGTTCCCTGCTCCTGTTCTTAAGTAGGGCTGGGTCATCCATGCCCCACAAGAAGAGGGGACAGAGCAGAGTGTGGTCTCATCCTGGGAGATGGGACTGCAATTCAGCACAGTTCCTGACTCCTTAATTCACTCCCTGACTGCGATTCAAAGGAAGTATCTCGAATTAGAAGTCTGTTCGGATGCCATCTGGCAGAAACGCAGGTTCTCTGGAAAAGGCAAGGCTGTGACTTGCAGGGAAACAAAAAGGCCTGCCTTTGTAGTGCGCACTTAATAGGCAGCTGGTTTGGATCATGCAAGGGAGGGAATCAGAAATGAATCGGGCGAGAGCAGTCGGCGGGCTTCACACAGCTACAAAATCCAAAATGCTGAAAGCTTTGCTCAGGGAAACAGGCACCCTGGAATCTATCTGTGGGGTGAAGCATAAAGACCTCTGCCAGAGAGGGGTCAGCTGTAAAACTCCGGGTAGGAACAGATTCCACTCATCCCTTTTGCAAAGTACCAGGAAGAACATGCAGACAAAAGGCGAGTCTGCTGGATCAGGCCAATGGCCCATCTAGTTCAGGATCCTGTTCGCACAATGGGTGGCTCACCCAGGCACCTGAACAGCTTCCTCCACCGCTGGGCAGAACTTCCAAGTGTCCCTATTTTCCAGGGACAGTCCCAGATCTACAGAAACCATCCCAGTTTCTGATTTGATCCCAGAATGTCCCGCTTTTCCTTGGGACATCCCTATTTTCATTGGAGAAATGTTGGAGGGTATGGAGTTATGCAACGCCCAAGCCAAGGAGGTAAGGAACTATACAACCTTTAGAAGACATTTGAAGGCAGCCCTGTATGGGGAAGGTTTTTTAAAAAATGTTTAATGTTTTATTATGTTTTTATATATGTTGGAAGCCATCCAGAGTGGCTGGGGCAACCCCAGTCAGATCAGTAGGGGATGATGATGATGATGATGATGATGGAATAGGTAAAGGTAAAGGGACCCCTGACCATTAGGTCCAGTCGTGGCTGACTCTGGGGTTGCGGCGCTCATCTCGCTTTATTGGCTGAGGGAGCCGGTGTACAGCTTCCGGGTCATGAGGCCAACATGACTAAGCCACTTCTGGCGAACCAGAGCAGCGCACGGAAACACTGTTTACCTTCCCGCTGGAGTGGTACCTATTTATCTACTTGCACTTGGACGTGCTTTCGAACTGCTAGGTGGGCAGGAGCAGGGACAGAGCAACGGGAGCTCACCCCGTCGTGGGGATTCGAACCGCCGACCTTCCAATCGGCAAGTCCTAGGCTCTGTGGTTTAACCCACAGCACCACCCGCGTCCCTCTCCTTTTCCTTGGGACATCCCTATTTTCATTGGAGAAATGTCGGAGGGTATGGAGTTATGCAACCCCAAGCCAAGGAGGTAAGGAACTATACAACCTTTAGAAGACATTGAAGGCAGCCCTGTATGGGGAAGGTTTTTTAAAAAATGTTTTATTATGTTTTATTATGTTTTTATATCTGTTGGAAGCCATCCAGAGTGGCTGCGGCAACTCCAGTCAGATCAGTAGGGTATGATGAGGAGGATGGAATAAGATGTCCCTATTTTCATCAGAGAAATATTGGGGGGCATGTATGGGCAGGCAGTAGGCAACAGTCTTAGCCCAGGGTGGTCCAATTCATGGCCCGAGGGCCGTATGTGGCCCCCAGTGCCTTTATAGGTGGCCCTCAGCAACTTTTGACGCCCCCTGCCCAGCCCTCATGCTGCCATCCCAATATTTTATTCAAGTTGGCACCCCTGTCAGTCAAATTAGATGATACTCAGCTCGATGGACCAATGGTCTTATTTGTTATAAGGCATTCAGGTAGTTGTAAGCCAGATTCCTATATTTTCTGTGATCCTATGAGTTTATAGTTTAACCTTTCTTCACATGAGCCACTTTGGAACTTTTTTTTCTGCCATGAAGGATGGTGTAGAGATACTCCGGTGCAGAGGCAGAGTGGAGTAGTGGTTAGAGTCTTGGTGTCGCACCAGGGCTTCAAATGGCCAGTCACAGCCTCTCAACCTCGGCCTACCTCACAGGGTTATATTGCGAGGATCAAATGGTGGGGGAGAGGGAGAACTGTGTTGGCCAACTTGAGTATCTTGGAGGAGAGATGAGAGATCAATGAAACAAACAAACAAACAAACAAACATTGCTTCCTTCCAACAGATTCTGTCTCCATCTCTATCTGGCTTCATGGATTAATTAGAGCAGAACTTAATTTGGCCACCAAAACCTGCCTTTGAGTATTTTGCTGGAGGAAGCTTCTGGCAGCCAGGAGGGGCTCAGCAAGTTCTGCGGGAAGCAGTGCCAAAGAAGACTCTACCCTAAAGGCCAGCCAGAGGGAGAGAGAGAGAGAACGAGAAACTCCTCCATTTCCCTTGCAGGATATTGGATGCCTCTGGGGAAAATCCAGTGCGCTGGGTTCTGTCACTGAGCACCAAATGGAGTTGCTGGAAACCTTAAGAGCCTCAGAGGAGTCTGCCGGATCAGGCCAGGGGCCTATGGATGGCTGACCAGATCCTTGCAAACAGGATTTCAGTGCAAGAACACTCTCTGTGGTTTCCAACAGCTGGCATTCAGAAGCATGAATAAAACCATTTCCCCTATCCCTTATACCCAACCCTAACCCTAACGAAGAGTCGGACACGACTAAACAACAACAACCCTAACCATGCCAAGAAAAATATTCCTTCCAGTAGCACCTTAGAGACCAACTAAGTTTGTTCTTGGTATGAGCTTTTGTGTGCATGCACACTTCTTCAGATACACTGAAACAGAAGTCACCAGACCCTTATATATAGTGAGAGGGTTGTTGTTTTGTCGTTTAGTCGTGTCCGACTCTTCGTGACCCCATGGACCAGAGCACGCCAGGCACTCCTGTCTTCCACTGCCTCCTGCAGTTTGGTCAAACTCATGCTGGTAGCTTCGAGGACACTGTCCAACCATCTCGTCCTCTGTCGTCCCCTTCTCCTTGTGCCCTCCATCTTTCCCAACATCAGGGTCTTTTCCAGGGAGTCTTCTCTTCTCATGAGGTGGCCAAAGTCTTGGAGCCTCAGCTTCAGGATCTGTCCTTCCGGTGAGCACTCAGGGCTGATTTCCTTCAGAATGGAGAGGTTTGATCTTCTTGCAGTCCATGGGACTCTCAAGAGTCTCCTCCAGCACCAGAATTCAAAAGCATCAATTCTTTGGCGATCAGCCTTCTTTATGGTCCAGCTCTCACTTCCATACATCACTACAGTGGTACCTCGGGTTAAGAACTTAATTTGTTCCGGAGGTTCATTCTTAACCTGAAACTGTTCTTAACCTGAAGCACCACTTTAGCTAATGGGGCCTCCTGCTGCCTCTGTGCTGCTGCTGCCTGATTTCTGTTCTCATCCTGAAGCAAAGTTCTTAATCCAAGGTAATATTTCTGGGTTAGCGGAGTCTGTAACCTGAAGCGTCTGTAACCTGAAGTGTATGTAAGCTGAGGTACCACTGTACTGGGAAAACCATAGCTTTAACTATACGGACCTTTGTCGGCAAGGCGATGTCTCTGCTTTTTGAGAGGGTGGGGAGGGGTATTACGCAGAAGGGTGGTGGGAATGGGTGATTGGCTGATAGGTGTGGTAAACCTGTTGACGCCTGTTAACGACTGCAATTGGTCTTACAGGAAGAAGCAAGGGGTGAGATGGCTAAAAAATAGCTTTATCATGTATAATGAGATAAGAATCCAATGTCTCTATTCAGACCAGGTCTCTCCATGGTTTTAAGTTTGGTAATAAGTTGCAATTCAGCAACTTCTCTTTCCAGTCTATTTCTGAAATTCTTTTGTAATAAGACAGCTACTTTGAGATCTTGTATAGAATGTCCTGGGAGATTAAGGATTAAAGGCAGTAATTAAACACATGAGAAGGGTTTGTTGGATCAGGCCAATGACCCATCTAGACCATCATCCTGCTCTGTCATTCTTTGTGCTCAAAAGTCCTCTGTCTTCTTGCGGTTTCCAGCAAATGGTATTCAGAACCATAGAATGGTAGAGGTGGAGGGGACCCCAGGGGTCATCAAGTCCAACCCCCCTGGATTTCTGGAATCTCAGCTAAAGCATCCATGACAGGTGGCCCTCCAGCCTCTGCTTACAAACCTTCAAGGAAGGAGAGTCTACAGAAGCATTGTTACCCCTGATTGGGATGAACTTCCTTGGGTTTGTCTAATCTTCTCAGAAAGCTGTCTCAGTTGGTATTCACCACTGCTTCCTGCAACAGGGAGTTCCATAGATTAACTGTGCGCTACATGAATAAGTGCCTCCTTTTGCAGGACGTTGGATGCCTCTGGGGAGAATACCGAGCGCTGGGTTTTTTGGGACTGAATGCCAGAAGGAAAGAGGGAGGGAAAAACCTTAGCAAGGCAGATCATTTTTGTGTGGCTGTTGGGCTGTGCAGGGCACAGGTGGGCAAGAGACAGCCGTGGCAGGTCGCCAGGTGGTTCTTGCCAGGGGACGGTTGCTGGCTGCCAACAGCAAAGCTGTGATGATTGCTTTCCTGGCAGGAAGGCAATCTGGACACAAATTATTGCAAGGACAAGCTGAACGAAAAGGAGGTTGGTGATCCTAATTGCTAAAAACTGGAAAAAAGAAATTGTGCCAACAAAAAAGGAATGGCAAGACAAACTGTTAGAGTATATTGAACTGGCTAGATTAACAGAGGCAATTAGAGATCACACTAGACAAGAGTTCCAAAAAGCACGGGGGAAATGCAGAGAATACTTCACAAAACAGTGCCCTAAAATACACACCTGGACTTGTTTCGATTAATGTCTGCAGGAGACTTTGTGGATATTTAAGTTATAATTATAATTATAATTATTCATAAAGGAAACGGCTTATAAGAAGTAAATAAGGAGGCCGGATACAGGATAAAGGAAGTTTTTTATTTGGTTGTTTGTATTGTTGTATGTTATGCTTTTTGTTGTATGTTATACTTACTGTATGTTATGTTCACATTTAATGAGGATGGATTTCTGTATTGGGGGGGGTGAGGGTTTATGTTATGTTGCAAATAAAATTTCCAATTAAAATTAAAAATTAAATAAGAAAAGGAGGTTGGTGATGGAGGCGAGGGGTTTTATTTGTGCCAATCAGCCTACAAGGTAGTAGCAGTTGTTGTTGTTAATTAAATTTATATACCACCCTATGCCCAGGGCAATTCACAACTACAATAGTTAGTTAGTTGGAGAACCTCTGTCCTGCCTCTTCATAGACTCATAGAATTGTAGAGCTGGAAGGAACCCCAGGGGTCATCTAGTCCAACCCCCTGCAATGCAGGAATCTCAGCTAAAGTATCCATGAAAGATGGCCATCTAACCTCTGCTTAAAAACCTCCAAGGGAGGAGAGTCTACAGCCTCCCAAGGAAGCCCGTTCCACTATCGAACAGCTCTTGCTGTCAGAAGGTTTTTCTGTATGTTTAGTCGGAATCGCCTTTCTCGTAGCTTGAAGTCATTAGTTCGGGGTCCCAACCCCCTGGAACAGCAGAAAACAAACTTGCTCCACCTTCCATGTGAAAGCCTTTCAGATATTTGATTTTTTTTATTTTTAATAAAAAAAAAATTATTTACACAACAAGAAAAACAAACAAACAAAAAACACAAATACCGAATTACACACAAATTACAAAAATATCCATAGACACTTAATATTCTTAGCAAACAATAAAACATCTATTGGTCTTAACACTAAAGACCCAACCTCCCGTCTATTCCATACTTCAAATTCATATTACTTATTGCCAATACACTTTTTTTCATAATTAAACTTATTCTCATTAAATCTAATTTCTTATATCTACCTTGCAACTATTACTGAAGTTCCTCGAATGCTGCAACAGAATTTAAACTACTATATTTATTTTTCAGATATTCTTTAAAAAACCTCCCATTTAGAAACAAATTCCTGTTTTGGTTTATTTTTTATTTTTTCTGATAAACCATCTAATTCAGCATATTCTGTCAGCTTTTGGATCCAATCTTGAATAGAGGGGATTTCATTACTCTTCCATTTTGCTGCGATCAAAACTCTTGCTGCCGCCGTCGCATATAAAAGATACCCTTCCTCTTTTGTGGAATATCCAAATCTGTTATTCCCAGGAGGCAGGCCTCTGGTTTTTATTGAAAGAGATCTTTAGCATTTTTTGCAGTTCTGCATGTATACTCTCCCAGAATACCTGTATTTTCCTACATATCCACCACATATGGTAGAATGTTCCTGAGTCTTCGCATCTCCAACAATTACTTGATACATTTTTATACATTTTTGAAAGCTTCCATGGTGTTAGATACCATCGATGTTGCATTTTTTGAAAGTTCTCTCTAATCGTGTAACAATTTGTGAATTTCCAATTGATCTTCCATAAATTTTCCCATTGGGCCATGGTTATTGAGTGGCCAAAATCCTGGGACCACCTCACCATTGCCACTGTTACCTCCTCCTCCTTGACTGTCCAGTCAAGGAGGAGTCGGTAAGTTTTGGAAAGAGTTTTCTTTTAGAATTTAGAAGATCAGATTCGAATCGGAAATTTCTGTTGAGAACCCTTTTGTTTGTCAGATTTAAATTTTTCAAATAACTGATGGTATTGGAACCAGTCTGAAATGTGGTCTCTTATTTCCTCAAAGTTTTTAATTTTATTTGGTTATCTTCATTTTTTAGAAGTATTTTATATGTTGGCCAGCTTTCCTGAGTATTTTCCGTTTTACTGCTATGGCTTCTACTGGAGAAGTCCACCACGGGACTTTAGGCTCCATCAGGTCTTTATATTTTTCCCATACAGCAAAGAGTGATTTTCTTATTATATGGTTAGTAAAGTTTTTATGAATTTTCGCTTTTCCATATATTAGGTAGGCGTGCCATTCCCAACGGTTGTCAAAACCTTCCAGGTCGAGGAGGTCCGAATCCTGCAACGTGCACCAATCTTTTAGCCAGGTGAAACATGCTGCCTCGTAGTAAAGTTTTAGGTCGGGTAGGGAAAAGCCTCCTCTCTCTTTTATGTCTATTAAGATCAGGTGTTTAATCCTAGGTTTCTTCCCTTCCCACAGGAATTTGGAAATTTCTCTTTGCCATATCTTGAGACAACCTGCTTCGCCCAGTATTGGAATCATTTGAAATAAAAAGATTAATTTTGGAAGTACATTCATCTTTATAATGGAAATCCTACCCAGAAATGTTAATTTTAGTTTACTCCAGGTTACAAAGTTTTTTCTAATCTCTAACCAAGTTTTGGTGTAATTATCCTGAAATAAGTTTATGTTCTTGGGGGTGATCCAAAAGTTTTTCTGTATGTTTAGTCGGAATCGCCTTTCTCATAGCTTGAAGTCATTAGAATCATAGAATCATAGAATCATAGAATCATAGAGTTGGAAGAGACCACAAGGGCCATCGAGTCCAACCCCCTGCCAAGCAGGAAGTTTTAGTTCGGGGTCCCAACCCCCTGGAACAGCAGAAAACAAACTTGTTCCACCTTCCATGTGAAAGCCTTTCAGATATTTGAATTGGACCATCCGATCACCTCTCAGTCTCCTCTCCCCCGGGCTAAACACCCCAAACTCCCTTGACTGAGTTATTCTCTCTTTTCCCACACTGGGAAAAGCACTGGGCTTGGAAAAACAGGTCTGAATATTAGGATATAGTTCCATTCCACCTTAAAAGGAGCAGGCATGACTGTTGTGTGTCACATGCCTGTTTACTTCCAGCACAGTCTGCTGGGAACTTCCATTTGTATATTGCTTTTGCTATTGCTGTTTTGCTTGGAGACGAAGGGAAGCAGACATGTTTTTCCTTTGTTCCTGAACTTTGCTGAATAAACGCTGTCAATAATGCTTACACATGTCTCTGTCCGTCACTTCCATTGTGAGGATTTATTCACTCTACTGATAAGAGCCGGCACAGCTTCTAAACGTATCTGAGGCTCATGCCGCTGATTGATGCTGTTCCATGGGAGACCGGTGTTCGCCTGGCTGCCGGCCGGTGGCTGGAGCCAGCTGGGGACTCCCCGGCAGCATCCCAACACTGAATTCAGGTGTAACCACCCACACCCCATCTCTGATAATAGTGACTCGCCTTTCCTTTTTTCCAGGTTGCAACAAGACCACTCACGGTTTGGAGTCTGCTGCTAGGGCTGAGTCTTCTTATACCCACTCAGAGCAAGGAAAAGGAATCACTGGGCAATGCCACGGTGAGACCAACCCCAGAAGATCGTGGAGATCAGTCCCCAAACCCAGACTTTTGCGACTTCACATTTCACATCCCCTGGTCTGGGAGCTCTTGCACGCCGACGACCCAGGCAACCGCCACACCAGCCTCCCAGGAAGAGCTGGACCATCTCAAGATCTTGTTGGAGGACCTTGGAGGCAACCTGAAGAGCCTTCAGGAGGCTGCAGCTCTGGAGGCCGGCCAGTCCAGGTACCAGGACATCGTTTCTCAAGCCCTTCCAGATGTGAGAGAGGCCAACGGGGCATTCCATGAGATTCTTGGGAAGTTCCTGCAGGAGTTGGAGGAACACATCCATGCAGATGACCATCTGCACGCAGAGGACGAGAAAAAGAAGTAGGTGCTTCTTCACAACAGATGCTCTTTTTGCGGGGCTTAGCAATGGAGCACAGAGCTAGCTGCTTTGTACATCCTATATAATGCTCTGCAGGATTAGCGGGAGGGTGAGTGGAAAGGAAGGAGATCTCTTGTAAAACTGGAATCTTGGGTCAGCCAAGGAAGTAACTATTGACAAAACCTATTGGTGTTTCACAACTTTACGACTAGTTGCAGGACCTTAGCCGACCTAGCAGAGTACACGCAGAATCCATGGAAGCAATTGGCGACTTGGCTGCAGACAGGATAGACGAAGCAGGAACCAGGAACTTGTAGTTAGGTGTTTATTATATACAGTTGACTATTTACAGGAACAGAACACTGATCTTTTGCTAGCTCTCTCTGACACGACTCACAACTCCTACACTGACACACAGAACTCCTGAACTCCCGAACTAACACATTCCAGTTAGAAGGCCATTAATTATCACTCCCTTGAGAGAGCTTGACTAATCAGGGAGCTGTCTCCATTCCTCTGTTATCACCCAGCAGACTTACTCCTTCAGATTGCCTTCTGGCTGTTGGCCAAACCTTAATTGACTCTGTGTGAGTAGCTGCATGTACACAGTTTCTCAACAGTAACCAGCAGGCAGAGGAAAGGAAATCCTTCCTTCTCGGGGCGGGGGACACATTGAATTCAGCTCCTACTTAAAGGCAAACCTACCTGGTTTGCGCTTTCTGAAATTATTATTATTTTATTTATTTATACCCTGCCCATCTGGGTGGCTCCCAACAGAAAATTAAAAACACGATAAAACATCAAACATTAAAAACTTCCCAACACAGGGCTGCCTTCAGATGTCTTCTAAAAGTCAGGTAGTTGTTTATTCTTTTGACATCTGATGGGAGGGCGTTCCACAGGGCAGGAGCCACTACCGAGAAGTCCTCTGTCTGGTTCCCTGTAACTTGGCTTCTTGCAGTGAGGGAACCGCCAGAAGGCACTTGGCGCTGGACTGGGCTGAACGATGGGGGTGGAGACGCTCCTTCAGGTATATTGGACTGAGGCTGTTTAGGGCTTTAAAGGTCAGCACCAACACTTTGAATTGTGCTCGGAAACGTACTGGGAGCCAATGTAGATCTTTCAAGACCGGTGTTAACTCTGTGCTGTGTGAAGAACGACTTTCTTTTGCCTGTCCTGAACCTTTCACCTTCTCTGGACGTCCATGAGTTCTAGTCTTATGAGAGAGGGAGAAAATCTTTCTCTCTTTCTGTTTTCTCCATGCCGTGCCTACTCTTATAAACTTCTCCTGCAGGCCTTGCATTACGTGTTGCAAGGAGAGACGCTTGTACATTCAGCCTGCAATGCTGAGAGACTGGGACCGGCTGAGCGAGAGCAATTTCTTTATATATTTTTTCTGCTGATTCTCAGGGGTTTCTCCTGGGGAATTTGCATTGCCCCGGCTCAATTTCACATCCGAGCTGGAATTTGGCTGGCGGTTTTGCGGCTGTGTAACTCACTCAGCCACCAGCTCCCTGTGCGATGGATGCCATGTCCCAACAGGGGAGAGAGAGAGAGAGAAACTAAAATCTTGCTCCTTGGTCTCCATTGCCTCCTGTCCTCATATTCCTGGCCCCCCACTCTCCTGCACACCCACTGTGCCCTTGAAAACACCCAAGCCCCCCTCCCTGCTTAATAGCACCACGATAAAATGAATGGGAGGGACGCAGGTGGCGCTGTGGGTTAAACCACAGAGCCTAGGACTTGCCGATCAGAAGGTCGTTGGTTCGAATCCCCGCGACTGGGTGAGCTCCCGTTGCTCGGTCCCTGCTCCTGCCAACCTAGCAGTTGAAAAGCACGTTAAAGTGCAAGTAGATAAATAGGTACCACTCCGGCGGGAAGGTAAACGGTGTTTCCGTGCGCTGATCTGGTTCGCCAGAAGCGGCTTAGTCTTGCTGGCCACATGACCCGGAAGCTGTACGCCGGCTCCCTCGGCCGATAAAGCGAGATGAGCGCCGCAACCCGAGTCGGCCATGACTGGACCGAACGGTCAGGGGTCCCTTTACCTTTACTAAAATGAATGGGCATTAGACACAGGGGAGCCCAGAATTTAGTGATACACCATCTGCTTTGCTTGCTAAATGCCCCGGGTTCAATTCTCAATGGCGTCTCCAGAGAGAGCCTCTACCCAGTGGCTTTAAAACTTCAGTGGCACCCTGTGCGATGCCAAAATTTGTCCCCTCCACTGCCTCTTGCCTTCCGTTGTTCGCCATTATTGCAGCGCCCCTGGCGGCACCCTCTCAGCTTGGCGCGAGCCAAGTGTGGGTAATTGGTCCGCACTCCCCGAAATCTGCTGCTGCCCTGCTTTAAATTCTGGGGAGCTGCTGCTGGTCCGTGTGGACTTCTGAATTGCAGGAATGTTCACGGTGGCAGGAGAGGATGTATTGTTTATTACTGTCCTTCCTAACTTGTGCTAGCAAGTTCTTTTACTTAGCAGAGTTACATTCCCGTGGCCAACTCTGGGGTTGTGGCGCTCATCTCGCTTTATTGGCTGAAGGAGCCGGCGTACATGTGCCCAGCATGACTAAGCCGCTTCTGGCGAACCAGAGCAGCGCACGGAAACACCGTTTACCTTCCCGCCGGAGTGGTACCTATTGATCTACTTGCACTTTGACGTGCTTTCAAACTGCTAGGTTGGCAGGAGCAGGGACCGAGTAACGGAGCTCACCCCGTTGCAGGGATTCGAACCTCCAACCTTAGAATAGTGTAGAATAACATTAAATACCAGCATATAAAAATTAAACAGAAATCTACTCTTAACAATTGCAATAAATAAATAACAATTGCAGTAAATAATCAATAAAAGAACGGCAAGCCACAGTGCATAAAATGTTGTTTTTTAGTCGTTTAGTCGTGTCCGACTCTTTGTGACCCCCTGGACCAGAGCATGCCAGGCACTCCTGTCTTCCACTGCCTCCCGCAGTTTGGTCAAACTCACGCTGGTAGCTTCGAGAACACTGTCCCACCATCTCGTCCTCTGTCGTCCCCTTCTCCTTGTGCCCTCCATCTTTCCCAACATCAGGGTCTTTTCCATGGAGTCTTCTCTTCTCATGAGGTGGCCAAAGTCTTGGAGCCTCAGCTTCAGGATCTGTCCTTCCAGTGAGCACTCAGGGCTGATTTCCTTCAGAATGGATCGGTTTGATCTTCTTGCAGTCCATGGGACTCTCAAGAGTCTCCTCCAGCACCAGAATTCAAAAGCATCAATTCTTCGGTGATCAGCCTTCTCTATGGTCCAGCTCTCACTTCCATACATCACTACTGGGAAAACCAGAGCTTTTGCAAATTGAGAAGCAGAGAGTGGAGGGTGGAGCAAAGCAGGTGGAAAGAGGCCTTGCCTGATGAAGTCTTTCCCCTCTCCCCTCACCAGCTTCCTTCTCCTCCTCTAGCGCAGCCATTCCCCCATCAGACTGCTCCTCTTCACCCCTGGTGCTGCTGCCAGGAGTCTGTTCCTCTGAATCGTCTTCCTGTTCATCACTTGCAGAGGGGGCTATGACATTGGAAAGCAGATCTGGACAGTTATATCTGCTGGAAGAACACAGGGTTTTGTGTTTCCTCTTCTGGTTGCTCATAAAAGCCCACGACACTTTCCTCTTGTTTTTATTCCGTTTGGTTAAAGAGGGTTTCCATATTTTCTCCCTCCTCTTCTGCGTAGGTTAAACGAACACTTGCGGGGGATGGACAGGATGCTGCGGGTGACCAGCCACCTGGCCGAGCAGCTGGACCAAGCCTCCCAGGACCTCCTGGTCAAGATGACCAGCCTTTTGGAGAAACCAGCCACCCGGGTGGAAGGAAGCACCCTGAAGACATCTTAACTGCGCATCCCGTTCTCTGTTCGCAAAAGCATTAAAAGAAAGGTCTCAGCATTCATTGTGGAATCGGTTCCAATATTTTTTTATTTTTCCCCGGTGTGCACGTACTTTCCTCATCTCGTGGGGACACTAGGTGGGTCACCTCTTGCTCAGAGAAGCCTCATCTTTTGCAGTTCTCGCACACGCCTGCACAGTGCAGGAAAACCCCACACGACAAGCAGTAAAGGTAAAGGTAAAGGGACCCCTGACCATTAGGTCCAGTCGTGGCCGACTCTGGGGTTGCCGCGCTCATCTCGCTTTACTGGCCGAGGGAGCCGGCATACAGCCTCCGGGTCATGTGGCCAGCATGACTAAGCCGCTTCTGGCGAACCACAGCAGCGCACAGAAACGCTGTTTACCTTCCCGCCAGAGTGGTACCTATTGATCTACTTGCACTTGGACGTGCTTTCGAACTGCTAGGTTGGCAGGATCAGGAACCGAGCAACGGGAGCTCACCCCGTCGCGGGGATTCGAACCGCCGACCTTCTGATCGGCAAGTCCTAGGCTCTGTGGTTTAACCCACAGCGCCACCTGTGTCCCTTACGACAAGCAGTACCAAGTGCTAATTCTGGGCCCTAGGGTAGGGGTGGAGGGTAAATATAAATATAATAATAAATTTTTATTTATACCTCACCCTTCCGGGTTCAGAAAACCGGGCTCACGGTGGCTAACAACAAATTTAAAACACTTAATTGATGCAACAAAAACCAGCATAAAATACAGTATAAAACGTGAATAACAATAATTCAGAATTCAAAAATCAATTTAGGGGGGAAATCCATCCAATAGGGATTTTAGGGATTTAAGAAGGCATCCGTTTCCAATCCAGCCCATAACTGTCTCACACAGCACTGTTTCCATTCTACTGCATTTCCTCTTCTCCCAAAAGTGATGCTATTCACCTCCCTGCCTCCTGTGGCAGAATTCTGTTACTTACATAAATCATACCTGTTATTCCTGCATCGCAGGGGGTTGGACTAGATGACTGCTGGAGTCCCTTCCTGCTCTATGATTCTAAGAATGTCAGCGTATCTTACATGCAACTTATATATAATACGCAGCATCTTCAGGTAGGGCTCTTCCTTTCAGAAACCATGGACAGCATCTGCCAGCCAGTGGGGGTAAAACTGAGGCATGTGGACCAACGTTTTATGCATGAATCATAGAACTGTAAGGTTGGCAGGGACCCCAGTGGTCATCTAGCCCAACCCCCTGGTTGCTATTGTTGCATTTATATCCATCCTCTCCTCCCAGACGCTCCTGGCAGTATACATAATTCTCTACCTCCCTGCTTTAGCCTCACAACAACTTTGCAAGGTAGGCTAGGCTGAGATGCAGTGACTGAAAGTGATCTTTGTGACTGAGTGAGGACCTGAACCCAAGTCTCCCAGGTCCCTGTTTGACACTCTAACCACTCCATGGCACTGCCCCGACTCGGGGTAAGTCAGAAGGGACTTGGGCAGCTGTGATTCCCTTGCCACCCCTGCCCACCCGCCGCCTAAGACGAGGCTCATGGTGCCCCATCCGACACACAGCTCCAGGCACAACCCCATGAAGGCTGCCTGCCTGTGTGGTGCAGCAGTTAGAGCTGTGAGAATGTTCAGGGATGCAGGAGAGGATATATTGCTTGATTATAGCCTTTCCAACTTGTGTTAACAAGTTCACAATTTAGCAGAGTAACATTCCTCTTTTTTAAACTCATAGCGGATGCGTTAGCTCAGGCTCGCTAAAGCCTCTATAATAACTGTTCTGGTATTTCCCCCTTATTCCCTCATAAAAGGTAAGACACGACACAGTCTTCTATAAAAGTATAAAAAGAGTTTACTCACTCACATTCTGTTCACAGTCGGATCCCAGAAGGCAGACTTAGCTTAGAAAAGTAACATACACCTGGAAACTATCTCATAAGGAGACAGTCCCTTTGTCCTCCCTTGGCTGGAAGCCAAGAGAGCATCTTTGGCTAAGCACATGTTGCTTCTTCGATGCATGTAGTCAAAGAGAAAGAGATGGCTGCCCTGCCCTGTGCTTTTGTCGTTACCTGCACAGGTGAGGCCACGCCCGCCTCTACTCGCATGCAGAGGAAGTCTGTCCCAGCCCAGAAGGAAACAGGAAGCTTACCTGCTGGCTGGACAAACATTCCTCCCCATGTGTAAACATGTTCACTCTAGGAATGTTGTACTTGACTGCTCTTGTGTTTCACATCCCACAAGAGCATCCGACTAGGAGCCGGGAGAGCAGGGTTTGAATCCCTACTTGGCCATCGCAAAGGTCCCTGGGTGACCTCGGGGGCCGGCCACTGCCTTCTTTGCAGGGCTGTTGTTCGGTGAGGGGGGGGGATGAGCCACATGCGCCACCTTAAGCACCTTGGGAGAGGAAAAGGTGGAACATAAATGCAGCAAATTAATAAATATCTGCGCTGCTGCTCCTGTGGGGAAGCTGGTGTCAGCCAAAATACTGGCATCTTGTGTACAGGGGTATTTCAAAGCTCCTTTGTAATTCTCCGCTTATATCCTTTTCTCAAAGCTGCCTGGATCCCTCGCGCGAATTCCAAGCCCTCCTTTCACACTTCTGAAAATCAATTTAAGGGAGGTTGGGTGCTCTGAACCACCACCCCCCTCCACCAATTAATTCCCCAGGGACTCAGCAGACCATCCTTCCTTCCTACATCCTCTCTCTGTGCTTGAGCAGAATGATAAAGATGAGTCAATACCTGGTATCAGGAGGTAGCGTATGGGTCTCTCCCCTCCTGAATGGGGAGGTGTTTGGTTGACTGCAGTGCCCCCTGGCGGCACGTTTTGTTCCTCCAAAAGGCTTTTGCTGAAAAATAACTCCAAAGCGCTGCATCTAGCTGCGTTCCCGTGCCATACCTGTCTCACCTTGCCTGCCTGGTTAAATCTTTCAAATCAACTCAGCGCTGTAATGTTAATGAAAGCAAGCAAAGCAACCTGGCTATCTGGCCACGATCCATTAAGGGCTACCCCACAACAGTTGCATGGAAACTAAGAATTATATTTCGGTTGGAAACCCCAGAGAGATGGGACCCACTTTTACTTCTGCCACTTACAGTCCCAGGCAAGTCACTATCTGTCAACCTCCAGCTGAGAAAAAAAATAAAATACTAATTGGTCCACCTTGGAAGGGTATTTTGAGGGTGAACACAACAACTTAATGGCCAAGGCATTGTGATTGTGCAGTGTTGTTAAGCCGTCCTGAGCTGGGCTCTAAATGGGGAGAAATGTCTCTCTAAATCTCTCTCCAAAAGCTCAAAAGCTCCTACCCTTTCCATGAAGCCTTTAGACACCCCACCCCCCAACTTCAACCAAGTCCAAGGGTGCTTCTAAATGGGGCGCTGAATATTGCAAACGGGCCGTCAGATATTGCAAATCCATAACTGAGAACAGGTTGTTGCTGGGGTTTGTTATAAAAAAATCTTGCTAGATCTACACTTGGAACATTTGAAGCGGAAGTCGATGGTGCGAGCCTCTGATCGGCTGGCCCTTGTGACATCAGCAAGACACACACACACACACACACACCCTAACCGGTTTTGCACTTTTTGGAAGTTTTCTTTTTTAAAAAAGGTGGCCAATAGATTACCGAATGCTGTAACCTTTACACAGACCAAACGCATGGAGGAAATGCCAGAATGGTGGTTGAATTTGTGCTCAGCAGTTTGCTGATATGCTTGGCTGGAATGGGTCACCCCCTTGGTGCACTATGCAATTATTTGCAATTACAGTGGTACCTCTGGTTAAGTACTTAATTCGTTCCGGAAGTCTGTTCTTAACCTGAAACTGTTCTTAACCTGAAGCACCACTTTAGCTAATGCGGCCTCCCGCTGCCGTCGGAGCATGATTTCTGTTCTCATCTTGAAGCAAAGTTCTTAACTGTTAAGTTGTGGGTGAACATATCAGACGACACAGCGATTCTCCAAACAGCTCTTGTTTATTCACAGGTCAGAACTGAACTGAACTGAAGGGTTCAGCCAGCCTGCTTATATAGAGCTCCAGTACAATGTAACTGTAACAACTTTCTGTAACTATCCAATCACTGAACGTCACTTTCAATCCCTTATTTGCATATGTGGACCTGAGTGAAAACTATCTACAGCATCCCCCTGCTGGCCCAGGGTGAGAACTTCAGTACATAACATTAACCTGAGGTAATATTTCTGGGTTAGCGGAGTCTGTAACCTCATGCATCTGTAACCTGACGCGTATGTAACCCGAGGTACCACTGTATCCTCAAGACGAGCCTGTGAGGTAGGCCGCTCTCTAAGCCAGGCACACTTTGGACGAGAGGGCGATGCATCTCCAAGATCTATTTGTCAGCATTTCAGTGCCCATAAATTGCGTTTCTAGCCCACCTTTCTCTCCAAGCTCAAAGTGGCGTACGTGGGTTTTCTCCTCGCTGCTCATATAATCCCCACCGCAACCTTGTTAGCATGAGAGAGGCAGTGACTGCCCCCAAGATGTCACCCCGCGAGAAATTGAGTGGGGTTTCGAACCCGGGTCTCTCCCTGGTCCTAGCCCGACGCTCTTAACCGCCGTGCAATGCTGGCTCAAAGCTACCCATCAAACCAAATTTCAACTCAAGCTACCCATCAAACCAGCCCAATGCGAACAGTGGTCCTTTCCAGCAATGCTAGACTCTGGGGGTGAACCCCACTGACTTCCAGATGGGGTAAGCGGGTCCCTCCTGGTTCGTGGAGCCTGTGCGTCCACCCCAAAGTGTGTCCTGCCTTCATGGGTGCTGCTGATTTCGGATTCCACGCCGGATCTCTCGCAGCCTCCCCTCCCTTCGCTCAACAAACCCCGTTCCGAACAGATGCATAAGCCCTTGCCTCCAGAAACGCTTGCAGCAAAAAAAGGCTTAGGGAGAAATCGAAGCAGCCCGGGCTGTTGTGGGTCGGCAGGAGCCCCCGAGCAGTGTGCAACGCCTCCCCTCTCTCTGGTTCCTGGCGCGGCTAAGACCCCAGACCCTCCTCCCTTCCTCCTTGTCCCCCAAAGGGGGAGGACACAGCCCAGAGCCTCCGCTCCGCTCCCTCTCCCGGCCTCTGTCGTCACACCCAGAGTGGGAACCTTTGCAACAGCTCGCTCTTTTCCTCCGTTTGCAAGGAGGCAGTCTCTCAGCATCTGGACCACCGCGGGAGGAGCATCCCGGGGACCGCTTCGCTTTGCAGGGCAGAGAAACGAGGATGCTCTTCTTGGCAACTTAAGGGGAAACTGGCACCGAGGAGCAGCAGCAGCGCAAAGAGAGATGTGGGTGTCATTGTGAGCGCACGTTTTCCCCCTTCTTCCTAGCTCATGCCGGCCGCCTTGGCCGAAGTGTTTGGTTTGAGCTTAGAGGAGCAGCCCCTGGAAGAAGCCGGGAAGGTTGCGCTCCGAGCCTTAGAGGGTCCGGCTGGCCAGCAAGCGAGCAGGACCTCTCCTCCCGACAGGTGAGTGATGTTGTTTTCTTTGCAACGGAGCAGACGGTGGAAGGGAGCGCAGCGCTTGACCGTCAGATTCTTAGTCAGATCTGCCCTCTTCCCCCACCCCTTCTGTAACCGCTGCTCGTGTCCCTCTCCTCCTGTGACAAAGTTGGTCCGTGCAACAGCCGAAGGGAGAAGCAAAGTTTTGGCAACGTAGGGAGCAGTCTTAGACCACTTCTTGATCTAGCCTAGTGGTGTCTGCACTGGCCGGCAGCAGCGGCTCGCCAGGGTTTCATGCACGGGCGGTTCCCAGCCCCACTTGGAAGTTGAACCTGAGAGCTTCTGCATGCAAGGCTACGGTGCCCCTCTGGGCATGATCCACCGGGGAAATCTCCTTTGCAACGAATGGGAACTGTGCTAGAGTGGGGTTGCTTTTTGTGGGTCCCCCCACCCCTGCATTCTTAAAATAAATGCAGGATTTATTTCTTGGCTTAGATTTATTTACTTCGATTCCTATGCTCCAAGTACATGGAAGATTGGGAATATCTGGGAGGGGGGGGATCATTGGGATGGCAACCCTGGATGACAAGGTCCCTTTCCAGACCTCAGGATACAAGGCAAACCTAGAATGCTTTTAATTTTTGAGAGCCAGTCTATTGTAACAGCTGAAAGGATGAACTTAGCTTGAGCTGCAGACTCACTTAGGTAACTATCCTGCACCCATTTACCAGGGACTCACTGAACTGAGTGAGAGACTTACTTCTGAGTAGAACTATAAGGTGCTGTGCTGTAATAATAATAATAATAATAATAATAATAATAATAATAATAATATCTTTATTGTCATTGCCCCCTTCGGGGACAACGAAATTACTTGACTGCTCCATAAAAACACTAATTAAACAATACAGTATAATACAGCAAGGGAGATTAGATGACTTTCAAAGTCCGGGCTTCCCATTCAGGGCCGAGATCGCTCTGGAGAAGACGCTGTTCTTAAGACGGCTCGTTCTTGTCTTCATCGTCCTGTATCTCCGTCCCGACGGCAAGAGCTCGAAGAGACAGTGACCAGGATGCGATGGATCTTTTACTATGTCCAGTGCCTTCCTATGGCACCTTGTGGCATAAATCTGCTCTAAGGTGGAGAGTGGGCAGCCAACAATGCTCTCTGCTGCCTTAACAACCCTGTACAACCCCATCCTGTCCTGGGTAGTACAGCTTCCGTACCACACACATAAGCCATAAGTGAGCACGCTCTCAATGGCACAGTGATAGAAGGCAAGCAGCAGTTTCTGTGGAAGATGGTTTTTCCTTAGTATTCTCAAAGAGTACAGTCTCTGCTGCGCCTTCTTCACAAGCCCCCTTGTGTTGACACTCCAGGACAGATCCTCTTGTAATTCAATGCCCAAAAATCTGAACGTTGTTACCCTCTCCACACAGACCCCATCAATCAAAAGTGGCTGGACGTTGCTCTTCTGTCTCCTGAAGTCCACCACAAGCTCCTTTGTCTTCCTTGTATTTATGAGCAAGTTGTTAGCTCTGCACCACTCTGTCAGCCGTAAGTGAGCCAAACTAAGCCAGTGTTCCTTCATTTGCACTGTGGGGAATAACCATCCCAGCCTACTTTATAGGGTCGTTGTACGGGGCTCGCGAAGGCACATGAGGCTCTGAAGGAGTGAGATGCAGACCAAGAATCAATATGATATGGAGCACCCAGACTGGGCTTCAGTTTGCATGCAAACAGCATTTCCCTGGCTTCAAAACTGCAATGTTTTCCTCCTGCATTGGAGAAAAAGCAGGTGTGTGTGTGTGTGTGTGTGCTTGCGTGTGCTTGCGCCTTTCACAGACCTAGTTGAGAGTTAGCGGGTGGGAAGCTGTAGGCAATTCCTTAGGGGGGAAAAACCCTCAGCGGTTCCCCAACATTAACTCCTACTAGCAGGACAATCAACGCTGGGAAAGATCAGTGGAGCCTACAGCCTGTGCAACCGTGTGGCTGATTTGCAAAACTTCCGAAAGGAGGGTGCAGTCCTGTGCATTGCTCACTGTTAAGACCTTGATTTATGAGGGGGATCTGCATGAAATTAATCAGTTAAGTAAAGTGGGGGAGGGGCCAGCCTCCATCTGATGGGCTTGGGAAGACGTGTGTTTGTCAGTGGAAATATATAGGAAGGGGCCTATCCGTTTCTCCACCCAGACGGGTGCTGTTTACTCCGACTGATAGTGGCTCCCTGGACACAAGAACTTAAGAAGTGCTTGCTGGATCAGGCTGAAGGGGCCCCATCCAGCCCAGTGTTCAGCTGCCCCAAAGGGAGGTTCCGCAAGCAGGATCCTGCAGTTTCAAGCAACCGATATTCAGAAAGTTTACTGCCTCTGACTGTAGAGGCGTGGCATAGCCGTTGTGGCTAGCGGCTGCCATCCCTGGCTACCTTACTCTCCTGTAACTGGGAGTGCTGGGGATTGACCCTGCGCAACATGGGGTCTGCCCATGAGCTCGGGAACTTCCCTGCGATTCATGCTCAGTGGTGGGTCTCTGGCTCAATCTCCACAGGAAAAGATTAGCGCCCTCCATATCCATCTTATTCACTTCAACATCCTCCTTCCAGAAAGTGGAATAAGATGGAGAGCTATGAAGTGACCTGGGACTTAGGAAACCAGGGTTAAAAATACGCCCAGCCACAAAACTCCTTGGGTGCGACTGCCTCTCAGCCTAACCTACCTCACAGGGTTGTTTTGGGGGAATTAAATAAGGGAGAAAACTAAGAATGCCACCTTGAACTCCTTGGTGGAAAATATGGGGTGTATATGCACTAAAATGCTGGCAAATTTTCACAAGGACGTAACAAAAATAATATTTCCAGCTGATGTGAAGAGCTGAACTTGAGACTGGAAAAAGAAGAGACTGGAACGGACAGATTTGATCATCTCCACTTTGCCCTTTGACCTCGTGCCACATTCCCCACCCTTGGCATGAAATGTGGCACAAGCTGGCAGAGTTTGGTGGTTGCCCAGAGCTCTCCGTATGCCAAGATTACGCCAAGGTTTCCTTCCTGCAGCTGGGAGCCTTTTGGTGGTTTGCCAGGCACGGCCACAAATCTTGCCTCTGCCGTTCCTCCTGCTGTTGACTCTTTAAGCAGCTCAGTGGCAGCCAAGAACATTGGGGTTTATTTGCGCTTAGTAAATGCCCGTTTAAAATGAAAACCAAACAAGCATCTTTTTGAAGAGGGGGTGGTAGAGAGAGGAGGTATTCAGGCAGAGGCAGAGGCATTTGTGAAGGAATCGTTTGCAAACATCTGCTTCTTGCTGAGGATCGCACAACCCATGCGAGACCCCCCAACCCCTTGGTATTGAGGGCCAGACCAGGCCACAGTATTCTGGTCTGCAAGAGCAGTTCTCCTCTAAGCGCTTGGGCTGTTGTTGATGTTGTTAAGTCATTTAGTAGTGTCCGACTCTTCGTGACCCCCTGGACCAGAGCACGCCAGGCCCTCCTGTCTTCCACTGCCTCCCGCAGTTTGGTAAACTCATGCTGGTAGCTTCGAGAGCACTGTCCCACCATCTCGTCCTCTGTTGTCCCCTTCTCCTTGTGCCCTCCATCTTTCCCAACATCAGGGTCTTTTCCAGGGAGTCTTCTCTTCTCATGAGGTGGCCAAAGTCTTGGAGCCTCAGCTTCAGGATCTGTCCTTCCAGTGAGCACTCAGGGCTGATTTCCTTCAGAATGGATCGGTTTGATCTTCTTGCAGTCCATGGGACTCTCAAGAGTCTCCTCCAGCACCAGAATTCAAAGGCATCCATTCTTCGGCGATCAGCCTTCTTTATGGTCCAGCTCTCACTTCCATACATCACATCTGGGAAAACCATAGCTTTAACTATACGGACCTCTAGCGCTTGGGCTAGAGAGGCCTTTGCTCATGTGCCAGCCGTGGCTGTGGCTGATGGGAGCTGCAGTCTGAAACATGGAAGATGGGCTAGACAGTCGGCCTGATCCACACCTGAGAGCATCATCTGTCCTGTGGAAGCCTCAACAAGGATATTGTAGAGTTGGAAACAGGCATCTCAAATTATCAAGCGGATGGGGTGATGAAGGAAGGCTGCAGTTTAGACAAAAGGCAAGGAAGAGGCAACATGATAGAAGTTTATAAAATTGGGCACAGCAAGGAGAAACTGGAGAAGTTTCTCTACCTCTTATGGACATTCAATGAAGCTGAATGTTGAAAGGACAGAGAACAGAAAGCATTTCTTTACACAGCACATACTGTAGTTAAAAAACAGAGCTTTCTCCGGCAAGTTAGATGGCTTTATAGAATCATAGAATTGTAGAGTTGAAGGGACCCTGAGGGTCATCTAGTCCAACCCCCTGCAATGCAGGAATCCTGCCCACAACCTTCCCTGGCTGGGCTTGAACCACCAACCTTCTGGTTAACAGCCAGGTGCACTGACCCACTGGGGGACCCAAAAGTGTGCACCTAACACAGGGCTCAAACCTACGACCCTGAGATTAAGAGTCATGGAGGAGAGTCTATGCCAGAGGTTCTCAACCTGTGGGTCCCTAGATGTTGTTGGACTACAACTCCCATCATCCCTGAGCTCTGGCCTTGCTAGCTAGGGGTGATGGGAGTTGTAGTCCCAAAACATCTGGGGACCCACAGGTTGAGAAAGGCTGGTCTATGCACTGCCTTAATAGTTTCTGAATACCAGTTTCTGGAAGGAGGACAGAGTGCTTGGGTCCTGCTTGTGGGTTCCCCATTGGAGCATCTGGTTTGAGAACAGGATCCTGAATCAAATGGACCGTTTGCCTGATCTAGCAGGCTCACCTTAATTTTTTTTACGTGCACGGTTCTGATCACCAGAAGGTGACTGAGACCTGTCTCTCCTGAAGATCTGTGGCAGTCAGCCTCAAAGTTTGCCTGCGTAATCTCTGCACAAGGTCTTGCGCAAACCAGCTGTGTGCTGGGATTGGGCCCTCTGCCTACAACGAGCAACCTGATATTTTAAATTGAGCAAAGCCAGCCAAGAGGGGCTGGGCGTGCCAAGACGAAATATACAGCGTCTTCCCTGTCCGGGCGTCTGATGAGCAGCTAAGTTTCCAATA